TGTGTCATAAAACAGCAAACAACAGCGGCATTTTCGACTCCATCTGCCATACTAAGAAACGAGAAAAATCAGTTTCATCAAATCGAAATCATAACATTATACCTTTGAAATAGATTAAAACTGATTCCTCCATGAATATCCATCCACACAGGTATACCGCGTGATTTCAGTACTTTATAAACCTTTGAAACCAGTTCTTTATTATCCCAATGATAACTAAGCATGACATGAAGTCCATGTTCCGACGACATTTCTTACCAAATCTATCTGGAAGAAAAACAAATATGTATGTAAATCCACGTGCGATAAAAACTGATTTCTTTGCTATTCTCAACAGGTGAATGATTCATAGATTTCAATTTCCCAATAGACTATTCGGTTCTCTTTTACACAAATCGCCTGTTGGGTTTCGAATCAATCTATCTTATAACAACAACAAGACGAGTAGAGAATGAATAATAAGCCGTCTCTTTTTCTCTTTCTGCCTGTGTCTCTTGCTCATTTTTCTTTCTTTCTTCTCGTATGTTGCACGAAGTAGAATGAATGAACAAGCAAAACGAATCAATCTTCCCTTTAATTAGAAGAGGAGAGGGAGAGACGACTGTAAAAGAAGACAAAAAAACGGAAGCCCGAATCATTCATTATAGGTCTAATCAAAGAAGAAGAAAAAAACGACGAGAGAAGTCTTTATTTCTCATCATTGATAATAGAATTACGTTGAATATGATCGATGGATGAATAGTAGATACATCTAGCAACGATTAGATTATTTCGTTCATCAATCCGAGGTAACAGTCTGAAACTCGTCAATGGAAGAATGAATATTACAGTGAAGTGAGCGGAAATGGCGCTCTCTTTTTTGTGAGATTGAGCAGGACTGCATCAGTACAAGCATAACAAGCAAGCTGCATTGACGTTTTAGTCAAATTACATGCGACATACACGCACACAGGAAGTGAGACCGACCAGATTTTCACACATAATAAAAAAAAGAAAAATGTTCATTACTTTTTCTTCTTCTCCTTTTTGTTGTTCGAGGCGAATCACATCAAAGAGATGAAAAAAGAAAGATATTAAAGAGAAACCTAAAATAGAATCACATCGTTTCGTTAACAGAGAAGTTCATCGATCGATCACTCCTAATTATTCTATCAACGTGTAATATGATCATCAAGCAAATATTGACTCTGCTTGTTGACTTATTCTTTCTTCATTTTCCATTTATCGAAAGGTTGGTCAGCGAAGTTTTCTACATATCAGTTCGATTTTTTTTTCTCCCTTTCGTCTAAATGGTTATATCAAACCAAAAACAAAGTGGCCACTCGTGAATGCAAGTTTGATTATGAACTCGTTCAGCTGTATTCGTCCGAATAATTGCTCTTCTTTATACTACTTCACATACCTTGTCGATGCGTGTCAACAAAAAGAGTACAGCTTAGTGCTCTCGGTCAACATCGACTTTGTTTATCTAACCTCGATAGCGATTGTCAATTGGTACTGCGAAGGCATCAGAATCACTAATGAACAAGTCTATTAGTTGAAATTTTTGAGAACTATAGGTAGAGTATATGTTAGAATACAAACCTTTAATAGATGATAAATGAACAAAACGTAGGCGTTGGTCATTGAAATGTATCGGAGATATACACGCGTGCGTGTCACTGTACAAAGAGGAAAGGGAGAGCATGTCGATCAATATATTTCACATAAAAATGGGATGTACACATGATAATGAGCGGACATTTTTACGATTTCTCGAGGGACATTTTATTTGACGTTGTTATCTTTTCTTGCACTTGAATAATACTTGATTTCGTAAATCATTAGGAGAATAACCGTAGATAAGTCCTTGCTTTATTCTTTGAATCAGAAGATGTTCTTCCCACTCCTCGGCATAAAAATTTGAAAGACACGCTCGGTCCTACAGAACGTCACCAACTGTGTAGATAATGGTAGAGACATTCGATTGATCAGCACGAGAGAGAAAGGAAAGAAAGGTGTAATCATTTTCAATGTTGAAATAAATAATATGTCTTATTTTAATGTTCAAAATGTAAACATCAAAACAATACAATAGATAAATATGTATATAAACAATACACATAAAAGAGATGTTCTATAGTATGACGTTAGAAAGTCTGTCTGTTTGATTTTTCTTTCTAATCCCAATTAGACGTGCGAACAACAACAATAAAAATAGAGGCACAAAGAGAGAGAGCGAGAGAAGAAGAAAAAAGAAGAGAATAAAATAACAACACTGTGTTTCAATGACAGCATTCAAACAAATAAATAAAAATGAGTAATGGATAATCATCGTTTAGTATTCTTCACTACATTCGTTTCATTTGAGCCATAAGATCCTCGATCGATAAATCTTCGTCTCGTGCTGTACTGGCAGCCGATGTTTCATTGTCGGATGTATCGATTTGCGGATTACATTTTGCCTTCGGAACGTACTGATATTTGACTTGATCAAGTGAAACTGTTCCACCTGAAGATGAAGCTAATTCAATATGATTACGATCAACGGTATTTTCATTTGGAACGTCAACACTATCACTAACAAGTTCAATACCTACACATCGATGATAAATGAGGATGATTAGGTGTGATAGGAAATCAGAACAAACCCCATTCGTTTGATTCATGTGTCACTTCAGTTTGAGCTGGTTGAGGATTTTCTTCGATTACTGTCGGATTTGATTGTTGCTCGAGTTGTCTCTTGCGACAGTAAGAATCATCACAATCTTCGTTGGGTTTCAATGTCAAAAGCTAAATGAGAGATTCTTTTAGAAACAATTTCATCCAGGGATGGTGACGAGTACTGACGAGAAAATGATCATCAAGCGCATTGTAACCAAGATAGTTTGACACACGACCAAATTTAAGCAAATATCTAAACAATAGCAAGCAATACATTTTCCAGTCAAACATTTTCCTTTAACACCGACTTGAGTGTGTTCTGTACGAGAAAGCCAGCAACGATACCCATAGTTGTTGGCAAACTAGCAGCACAAACGCCTTCACGTTTTAGTGTACTTTCATCGACATTACTAGCCATAATCAATGGCGGAGCACACTAGAATAAAGAGATTTTTTTTTCATAGAGAATCAGTCCAGGTTTATGTGGGATACGAACAGCAAAACAAGCACTTCGTCCAGGAACGATTAATTGTATATGACCACTAACAGCATTTTCGCTCACGCCTGATTCCATCCAGGTTTGATCAAGTTCATTGCATGCCTTTGAAAACATAGTCAACGTAAAATATTTTTCGTTGTTATTTTAATCGAGAATGTACTTACCGTGTTGATAGTCATTCTTGCACCGAAATTGTCTACACAACTAAGCACAAGATCAACTGGACCCGAATTGTCTTTATTACCAGTTCTACATAGATGGTATAGTGATCTTAGATCCAGTTTGAAAAAGAAGACTTGATCTTACCGAATTTTATCCATAAACAATGGAAAGCTATCTACTTTCGTTATATTCATATTGTATGGTTCAATAATTACATCGGGATTGATAAATCTATTATGAATACATCAATATACCAAATTGAGTATAAAAATCGTTCTTATATTTACTTCAATGTTTCAGCAGCAGCTTCAACTTTAGTTAGACCAGCTTGATGAGGTTGATAGAATAAACGATTCATATTCGCTAATTCAACTTTATCGTAATCATAGAGAAGTAACTAGGAAATAACATGCAAAGGATGAATCAACTTATTGAATTATTCTAATCATGGTTATTCTACCTTTCCGATTCCACATCTTGTGAGCATTTCAGCTGCAACACTTCCCACTCCACCAACACCCACGATCATAACAGAAAATTGTCGTATACGTTCGTAATCTTGTACGATTCCCATCCGTTGCAAGGCCATTAGGCGACTATACGGATTCGAATCGACGACTTCCGCCGACATTTTCTCTATACGTGGACGAGATGCCATCTAGAAAAAAGAAATGAAGACAACAGTTTTTTCTTCTTTTGCTTATCTTTGCAAATCACACGAACAATGAGATTGTTAATTATACGAAAAAGTAACAAACAAACAAAAAACATGAATAACAGTTGGACGTAAATTAACAACCAGACAAATCTTTTTTAGCCGTGGCTTTGCGATGCCATCTGGTGTCCTGAGGATCAAAACCGCGTTCATTCGAACCAACAACTGCCCAGTCAGGTGTGACAGCCATGTAATCCAGAGAAGTAAACGATTCTTTTCCATCAGTTGCTTTATGTCTGGCAGCAAGTTCATGAAAACGTTCGTAATCAATCCATGTATGCCATTTACCGTCAATTTGAAACTAAAATAATTCTTTTATGCCGACGAACGCAGGTTCCTTAAAAACGAGTCTTACTTTCGTATTGGCGAGTAAAAGACAATTAGAATGTTCATGTTCACAAGCTAAACCATACTGTGGTAGACGTTCGCAAAGTAATCGAACAAATGTGACGACTTCTTCATGCCATGGAACATTAGCCATTGTTAGATTACTTGCACTCGAGTCTCCACAATAAGTAACTCCCTTAATGAATTTATGTTACCTACGTTAGTACATTCAAGCAGAGACATTCAACATACTTTCACTTCGATAAAGTCTGGATCACCAAGTTCAACTAATTTGGCATATTGTTCGATTTCTTCGGTGTTATAACCTTTAACTAATGTTAAGCGATAGACTGTTCTTTGTCCCTAAGCGCAAAACAAATGATCTTCTTGAATTTATCGCAGCAATTATATTTACTTTATCTTTGAGAGCTCGTAAACAGGCGAGAAATCGTTCCCAAAAATCTCGAAATAGAGGACGGTCGATTTTTTTCAATGATTCTTTCGTTGCAGCATCAACACTAACATACAGTTGTGTTACTGGTTCTAATGATTTGATTTCATCTGGAAATTGTGCGTTTGTTACGAGAAAACTGCTGATATTTTTTGAATGAAGTATATCAATCAATTCATTGATATGTGGATACATTATCGGTTCACCAACAAGAGATAAAGCACAATGGCGGATTTGCATGCCTTCCGCTAGTCGATGAGGCAATACACCGGGTACACCTTTGAAGATATTGATCATTTTATAATGATTGTCGATGGCACCTTGACAGACAGTTTGTGCATCGTCCGTTTTCCATTGCCATGACGTACCGACTGGATTAGAATGATGTCTGTAACATATGTTCAATAGTAACATAGTAAACGAAGAAAATATCAATTAGCGGAAAACTACCTCCAACAAAAAACACATTTGTTTGCACAAGCAAGACTTGGCGTTGTTTCCATACAGCGATGACTTTCAATTCCATAGAAAGTATGCTTGTAGCATCCACCTCGACCTCGCAACATTGACTATAGATATGACGACGACAGTTTTCGAAGGATTTCAAATAGAGATGAATGCTAGTTACTTTTGTCCATCGACATAGTTTTACACCGGAATGACTACCAATTAGTTTATAACCTTGTTTTTCCAATGATTTTCGTATCAATGGGGTAACCATCTCTTTTGGTGGTCCTTTCGGTGTCTATCGAAAGCGAAGAGATGACTCGAATGATTGAAGTTTTTTTCGTTACTTTTGTTATCGATGTGTTTTCTATATAATCTCCCATATCTTCTAAATCCATAACATCATCACCACCATTTTTGCATCCTCCAGCTTCGTCGTCGTCATCACTTTCGATTCTCTCTTGTTCATTATCATCACTGTCATTCTGCGAACGAAATGATGATGCTTCGATTAAGTACATTCTTGACTATTTTCTACAAACCTTTGTTGCTTGTTCACCGTTCGTTGTTGATTGACAACAAGTTGTTGAATTGTTGTTCGAACAATCACATTTCTCGGGTTTCGGTGACTCCAAAGCCGTTTTTAATTGAGATGTCCATTTTGAATAGTGTCCTTCGAGACCTGATTATTTAAAATATATTTCAAACGAAAATTTCCAACGCAATGTATTCCTACCTCCATAAGTACTTTTCACAGTATTTTCATCGGCTAATTCCGTAGGTAGAAGTCGCTTTGCACCTATTTCTGCTAGACATCGGTCGACTTCTTTAGCGACTTTATTGAAATTGTCACGATAGAGTGAATTTCCACATCCAAAAACTGCATAAGTTAACTTTTCTAATTCATTTTTCGAAACACGGAAGTCAGTTGCGGCTTCTTGTAGATGCATGAGAAACCATTTTGCTGAAGGTGGTGGTGTAGCATCTTCGTATGTGGAAATAAAAATCAGCAATGTTCTTTGATTCTTAGCCTGAATGAATACTTTGAATTTAGAAGACCAATTTCAAAACAAAGACAATACTTGTGTTTGTAGAAATTCTTCTGGATCAGTAATATCAGCTAGATCTTGAAGAATAACTTGACGAGTTAAATCATTCGATAGTTTATCGTACGTCGATTGAGCAAATGTCTGATGTCAAGAAAAACAAACATTGAAGAGGAGAAATCCGCGAACGAATCAACCTTACACGACAGTTTCCTTTAACTGAAGCGAAAGCAATGGTGATTCCATTCTTCTCTTGTACGATGGGTTTCCTTGGTGTTTTGGATTTCACTGATGATTTCTAATCAATCGATAGTCAGTCAATATATCGAGATAAAATGTAACTTACAAAACGTTTCAAAGCACTCAACGAGGAAAATACCAGAAAGATAATAATATAGAGCGGAATAGTGAACATATGCCAAATAGACCATTGAACACCTTTATAAAGTAATCAGAGTGAAGACTATCTTTTCATATCGTATTCCTACCGATGAAAGCATAGAATAGTAGAGCGGTGAGAGCCGATCCAGCTGCGAATAAATAAAGATCAACGGACATCTGAAAAAAGAGAGGGTCAATCAAAAATTTCATCGGAAGACTGCATCTATCTTTCTAAAAGCACGTGATTTTTTAAAAAGAATAGCGTTCTATGAAGATGGAGTGGGAATATTTTTCAGTGCAAGGAGTCCAGTATCGGCTGCTGATGTTTTAATCAATGGCTGAATTTGTTTAAATTTCGGATGACCGGCGTCCTGTGTTAATTGCAAAACGATCGATTCAAATGTTGTAATGAAAGCACCGGCTTGACGCATATGATCAAAAGCATACATTCTAAACGGCAACATCAATGTAATTACGTAAGATTTCACCATACTATACCTGTCCGTTAGAGAACGCGATGAAACAGCATCAGCGACGATATACACACGCTTATTTTTAGATAAAAGATCGATGGCCGTTTGAAGAACACAAGCATGAGCTTCGATACCACATATTATAGCTGTATCAAAGTCTATAAAGACACCAAATTTCGAGATTAATCATAATTTGTTAAGTTATTTGCAAATGAACTTAATACCTTTGTTCTTTTGTTTCATATACGAATCAACATCGGGAGTACACATGGAAAACAGAGTTTTTTCAAATGGTTTCTCATCGCCAATATCAAGTTCTTTCACAGTTCGGCCGAGGCCTATTTCAAATCAATAATTATTAATATTCATTAATATTCATCATTCGTACCTTTAGGATATTGTTCGGTGACGATATAAGGAACATCAAGTACCTTACAGGCTTGAAGTAGTTTACTCGAAGTTTCGATAATTTGAGGAAAATATTTAATAGTTGGCCGAAACTTTTCTTGCATATCGCACAATAATAATAACGATGTTTTCCGAGCGAGTCGTGTTATACGTTGAGCCATTTTGAATGTTACTCAATTATTGGATTCCGATGTAGATTACTATTTGTCTACGCAATGCTTGCGTTTCACGATTTTCATGAGTACTTCGCATTGGCTCTGCCGGTAGCCATTGTACTTGACTTGTAACCTCCCTTATCCCATAACTTGCATTTCTGTTCAGAATAACTGCAGAATGTTGAATTTCGAAATCCAATAAAAGATCATGTTATATTTATGTTTATTAATCGTTTGTTCTGTTTTGGACTGTGGGTAAACTATGGACTCTGTAGATCTCGTCATTATCTGAGTATTTTGTTTTTTCTTATTTACGTGCTTACACAAGCCGAATGATAAACAGAAAAAAAACTAAGAGGAAAAAGTAGACATATGAATGATGATTGTGTTTTCGGCGTTGATGTTCTCTCAATCAGTAGTGTTGTGATGTAAGAAAGGAGAAAAACAACGGAAGTAATTGGTTGTATTGTTTTTTTTTTTGATAGAATTTTCTTTTTATTCTCTACGAAAACAAATTGCTAATCGATTTTCTTATCAAGTATGAGTTGGTTTTTTCAATGAACTATCTTTATCTTATCTTTCACAAATAAGTTGAAAGATCTTCTTTCATACGCGTACAATTCCAACGTAAATAATCGTCTACTAGGGCAAATAGCTTTCACATTCCTCGACTAACTGTCATAGATTAGAATCAGATGCATCTTCTTCTTCTTCTGAACATCCATGTTTACGAGAAAAAATATGCCAAAGATATAGACTATCGCAAGATTGAAGTTTTCTCACATCTCAGCGAAGAATGAAGAATATATTTCTTTAAATTATAAAATTATTTGGGTCAACCAGGGAAAAATAAGTCTGCCGTTGTTTTTTTTTCTCACTTCTCCGCAATTCTATTTTAGTTCAAATAAAATTGTGATTTTTTCCTCCTTTCTTTTTTTCTTCTTTCTTTATTCAGGTGCCTTCGATGTCGCAACCAGCATCTAATAAATGAAGAAAAAAGTACTTTTTAATGCCGCTTTCAACATGACGCTTGATATCGCGCGTTAAAAATATCATAAATTCAGTTACTAAATTACCTTCTAGATAATCTTTTTCTCCAGTTTCGTTCAAAACTTAGAAACAATGGTCGGTGTTTCATTGAGCAATGGAAATAAACCCGATGATAAAGAACAATTAGTCGAAACCAATAGTGGCGATGTTCTTGTTACAGTTTTGGTAAGTTCATTGTACTTGGCGCTGTTCGTCGATATCGATTCGGTTTTCGTTGTAGCCATTCAAAGGTGAACAAGATGACATTCCAATGCCACCGGTTGAGGAGGTTCGTCGAAAACAGGCATCCGTTCTGTTCGGATGTCTTTCGGCCTTGTTCATGTTGGGATGTCTAGTTATTGGAACATGGCTTCTGTTCGATTTCGTCAATCGTACAGATCGTGTATGATAACTAATCCTTTGGAGAGGTTCGTTTTTGTTTGAACGCAAATGTTTTAGACATGGCGCCGTACATGTCGTTTTCGGGTCAAACCAATGGACAGCGAACCGGATAATCGAGTTTTCATTGACCATGGCGGTTTGAATGCGTTCGACGATGGCAAGAACCAACTTTTACCTATGTTAACATCACCAGCCATGCAGCAAGAGTTCAAACAGGACGTAAGTTCGCTCGATTTATTAATACTATTTATTCTATTCTCTGACAAGTCATGAAAAGAAACGTGTCATCGGTCTTGATTTACAACAAAAGGTTTCTAAGGTTTTTTTTCTATGCAACAATGGTTTTCGAAGTCGATAATAAGCTTAGCTTGTTTAAACTCCAGTATTATGCATATCTTCCTAGCATTGTAAGGATGCTTTACTACGACAATGTCGTCATTTTTGTCAGAAAGTTAATTCAATCGGTTAATTGAAAAGAAAAACATCATATTTTGAATGACATTCTAGGTAAATGTAGATTTAAAGAAGAACATTGAAACAATTGAAGTACCACAAATTGGTTTCACAAGCACCGTTCGTATTATTGAAGATTTCGATCATGTAAATATATTTTTTCTTTACTTATCCTTTTCGTATATCATTGAATTCTAATTAGAACATCACTGCTATTCGGGATTTCGGCGTAAATAAATGTTTTATTATGCCACTTGATCGCCAACATGTACCAAATCCATCGAATCTTATCGAAACACTTTTAGCCATAATGGTATGAATGTTGAACGAAATTGATATGAAGGAAATCCGATCTTTGTACTTTTAGTCAGGATCATTCTTACCTGACAACGAAGTTCTACGTAAAACAATGAAAGTTCAAACACCAGCATTGACTGCAAGTGACATCGCAGCCTATGGTCCAGTTGTGGGTAGCACGTGCACAGAAGATATCAAAACATACCGTCTTGTTCCTAAGACAGCTGAAGAAATGAAAAGTAAATTTCTCTCAACAGTCTAATTCTTTTACATTTGTCGTTTTCTTTAATTAGATCGTCGTCGCCGTTCACCAAACGCTTTAGCGTTCATGTATTCAGTTGGCAAACGCGCAATTATGTTTGATATCGATCACTAGATGATATAGAAATCAAAAGATGAACAAAACGATTAACGATTCACATAAATTCCTTTTCCTTTTCTTTGTCAATTAATCAAAAATCGTTTATTCCATTTGCGTCTAGCTTGACTCGTCTATTTATTTTTTTTTCTTTTCGACTTTCTTACTCGATGCTCATTGTCAAAAAATCTCTTCGACTTATGTACACTTGCAATTACTTTTATCGTTCTCGCTCTCTCACTCGCTTGCTTGCCCTCTTACATATACACATATGCATGAATATTGTTTCGTGACTTCAAAATAAATTCCTTTTTTTGGCGAGTAAAACATCGCCATATAAGATACTTGAAGTCGTCTATGTTTGTAGATAGACACGTCTAACACAATCGTGTCAATGACGTACTCTCGTACGATGAAGATACATTCAATAGAACAAAAATTTTTCTGTTTTTTTTTTCGATGTGTCTATGATTATTTGATAGAATGATTAGTTATTTGCCATTTGTGATAAATGTGTGTAGCTAAAAAGCAAGTAGTAGACATTGTATGTACATGTGTGTATGTGTTCAGGATAAAGAAGAAAAAAATGGGATTGCACAACTTACTCGTTGAACGAACGAGTGAGTGACAGAAGAATGCAAGAGAGAGAAAGAAAGAAAGAAAAGAACGGACAACCGGTGGGGTGGCAAGTCTGCGTCGAAGGGCTTATACATGCAGAAGCGATGACTAGTCTGATCGAGTCACTGACCAATTTTTCTTTCTCTCCCCGCCTCTATCTCCGTTTGTGAATTGCAGGAATTCTTTTTTGAGTTCTAACAATATATGTGACCTGAGTTCATTTCTTATCTCAAGCATTCTTTCCTCTATCGTAAGTATTGATCGACCACGATTATAGTAGTAGTAGTTGCGGTGATCGTGTGAAATCTTCTATCATTTTTATGATTATAGTTCTTCATATGAAGTGTAAGTCAGCTGACGATGGTATATGTCATAGCATGTTTAATGATTGATGTATTCAAAAGAGCGAATGAGAAAAGAAGAAAGGGCGACCTTGCCGTTTTTACGTGCTCTATTATTGGAAAGTGGATAATAGACGAGGTTGTATAAGTGAAGAGAAAAAAAGGGGGGCTAACAAGGACGAAGACATCAACACAATAAGATAGAAGTCCGCCGTATATTATAGATTGATATGGCTGCTACCGAACTAATAGGTCGCTCGTTTTCCGATGCTCTCTATGAACGATATTGTGATTTCGATTCAACATTTGACGATCTCAAAAATGGATGTGACATTGTCTTCTTCGTTGGATCATCGCCGAAGAAAACAGGTAAAGTCATTGCTATGCAAAGAAAAGATGCACGTCGTCTACTGCTGGTCTTTTCCTATTTCTCAGAATCAGGCCTCGTCCTCAATGCATCCACTGTTGTTCTAACTGATGAGCGCATTTCACATGTGGGTGATCGTCATGCTGTGGAAACATCGTGTTTACATGTCGAACTTGTCGATATTTCATCAAATGCATTCTCGGATTGGCACGAAGTCTGTTTATTTATCCATCTGATTATGACCAAATCGATTGATTATTCTTTTATTTATTTAGATATCACTTCTTCTTTCCTCGCTACCTCATGTTAAAACAATCAATCTAAGCTTTAATCCATTTCCATCTCATCTGCATATTTTACCTGATGAAATTCAATGGCCTAATCTCAATACCCTATGTCTCAATGGAAGTCGTATCAGTCTCGAAATGATCGTAGAATTATTGAAGAAAACGCCGAAGTTAGTACTTAGAACAGATCTTTCTTGATAATAGTCATCGTTAATGAAAAATATCCATGAACTAAATTGAAATCAGATCTTTCTCTCTCTCTCTCTCTTTTGTAGAACAAAATATGAAACTAACAAAGCTTATTAAACACGCAATAGACATATTTATCTAATCTTCTTACAATAGACACACATCTATATTTGTCTCCTTTCATCTATTTAGTTTGGAAGAATTACAAATCTGTTCAAATAATTATACGAAAATATCGTCAAGTTACAATTTCGTTCATACTCGTCTCAAACGTGTTTATATTTCGAATAATAATCTAACCGATTGGAAATCTCTCTGTCGTCTTGGTTGTTTATTTCCATCGCTTGGAACGTTGATCGCTAGTGATAATCCTCTGCAAAGTTTTCGTTCAGATGATGATCTACAAATCTGTCTACCGAATTTACACACACTCAGTGTTGATCAAGTTCAAATCACCGAATGGAATGATATCATTGCCTTGACAAAACTTCCGTCTTTACACGCCTTACGCATCTATTCAGCGCCATTACTCAAGGTACTGTGTACTTCTTTTTTTTTACGTAGAGTCTAAGAACGAAATTGTTTCAGTCGTATCAAAAAGATGAACGATTCTTTCTTTTACTTGGCTATTTGAAAAATTTGATAAAACTAAATGGAAGTGATATCACAGCAATAGAAAGAGAAACAAATGAACGACGATTCATTCGTTATTTTTCTCAGCAAGATGATAAACCACCAAGGTAAATCGACTCTTCAATTCTCTCTAAACTGAACATTTTCCAATAGGTATTTCGATTTAATCGAAAAACATGGAAATCTCAAACCATTAGCTGATATTTCCATTCGTGCGCCTTATCTAATTCAAGTACATCTTGTATATAATCAAGTAACTTATGACAAAGAAATTGATGTTCGACAAACAGTACAACAATTCAAGAAATATCTTCAAAACATTTTTCATATCCCATCGAATCGTCTACGCGTGTTTTATGTAGATGATGTTGCTTTCAACATGGGCTTTTGTGGGCCTGAAGAACTCAAGTATCCTCAACGATTATTGCACACGTATGTCGACGATTGTTTCGGTGACTTGCGTTGAGTGTAGGATTTCTTGCGTAAGAACAAAATCACTTCGATAAAAACTCGTCTAGAATGTATATATTTTCTAACGACCTTGATTTGATTCTATCGTTGTAATTCGATACGGTTAAGATCTTATCGATAAAAACTGATCCGTTTACTGAATTGAAATGTTACTTCGAGTACCTGCTGACCTTGATCAAAACGAGTTTATATGTTTTGATCATTTAGATATAATATTCATGATGGCGATCAATTTCATATTGATGTGAAACCTGATTATCGGAAACCTCAGCCATCGAATCAATCAGGTAAGAAAAATACGAACGACAGTTTTCTGATTGTTTGTTTTTTCGTCGTTTAGCACATACAGCTCGGCGTATACGAAAGAAATCTACTGATAATTCTCCGAATTCATCCTTCTCTTCGACATCATCTGAAGACGATAAAATCTCTTTACCATTTTCATTTGATTCGTTGCAAAAATTATCAAATCAAAAAGATATCGATCTTCATCATCAAACGTTTGTTCAGCTCGATCAACTCTATCCGTCCATAGAGAAAGTATCGGAAATAAATGATGACGATGATGATCTACTCTCAGCTGCAGCGATGGCTTGTAATCAAATGAAGAAAAACTAATTGAAAAGCTAGCAATGTCTAGCTATGCGCGGTGATCGAAATGACAACAGTATTTCGAAAGCTTCTTACCGTTGTTGTTTTCTTTTTGTGCACTTCGATTATATAACAAATGTTTGTGCTCATATACTGTAAATAATGTTTGATTTTTTTTTACCGAACTACCTCTATGACTATTTGAGCACATCTAACTGTGTACCGAGAATCTGTGTGTCAGTTTATTTATTAAAATAGTATCATCAAAGACGTGTACTTTTCGGATGTTACGCATGAGAACATATCAGGTCATTATTTTATAGCTTGTTTTTACAAAACGACTAATTTGTCAATAATTAATTTTTATGACTAGGCCAGACATTGTCCTTTTTTCCATCAGAGATAATAAAAAACATGAATTGATTACACTGTACATAACAAGCTGATTTACGATAGTCCGAACGAGATAAAACAAGAACGTCATCGATGGATTTGCGCACAAAGATATTAATCGTTTTTATTGGATAGGACCAGACTCCTAGCTGGTAGGAGAGATAGATAAATTACGCAGTTGATTTTGTTCGAGCTAATTTTGTCTTCGAAAACAGCATTCTTCGAATAAGATAAGGTTTACTACAAAGACAACAAAGAACGAAAGAGCAACAGGGTTAGAGCTAGTCATAATCGAGAAAAACAATTGTATGATGACTGAGAAGGCATATTCATCGGCAAAAGAGAATGATTTATTGACAATGACTGTTTCTTTTCTTCAATTGCTAATACCTAGGTCAACATAGCACATTACTTCAATAGTTTCAATTGTTATGTACGAGACTACTGCTTGTTCTCTTTTTCACATTTCTCCATCATCGTCATTTTTTTCATAGCAAAATAGACTGGAGAGATTGTTAGTCAGCCAGTCAATGATTTGCACTGTCATCATAGAAGTAATAGAACGAGAAAAAGAAATATATCTTATCGATATGTGTTCTTCCGATGATTACCTAGTCAAACGTACAATATCCGACTAGATGTATGCGTTTATTAATCGATTTTTCCTTGAAATATTTTAATAAATGAGCTCAGCATGAATTCCCCAGTGGTGTTTCGGTACGGAATAGAAACAGCTGAACGTTAAGTTCATCTATAGATTCTCGGTTGTTTTTTATGCTATACGAAGGGCAAAAACAAGAGATTACGACCTTCTGTTCTCCATTTTTTTTCCTTGCGTTCTTTCCTGTTTGTCGAGAGAAAAGAAAAATGCTTTTCTCCCAAATTCCGGAACAAAACAGCGAGAAAGAGAAAGAAAGAAAGAGAAAAAGAGAGAGAAATATAAGAATATATAATCGGAGAATGACGAAGCATATTCTTTCGTCTATCTTTTTTTTCTTCTCTCGTTTACAAAGCAGAATCAACATATTTATTGCCTCGCTCTTGTAGAAAACAGACATTCTCTAGAAACTATAACACAAGAGTAACAACCAGAGAAAGAAGAATTTCACTATCCAATGACCACACACACTACTGATCAATACTGTCCAGATCTTTGTGAACGTAAAGAAGTGGTTGTCATCGGTAAGTCAAATGCTATTCTAATCATTGACATTCACGCTGCTAATCTAATTATTCTAGGCAACGGACCATCCGCTATTGTTCTTTCTTACATTCTGTCTGGTCATATTCCATATTGGAATGGATGTCCAGTGTCGAATGATTATTTAAATGTGAAATTGGAGCAATATGTAAAAGATACTTCACTGCTGGAACAGGTTAGTTTGATACGAAGGTCGCCTTGAAACTGAAAGCATGCGTACCAAAACTTCGCGCGATATCATCTGTTTCTTAATTCTCATGAGAAATTGTTTTTGACAATAAAAATCTGATCAAAGTGCGTTCTGTATTCGATCGTAGCAGCTTTTATTTGCTTATACTTCGCACAGTTAAAAATAGCTATTGTTATTCTGGTATTATTTATAGGATTTGGAATTTTTATCCGATGGACTTGAAGGGCGTTCGAGAAATCCTGTGTCGTTATTAATTGATAATTTAATCCATCCAGATGCCGATCTTGGTGCACATTTACAATCAAAAATCAAATGGCGTCACGATCCATCGTTAGGCATTGATCATGTTTGTCTTGGACGTGGCGGAATTGGTGGTGTTTGGAATCAATTAACATCAAAACAATTACAAACGATTAGTATGGCCGACTGGATGGAATTACCAAATTATCCAATATCAACATTTCGACAACAACGTCGTGCATGCCGATGTCGACTAATGCCGAACCATAATCAATCAACCGAATCAAAGGATGATGTATCAAAACGTGCGACTTATGATGAAGTTCGATCCTATTACATACATTATGTCAAACGAAATCGTTTAGCCAATAACTTTCGAAATGGTTCGGAAGTCACATCCATCAAACGTGTATCAGTCGATGAACCGTTTTACGATGATGTGAACGATGAAATTCACGCACCTGAACCTTTATGGGAAGTACGTGGTTATAATGAGCAAAGCAAAGAGCCTTTTATAATCCATGCGAAATATGTTGTCTTAGCAACTGGTATGCCGCAGACTATGACAAGACCGTTAGGAATTATCGGTGAACAAGCGAGTAAATCATTTACCTACACGACTTTACATGAAATGGAAGACTTGATACTAACAAAAAAGAGATTAACACAGAATAGTAAACCTGTGCTAGTTGTTGGATGTGGTTTAACAGCTGTTGATGTGCTACTTCTATGTCAAGAATATTCCATACCTGTTTTACATGTTTTTCGTCGAGCGATTGATGACCATGAACTTGTACTAAATCAATTACCTGCCAATGTGTATCCTGAATATGAACGTGTCCGAGAATTAATTAGACAATCGGCAACTTCAACAACATCTAAAGTATGTTAGAAACAGAAAGAGAGAAACTCGTCTATTCTACGTATCTATTTAGACATCATCATGGTCGTATCAATGTTGTCCACAAAGTGAAATTGTTTCTATAACCGAAGATGGTACAACTTATATTCGTAATCTTCGTACACAAGTAACAACGGATTATGATATATCTGTTGTGGCTCGCTTAACTGGTTCTGATGTGACTCTTCCTTTCCTTTCATCGTTGACCGTGAAAAAAAATAATGGTCTTCATATCAATCCTTATACATACGAATGTCTCGATTTTGAAAATGTTTATGCATTAGGCCCGTTAGCTGGAGATAAACTTGTTCGTTTTTTGCAAGGTGGTGCTCTTGCATGTGCTGCAAGTTTGTTTAAAAAACATCGACAAGCATCATCGAATAACAATAATAAGAAGAAAACTAAGAATAGTACCATTCTATCATATCCCGTTACTCCTCGAGTTAGGATTGTTGCATAGATTTTTTTCTTTTTTTTTGGTGTTGTTACTACTGTCTTATACTTAATGACTGAAGATAAAATAATAATTCTTTTTTAGAAAAAAAAATGAATCAAATATTTGTTCTTTATAATAATAAAAAACAATTGTGTATAGTTATGTAGACAAAAAAAACAACATTTGTCGTTCCTTCATTGATCGTACGTAGAAATACAAGGGATGCGGTTTAAATTAACATGAGTACTGTCATGGTTGAGTGCTTATTTGATTACTGTGAGTGCGCCGTCGATGAAGTTAAGTGCATTCCTGACTGGTCGCCTATGTTGTCGTCGATTTGAAAGATGATGACCACGATTAGAATATGAAATGAAAGTTTCTCGTATCCTTGAATATTATCTCGAAAAATCTTTCTATTTTTTTAAATAAATACTCGTCCTTGTTTAAAGGACAGTGATTGATTAAATCTTTGTTGACATTGAAAATGAAAATATGTGCATGTGAAATCAAATATTATGATTCGTATTTGATAGAAGAATCGAGGGTTTTCTAATTAAACAAAACAGTTGAATATGTTTATCAAGACAAGAGAATGATTGATAGTCGAAAAACAGAAAAAGAACTTTTACAAGTTCTTACTCGGATTACTCCGTGCATAAAACCAGCTAAATTTAGATTGAAATGCTATTATCGTGGAATATTCGTCCAGTAAAGGGCACATATCTTTGAATAAATGTCTGCCAATGGTATTTACATTTTCGTGCCTATTTATTTCGAGTCAATTCGTTTCAGTTTTGTATACTTAGTAGACTCGCTCACTGAATAGATGTAATAGCAAGCTAATGTTTATAATTGTGTCCATGTTGTTGTCATTTGAAAGCAGTTGTATGTTTTTTGTCTTCGTAAAGAAAATTTTATCATTGATGTGATCGTATATAATTATAATGGATGATTATAGACACTTGTCGAGTGAGATGAGAATCCTTAGGGTATTGAAAGAATCACATATATCATAGGAGTGTGAAGAAATGAATAATATTTAAATGATAAAGAACGTAAAAAGACTCGATACGAATGCACTGCACTGTATGAGAAATTTTGACTTGTTCATCGAGTACGTTTTTTGTTTAGAAAACTGTAGTGATCACAAACGATTTTACGTTTATAGACGTGATAAATTATGAACGATATGAACGACAAAAGTACACATCTCTCAGTGATATCATCAAGCGATGATATTGTTGATATTTCCATAGAAAATCAAACAATAGAAGATGAAAATCAAGTTATCCCGAAAACTGGCTACTCGTCACATTATACCTCGATATGCTATCCTTTTGCTGGAATGATTCGTGACGTTAAAATACGTTTACCTTACTATACGTCCGATTGGAAACTAGCGTTATCGTATCGAATATTCGCGGCAACGATTCGTATTTTCTTTCTCAACACAATTCCAGCTCTCGCTTATGCTCTTGATCTATATCTACGTAGTGATCAGTACTATGGTGTTAATGAAGCATTATTAGCATCCGCTCTGGGAGGTCTGTTTGGTATAGATTGTAGTTACATCATTAGTACAACATCTTCTATTTTAGGTATAGTTTTTGGTCTCTTAGCTGTGCAACCGATATCAATCGTTGGATTTACTGGTTTGATCAGCTTGTTTAACTATACAACTTATGATATAATCAGTCGAAATACTCATGTACCTTATTTGCCATTCATGTGTTGGGTTGCTATATGGGCAGCTATTTTCCATTGGTTGATAGCAATCTTCAATTTGGTCACCTACGTCCGTTATATGACGAATTTTACAGCTGAAATATTTGGATTCTATGTCGGCATTGTTTATATACAAAAAGGAATTGAATTTATCATCGATGATTTCGATGAATCACCAACAAAAGGATTTATGTCAATACTAGTTGCTTTCGGTTTCTTCTTCTCCTATTGGATATTAACACATATCGGTCAATCAGGTTATTTTAATCGTGAAGTTCGTGATTTTTTCGTTGATTATGCAATGATACTGTGCGTGGTGTTTTGGTCGGGTTTTGCATTTATTCCTGGTCATTTACGTTCGACAAATATTGAACGATTAGCAGTTACACCTGCATATCAACCAACAAAGACCACCCGTTCATGGTTCGTTAATCCAGGAGAAATAGATGTTGGTTATGTTTTCATCGCTATACCATTTGCTTTGCTTGTTACTGCTCTATTTTATTTCGATCATAATGTTTCGAGTTTAACAGCACAGGCGAAACATTACCCGCTAAGAAAACCAGCTGGATTTCATTGGGATTTCTTCCTCTTGGGATGGACAACAATTATCGCTGGTTTCTTCGGTTTACCATACCCCAATGCGTTGGTGCCACAATGTGCTATGCATACGGATGCACTTGGTCGCTGGAAAGTGGATGGGCCCGTTGAAAATCAAGTGCCGACAGCGATTGTCAATATTCATAAATCTCGTCGAACTGTACAACAGTATGTCTTAGTCAAAATTAAAGAACAACGTATAACAAACACATGTCAAAGTCTGCTTTGTCTTCTCACGATGATTGGGCCGTTTCTAACTTGTTACTCAATGATATCTCGTGCTGTTCTAGCTGGCGTTTTTATCGGCATCGGTTGGGGTTCAGTTGAGGTCAGCGCCATTACACATCAGATATTACATCTTATTCGAGATCCAAACCATATTGAAATAGACGATCCATTAATTCAACTTTCTCGTAAAAAGATTTTTCTCTATACTACAACCATGTTGGTCGGTTTCGCTTTGCTGTTTATCATTTCACAAACTATTGCAGCAATTGGATTTCCTGTATTAGTTCTACTATTAATTCCATTTCGAGTCATGATCTTACCGAAATGGTTTACACAACAAGAATTGGGCGTTCTTGATTCACCTGTAGCAAGTACATTGCCGTTGGATTCAATCGGTGGTTTACCTGACATACTCAAACCAGTTAACTCATAAATCGATGATAATAGAATGTGTGCTGTGCATCACTGATAATTTTTCCAGTAAAATATTGATTCAAGCATCGATAATCTCATCACATATCGATTTTCACTGTGGGCGACCGACGATCACTCACTGTGTAACAAGGAATCTGATAATAGCAGCTGTTTATTCATATTCTAATTCCCAAGGAGAGTTAATCTTTATCCTATCTGATGTATTCACAAAATATACTTGAAAAGAAAACGACAAAGATCAAAGTATTCAATAATCTCGTTCGGATGGCGGTCGATAGGGTAATTTTAGATATTGAAAAATGGATTCTTCAGTTGGTGTTGGCACGAGTCGACCTCCGTTCACTTTGTTTTTCCCCTAGAAGAAAACAGATCATTAATGTATCAATGTCGAACTTTGAAGTTATACCATTCGAATAACTCCAACATGTAGACGATGTTGAGAGAGATACATCTGATTCTCATCAGCTAATTGACGCATCGAACGATTGAACAACATCGAACCAGTGAAATAAAGAAGAGCACAAGCATGTTCAGCGTATGGTACAACGATAATATCGATTCGACGTGGCTAAAAATTCTCTCTCGCTATTTTCTTAACTTTTCATTCCAGACAAGTCTTACTAAATGATTATCTCCAGGCAATCGACATACACCAAAATATCGAAAATGCGCTCTAAATAAAAATATTCATTTTGCAATTAATTTCCAAAGATAACATTCGACATACCCAGGTTCATCTTCATGTTTATCTGTATAGACAAGATCATCAATAAGAAAATCTATTCAGCAAAATTTTCTTTAGAGATTATTTCTTTTTCAATGCTTCATTGCTTACTACTAGCTTTTAATTTATCAACTAATGGATAAAGTAGATGTTCGTGTGAGACACCATCTCGATGGGTTATCAATATATCACAATCACCACACGTTGCTTTGCCACGGCGATAGGATCCGCAAGTGATGATGAGAAGACCAGGACGAATAGTTTCGGCAGCTTCTCTAACCTAAAAGTCGATTCGAACGAAAAGTTCATTTATTGTGTTTTATTTTGTTCCTTTCAATACATACGACATGCTCGATTTGTGTTACTTCATCCCGGGGAATTCGTTCGAGAAATTCCGAATAATATTTCAATCCAATCATTTGATTGTGAGTCAATTTCGCTTTTGTTCGAAGATCATCCAATGTTCGATAACCCTTGACAAATAATGAATTCTAAATATACGTGAAAAGTCAAACAAACTTACTACATCCACCCATCGCTTCGCTTGAGCTGGCCCAATCCCCCAGATTTGACCAAAGAGATCCATGACAGCAATGTCAGCATCAGTTTGATATTCTTCCAATTTTGTCATACTACCAGTCTCCATGATTTCCACAATCTTTTCAGCTAAACGTGAGCCAATTCCTGGTAATCGTCGAATCTCCTATGAAGAGAAAAGCGTTCTTTGTTCGTGAAACTATCACTTATGTGAAAGGTAAATGTGTACCTCATAGGTTGTCACTGGTCTATGACATTTTTTCAATGTACTTATCGCTTTTTGATAACCAAATGCACGCCATTTATCATTTGAATTTCGATATAAATTTGCCATTTCCTATGACGAACAGGATGAGGGTGAAAACTTCGATGTTAACTCTTACTTGAAGTTTATCAATGACAGCTTGATTTGGATTAACATCTGATTCAACAGGCAGTGCAGATGATTCGCAACACATCCAATTATTCTTCTAAATATTCAGATAAACAAATACTCATACGAAACGATGAAGATTTGTTGAATCTTACCGTAAATGTGATGTCTTTTGAAGCTAATTTCTAAACAAAAACAACAAACAATAGTGTAAATGCGTGCATAAATAGTACTTACAACTAAATCTTCATCGGCTTTGTTCGCGTCTTTACCCTCATCATAATCACTGTCTGAATCGGATCGTATTCTTGGAATAATAGACTGTTCATTAGTATGTCTTGTTCGAGGTAACTTTTCATCGTTTAAATGATGATCTAATTGCGGTGCGATTGAACTCTCAGCTCGTAGAGATCGAGTGTACGGTTCACGTGGTAAGAGATATTGAGCACGTAGGGATTCACTAAGCCATCGTGTACTAACTATTGGAGGAACATGTAAATTGGACGAGTCAAGATGGAGAATTTTTTCAAGAATAATCTGTGTATCAAGAGTATCTTCGGCAATCACATAATCAATATTATCAATATGGAAAGATTCTGTACATTGAAGCGAAAATTTGGAACATGCATCACGAAAGATCGCTAAACGTCCTTTGCCAATTGCATTTGGCAAGAGATATACTCGACATTCGGCATCGATCATTTCTAAATACATTGATATATACTAAAGAGGTCCAAATCATTCCTACGAGAAGAACCAATGGTTTTATGTGTACACAGGTATTACTTACACATGCTCGAGTAAATAGTTAAGAGATGAAATTATCTGAAAGAGATCAAAATCGAAAAGTTAGTGAACCGTCATTTAGATAAAATGTACTTTGAGTCAATCTTTCAACACTTCATTATTCAGAATCTGCTATTTGGTTTTATTAGTTTATTTTCGTCCTAAATAACAAGACGTCATTCAAGGTCTTGGTCTGTCAGATAAGAAAAAGCAGAATATTTGGTAGAAGAATTGCTAGTGAATCATTTATCGAGTGCAAAAGTTAATGTACTCTACGAACATAAAAATTGTATTCAGAAATGGGTGTAACCCAGTAATTGCGTACCAAATGTAGGAAAGTTTTCATTTACAGTTCTGAATGAATCAAATGTTTGTGGGCAGTTATTTGATTGGATGTTACAAGTAAAGATGGAAGGACAAGGAATATCTCTCTTCACTCTTGATTTGAACACGAACAACGAACGAAATGTTCACATAGAAGTCACTGTATATGAACAATGCACCAATCAATGAGATATGTCGTGTTCATAAACAAACTTCTCCTTTGCTGAACGAATGAATGAGAAGATTTGCTTTTGACAAAATATTTATTTTATTTTTTAGACATTCCTGTTTCTGAGTTCCAAGCATATTCATTAAAGATAGCAGTTTTACTGACATCTTCTTTATGCACTTGAATATCTAATTGGAAGTAGAAGAAAACAGATATGCCAAGCTTAATCTTAATCTGTATTGCGCAAAATAAGTTATCTCATATCACAGTAATTTGATTGGTGACTAAAGAAAAGTAGAAATGTACTTTGTGTACAAATCTACAATAAAGAGACAGAAAGAGAGAGAGAGAAAAGTAAGTTATAGATCTATTTCGAGAGATGAGACTACTCTCCACACACACGTATATATACGGCAGTAACATACCGATACATACCGAAACACGTTACACATAATCCAACACATTACTATTGTGAATGCACAATGCGTTTCTCTGTTCTATTTACAATTATTACTTTAACAATCTGTCTTTGTCTCTGGCTGATGCCAAGTAGCACCGAGGCATATATAATTCCACGACAAGGTTTTGGACGGTGCCCACCATGCCACAACTACTGTCCTTGCGGATATATTTTTGAAGACAGACCATGTCCAAGTTGTCATTGTCGACCATCCAATCTTTGCACTGGACGAAATAAAAATGGCATTGCACGATGGCCATTTATAAAATCGCATATCGTCTATTGATTCCAGTAGATGCGAACATTTGTACATAATTATCTCGTTTTTTTTCAATCTATTTTTTCCTGCTCGTTTACGCTTTTGTGTTATATGTTTGTTAAATAAAATTTAGAATAAAAATTTATCATAATTATGAATTGCAATGACTTTCCTTTTCTAAAACACGATTGTACAAACCCATTCAGCATAGTACACACCCACATTAGATTGCATCAGTAATTAAATCTATAGCGGAGATAAATGGCAAGTGCTTTGGAACACAACTGACATTTCCCGAACTTTTGACATGTATAAACATGTACCAGACAATCGTTTTATGCCTTTCAGTGAAAATGACAACTACTATCAAGGACATTTCACTACTTCGGGGAAGAATAATAAACTAAGTGTGGCATGTATCAGTCTTCAAGGATCTTAATGAGCCAGACAAAATTGTCCTTGATTGTTACGCTGAAGATCTTCTTCTGTTTATGTATCCGTTAAAGTAGACAACAATAAAAATGTTCTCAATGAGTACCCTCTGTTCGGCCTTGAGTAGTAAAATACATTTGAAAACCAATTAACGTTATCGTATTCGATATATTGATAGTATTATTTCTTTGTTGCCGCAATCTATTCAGCCCTTATCTTATGATGCTGATCTCATATTTCATCATTCCTCAAAAGTAACTAGAGTACAAGCCGGTATTCTATTTTTAATATACCATCGAAAAGAACACTCTATTTATTCATACACCCGAGTACTTACCGATGAGAATATCAGATTAGTTAGAAGGTGTTTTATGTATACAGAATTCTCTGTAGAGTCATATCGCGATTATTTTTTAATTATAAAAAGAAATTACTTCATTACAAAAGCAATAAGGAAAAACTTCAGTAAAAATGCTTATTTTTTTCCTGGAAAAAATTTACGTAATTTATCACGAAGTTGTTTATCATCAATATTACTAGCAGTTGGATTTCTTGGTTTCGGACGGGTAGTAGCATTCGTAGCGATGTCTGCTGTGCTAGGCCTCTCAGTATATAAAGTACTACGCTCACGTTCGCGTTCATCCATCGGTCTGGCACGACTGAAGACATATTGAGCAGCGAGCTGATTTGCTTCGTCGATTGATCGTATGGACATGTTTGATACTAATTGAACAGGAAGTGGCGAAATTGTTCGATGACCAAGATGTACGAAAGCAGCAGGAGCTAAGTCATACGCTGAAAACGGTTTGTGCAAGTCAGATAGTACAACACGAGGTGGTGTTGTATAGAAATAAAAACCTTCTTGGCCAATTTGTGGACAGATAAGATGGGTTTGAGCGAAATCGATTAGACGAGAAAGCGGCTCTTCGGGACGAAATAATCCTTGAAGAATGCAGCGTGGATTAACTACAAGTCGGATAGCAATCTGATCATAGACCATGTACTTGTCTGATTGTGTTCGTTCACGCATAGCACGAGTTTCTAATGGTGCGTCTTCGGTACTAAGCAAAATAAGAAATTGAATTGGAAAGTAAGAAAGAGAATATGTACCTTTGTTGATGTAGACTACTTAGCATTGATCGTAGATCCTCAGCTGTTACATCGTAGAAACTTTCAGGTAGTGCTTCACCAGTTCTTGGATCTTTCTTATCACGCGTTGATCGCGCTTTTGCGGTATCATATGCTATTGGACGCCGATCACATGGCTATTAGAGTTTAAAATTTATTTTGATAAGTTCATACCGATAGACTTACTCGAACATTCTGGGCGTGTCGATATTCGTCATCGCCTTCATTTTGATTCAAGTTTTTACCTTTTGTCGCCGCAGGAAACTGAGCTGGAATGATGAAATTACTTTCGGATAATTTATTCAAATTACTTTGAAATCCCGAAAGTCGGATTGAGATTTTTCTCGAACTTTATTGGGTTCGGGATCTAATGATATGTCAATGCCGAGTTCTTCAGCTAAGGTTCTCGATTGGCCCTGTTGTGGCTAGCGTAGAAGAGAAAAAAAATAGAAATTATGCTTGAGTTCTGAGACTTACCCGCGTGGTAGTAGAAGATTCTGACGCGCGAGTAGGTGGATCGCGAAAGATGGAATATTCTTCATTGCTTGATGGTGGTAATGGTGGAGCTTTTGCAGATGTCGTTGAGGAAGTCGAAGCGGATGGACGAGCCGACGCAGTTTTGCTTGTTTGTTGTTGTTGTTGCTTGCTTTTCTGTTCTTGTTCATACTGCTGTTGACGTCGGCGAACAATCTTATCGTCAATTCGACGATTGATTTTCTGTAAGTCACTGTCACTGACTGGTCGCAAGTTATATCTGTAAGAAAAGAAACGAGACATTTATAATGAACAGAACGTGTCTTGTATATATTCGTCAGTTACCGAATAACAGCTGTTCCACCAGTCAATCCAAGATCACGCAATGTAGTGTTCGTCAAAGCATACTCTCCGATGACCTATAGACACATTAAGAAAATGAGAATACCCAACAAAAAACGTTATTTAGTCGTTAGCTTTACCTCTTCACTCATGTATGTACAAACTGGACACGAATTGTAAATATCACTCATCGAAATATCGATAGCTGCCACCATACTTCAGGATAAATGAAATTATACATGGAAAATCACTGTTTCGCCAATGCTCACCTTTCTGGTTGTATGCGATACCAATCCAGCATCTCCTGCAGAGTAACAGTAGGTTCAAACCAGCCAGAATATCTGGAATTATCGGGTAATTGTAACTGAACATTGACATCGTCTGTCGATCGACGATCTTCGAGTTTTCTCATTTCTAACGTGGCATTCGCTGGAATGCTTTGTAAACGCCATGGCATTGTCAAATCACACTTATGACGTTGATATCTATAGCACATCCGGTGTTAGATTCTTTTTAGAACAATCAATAGGCCTTACATCAATTCCCATTCAGATGAATCTAAATTTTCTTCGCTACACATATCTTCAAGTACCTGAAATAATCACACAAGACAACTTTCTTTTCTAAATTTTGTAGCAAATCTTCTTACTTGAAGTAAATTGCTATTCGGCGCCATCTGTGCTTTTCGTCGATGTCCACTAGGACATAAGATATTTATCATACTTTTCGCCATGGATATTACAAATCTAAAATAACACATATACTCTGATTCGTTGTTCGATGATCGTTGACAGAAAAAATGAATTCGTGGTGTATTTCGAAACTTTTACTCTTCGATGATTAATTTTGAAGAAATTTTAGAAAGTTCTATGAACATTATGTTTATTAAGATCGAAGGAAGATAAACTTTGTTTTCTTGAATACTAGTCTTTACAATATAGACAGCACATTGAGAACGTAGTGGAAAGAACAATCTACTTTTCTTCCGTTTTCGTTTTTTTGTTCTCTTCGTCGGTCTTTTCCGATTCAGTCGCCGGCCGTTTATGTCGAATACTTAATGTTATGTCCTTCACCGGTGCATCTTTCGTACTATTATCCGTTGTATGATTATTTCCATTCGTACCAGAAACGATACTTCGTGCCTGGGATATCAGATGTTTATCGGCCATGGATGCTTGAGCATCGTTACGTTTAAGTTCAATGGCTGGTAAAAGAGATTTCAGTTCTTCACGTTCACTTTCTTTATCTTCTCCAGTTGCCTGTTCAATAGCTTGACGAAGTGTACTAATTGCCTTATCGAACGCCTCGACAGCTTCGGAAAACTTATTAATTAATTCATAGATTAAACCTAGTTTATAATAACTTTCAGCAAGTAATCGATAGCGTTGTTGCTCGCTAATTGTTTCTTGTAAATCAATTGCTTTGAGAACATTCGAGAGTGCATTTTCGTGATCACCGTTTTCATTACAAATATCGGCGAGCATAACGTGCAAATCACCTAAACGCGTTATAATGTGAGCATCGTTTGGTTCTGTTTCTAACATTTTTGAGTAGATCATATGGGCACATTCAAGTATTTCAAAAGCACGTTCCAGATCATTCACTTGTTCATCATCAGGAATTAAATCATCTGCTTTTTCACCTTCACCATCTCCTTTTCTTTCCACCCCTTCACCAAGTTTTTCTTCACCATCAACATTATCAACATCTTCGTCTTCTTCACTTTCCCCTTCATTTTCATCATTATCTTCATCTAACGGGCAAAACACGAATCGCCATATTCGAATTAAAATCAATTCTCCTTGGTTGCATTCACTCACCTTTCACAATATCACTTCCGAAGACTTGCTGCTCACCGAGACCCAGATAGAGCAGAGCTTGACCGTAGTAAAAATATGGTTCCGCGAGTTCAGGTGTCGTGTCATTTCCACGCAATTGAACGCTAAATAGTTATGAGAGCCTCTATTTTTCTCATTTTAGAACAAGTTAAATCAGATTTCCTTACATTCGCTCACACGCTTTTGATAAATGATCACATGCGGACTGATAATTATTCAAGAGAACGTCACGTTTACCAACCAGAAATGCCGAGTTAGCTTCTTCATCTCTAGATGAGAAGACTTCAATGATTGCAATCGTACTCGATTCATAGAACGAGAGAACTATCCATGAATATTTTTAACTCACTGAATGTCAAAGCGATTCGAAGATGCACATGCCATTCCGATTAACAGAAAGAAAAACAAAATAGGCTAATCTAGAACAAAAACAATATTTATTACATCGAAAAGAATTCCATATTGAATGTTTACAACATCAAAGCAATTGACGGTTTTTTTTCTTTGTTATTCACATTTGTATAAGTACTAAAGGCTGAGATACGCGATACATACAAACAAACAAGCAAACAAACAAACATCGAAATGGACTAATTCATATTGATATGAAATTTCCAAAACATAACATTAGACTAAACAACGGTAAGCTCTTCGTTTGGTACTTTGGCACTTGCCGATGACGATTCATCCGTGTCACCACCATTTTCTGTTGTTAATGGATCAATAATTTTGACTTTCTTATTAGATGTTGTAGTTGAAACAACCGCTTCTTCATCTTCTTCGGCTTGACCATTTTTCTTCTCATCTTCGACTTGGTCGACTTGTTCAATATCGCGTTTATTATTATTATTGTTATTTTCTTTTCCATTGATGTTGTTATCTTCGCTCTCACTAGCTGTCGCTTCCGATTTCTTATCTTCTTCGTCTTCTTCCTTGTTTGTTGTTGATTTTTCGTCCACTTGTGGAACTTGCTCGTCATCATTGACTTTGTCTATATGATGCTCATTAGCTGTGCTTGAACCATCCGATTTCTTGGCATTTTCTACTTCAGCAATAACAGGTATTTGTTCATCAGTTGACATGACTTCTTCTTATTCTGCTGCTGTTTTTCTCTCGTTCTGACAGATCTATCTATAGATATTCTTCGTGTGACAAGGAAGAAAGAGAATGTGCAGGTCCCTATTTATATATGTAAATTTCCATTGTTTTGTCATTGGTTGAATGATTGTACCAATCAATAAACTTTCTATTATTTTTTTTTCTCATACAAATTATTTCTATAGATTCCAGGCGCCTTCTTATGTCTTGTAGAATTAATAATCTTCAGGATAAAATTTTATTAAGTATTAATGTAATGGCATCTCGACATATCATCTTAATTTTGAGTATATGCCATAGAATTCTACCACTGAAGAACATCGCCATCTTTCGTCTCGCTAATAATTATCTTCCGATAGAAATATGCACTACAGTAAGATATGATGTTTCATGGCTAGATAATGTTCTGTCACATCACCTTGTCTAATTGGTTGTTCATGCGTTACATATAACATATATGTGAAGTATGTTGTGTCGCTTTCTCTGTTCATTCAATCAGTCTATCGGTCAGTTCAAACCAAACAAAATATTCAATTATATTTCGAGTAAGTTAGAAATGATTTCACCGAGCTGTTGTTTGAGAATCGTCTAGAATTTACAAGACATGGAAAACGGTAACGTTGCTGTCGAACATCAAGAACAACTTTGTGAAGAAGCAAAAAATACCATTGATCAAGAAACGGATGATATCTTGAAGAAGACGAAAGCCGCAAATAATGAAGCGGAAGAAGAAGATGATGATGACGACGACGAAGTAGTACCGTCGACAACGCCGAAACCAGCCGGAGAACAAGATGACAGCACTGAAATTGAAGTTAATGTATCTCAAAGTGTCTCGCCGGGTCAAGTTGATGTGCCTGGCAAAGAAGTGAATGGGAGTGAAAAACAAGAAGATAATGAAACTGTTGTTAGCAGTTCCGAGAGTGTCACTAACAAAAAACGTGAATTAGAAGATGAAGATGAAGACGATCAAGCTTCAAGTTCGAATGAACAAACCAAGAAAATGAAAATACATGAACTCAATGATACTCCTCCCGTCGAAACCAAAGAGCTAAGTGCGACTGTCGACGTTTGACCAGACATACATCACATTCCATTGCGTTTCTTTCCACCATTTTATGATATTTGTAATCGTTTCGTTCGCTTTTGTCTCTTGTAAACCTATCAACTCATTCTATTACTTAGAAATAACTAGATAACTTTAGTTCGCTGCGAACAGACGATTTCTTCTCTTTTGCTTCCGATGCTCATTATGAGAAGCATTTCTGCTTTATTGTGTTTTGGCCAGTCAATTAGCATCATGGCAAGATCACAAAGCAAGCTAATTGCAATCAAAAGGAGAAAAATAACAACTGCCTTCTGTATCATCAATAAACATGCACAGACATACGTACACAAAGTTATATAGAATATACAAAATCGAGAGAAGAAAAACGAAAATTAGTGAGGAGAGTGTTTTCTTGATTTCAGTTGCCAGGTATTTATACCAATTGTTCGTCACACAGACAAATACACAAAAAATTTATTTAGTTTTTTTTTGTAGTGTTTTTTCCTGGACAAAAGCCAAAAGTAAATTGAAGAGAAGAGAAACAAAAGTAGACCGAAGTAGAAAAAAAAAGACATAAGTGTTGTTCATTATTTTGTTTCTTTACTGGAGTGACTAGAATTATAAGAAATCCGTTTTTCTCGTTAACTATAAATAGACACGGTATACTTACTGTTTTTCTCGACGTTCACTGCGAGACGAAGATGATGAAGGTATGCGATGTGAAGATGACGAACTCGTATGTCGATCTTCGCGTGTCTCCTAAGCATAAGAAACAAGTTTCATGGCATGATCATGCGGTTTGAGTCTTTCTCCATACTTTTCGTGATGATCGTCCGTTGGAAACGATGTCATTTGTTTTAATTCGTTTTGTTGATGAACTAGATGGGGAGACATCGACTATACCAGATCCACTATAGTTGTCCGTATCTTGGTGAACAGGTGTTGTTGATAGAGCAGATTCAGCAGTTTGATTCAATCGACGACTTGAACTACTACTACCATTCGATGATTGTTTGTCAGGTGTTGACGATCGTGCGCGTTTGCTCGATTCCTAAAGATGATAGAATAAGATAAATAGGAATTTCATCGAAATTACATACGTGTTTATGTTCACGCTGTGCACTGCGCGAACTACCGTTGCGTGATCCATCTGTATGGAATGACGTTGCACTATGATCACCCTAAAATCGACAGGAATTTCATCAGAAAGCAGTTACATATTTATCAAGCAAGTCTTGACTGTCTATTTCCGAAATCTTACCTTGGAAGAAGTTCCACGTGATCGTTTTCCTACTGGTGCTAAAAGAGAAAAAAAATAAAAACGCTAGTAAGTAAAAGTAAATGAGAAAAAATGATCAATTCCACCATTGTCATGAATTGATTCTGCACGTGCATTCTTCGATGACGAACTATTCGCTCCATTCGTCGCCGTTTGTTCCGATCTACAGGAAAAAAATACGGGATAGAACATGAGTTCATAATAGAAAAAAAATATTTATCTTACTTTATAATTAAATCGTCATTGCCACTGGCAGATGAAACATTATTGCGCGAGGATGTTGTCACAGTGCGCGACGAAGTAGTGCGTGAGCTTGGTGAAGCAGACGTTTTAGTTGATGACAACTGTTGTTCATTCGCAGATGATGAAGGATTGCGTCTATAAAATAGAGACGTATAATATCAAGATGATTGTTTTAGTTTTAATTGGTATTTACTTGTCATTCGATGATGACTCTTTTTTACTGGTCGGTGGACTTATGCGTGTTGTTGACGTAGGAGGTGATTCGCGACGATCATTTCCATTACTCGACAATTTGATCATTCGTCCGCCGCCAGTTGATGATTCATTGAGCTCGCTTTTGATTTGTGTTGTCGATGATACTTGAGATTTTGAAATTGGCGTCGAAGGAGGCAGTGATGGACCATGTGCTGTTCGATTGGTTTTCGATGATGTGCTCGATGCTGTATTCGTAGCACTACCGCTGCTGTTAACCACCGAATCCGATTTAATTCGGCTAGTAGATGGTTCTACACGTAGACATACAGAGAATTAGAACCATATTGGATGGAGCACCGATGGCAATATTGCATCATACCAGTACTCGTTACAACTGCTGATCGATTTGTCGTTGAAGTAGCCGGAATTGGTGTTGCTGTTTGTGATGACGGTGTTGGCGATGATGATTTCGGTGCTGTTGTCGATATGTTACTCGATCCAGCTGTATTTCCTGCTCGATCACTTGCTGGTCGCGCTGGAGAAAGACAAATTAAGTTTGTAAATGAGAAACAGTTCGCCGAATGTGTGGATATTTACTCGTTGTACTGCTAGTGTTAGCTAAATCTTTCTTGGTCGAACGAGTTGTTGATGATTGGGATGATTGAGAATCTGATAAAATAGGATGATCATTAACATTAGCTGCATCACCGTCGGACGGTGGAAGGAGAGAATTCATTTTCGTACCAGGATTACTATTATTAATACTACTACTCGTCGACGATGATGCTGATCGTTCTGGAACTGTATGAAACTGACTGGCTTCAATCATATCACCGTGTTTACGCGCTAAACGACCACTGTAAGATTTGGCTAGAGCAAACAAGTCATGACGGCGATCTTTCTCTGCTGCACATATCGTTTTAATGCGTCGTTCCACTGCCGTGTAGAATGCCGCTATTTTTGGATATATAGGCAGGAGAACAGTGAGAACTTGTAGTGCATTGCGTATTTGAACATAATCGTTGGATTCCAGACAAGAAATAAAGCTTTTCGTCAATTTGTAATGCCACTTGTGACATACATGACGATAGTTATCGTAGTCAAGCTGTTCAGGTACTTGCACTGCGCTGCCTGTTTTCGCCGTTGCGCTACCAGCATTACGAAAAACAGTAAGAAAACCTGGATGTTTCGCGCAATCCTAAGCAAAGAATGAACAGTATTGAAGTAGATCGTAGAAATTTTGGTCTAAATAATCGATAATTACCTGCTCGAATACTTGTCGATTGCCATGCCAACTCATTACAGTGTCTAATAATGATTGAAGAAATCTGCCATAGCGAATGGCTTCATTTTCTGAGCATGATGCCAGTGAATAGGAGATATCCGAAAATAGTCGATCGTAACAAATAATTGTGCTGAAATTAGGCGTAGCTAAATCGTGGATCGTACGAATGAAATATGCACAGTAAACTGCATCGATTTCACTCAATAAACATCGAGGAAAAATACACAATTGCAGAAATTCAGTAACAGTTTCGACTTTTGTTTTGCTGCCTAAATGATCAAGGTGATTGAGGAGATGATGGACTTGTGAAGCAAAGATTACGTACTGATCCTAAACCAATTATCACGTTCTTTTTCCAGTCGAGCGCGTACTCGTTCTTTATGTTTCTTTTGGACAGCTAATTCTTCATGGAGTTTATTAATGATGATTTGATTCTTCTCCTTCTCCTTTCGTTTCTTTCCCGTAGTCTACAATAAAGAAAGAGAACGTATAACGGTAAATATCACAATCACATTTCGCTTCAATTTCGAAACAAACCAATTCTCTTTCATCGATCTTTGTCTTTTCCAGTTCAAGGGCTTGGATACATCGTATATATGTTGGTTCAGGAACTTGTAAATCCGATAGAGATAACGACCAAAATGTCAAATAAAACTGTGGTCTGAAAATTCCGAACTAAACAAGTGAGTATGCAATAGTAAACTTTCACATACGTCATTTCATCCCATGTTCGTTGTGCATGAAGAGTTTTGACAAAAGCAAGAACTGGTGACATCACCTCCGTAACTGCATCGATGTAGATTTGTGCCTAAATATAAATGAAATGAAATTTTCCGTACTTAATTTGATCAGGATTAATTACCAAGGCGTTTTCATCTGGTGATTTCGTCGCTACTGCTCGTAGTTCATCGAATTTGGCCTGAAAAAAGAGTTCACGGTACTTCTAAGCGCAAATCAAATCAAGTCTGATTTTACTTGAATGTTAACATTGAACAAAGGTCTTGAAATTTGAAAAGCTGCATCGACTTGTAAATGAAATCCCAGAACAAGGTCATCGATGGATGGAAATTGATGATGAAAGTTTTCGGTTGTTAAAACATTTGACAAAAATGTAAAAAATTGAACCATTGTATCTTGACACTAGAAATCAATGTAAAGAACCCAATAAAACAGTCGCCTTTCATTCTTCAACAACGAACTTGATCATAAAGGCTACCGATCAACTTCAAATGTTCAATTCTTTGTGCACCGAACTTGAACACAATGCAATTACGTTGTTGAGCGATAATAATCGATAATGGCAAATACAAATGATTATCCAAAAGAGCTTCTTTCAAACGTATCGACGATTTCTTAACATTTCTCGCTGCAGTAAACTGTCCCGCTTCACTTCGTAGTAATTCCCCACCGGAAGCTGCTTCCAATTGTTCACGTGTAAGTGTCGACGATACTTCAATTCCGCTCATTTTCGTTATAATCTCGCGTAATAAGTATAAATCACATGTCTTCTCTAGTCGCAATTGATCGTACACGTAATAAAGTATCGATGTGAAGTCAATGGGATATTTTTTAAAAACATTTGCCGAGAGAACACATATGTTTTGAAACCATTGGGCGGGAGCCGCATTTTCACGACTCATTTTACCGTCAATACAAGCTGCTGCCGCTGCTGCTGACACGGGTGTTGTTAGTGCATGTAAAATCGTGTAGCAAACAACATCGAATGCTAAGGGTGAAAGATATTTCAGCGCGTCATTGATTACAGTGATAAAATTATCAAATCGTTGGATTTGATCGATGATCTAAAATTCAGATTTAAAGGTGAAACTAGGTAAAGTAGATTAGGAAAACAACTTACGACGGCGAGAATGATGATGGGATTGTTATGTGTCATTTTTGCAATTTGACGACTGTATGTTTTCACATTGTCTTTCGTAATACGTCTAAGAGAAAGAAAAAAAGGTTTTTTTCATGATCAGGATTCGATTCGAGCATCCTACTTGAGAATAGCTCGACTTTTGTCCGCAACTTCGTGTTTCATATGAATCAGCTGTGGTGTTTTTCGGTAAGTTTCTTCGTGCCATCGTTCGTAAAGTCCATAACGAATATCATACGGAAATAATTTGATCAACAACCATAATTCAATGGCTAAACAGCCATTGACATCTAACAGTGAAAGACTGGGCAAGAGAACTTCGTCAATGAGGAGGAGAACATCTTCTTTGAGTTCATCGGAGCTATCAACAGCTTTCTTGATCACATTTGTGCACAAACGTGTTAATTTCACAAAAAGAAGACGATCTTGACAATAAGCACCGAGGTGTAACAGGAGAGGACAGATCTTTGTTCGAAATTCATTCCATGTTGTGATCGATTGCAAATCTCGTGGACAAATCGCTTGATTCAATGGATGTTTCAACTCATATTGGAGAAAACACGCATGGAGTTCCGAATTACTTCAAAGAAAAAGACGAACATTGCTTTGAAACGAAATTCACATGGCCTTCTTTACTTTTTATAAAATGGATCGATGATATAGGCAATAATTTTTGTTAAAAGCCCATTAATTTCCCGATAAGATGTGCATGACCATCGTGGCAAATTATCAAATAAATACAACGTGTGCTCCAAATCACCGATAGATACCAATGCTTGAATGAAGTGTACCAGTTGATTGTTTGTTTTCTAAAACGCAATCATCAGTGGATTGTTTTGAATAAAAGAAAGCACAGATTTACCAATGTACTGGAATCTTTGGATCTGTTGTTTGCATCGTTCATTAATGATGCTAATCCTCTCTTGGACGTGCGAGCAGTTTCAACTTCTTTAGTGTAACTATCAGCAAAATCGGTCAGGAGTGGATAGAACTAAAATGAGAAGATATGAATGAAGATATGCGAGAGAAAATGTCTTTTGTTGTTTACATGTGGTAACAAATCGTCAAGTTCGATCAAATCATTTGCAACAAGTTGTGCTGCTAATAGATAAAGTGAATCAGGTGTCTCATCGTGTAACTAAACGAAAAGAATAAAGACCTTTTATGTCTATACAATGATTTATCTACTTGATATTGCTGAAACTTGAAGCCAATCAATTGGCACAGTGTAATTTTATCGAAATGAAGTAAATATAACAGACTGACATAGATTTTCGAATGTTCCACATGGCACTCAAATGATTCAATAACTAAGTCAAGCATGCGATTCGGATCGATATCAAAATATCCAATTAAAGCCATTAAACGATCATATAATAGTTCGGCTGTTAATTTTGTTACGGTAAAATTTTGATTTAATTCCGTAATTGCCTTAGCAAAGCCTTCACTTTCTTCACGGAATAAATTGAATTTCTGTTGCTTATAACTAAAAATGAGTAGAAACATAACGCGTGAAATCTTCGTTGTCGTAGTCATTTACTAAAGCCGAGTTTTAATGCGAACGTATTTCTGATTGAATTGTTCGCGGCTAACAATTAAATCCAGATATTCTAACGTTTCGATTTCCAGACGTTCCATTAATAATGTGGTGGAGATAATATGCTAAAGAAAACAGAACATCAACGGGTGTAAAGTGAAACCGATTCGAGAAAAGTCATCGAGGATAGTCAGTTCGACTTGTCCTTTCATACCTCTGAATTGTTGATCAGTTGGAAAAATCTTTGCTTGTACGTTTCTTTTGATGTTGTTTCATCATTCGGAAATAACTCGACGTCTAAATATTTATCAAATAGAAATTTTCCGCAATGATTTCTAGAAGTAAAACGAACCAAGTGTGGCCAGAATATCCGCGAGATGATCACCGATCATCGATGGAGTACTGACAATTTCCTAAAGATAATCATCCCGTCAAAATCGCCCATCAAGAAATGTGAAGAAACTATACTTGAAGTTCAGTGAGGATTCGAATGATCGTTTCGACTGATTGACTGCCTTGTAAACATGATTTGCACAAAGAAACAAGCAATTGTTTCAATGCTAAAAGACAAAATATGTTGTTTTCGATATTACAAAGAGGCAATTCGATTGTTTAATGTTCATTTACCTAATTCAGCTTCAAATGGGTTTTTACTATCATCAAGTAATTGTTTGTACAGTTGAGTACTAAAAAAGATGGAACAAACAAGTAAATAAAAGGATAAAACACAAAAGAAAGGGTTTTCTGTACAATTCAGCTCGTCCATCAGACGCCCAATTGCTGATTGATGTATTGACGGTATTGGAAATATCGATTGATCGATTAGTTCCCAGTTCGACCATGATTCGATCAACCGACTAAGAACACAAAAAGAATGAGTTAATAAGCAAAGAAAATTTTTCCTATTTTCCTGCTTAATACTGCAATTCATTCAGCCATTAGACCATTTCTTACGCCTTTCAACTTCTGATAGATGTCGTTACTAATTGACACAGTTTTCTTTCTTGAAGACAAGTAGGTACGCCACAAAAACGAGAGATTCGATGACAATAAAAGTTCTTAATTTCTATCTACGATTTATTTTTATCTCATGTTCGTATCATCTTGAACTAATTATTTGTGTAATCTTGTGCAGAACGCCTCGTTCGGTGGTGTCATGATTGATTATTAGAAGTCTAAATATATCTCGACAGAGATCTATGCCTTCTCATATAAACTATCAGTCGTTCTATGAGAAGGACGGAAACGCGACGGGATATGTAGAATCAATCCATTATTTTGTTGTTATGTCTCAGCGAATTAACAGACGCGCCATGGTAAGTTATATGCCAATTTTTTTCTCGAGTGATTTAATTATGGAAACAAGCTTATAAACGAGAAGCTTCCGCTCGTCGATCGTACCTCACAGGTGAAAGAATTAAAAAGACAAAGTTTGATTTTTATTGAAAAGAATTTCGCTACTTTGATCATTACAAATAGAAAAGACATGGTAGAAAAACAAGTAGAACTCAAGATTTTCTGCTCGAAAAGAAAGAGAAACACTATGAGGGGCGAAAATAGGAAAATTTAAAAGACAGTTTCATTGGCGTATACCGTGGCAGGTGAAGAAGGTGGTGCTGGTGGAGGAACCGGCACTGACGCACGTACGGGTGAGATTTTGATTTTATTTGGGTTCTTTATTGGCGAACTGGGCGACTTCTGATGCCCATTACGATTCACATAACGATTGAAGACTTTTTGATACTGATTACTCGAACTGTTCGAACCAGTTGAAGTAGAATTGTTGGGCGGAACAGCTGAATGTTTTAGAGGTGATGTTGGAGGATAACTAGGACCTGTTCGTGGTTGTGAAGGAGACACTTGTGGCTGTTGTATCGTTGTCGACTGTTGTTGTTGTTGTTGTTGTTGTTGTTGCTGCTGCTGCTGTTGGCCAGGATGTAGATGGTGGTGCGATTGTGCATTTGACTGTTGTTGTTGCTGCATTTGTGGTGGTGGAGGCGCGGATGGTTGAGAGGGAGTTGGTGGAGCTTGTGATTGCTGCTGTTGCTGTTGCGTTTGCTCGATAATGGTCGTATGAAGCACCGAATTATGTGGAAGATAGGAGTCAATCGAATTTGAAAAACAACAATCGATAAGAGTACGCTGTTCATTACTAAGTACTTTCGGGAAAAGAATATCAAACTTAACAATTAGGTCTCCACGTCTCGATGGATCTTTCGGATAGGGTAAGCCTTCATTGAGAAAACGTTTCTCCGTTTGTGGTGTGATAATCTCTTGATGGGAACGTAACTGATATGGTGCTTTATTCGTATCGAGAAATGGAATCACAATCAATGTTCCGAGAAGAGCTTGTTTTATATTGAGTTTAACTCGATAAATCAAATCGGAATTCGAACGTTCAAATATTGGATGGGGTTTATCACGAATAATAAATACAATATCACCTGCAATAGTATTTTCATCACCTTCATCGCCTTCACCTTCAAATGTAATTTTCGTACCTAGAAAATAACAGAATCATATTCATCTGAAGGCTCTTCTTTTTTTTTTCTTTCTCCTATACCCTCTTTCCAGCCTGGTTTGATTTGAATTTCCAGTAATTTTTCATCGCGTACGGTTGTATTAAGTTCAGCATTGAATCGTTTGCGTGTGATTTTCATTTTTCTCGTTGCCCCCTTATTCACCTCTTCTAAGGTAACATAGAGATCATAGAAAGTCGTAGGATCTTTATAACGTACGAAATAATTATTGTACGAGTCATAAGCATATTCGTTGTTATTAGGATCAGCACCATATTCTGATTGAGTATTACCGGTCGAACGAAAATGTGTACGAGGATCTGTTCCTAAATAGTTTCGTAATTCTTCGGAACCAAATCGGTCATATAGAGAACGTTTATATGGATCAGATAAGATTTCATATGCTTCACTGATATCCATGAATTTTCTTTCGGCGTCCACATCACCACGATTTTTGTCTGGATGATGCTTGAGTGCTTTTTGTTTATACGCACGTTTGATTTCATCATCACTTGCCAATTGATGGACACCTAAGATGATATAATAATCTTTGCTGCCCATTTGATTTCTGGAAAAAACTTATAGCCACAAGAAAGAAGCGTTTTTGATTCTGCAGGTCGACCTTTCTTTACTCAATCCTTGCTCTTCCAAACATCCTTGTACGTCTAATTTTAATAATATTCGTCCGTAACGCTTGTTTTCACGGTAAATGTACGATACATCCCTTTGCGGGATATTTTGCATGTAAATGATGAAGAATAGAAGAGAGATAGAGAAATTGAGAGAGGAAGAAAGAAGAAAAAAGAGAACACGATGTATTATTTTTACTATTATCATTCGTTTCTAACTCACTGCGTCTCGCCGATGTTGTTCAACAACATTCGAACGAGGAAAAGAGAGGTAGAGCGAGAAGAGGAGAAAGGGAACGAGGGACGCTAAGAAAAAAAAAGTAGATACAGCGCGTGTCACTAGATGCGCGCTTGTACATATGTGATATATTGCGCACGTCGTTAATCTGTTTGGCGTTCCGCTTTAAAGCGTTCAGATGTCTACACGATTATTCACTGAACTTATCTTCATACACAATAAAAGACAAAAAACGTAAATTATCGGAGAGATGTAACGCAAATATGAACAAAGAAAAGGCTTATTCAATTGAAAACTACAAACTTGCTTTCTAATTATCACATCCATCTGTTTTTCTATTTAGGTTGACGTCGTAGAGCGACATTCATTGATATTGATCATTTTTGTTTTCTACTTATTTCAACATGTACAAACTCAATCGTTAGGCAAACCCCTGAAACAATTAGACAAACTCGGCCAAACCCACATAAAACGGTCTAACAAAGATATACCACACGGTAGGTTTATCTAATCATTCAATGACAGAAACAAATGATTCATATCATCTAGTATACTCGTCATCAAATGCAAACAATTTTTTGTCATACGATAAATGCATTCAACGGATGAAATGTCCGTCCAGTCGTAAAGAAGAATGCGATGAAGAATGTCGCGCAGGTAAACAAATCTCTGTGTATAAATGTAGTTTCGAATCATTGGTACTTATAGGTAATACTGAAGAAGAAATCGAAGAACATATCGAGTTAACGCGATCGGAACATCGTAACGCGCTGCGTCAGAAGCCGAAAGCACGATTCGAAGATGAACAATTAGCAGACAAAAGAGATCTGTGAATGCTAATGGTGCATATTAAATGCTTAGTTATGTTTCTTTTCGATTTAGTTCTCTAATAGATAATTAGATGCAATCAATAATTGATCATTTTTCCTTGTAATTGTTTGAAGAAAAGAAGAAGACGCATATTGTGCTAATACACATGATTTCAATGTCGAAATCTGTTCTATTTTGTCTAGCGTATGTCCATGAATAGAAAACATCATGCTTGATGATTGAATATGATGATAATTAGAGGTAAATTCAATAATTGATATAATCGCTGTCCTTGCTAATTTATCGCCCATGTCATACTTGATAATATAAAAAATATTTGATATTTTGATAACGAAAAGTAATTAATAAAAAAAGTTGTTAGTAACAAATTCACTGATGGTGTTGAATCCAATATATAACGAAGACAGATATTCTCATCTATAGAATCAAATGACAACAAGTATATTCAAGTTGAATAGTGTTGTTTTGAATCAGTATTGCGGTAATACTATATACACCTTTGTCAGACAGGCAGACAGATGTCGCTCATATGCACGGAAAGTCAATATCATTCTCAAAGAATTAGTTAGAATGCTCGAAAAAAAGTAGAAAACGAGCTTTTCTGTTGATATAAAACGGTACACCAGTTTTGAGTTTGTTCACCCTAGTATCAAGCTGAATGAACAAATCAACTAACCAATTGTGAACGATACTAATAGTAAAGTAAAAACGAAGTAGATGTGTGTAATATGATGTTAAATGATTCTTGTTTATTTATTTCAGTATTATTTCTTTGCTTCTTTTTGAAAAATAATCTGTTGAATGAAATGAGCACTCTTCGAAAAAATTCGTTGATTTTTTTTGTATTATAGATAATCTATTCATGAATTTCCTCGGTGTATACATTGTCTAATGATGATTAAGAATTACACCTTCCTTTCGGATCATTCTTATTCCTTACGACCTGAGGCAGACGATAATGACGAACTACCATTGAATCAACGTGAAGATAAGAACGGAAAACGTCGCCGGTCGTCGATTCGAACGAGTATGTTGTAGAATCTCTTGTTGGATCTTTATTTTCTTCTTGTGGAAATTTTCTTCTAGGTAAAGCAACGTCGACTGCAAATCGTGCTGTTTCTATGGATCGTAGTTCCAGTGATAAAGAAAACGCGTCGTTAGTTTCAACGAAACTAGCTCGTACGTCAACCTCAACAGCAAACAGTAATAAATCATCCAGTGATGTACGATTGAACAGGAAAAAGTCAGCGCCTCGATCTTCGACACGAACAGCAATGACTAATGGCAAAAAACATGATGATAAATCTTCAGTGAAAGTAAGGAGTATGTAATGACAAGAATCATATCAATAAACCTCGGAATTTAGACAAGCATTAAACTAACAAACGGTGGTGTTACAAAAAAGAAGAAAGTGATTAAACGAAATGTCGAGAAAACATTGAATGTATCACAAGATACCTTCTCAGATGTACCACCATCGTTATCGATTGAAGAGCGTGTGAAGCTACGTCGAACGAAGCCACTTCAACCGTCAGTAACTCCTATAAAAAGCAAACCTGTAAAAACGAATAAAATTCGACCGATAAAACAAGAAGAAATCAAATCGGTCAGTAAAAAAACCACGAAATCGAGAAAAACTTCGTCGCCAGTTAAAACTACAAAGCTTTTTCTCGGATCCGGTCTTGATCTTGACAATATTGTTCTCGGTAATCGACAACGACGTTGTGTACAGACATAATCCACATTTTATTGTAAACAAGTTCATGCCATAAATTTCTCACATATTGCACATTCAAACATATTTTCATTATAGTCTTCGTTTTCTTCTTCTCATTTTTGTTTTTGGTTTAGTATCGTTTTCGTTTTTCTTCATAAAAAAACACTTCCGTTTCTGTTTTCTTCTCTTTGCGTTTCGTTAAAGTGTGTATATACATACATATATACACATTCTGAACACTACCGTTTCTCCCTTGTGCCTTTTTTCTGTATATGACTGGGTTTTTTGTTTTGCCTCCTTCTATTCGCATTAGTATAGTTCTTGTGGAACTGAACTGGCATTCTATGAACAGAAGGACATGGACACAATATATATATATATACTTGTGATGACTTTTGTATAGATACTGTGAGTTTGACTATGACTGTCCGATTAGTTTATGATCGATCAAGAGTGAAATGCAAGCTGAGTTGAGGACAAATGAATAGAGAAACTTGTCAGATTTCATCCGACCTGTCTTGAGTTATTCGCTTTCTTTTAACGATACTCTATATGATAAGTGTGTGGTCTTTATTTAATATTGACATTGCACTTATGTTTTATCTATTCGAAACTTTGGCCAAACGAGCATTGTCATATACAAATATAACAAAGATATAAAAGTTCTTATTATTGACTTGATTTATTCTTTCGTGTTTCTAGATAAAAAGGCTTCGTTTAATCAGCTAACACAAAACGATGTCCAGCGAAGATTTCAATAAACGTTTATTTAAGTAAGGCATCTTATCCTTACAAGTGTAGAGTCAACATTGTTTCAATTCATTAGATATCTTGATGATCATCAAAAGGACTATATCCAACGATTGAGTGATGCAGTTGCGATACCATCAGTATCCGCCTGGCCTGATCATCGGCCCGAAGTTTTTCGTATGGTTCAATGGACGAAAAGTTTCATGGAATCATTGGGTATTGCAGTTGAATTAGCTGATGTTGGAGAACAAAAGCTTGCAGATGGAACGAAACTCAAATTACCGGATGTCATTCTGGGTACTTACGGAAACGATAAATTGAAGAAGACAGTTGTCATCTATGGACATTTGGATGTCCAACCGGCACAAGTTTCCGATGGTTGGGACACCGAACCATTTGTCTTGACGGAGAAAAATGGCAAATTGTATGGTCGTGGTTCTACCGATGATAAAGGTCCAGTCATCAGTTGGCTCAATGTGATTGAAGCATATCAAAAACTGAATGAACCATTCCCGGTCAATGTTAAATTTGTTCTCGAAAGCATGGAAGAATATGGTAGTGAAGGTCTGGAAGACTTGCTTAAGTCTCTGAAAAATACCTTTTTATCGGGTGTTGATTATGTTGTCATCTCCGATAGTTATTGGTTAGGAAAAGAAAAACCATGTTTACAATATGGTCTTCGGTAAATTTAAATCATTAATTTGATTTTCTGGATTTCTGCTGTTTTATGTAGGGGTATTTGCTATTTCTTCATTGATGTCGAATCGTCAACGAAAGATTTACACTCCGGTTGTTTTGGTGGTACAATGTAAGTAGTGAGAATGATGTTGTCAAGCGTATGTCATGATTACAACAATTTTACTGAAAAGTAACTAATCAACATTGTATCCAGAAGGAAATTATATTATAACTGAGACTGCCGTGCACATATATCTATATTTGAGTTTTTTTCTTCTTGCAATAGCATTGAATCTATGATTCATCTCTTATTTAGCCACGAAGCAATGACTGATCTAATTGCCGTAATGAGTACATTAGTCGATGATCAAGGCCGCATTTTAATTGATGGTATCTATGATGAAGTTGCACAACTACTACCAGAAGAAGCAGAAATTTACAAACGTATTACTTTTGATGTCGTAAGTTGAATATCTGAATGAAACTGACTTGAATATCGCGTTCATCGAATTCATAGAAAGCTTATTCTGCGGAAGCTGGTGTTGATAAAACAATTCAACAAGATAAAGAACAAATTTTGATGCACCGATGGCGATACCCATCATTGACTTTACATGGAATTCAAGGTAGATCGATTAGGGCATCAGATCAATACGAATTCTTCGTTTTTCTAGGTGCATTCGATGGCGTCGGCTGTAAAACAGTCATACCTCGTCATGTTATTGGAAAATTTTCTATTCGCATTGTTCCTAACATGAAAATTGCCACAATAGAAAAACTGGTTGAAAAGCATGTAAAAAATGTGATGGAGAAACGAAACTCTCCAAATAAAGTATCCGTTAAATTGGAACACGGTGGTGATTATTGGCTCGCCGATCCAAATCATCCTCAATATGTTGCAGCACGTCGAGCAACAGTTGTTGTTCACGGTATTGAACCTGATCTCACACGTGAAGGTGGTTCCATTCCAATCACTTGTAAGTTCACACCACTTAGAAATATCCAATCTGAACGAAAACTTACTTTCTAGTGACATTCCAAGAGCAAACGGGAAAGAATGTTCTTTTATTACCCATTGGCGCTAGTGATGATGGTGCTCATTCACAAAATGAGAAATTCGATGTTAGTAACTATATGAACGGAATGAAAGTCATGGGTGTTTACTTTCAAGAAGTTGCCCGAGTCTAAGTCAACCTCGTTCCATATTTCAAAATCGTGAAAGCAGAGAAAAAAAAACTATTTTTATTTCATGTATGATTCCAGAATATCTTATCTTTTTCCAATAAATCTTTTAGTGCTTGAAATATACACTGACGTCTGTTTTATCTACCATTCCTTTCATTCAGTGAAAAGAATTCTTCTACCGGTCCTGACTGTAAATAGACGGATGTTTCTTGAATTATTCTTCGAAAAGCTTTCACATTTACTTGCAGAAACACGGTTCATTTACCGATTCTCTTTCATGCCTATCATCACGGATGTACGTGATGATGAATTTCGACCGTGTAATCAACTAGAAGATTTACTTTCAGTCTTAAATATAAAAATAATGTATTCCTATTTATTTCATTCGATCCGGTGAGAAACGGGTACGTAATCAGATGTAAACAGCACGATGTTGCCATCGCCATCTTCATCGACGTCGAAAGATCGACAATCCCGTATTCCAGTGTCGTGTAACTAATACATGATAATGATTCCAGTTGAACAAGTTCATTGTTTTAGTTGATCGTTTTCGAGTGAAATCAATCGAGTTTCTTTCACCATTTCGTCATCATCCTACCGAACGAAATGTAAGGCAGAGCCCAGGTGCGTTATAATGTGATTGAATGATACTTCATCTTTCCAATCGGAAAAACTAACATTTAGAACGAGCACGAACACTTAAGACTCAAGTACATCCTCAAAACAACACTCACTCCGAGTCGAAGCAACACGACTATACTTTTACAAATCTGTTTAATATCAATCGACAACCTATTCTCGAAAGGTCAGCGGCATCAAATAGTTTACAACGAAAAAGTATATTTTTTCTGAAACTCGATTCAAACATCGAATTCTTTTCTGCTCCAGAACCAACCAGTATCTTCTACAATTCCCGTTCAATATCAAGTCTTTTCAAATATGGAGAATCTCGTCAATCATGCGATGCACGAATACTGACAACTGAAGTGGAGGAATACGTACACTCACCAACACCGTATATGACACGTTATCGAAATGTCTCCCTACCAACGATGCAACCAGTGCATGTCAAACAACATCCAAACTCGATTGGTATTTCAATCGAACAGTTTGATTTCGATTCATAAAGATATTCAAGAATCATTATATTAGGTATCGTAGATGTGAATCAGTAACACGCAAAACCCTCAAGTAACACATATCAATGCAAATTTTTTGAAGGACAATCGTTGTAAGTCGTCCAGCATAGTTCTTGTCATGTGAGAATAATATGTTTCAATAAACATTAGCGAAACGAATAGTTACCTAAAGGTTTGTTCGTTTGATAGAAAGTATTGATTTGATACTCTATGATCACCTCTTAATTTACAATTACGATCAATTAAATTTTCGATGATATTCATAGAACACATTCATAGATGATATCTATGCAAAGCGTGCTGGTGTAAATGGAAGTCATATGTCAAAATTTACATTCCTTTCCCAGTCATGTCTCACTTTCTCTAAGCGAATTCTTCAAGTATTTGCTGTACACAAGGCATGAAAGGCGAGATTATCTGATTGCCAACTCTAGTATCATATAACAGAGCAAAGAATACTGTCGAATTATCATTCATAAGCGTCGAACGAAACAAATGACGTCGAAAGTTTGACAAAACCCTTGAATAACTTTGTTTTCAAATGTTTTCTACGTCATTAATGTTACTCATCCTTTTGCTTACGTATGAAAACAACCTTTAGAACTTCATAATCGTATTGGTACATACCATCGATTAAATACGTACTTACACCTACCAACGAGTGTTGTCAAGAAATCGAATACTTGTTATCGTTCTTTATCATAGAGAATAGAAAGAGAACAAACCAGTTTGATGGCTTGATTCAAACGGCTATACTACTCATTTTGTTTTCGCTTCTACACTCGTTCCAATGAATGAGCATGGAGATGTGTTTATATGCTTCATAAAAATTTCCTTTCAATGACAATACGATCGAACGATGGGGTCGTGCTATAGTGCGAACAAATCGCTACGTGCAACGTTCATTGAGAACGAGAATCTCGAAGTGTTTAGTCTTATCTGGCTCGATAATGTCGACAAGAAATCTCAAAAGAGCAATTCGATTCAACGACGACTTCGCGCAACGATAAATTATTTAAAAGTATTCATCAACGAAACTGAATGTGAACGATATATCAAACAAATGCCTCAAGATGAAAACATCGTCTTGGTTATCAACGATCAAATTGGACAAATGTTCATTTCAAACATCCATGATCTACCACAACTATTTTCCATATATATCTATTCTCCTAGCAAAAATATCGATCAATCTTGGATAAACCAATTTAACAAGGTAGATCGATATCCGTAAAAATCGAATGCCGTTAATGATATGTTGTTTTTTAGATTAAATCCATCTGTGTTGATTACAATGAACTAACAAATCAAATAAAAGTTGATCAGAGAAGATACATGCTTAGCAAGGACGAACTTTTGTTTGATATTTTTCATATTAATCAACCAAGCAATGGAAATAAAAGATTTCTATACTCACAAATTCTAATCGACGTTTTGCTTGAAACGGATCCAGCATCAAATGACGCTGCTGATTTGTTATCGCTGTGTCGACAACAATACAAGGGCAACAAAGTTGAATTAGATCTCCTTCGTAAATTTGACGAAAGTTATTCATCAGAGAATGCGATTTCGTGGTTAATCCAGGACACATTCATCTCGCAGATATTCAACAAAGCTTTGCGAAGGGAAAATCTCGATTTGATGTTTCTCTTTCGATTTTTTCTACAAGATATTCACCAAGAATTGACGCAAAGTCAACATGTATATTCAATCAAAGTTTATAGACATCAACAAATAAGTGATACTCAATTGGAACTTTTGAAAAACTCGGTCGGACAGTTTATATCGATAAACAATTTCCTCGTTGCAAATATGGATCGACAATCGGCACTTTCCTTCGAAAAGGTTTCGGTAACAACGAACAGCATTCATTCGATACTATTTGAAATCACTGCCAATCCTCACCTGAATAAATCTAAACCATTCGCTGTTATTGACAAACAAGATGACGCTCATCAAGACTCGAATGAAGTGTTATTTATGCTGGGATCTATATTTCAACTGAACAGCATTCGTCAAGATGAAAACAATACCTGGATTATCGAAATGACATTATCGGATAAAACAAATAAGTACCTTAAATCTGTTTACAATAATTACAAGAATGAAGATGGCGATATCAATCTTCTTTCACTCGGTTATATCTTGCAAGAATTGAATAAATCGGATGAAGCAGAGAAATACTATCGACGTTTGATTACCGAATTCTCTGACGACGATGAACGCATCGGGTATTGTTGTTTGAACCTTGGCAATATAGCATTCATAAAGAAAAATTATGAAGCTAGTTATGAACTGCTATCAAAAGCACTTCAAATATCCATTCAAACGCTGGAGCCCGATGATATGTTCTTCGCACAGATTTACAATAGCATCGGTCATCTGCATCATGCTAAACAGGAGTCGAAGCTAGCTATTGAATCTTATAAAAACGCCATTTCGATCTGGAAACAATCCATTGATGAAAACTATTTCAACATCGCTGAATGTAAGAATAATCTTGGCATTATCTATAAAGAAGAACACGATTATGAAAAAGCATTGGAATGCTTTCAAATGATATTAGTCATTTTGGAGAAATACTTGTCTCATGACCATCTCGATCTGAGCAAAACCCACTGTAATATCGCAAGTATATATCGACAACTCGAAGAATATGAAGCGGCTCTGCAACACTACAATGCAGCGTTAGATATTTTACAGAAACATTATCCAACGAAGAGCTCAGAGCTCGCGAAAGTTATGGGAAATATTGGTATTATATTCGCCTTGAAAGATGATCGGCAAAAAGCATTGTCATATTACGAAAAAACAGCCGAAGTTTATCGAGAAATATTACCACCGACACATATTAACAATATCAAGATCGATCAACTGATTCAGAACGCCTCGGTGTTGCCTCGTGAACTGTCTTTCGTAGTGGTCGAGCCCGGACAATCAACATGAAACATAATTATTTCATTTCGATAAACTAAAATGTATTTGTAATATTGTACAGTTTTTATTGAATAGATTTCATGTTTCTGCAAAGAAATATTCAGTTGTTAAGATTGGAAAATCTTTATGTACCTAAAACTATCTTATTAGTTCGCATTCACCGTGTTCGTATAGAGAATACAGCTGACTCTCCACTGAGAGGACATCGTCAAATGCTGAAGGCCAGGATATGGGTGTGGATATGGACGTAAACAGTACGAACACGTTCATCCATGTCCCTTTCTATACCGTTGAGTTAACGATAGATTTATTCATATGAACACTTGACATTTTTAAAATTATCATATAGTATAAAGCATGAAAAACTAAACATAAACGTCATACTTGACCAGTACATGTCAGTGACCGATTAATAAAAATCCTTATTTCCATTCCCTTGGAAAACGTGAAAGGAAACGCAGGACAAGAATTGTTCTCGCAGAATACTACTCCAAGATATAAAAGAAATGATTTTTTTTCGAAAAGGGGAAAAGTGTAAACGGTCTCATCACGTCATATGTGAGAAATAAAAGCGGAAAGAATGTTATCATAGATAACGTTTTCTCCCATGAAGGTCACGCTAGAAGGAAAGAAATATGGGAAGATAACTTGATCACTAGCGATGGGAAAGAAAAAGACTGCCACCCATAAGGTTAAGCGGAAAATTAAAAAATTTTCAGTAGATGGGATTGTCCTATCTAACACTGAGTTTTGAGACATATATATATGTAGACAACAGACCATAGTCATATTTAAAAAATATAATTCATTAGTATTATACTACTTATATCACATATACTCCCAAATCACTCAATTGGAAGAATGCGTTCTGCTCATTTTGTTTTGTCTACTCTTATGGTTATGATGGCACTATTTATTGGTCGGTCCTCATCTGCACACATTAAACTTCATCAACATCCACGTCATAAAGGACAAGTCCTTGTCGGTAAGTATCTATTTTGGCAGCTTTAATATTTTTACTTTCAAACTTTATGCATATCTAGATAAATATGTTTGGAATCATTCGTGTCATAATCTGAACCGCTGGGCAAATGATCGAGCTTCATCAGTGAATACACACAATGATTGATTCGTTTTATTTGAACATGCAAATTGTGAAGGAGATTCCATGAGAGTTGCACCGGGTGAAAACTGCCATTCCGATTTCCGTGACTGCAGCTTTAATGATGTAACATCATCGTCCGAAAGATGCTAACAAAAATCTTCAATATTTATTCAAAGACTCATATTATTTTCTAATCAAGATGAGATGATGCTTTGAATAAAATGTGCTTTTGTTCTTTGGTATTAAGTAAACTGAAAAAATCTTTCTCATAAAACTATGATAATCTTCAAGATCTCTAACATGTGAAATCGCCAGTCAGCACAAATATCCTTTCAATATAGTCAGAATGGTATTCTATCGAAGATATTATCTGAAAAAGGGTGATATTCATGCATAAGGTCATCGTAGCCAAAGGGTGAAAAGCGCCACGAACACGAATAGAAAACAACGTTACTCACAAGTGACGCAGCGTAGTAATCGCTGACCCTCTACGGATAGGATATCACTAGATGTCCTATATTATTCAAAAGAAAGAAAGAAAATTTATTTCATTCAAATGGTTCAGCCATTCTTGTAATTTGTCCCAATCTTTTATTCATGTTCATTTCGCTTCGTAAAATCTTCTCAACCTAACCCCTAGTCGTTCGTCGGCTTCCCTCTTTTTGATCTGTAAACCAAGTTAACAAAATTCTTCATAACTGTGTGATTTACATTACGTATTTTATCGTTTCCACCTTAAAGAGCTGATAATGCGCATGGCTTATTCGCGAAGCTTGAAAAGACATCAATTATATTCCTCCAAAAAATCATTGACATTAGCTGCGACTTAAATCTCATCTCTCAAAGTGAATAACTACGTTTGCTTTTATTGTGGCTTCCGAAGTAATGATCTTCCATTCATTTGATTACCAAAAGAAATTAGATAGAAAAGTATTACTTTATAATTTACCATAAAAATAACACACACCATAGCATCTCATATATTATGAATATACTATTTGTATCGTTGACGTCTATATGGTTAATAAGATGAAATTGTGCTAACAAACATACCTTTTGGCGACATATTTCCGCTAAAATCCCTTCGAAAGACCTGATGTGTATCAAAGCGTTCAAGGCAAAAAGCATACTAAGGATATACCTTTTCTTTCAACTTCTTGAATTGCATTAATTGTCATGTACGATATACTATATATTTTTGTCTAAGCTCCTAAAGTACTATCTTCGTACGCATTACATTCAGGAATAGGTTTCACCTCGCTATCTTTCACAACAGATATTAGAAAAGATACAGGAAACTGTAATGACAAACTGGTTGAGTAGTTGACCGCTTCTCACGGTATAGATGTTTATTGACTACTCTACATGACCAGAATGTATCTTTTTCACAATAAGACACGCGCTTATATAGAGAAGAGGAAAAAGAGATATGACCCGGAGATAGTATAATATAGAGGTGAGAGGATAAAGAACAGAAAGAAATGAACGATATCATTATCGTTACAGAAACAATCTCTTTTGAAAAGAGAAAGGCAGAAACTGAAGCACGGTGAATAAGAGAAAACTGATCCTGGAATTGAATTTTTGTACCTCCATTACCCTTCGATCAACCTTTTGGTCAACTGATGCTGTGGATATTAATAATTGACGCTTAGTTAATTAACAAGTAACGCTCGCCTAGCGACTCGCTCAGCTCTTTGTCGTAGAAATCCTGCTTTCAGATATTACACTTTAAAGCTATTATTGTGTATATTAATTTATTTTTAGTGTAGATTAGATATTTATACCAAATATCAAATTGAGAACCAGATATTCTAAATAAGTATCAATACAATTAAGTAGACTACGAGTTATTACATGAAAAAAGAAAATAAGAAAACACGATAGGAAATATCTGCTACAATGAGAGAAAAGAAACGGTTACTACAATAATTAAGATAAATGTAAACACAGAGGTAAAAAATGAACATATACGAATAATTATTTTAAGATAATTTGAAAAATGATAATACATTTTATATGCTTCTAATAACACTAAACTCTTAACAGTGTATCGATTTATACACGTTCAAAAAGCGGAAGAGGTACATTCTCATTTTGTCTTTTCCTCAAGTTCATCTAGACGGTTCAGTTCAGCGTCTTGAGCAAGAGAGGGTCGAACTTGTAAACAAGCTATAAATGTTTTTCTGAAAATCGGTATCCTTCGTTTGAAAGATTTTTTTTAATTCTGAAAAAAGTAGAACCAAATTTGTCCTCTTCGATCCCAAAATCTGTTCGGTAAAATTTTATAAAAAAACTGTTTCTTACAAAAAAGTCGCCCTTTGTGTAAAAAAATTGATCTATGTAAACATTTGAAAAAAAAATAACGTGAGATTCGAGCTCATCGACCCAAAAAACTCCTTAGTCAAATTTTATAAAAAAGCGCTTTTGGTAAAAAACGGCCCTTTGTTTGAAAAAATATTTTTTTAATGAAAAATTTCAAAAAACTAACATCAGATTCGAAGCCTCCGCATCGAAATACCTCTGGAAATGTCTTTTCGGAAAAATCGATGTTCGATGTACTTTTTACCCTGCGGACATACACGCAAACAATTTATGTTTCTAAGACTCTTCTCTACGAGAAAGAGAAAATCGGATATCAAAATCAAGGCGAAAAATATATAGCTGCTATCTAACTCATAAATCAATATATCAATTTTAAGAAGTAAAATTTGAGTGGGCAATTGCTCATTTGCCCCTCCCCTGGTTGCGCCACTGCGACGAGTAATCCGGCTTTCAGATCCTACCGAATTCCCATCGAATCCGATTGAGTGTACTCGCTCTGAGCAACCATCCACTAAAGCGTAATTAAGATTGAGAACCTCAAACTCGACGTCAATGTCTTCTGGTGCACCTTTTTTAAAATCTTATTCGATATATAGTCTACTTGAAATGGAATCTTTCCGATCCATTATAAGTATGCGTAAACTCCTTACTCTTCTATGCTGAAAAGAAAAACACCATGTGACGTACAGTAGGATGTCATTGGTGTTAAACATGGTATAAAGCTAAACATATTCATTGAATTCGAATAGGAATAGAAAAACGGCGGATATTGTGGATAGATCATTATAGTTGGCTAGACAACAGCAGCTTTTTACAAAGAGACAAGTGGTTTGGTTTATGAAGTAGAACAAGGCTCTATAATGTTTCAAGTATGCTGAAAGATATAGTTCTACCATTTTAGTATCAGATCAGAGAGTTCAATGGGCGGACATTACTTATAAATTACATATGTATATTGAAATCAGTTTCATTGTGCACGCATTCGTTATCCCGAACTTGGCCTTCGCTTTTGTTGGAAATATTAGATCCAAACTGAAAATTCAACAAGATTTACCGTTAGAAGATGACGCTTTTGAGCGTGAGCGCTCTATTCGGAACAAACGTGGGAGGGTGTTTTTTCGTGTGTTAGGAGAAGCTTCTGCAGCTACTGAAAAGTAAAGAACATTAATTAATTAAAGCATGTTTACCTCATTTTAACAATGACAATAAAAAGTGACTGTATACTCAGCTAAAAAGTTTCAATGTTGCACGGCGTGATTTTATTTACTGAAAACAAAATGCACATATCTTCTTTCTTTGACTACGGGTACGCTCATCTTTGACTGTTTTATATATCCGTATATACAAATTCTGTCGATAGCATTATATCGGACTTCTTGGATGCCAGTGCTAGTTGTTGCAAATTCTACTTTTTATCTACGTCACGTACAGACTATTACTAAACGGTTGTATTCGTTGAGGATGCCGTATTGATATACGAACGGAGACTAAATGTGCACAAATATCTTGATTAAAGGTAAAATTATTTGCACTTAGATGATGACACTTTGCATACTTTCAGTCCACTCGATTTATATGAGTGTACTTTGACTAAGTACTGTTAATCCCTTGCAAAAAGGCGGTATATATACATACCATTTCAGATACATCTCAAAACCTAGCAACACTACAGACACAAGGTCAGTTTGGAGTGACTTCAGATAGCCAAAATCCACTTCTCTTCAATGATCATCATTTCGTGCGAGGTTTCAATCACCGATACGTGCAGAGAACTCAAAGACAGGTACCCAAGTCAAACGAAATGTACGTTCTCTTACAGTGTAATGTTAAGGAACGCTACGAATATATAATATCTCAGCGCACAGGCTATGATGTTGAATGACGCACAGCTAACTGGTTTCAGTTTTGTCATCATTCGAAAGATAGATCTTAGAGCAAGGGTACAATAGGTGCCTATCATTAGATATTAAATGTACCAGTCCGAATCTGACTGAGAAAATTTGTAAAACTGGTTATCCTCCGCTTTTCTTACGGCCTCAAATATGCTATCGTTTCAAGTCGTGTAGAGATTTTAGATGTAAGCAAACCATAAACGAAAAACCCTGTTATCAGAATAATACACAAACAAGTTCGAGAGTATATTCCAGCGCTTTTCCGCCATAAAATGTTGCAACAAATACTTCCCTGATACTTTCCTACGGATCAACACTGAGACCGAATGGAGCTGATCATAATCGACAAAATAACTTCTCCTCAGATTGCGCTGATCGTAGGAAATGATTAGCGTAACAGCGCGATTTGGTGCGCTGCTTTTTGATCATTCTCTCTTCGCTGTGCCATTTTAGTCACTTTATAATGCATTGCTGCTTTCCAATTCACCATAGAATTTATAGATAACGGATACATAGTATCCTATCCAAGAACAAAGTATAAACAAACATAACACTTCATTATCAAGCTCTGAATACATTTAGGCTTTGAAATCCAACATAAAACAGCTAGATAATAGAGTCCTATATCGGGATTTTTTCGGGATTTTTCGGGACTGAATATTTTTGAAAAAACGTTTTAAGCTTGTTTCTTGGGTTATTTTAAAGGTATGCAATAAATAGAGGAGACGATTCTGTATCGGATCATTGTATTTTTGAATCCCACTCGAACTCTATCGTAGAAGGAATATCATCGGGATTAGAAAAACCCGAAAAATCGGGATTTTTTCATCCCGCTGACTTTTCTCACGGGATGGATCCATGATGTGACAAGAAAAACACAATGATCCGATACAGAAGTTTTTACTCTATTCATTGCACCTATTTAAAATAACATAAGTTGAAGATTGACGTTTCTTTCTTTAAAATACTAAATCCCGAAAAAATCCCGATCCAGGATTCTACTCGACAATAATGAAACATCGCTCCAATTCAATGTACCTTGGTCTGATGACTTTGCCTTTACGAGAACTGACATGTAAAATGCATACGTGCTGTACTTCTGTCAATACAATTCTGCCATATCTCCAATATAGTCGAGCAGTCCGCAGCACTGTTGTTTTTTCAATCGCACACTTTCAGAAAAAAAATCCAATCCAAGAGAACCTCTCATAAACGCATCATACCATACCATGGTATCTCTTCCATCAAACACTGCTCTGTTAAAACTTGGCAACTAAAGCATTCACTTCCACTAATGCACATATATTTTCCCACAACAAAAAGCATTCTCATTAAGGTCACATGCTCCTCTCGCAACACAATTCATTTTTTATTCAGCCACTACCTCTCAATGCCACCAAAATCACACACCAAATAGTATCGACTAAGTTCTCAATCAAAAAGCATCCTTTCGACGAAAAGAGTCACCAGATCCACTATCACTTGTTCTTCCATTTCATTCAACGCAAGATCTACACCATATTAACGCTCTAAGAATTAGACAAATCAGATATTCCAAATTTCCTCCAGCAAAGCATCAGTCTTACTGCATTCCTACGCAACGCGTCCGCAATATGTTGTGCTTCTTCATCGTCGATTTCGTTGTTGAAGAGGTTTAGCGTGGTGAGTGTCTGTAGGTGTGAGAGAGACTGAGTACTTCACTTTCCGTGAAATGAGATCAGTATTACCGTGTTCGTTCGTAACGCCTTCGCAATGTGTTTTGCTCCTTCATCACCGATTTCGTTATTTTGGAGGTTTAGTGTGGTGAGTGTCTGTAGGTGTGAGAGAGACTGAGTAGTTCACCTTCCGTGAAATTAGATCAATATTACTGTGTTCGTTCGCAACGCATCCGCAATGTGTTGTGCTCCTTCATGACCGATTCCGTTCTGCTCGAGGTCTAGTGTGGTGAGTGTCTGTAGGTGTGAGAGAGACTGAGTAGTTCACCTTCCGTGAAATGAGATCAATATTACCGTGTTCGTTCGCAACGCATCCGCGACGTGTTGTGCCCCTTCATCACCGATTTCGTTATTTTGGAGGTTTAGTGTGGTGAGTGTCTGTAGGTGTGAGAGAGACTGAGTGCTTCACCTTTCGTGAAATGAAATCAATACTACCGTGTTCGTTCGCAACGCATCCGCAATGTGACCTGTTCCTTCAGCACCTATTCTATTGTAGAAGAGATCTAGAGTAGTGAGTGTCTGTAGGTGTGAGAGAGACTGAGTACTTCACCTTCCGTGAAATGATATCAATATTACCTTGTTCGTTCGCAACGCATTGGCAATGTGTTGTGCTCCTTCATCGCCGATTTCGTTACGGACGAGGTCTAGTGTGGTGAGTGTCTGTAGGTGTGAGAGAGACTGAGTAGTTCACCTTCCGTGAAATGAGATCAATATTACCGTGTTCGTTCGCAACGCATTCGCAATGTGTTTTGCTCCTTCAGCATCCATTCCGTTATTAAAGAGATATAGTGTGGTGAGTGTCTATATGAAAGCAGTATATTATGAAATGGACAAGTAGCAAAGAGAACCTTTGATGACTCTGCTGAATGTATATGTGTGAAATGAAATAGTCATGCTTGGGGATGATTTTTAGGGAGCGGTTGGGTCTAGATGTTAGTTTTTTGGTGTGGATGATGATGGTAGTTTTAGGGCAGGAAAGACTGCGTTAAGAGAAGATGTGCTGTGTTGGCGATATGGACAGGAGATTACCATGAGCTGATCGATTGGAAACAGTAAGATATAACTATTAATAGTTGTTGAGTGTAGCGAGATATCTCTTTTGAGGGCGGCCTCCAATGAAATTGGCATCCTACTCTTGTGATAAGTGGGAGTTGTATTAGGTATGGATGATAGTGAGAACGAATATAGGCGTAGGTCCAGAAATTGTGAATGTCAGTTTGCGGCATTCAGGAAATGTCATCAAAAGTGATAGTTGATGCACTTCTGGATCCAATAGTTCAACAGACATAGCAGAAAGGCGAGATAGTGGAGGAATGCTTGATTTTATATGAATTCGCACTGTGATTGTCTTATTCGATCAAATTGTTTATGGATTATGAGATTACTCTACCTCTTCCTATCAGGAAATTTACGGCGTCGAATATCATTAGGCTTATGTGTAGCACATCCGACAAGAGTGTTAAGGTGCAAAGTAAACTTACTCGATATCGCTCATAGGTGTTCAGGATCTTGTTGAGCCGCCGTGAAATATTTTGCATTGAGCAAAATAGCGTCTTCTCATTTTGATGATCCATAATTCGATAAACAAGTTCGACGGGTAATGTGGAAAATGTGTGCATGTTGTATTTCAATCGTGTAGCAGACCGTACCGTAGAGACTGCAAGCGATGAAAAATGTTTGAGTTTGTTCGTTATCAGTAGTAACTCATGGTAGTGATATAGTTATATATGCTTTTGACGAAAACAAATGACGTGTAATCATTTCAAGAGTTATACGAATTGTTGACGTGCGCAGAAAGATGGTGTTAGAATACGCATGTTCATTGAATTCTGTTTTGACATTTAAAATAGAAGTTTTAAGAATTAAAAGTAGGAAATCTTTTATGCCTTTGACTCCTTTGCAAGCCGATTCGATTTTCTTCAAAAGAAATTGACACCTCTAAATTAATTTTTTTTAGCTAAAAAGTATAGCGGAAGATAAAAAACTCTACAGCTTACATTAGAGGTTTATTTTGATTATGTAAATTTTGTTTTCAAGAACGCTAAATGCTAACCAGTCAGTTTTCACTGATCGATTTGCACCATTTGATGTTTTTCGGTAAAAAAAACACATGACTGTAAAAAGTTTTGCGATATAGTTTGCTGAGAGCTTCATGCAGCATCTTTCAGTGTGTTCGTTTCATTCTTCTCAAGTCTTATTCGATGATAGATATAAGAAACAAGAAAAAATGATTGTTTGTCAACCTGAAAAACCAGTCACGTGATCTTTTATTTCTTTTTGAAGCCACAAAATATAAACTTGAGCAACGGTTTACCGCAGGGGTGACGTTAACTTGAACACTTAAAGTTAGGTTAAATTACCACTCCTAATATATATATCTGTTTTTTTTTGTGTTGAAGAGTGAGTTAGAAGACTCAGCATCTTTTACATAAATAGAATGCCAATTCCCTCACCGAGGTGCTCTAACAATTTGTTGTGAATTCATTTTGATGAATTAATTACCCCATGGCATTTTAGTAAATAAGAAAACGTGGAAAACCTTCGAAAAAAATAGACGTTATCGATTCTCGTCGAAAACAAGGCGTTTAGCTTATTGGAAAAGCTAAACCGCTTTTCGATATGCCCAAACAGATGGCTTTAAGGACAATCATCAAATCTACAAGAACGCTGTAATATCTTACTTTAAAACATCCGTAGTTCTGTTAACAGATAACTGCCGATTAGTTTCTTACAACACAATAACCATGTCATACATATGCGAGCATTTACAACGAAGAGCCAAAATATTACCCGATTTATTATTTGGCTGTGGAGGATAGTATTTTATGTGATGTGTGGTATATGTTATATCGTTCCATAGGATTTTACTCTGTGCTTTCTGCAATAAATTATGAAACGAATGGAACTACATTGTTTTAGTTCTTCAGCATCGGTTTTCTTTTGCTGAAATACATATTGCTCATATAATTTGTCTGAAAATCTATTTTATTGCTTAATTGATGCGTATTCATATTCTCTCTTACTAGAATTATTATCCACGATTTGATTCCGCTGATAACAACGAGTAACGCTCGTCGTTAGATGCGCTCAGCTCTTTGTCGTAGAAATATTGATTTCAGATGTCATAGTTTTAATGCATTATTGTGTATATGAACAACAGCTACGTTACTTCAGAGTTCGTTTGTGACGATCAATAATTAAATCGGTGTGAAGCTAGCACCATCGAGCTAGCACCATCAAACTAAGCATTTTCTGAAAACGAATTCCGGTCGATAAAACCGAGTGTATTCGACGCAGAATTTAATTCTGAGTCCAATGGTGACATTTTTATTCACCGGAAAACGTTCGGAGAAAATTTTTCTTTGATCTTTCTTTATCCTCGACACATGTATGTGCATCATTTTTCGGCCGTCAGCATGCAATATCTCTGCCTNACAATATTCCGATGAAGTTCAATGTTAAATCTAGTTTATTCAACGATTCGCATCCTAGAAATAGTGTTTATGACTGAGCGATTCTGTCTGGGTATGATTAGTTACCTGAGAGATTTTCGATGTATTCTATGTTGTTTAGAGCCAAGTTGAGATACTCGAGCTTTTTCAATCGACCGACATTTTCTATGCAAAGTCGAAAACGAATACAAACGATGAGATGCATTTGGTCTCATGAATCGTACCGATTTTGGAAATGAGATTGCTCTGTAAATAGAGAATACGTAATTCTCGGCACCATTTGTCTAAATGTTCGATTCTGAAAAGAGGCAGTAGGGTATGTACATTGTTTGCAAAGTAAAATAGTCATATGTTTTACCGTTCAATATCTTGTTGATGAAGTGACACTTCTTCAAGTGTCGATAACTCGCCCTCGTTGTGTTCCGCTCGTTTTCGTATAAGACTTTCGGTAACTACGAAAATCGGGGTAAGACAGATGTTTGAGATTGATGTGAAATGAACGATGACTTACTGAACACCATGGTTGACTTTGTTTTCTTTGGAAAGTAAAGCACGTGAAGATGACAGATAGAGAATGAAATGCTGAATAGAGCTGAAGCAACGTGTCACTTAGCATTTACCTCTGTTGTTATGAGAAACCGAAGAAAGTAGATGTCGCAAATCGATGTGGTCAAGCTACATGCCACTATATAGCGTCAGTTATGTGCTAATTGGAAATATTTACAACAATAGTTCGTCTCGAGGCCAAGAGCGTGACTTTGAGTGAGATGGAACAAACAAATTGAGATGTAAGGGAGTAAACGCTACTTTCGACTGTTGCTGAAGAAACTCTCAGTTAACGTACGCCAAATCAACACGCGTCTATACCGCGCATTGTTTTTCTCTCGAGCTCCTTGAATTTCGAGTCTCACTTTGGAAGAAATTGGCTAAAATTAAATTTTTTGATGTTGATTTGAGTCGATGAATTTTCCTGGCAGTAACTTCTCTTCGCATAGATTTAAGGTTTCATTTTTATCTGATGGAATGTTTGTTTATGGCAGCTTAACCAACTTTACATATGCAGGTTTATCTTTATCCACGAATATTGAAACTGTAGTTTATATAACTGTAACTTTTTGCTAAAACGTAATACTTTTTATCGAGAAAACAGTGAATAATTATTTTAGAATCGCTGTCTCTTTATCCTTTTGATGTGCTATCAAACATATACTTTTGAGCGTGAGCTCTCTAATCAGAACAAATGTGGGAGGATATATTTCATGTGTTAGGATAGGTTCCTGCAATTACTGAGAAGTAAAGAACATTAATTAATCCAAGCATGTTTGCCTGATTTTAACAATGACAATTTCTTCTCTCTATTTTTATTGGTAATAAAAGTGACTGTATACTCAGCTAAAAAGTTTCAATATTGCACGGCACGATTTTATTTACTGAAAACAAAATACATATATTTTCCTTCTTTGACTACGGGCACACTCATCTTCGACTGCTTTATATATTCGTATATACAAATCCTGTCGATAACATTGCTGGTTGTTGCAAATTCTATTGTTTATCTACAACACATACAGACTATTACTACACGGTTGTATTCGTTGTTGGTACTCATTTGTAAACAAACAGAGACTAAATGTGCGCAAATACCGCGATTAAAAGCAAGAATATCTGTATTTAGATGATGATCCTTTGCATACTTTCAGTCCACTCGATTTATATGAGTGTATTTTGACCAAGTACTATTAACTCTTTACAAACAGGCGGGCTATATACATACCATTTCAGATACACCTCTAAACGTAGTAATACTACATGTATAAATTCAGTCTGCGGCGGCTCCAGATAGCCAAAATCCAATTCTGTTCAATGATCATCATTTCGTGCGAGTTTCCAATCACCGATACGTGCAGAGAACTCAAAGACATGTATCTCAACCCTATGAAATGTACGTTCTCTTACAGTGTAATGTTAAAGAACACTACGAATATATATGTCATATCTTAGCGCACAGACTATGATGTTGAATTATGCACAGCTGAGCGGTTTCAGCTTTGTCATCATTCAAAAGATAGATCTCAGAGCAAGGGTATAATAGGCCCGTATCATTAAATTTCATACGACTTCAAACTTCTGAGCGTTTCAAACAGTGTCGAGATGTTCGATTTAAGAAAACCATAAACACACAGCCCTGTTATCAGAATGATATACAAACGAGCTCGAAAATCTATTGCAAAGCTCTTTCGACGATAAAGTACTGCAAAAACACTTCCCTGATATTTTAACATGGATAAGTACCAAGAGTGAATAGTGCTGATCATATTCGACAAAATAACTTGTTTTCAGACTACGCTGATGGTGGGAGATGATTAATCTAACACAACGATTGAGTGTGCTGTTTTTTAATTATTCTCTCTTCACTACGTCATTCTAGTCAGCTTATAACAGTGTTTCTTTCATACGCACCGTAGAACTCATACATAACGGAAGAATACTACTCTCTCCAAAAATGAACCACAAAAAGAAATAAAATCTCCTCATCAAACAATCAATACATTTAGGCTTTGGAATAAAACATGCAACAGCTTTCTTATAATGTAGAATCGCTGCCAATCAGTGTACCACGCCTGACCACTTCGCCATTAGTAGAAATAACATCTGAACTGCATACGTGCTCTACTATCATCGATCCCATTCTTCTACATCTCCAATATAGTCGAACTGTCTACAGTAATGTTTTCTTGTCCATCATACCCTCTCAGAAACAAAATCTAAACCGAGAGGATCACTCATAGACGCACCGCACTATGGCGTCTCTTGTACCAATCACTGCTCCGTTATACCTTCGTAGCTAAACCATACATTTTCACCGATGCACATGAATTTCTCACGGAAGAAAAGCATTACCATTCAGGCAACATTCACTTCTTACAACAACATTCGCTTTCTATACCTTTATTACTCATCAATGTCACGATGACCACACAACAAATGATATCTACTAAGTTCTCAATCGAAAAAGATCTGATCAACACAAACAGCCATCAGATTCACAGTCACTTGTTCTCCGATTGAATTTAAGGCCAGATCTATACCATCTTGGCGCTCTAAGAATCAGACAAAACAGAAATTACAAACTTCTTCGCCCACAGCATCAATCTTACTATATTCCTTTCCAATACATCTGCAATGTGTTGACCTATTTCATCACCGATTTCGCTCTTACTGAGGTCTAGTGTGGTGAGTGTCTGTAGGTGTGAGATAGACTGAGTGCTTCATCTTCTATTAAATGAGATCAATATTACCTTATTCGTTCGCAACGCATCCGCAATGTGTTGTGCTCCTTCGGCACCGATTTCGTTGCTCCAGAGGTTAAGTGTGGTGAGTGTCTGTAGGTGTGAGATAGACTGAGTGCTCCATCTTCTATGAAATGAAATCAATATTACCGTATTCGTTCGCAACGCATCCGCAATGTGTTGTGCTCCTTCATCACCGATTCGGTTCCCACTGAGGTCAAGTGTGGTGAGTGTCTGTAGGTGTGATATAGACTGAGTGCTTCATCTCTAATCAAATGAGATCAATATTACCGTATTCGTTCGCAGCGCATTAGCAATGTGTTGTGCTCCTCCGGCACCGATTTCGTTCCTACTGAGGTGAAGTGTGGTGAGTGTCTGTAGGTGTGATATAGACTGAGTGCTTCATCTCTAATCAAATGAGATCAATATTACCGTATTCGTTCGCAACGCATCCGCAATGTGTTGTGCTCCTTCATCACCGATTCGGTTTCCACTGAAGTCAAGTTTGCTGAGTGTCTGTAGGTGTGAGATAGACTCAGTGCTTCATCTTCTATGAAATGAGATGAGTATTACCGTATTCGTTCGCAACGCATCCGCAATGTGTTGTGCTACTCCGGCACCGATTTCGTTCCCACTGAGGTTAAGTGTAGTGAGTGTCTGTAGGTGTGAGATAGACTGGGTACTGCATCTTCTTCAAAATAAGATCAATATTACCGTATTCGTCCGCAACGCATCGGCAATGTGTTGTGCTACTCCGGCACCGATTTCGTTCCCACTGAGGTTAAGTGTAGTGAGTGTCTGTAGGTGTGAGATAGACTGAGTGCTTCATCTTCTATGAAATGAGATCAATATTACCTTATTCGTTCGCAACGCACTAGCAATGTGTTGTGCTGCTTCAGCACCGATTTCGTTCCTACTGAGGTCTAGTGTAGTGAGTGTCTGTAGGTGTGAGATAGACTGAGTGCTTCATCTTCTATGAAATGAGATCAATATTACCGTATTCGTTCGCAACGCATCCGCAATGTGTTGTGCTCCTCCAGCACCGATTCGGTTCCCACTGAAGTGAAGTGTGGTGAGTGTCTGTATGTATGTGATAGAGTGAGTACTTCATCTTCTATGAAATGAGATCAATATTACCGTATTCGTTCGGAGCGCAGTAGCAGTGTGTTGCGCTCCTTCAGCACCAGTTTCGTTCGAACTGAGGTAAAGTGTGGTGAGTGTCTGTAGGTGTGAGATAGACTGAGTGCTTCATCTTCCATGAAATAAGATCAATATTACGGCGTTCGTTCGCAACGCATCCGCAATACGTTGTGCTCCTTCAGCACGGATTCCGTTCTCACTGACGTCAAGTGTGGTGAGTGTCTGTAGGTGTGAGATAGACTGAGTGCTTCATCTTGTATGAAATGAGATCAATATTACTGCGTTCGTTCGCAACGCATCCGCAATATGTTGTGCTCCTTCAGCACCGATTCCGTTCCAACTGAGGTCAAGTGTGGTGAGTGTCTGTAGGTGTGAGATAGACTGAGTGCTTCATCTTCTATGAAATGAGATCAGTATTACCGTATTCGTTCGCAGCGCATTAGCAATGTGTTGTGCTCCGTCAGCACCGATTCCGTCGCAACTGAGGTTAAGTGTGGTGAGTGTCTGTAGGTGTGAGATAGACTGAGTGCTTCATCTTCTATGAAATGAAATCAGTATTACCGTATTCGTTCGGAGCGCATTAGCAATGTGTTGTGCTCCTTCACCACCGATTTGGCTGTCACGGAGGTGAAGTGTGGTGAGTGTCTGTAGGTGTGAGATAGACTGAGTGCTTCATCTTCTATGAAATGAGATCAATATTACCGTATTCGTTTGCAGCGCATTAGCAAGGTGTTGTGCTCCTTCAGCACCGATTTGGTTCCAACTGAGGTTAAGTGTGGTGAGTGTCTGTAGGTGTGAGATAGACTGAGTGCTTCATCTTCTATGGAATGAGATCAATATTACCGTATTCGTTCGGAGCGCATTAGCAATATGTTGTGCTCCTTCAGCACCGATTTCGTTCCCTTCGAGGTGAAGCGCGGTGAATGTCTGGATTGAGGTAATATATAATGAAAAGCGAAGTAGTAAAGAAAATCTTTGATGGCACTTCTGATGGTATGTATGTGATTTGAATTAGTTATTTGTGGGGTAGATTTTTAAGGAGGTGTTGGGTGTAGATGTGAATTCTTCGAGTGGATGATGATGCTAGTTGTTGTTCCGGAAAGAAGTGCTGTGTCGAGAATCTCGACAGGAGATTACCATGATAAGATGGAATCGGAAAGAGTAGGATATAAGGTTCAATATGTATTGGTGGTAATGAAATTTCTCTTGTCAAGATGCGCTGCAGTGAAATTCAAGTCCTACTGTTCTGAAATGTAGGAGCTGAACCTAATGTACCCGTGTTGAGAATGAATATTGGCATAGGTGATGCAACTGTACAATGTTGTTTGCATGAGTAGATGAGTTCCCTCAAAAATTGTAATTTATACAATTTTTGGGTGGACTAGTGCAACGTAGAAACGGTAACGCATAAGTAAGCGCTTTGCTCGTTCATGGTCGCGGATCTGCCGAATGCATCCTCAATGTACATAGAACAAAAGGGAGAGAGCGAAGGAATGGTTGATTTCATATGACTTCTGAATGTGATTGTCTCATCCTAGCAAACTGTTTGGGAATTATGAAATTAGTTTGGGTTGTCCTATGAGGGAATCTACGATATAAAATACCATTAAGCTTATGTATAGCACAGTCGACGAGAATGTTAAAATACCAAGTAAACTTACTTGATATCGCTGGTAAGTACTCAAGATCTGATTGAGCCGTCGACAGATATTTTGCATTGAACAAAATAGCGTCCGGCCATTTTGATGATCCATAATTCGATAAACTAGTTCGACAGGTAATGTGGAAAATGTGTGCATGTTGTATTTCAATCGTGCAGCAGACCGTATCGTAGAGACTGGAAGCGAGGAAAAATATTTGGTTTTGTTCGTTATGAGTAGCAATTCATGATGATAATGTAGATATATGTTTTTGACGAAAACAAATGACGTGTAATCATTTCAACTGGTATGAATTGTTGGCGTGCACAGATAGATGGCATTAGAATACGTATGCGTAGTGAATTCTGTTTTCACAGTTACAATGGTAAATTAAAAAATTGAAAACAGGACATCTTTTATGATTTTGGCATCGGTGTGAAGCTAGCACCATCGAGCTAGCACCATCAAACTAAGGATTTTCTGAAAACGAATTCCGGTCGATAAAACCGAGTGTATTCGATGCAGAATTTAATTCTGAGTCCAATGGTGACATTTTCATTCACCGGAAAACGTTCGGAGAAAAATTTTCTTTGATCTTTCTTTATCCTCGACACATGTATATGCATCATTTTTCGGCCGTCGGCACACAATATCTCTGTCCAGAACGAATTCCGGTTCATGGAAAAGAGTCTATTCGACGCAGAATTTGATTCTGCATCGACTGGTGCCACTTTTATTTACCGGAAAACGTTCGGTATGGAGCTTACCTTGATTCTTATTTTTTCGCATATATATATACAAATATTTTTTTTTTATTCGAAAAACGTTTTTCCGAACGTTTTCCGGTAAATAAAAGTGGCACCAGTCGATGCAGAATCAAATTCTGCGTCGAATAGACTCTTTCCCATGAACCGGAATTCGTTCTGGAGAGAGATATTGCGTGCCGACGGCCGAAAAATGATGCATATACATGTATCAGGGATAAAGAAAGATCAAAGAAAAATTTTCTCCGAACGTTTTCCGGTGAATAAAAATGTCACCATTGGACTCAGAATTAAATTCTGCGTCGAATACACTCGGTTTTATTGACCGGAATTCGTTTTCAGAAAATGCTTAGTTTGATGGTGCTAGCTCGATGGTGCTAGCTTCACACCGATAATAATTAACTATCAGGTCACCAGAGATTGACGAGAATATTTATACACTTGACTATATCCGATATCATATGATTATACATGTTTTTTCCGAGAATGGGTACCCTTTATTTCAAAATTTTTTTTTGCAATTCTCAAAAACTAACATCAGAATCGAGTTCCTCGACCCAAAAAACCCTTCGCTCAATTTTTAGAAAAGATATTTTTTCGTAAAAAAGTGGTCCCTTGTTTAAAAAAAAGTTTATAACAAAATTCGAAGAGCGAACATCAGATTTGAAGTCTCCGCAATGTAGTGCCTCTCAAAATATCTTTTCCGAAAAATCGATTTTCGATGTTTTTTTACCCTGCGGACATGCAAGCAAACAATTTATGTTTCTAAGACTCTTCTCGACGAGAAAGAGAACAATTAATAATTAGTTGGAACTGACTTCAGATTTGTATTCCTCGATTTCGATCACCTCTTGATCATACTTTACTATTATCAATTATTGTCGGATAATCTGTGAAGAAAAATGAATGAATGAGCAAACAAACATCAACTCATTTTTTCCGTGACACTAGCTCGACGCATTTACCTCCTTTCAAAAGAGGGAATAAGTCTAATCCGACGGGACTCCTGGTGTGACGGATTTGAATTGGATTCCGCTGGTGAATCTCACGTCGGATGATGCAAATTTGATGAGTGTTTTTTTTAGTTCTATTCTATGATGGACTTATGGTTACCTGCATCCAATCGGATCCGAGTGTGGGATTGGTCGACCTGAGTATTCTGCTTAATTCAAGTAGAGAACTTTCCACACATTCGAAAACGAGTTAGCAAACTGTGAACAGACAAGCTTCCTCTTGGAGTTTGTTCTGTTTGTAAACGATTTCCTTTGTGTTTTGAATTCATTAATATTATATTGCAGATAATCAAATTTGAATAAACATCCTAATCATCATCAAAGCTGTTCTGTTGATTTGGCTTGATTGCAATCAATTGTTTTTCTATTGTTGGTATCTTATTAAAAAGATGTTGTGCTTGTTTTATGTTGACCGATGAGCGATTTATTTATTTTGTTTTTTATTTGTCGATTCCACAAGAAAACTATGGGCGGCTTGTTAGTCTAGATATACGAGGACGATTCAATGTATATCTATAGATAAAGATAAGGCATATGTGTGTCAATATTATCATAATGACACGCACAGGAAGATCATCAACACGTCGCTGGAACTCATATGTTTAGAAAGCATGTTTTGTCAATGTGATTGATCAATAGGATGTCTGGTCTGCTTTTCTGTTCTTCGAGGATTTGGCAATATCGAAAAGCGGTTTTCAGATTCTCTGAGGAACAATCAAGGAAATCTCCTCAAGTTTTTCTTTGATTATAAGAAAATCATATCCACAATTATTGTCATATTCATTATGAATTTGAGTGAAGTGAAAGGATTGAATAATTCAAGCAATATTTACAGACTAAAAACAGGAATACTTCATGAAAAAAAATCGAAGATTTTGAGGGCATACTATTGTGTTGATTGACTGCCGAAAAAAGCAATGAAGAAAATCGAACAGGAGTGGGTTAAGGAACAAAGAGGTCTACGGGTGCGCAATAGATTGTCTTGATTTAAGAGTCTGATGATCGTTATTAGATTCCATACGATCTCGATTCTATTAGCGATGTACTCCTTCACTTGTTCTTTCAGTTCGCGTGTGCACTGAGTGAAGTCAGACATATAGTTGTTTCGTTGAGATTAAGGGCAAAACGAAGAGAGACTAACTCGACCGATAGTTTCGCTTTCTTTAACTGCATTAGCATCGTTGCAGTTATAGACGTCGTCTTTTTTTCTTCATCCTACGTCGATTCAAATAATGTTGACAAGCGAATCAATGTGAAAAAATCTAATTCGATGCCGAATAGAATGGAAATAGAGCGAGAAAAAAGGAAAAATCTAATAAAAATGAGGAAATACTATTGAAACAACAACTCTTTCGGGGATTAAAACAGATCTTCTAAACTGATTATCATCAGGTAGACGAAACACAATGCTCACCGAGATGTGTCTTTGTTTACAGATTAAATCACACGCAATTTGCTGAAACGAGATGTCGAACCGATCGTAATTGTGAAAGCAACAAAGATAATAACGATCGTATTTAATAGGTCGATCAGTCTATCGAGCTCTCTTAAAGCGATTCTCATCGGCAGCGACAACAACATCCAACGACCGCAATCTTATGCCGAATGTCTTAACGCTCACACTCGACTCATCTGGTTAGTAATTCATTTCTTTTTGAAAAAAACAACTTTTAAACGAAGAAAAATAATTAAGTCATCAGTACTGTTGTAATAAATGAAATTTTGTCCTGAAATAATGTAGTTAATTACATTCAGTATTTTACTAATGAGAGTATTAATATATCGCTTGAGTACTGATGTTTCCAAACCGGATATGTAGACTTTTACTTTGTAATCAGCCTTTTTGTTTTATAATGATTTATTAACATCTTTTAACGTATAATCTGAGCTAGTTCGTAAAGTAGGAAGTGGATCATGTCTCTCAAAATACTAAATGTATCGAAGAAATCATAGTATAAACCCTCTGACCTCGGTCGCTTCGCTTGTACTGTTAGTTCGTAGCAAAAACGCTTCTCTACTAGATTTATTAATAGATCGAAAAGAACAATACATGAAATATTATTCGCTTGCGTGGTATTCAGTTTCTTCATAATGCGTTTTCATGCAAATCCGTACACGCTAGTTAGTACATAAGGTTATTCTCGCCTTTGGTGATTAATTTTCAAATGTTGAATGTGAGAGACGCAGAATAATTACACTACAGTTCGCTTGGATAGTAGTAAAAAAAGAATGGAAAGTTTATTGTAATAATCAAGTCGTTGATAGGAAATTCATTATTAAGTAAATCAGCTTTGCATATATGTCCTCTTCATGCGATTTCAAAAGGAAATCTAATACTTGTTGTTTTCAACAGTTAAATAGCTATAATCCATATGATTTCGAAGAGTAATCGTGCAGCAGTAAGTAAACTGCTAAGTCGGATTACTCATGTTTAACTCTTTTGAATTCTATAAGTAGGAATCATTTTTCAGTTGAATATGTGAAAATATCCGATGAGAGATTTCGCCAAAGGATCTTGGCATTGTTTGCCCTGAAAGAGATCAGTAGTTCGACGTATGCTTAATAATTGGGAGAGATAATCGATATCTGTGGGTAATTTTATACATTTCTTTATTTACATCTTATTGATCTGTTTTTGTTTTTACTGAAAATGTTAAGCATCTCAAATAGTGATGACGAGTTATATTTCATAAATCACTACACTTTTGTCGTCGATAGACTTCAATAAATTTCCTTTTAACGGTCGAATGTCACCATTTCCTGAAATTTTCCGCTGGATCGAAGCAGCAAAATGACTTTCTTCTTCCTTGATCTGCGCATATGAACCATACATCATGGAATAAGATAATCAAGCACTCGTCGAGTATTTCTACCGCGAAATAACGTCACTAGACCTTCGATTATTCGAAATGTCTACATAAGAGCACCTTGTAATAAAGCATAATGCACTAAGTTAATTCCCATAAGTGAATTCATCCAATTCGAGATCTAAAATTAGTTTGTTCCTTCAAATTTGTTGGTTAGATCAAAATAGTACTCATCTATCAGCGAGAAGAACCATAATTGTCAACATTTGGAGTACATTTATTCTAGTGATACTTTATCAAAAGAATGATGACATTACGTGGGCTGATTAGATATGAAATTGTCATGATCTTGAATTGGTTGTGAGCTATTGTGGTATTTTGTTTAAGATTTTCTTGCCATCTCTTCTTCATGTTTCGAGGTGGAGATTCGATGATATTGAGTAATTGAATCGATAACCGATTTATTATTTATTTCTAATCTCTATCGAATATTCTTTTATTCAATTATTTATCAAGTTTTGGATAGGAAACAGATCTTCCATCGGCTCTTCACATGTCTAACACATATGTTGAGTGAAAAACTTGTTTTTGATCTACTAATTTTACTAAAAATATCAAACGAACGGTCGGTAAAACGCTCGATTTTCATTCTTTAACAACATAAGAAAGTAAATCTTACGTCAAGATGCCGTCTGACATTTTGTTTATATTTACATAAGCAAGAGAAGACTACTATTCAGTGCTAATCGACTTTTTTCATCATTTCAACCAAAATAATGATTTGATCAATAGTGATGTGCATTGAAAGAATGAGAAGCCTGCATGTTATCATGTTTTCTATCGTTTTGTTCTTTTTTTTTTGTCGCTCTTTCTCTTTTTCCTCTACTTCGATCATTCCAGACAATGTGAAGGTATGCACGCACATCATAATGATCATACGAGAAAGATCTCACTAACAATAAGCGAAAAATACCGATGACGACAACATCTTTCTTCTCTCTCTCTGTCTGTCTCTCATTTTTTTCCTAGACACTATAAATAATTTCCTATTTAATAAAAAAAAACAAAGATTATCGAGAACCTCAGGCTATCAATTGGTTTTATTTTTAAACTGTAGAAGATATGACATCGACGATGAACGAAGATGTGCAATCAGTTGTGGTGGGAAGTGGAACCGATCGAGTTGCCATCAATTTGGGTCAAGCGTCGACGGTGAATAAAGGAAGCTTTCGCCGAATTTGCATTGATGTTTACAATATTTTGTAGGATCAGACTCAGTCACTTCTTTTGACATCGATTTTGATCGAAATAGGCGATATCGAAATCCAAATTCGTCGATCTGTTCAGACAGCAGATACGTATCTAAAGAAAGAGAATAATCTTTCCACACCTGTCCGTCCTCCGAAAATAACGTATCAATATGGTGAAGAAGGAAAGAAGTCTGATAAGGAAGAAAAGGTGAAAACAACGCAACCCGTACGTTGGGATTATTCTGTATCCCGCGGTAAGATGCAAGGAACTTCCTTCATCATTTTTCAATTAAGTTTTCTTCTACTAAAACCAAGGTTAACGTAGATGAAGTTATTAAGAGAAAAACTAAATTAAACAAGGAAAACAAATCAAACGATCTCTACTTTTTCTAGCCAATTATTCGACTAATTTTGTTCTGAAATAATCATTCCCGTCAAACAATTAATTGATAGCAAATTTGCGAAGTTGATAAAAATGCTAAGGTCATCATTTTATCGAGAAGTCAGTTTATAAGAGAACTCATTAAAATGGAGTTTTCTGATTACCATGTTCTTTTCCGGAATAACCTCTTTGTCAGTTAATATCACATGCGTAATTAAACCACGACGAAGAATCAAAATGAAAGCTGATTTTCATCTAAGTCTATCGGTTTTCAAAGGTCCGCATATGTGGAGTCGATTATTTCCTGAAATAGCGTGTAAAAAATTCCAATCTCCGATTCGCATTTATACGGACCAGTGTGAATTCGATCCAACGCTCACACAACGACCATTTGTATTCACTGCTGGTGAAAATTGTTGTCAAACACTGGAAAATACTGGTAGTTCATTTCAAGTGACTGGTAGTGGACACAGTGGTGAGTATAGATCTGAGTTTTACTGTCGTTTTATGTCAGATAGAGATTTGATGCCGATATGGTTTTCTTTCAATAGTGATTACTGGTGGTCCGGTGTCTGATCAATACCAATTTCTGCAATTTCATGCGCATTGGGGCTCCAATGATCTCGAAGGTGCTGAACACGTTATCGATGGTATTCGTTTACCCGGTGAAGTGAGTATAAACGTGTTTGTAACATGAACTTTTCGCAATTCATGATCACAATAAATTTTTTAGTTGCATATTGTCACATGGAATACTAGTAAATATCGTACGCCGCAAGATGCTGCACTTTCGGAGCAATTCGATGGTTTGATGGTGTTTGGTATATTATTGAAAGTAAAAACAGATACAGGATGAGTAGATATGCAATGTTAATAATATTGTGTATAGGTTGTGTCGTCTGATAACCAAGAATTTGGTAAACTAGTCGATTTGTTTTCAAATATTTCTTACAATGGTGAAAAAATTGATTTGGATTATGAAAAAGTGTCTCTGAGTAGTTTTCTTCCAAGTAAAATCATTCCTCTGTATTTACAGAAAGAATTGTATGAAGAAAATTTCCATTTCAGACGATATGCAAAGTTACTTTACCTACAACGGTTCATTGACAACACCGATGTGTTCGGAGAGTGTTCGTTGGATCGTGTTTCGTGAAAAAATGGGCGTTTCGCGGCGTCAAGTAAGTCTCAACACACATTCGAATGTGCACCATGTATTTATATAATTCCAGTTTGAACAATTACGTCAATTAAAATCTTCGTGCAGAGGTGACAACACAACGAGTGGGTATATAATGCAAAATTTTCGTCCGGTGATGCCTCTCAATGGCCGTGTGGTCTATCGTTCATTTAGTTAAAATCAATCATTTACCTTTTTTTGTTAAATGTAGCTGTAAATAGCGTCTTTCATAGCAATACATCAGTCGCTTATAAATATATATTCATAGAGAGCAACATAGACGTTATTTACATATTTTTCATACGAGAGGCAAAAAATTTTATTTTTGTCTATTGAAATAGATGTTAATTGTATATTTATTTGTAGCTTGGCAAAAAATAAATGTGTTTTAATATGAAATATCGATGTTCTGAAATAAGGTCATTCGTGTGAACCGCGTATCATGCTATCAAAAACAAAGATTTTCATAAGTAGCTCAAGGATATAAGGAGAGATAGAGTACAGGATTTACTTGGGATCAGTATGATATACTTAAACTTCGTGTACTCAGGTGCACAAAGAACGCTGTATCCTATTGAGAAAAATCATTAAAAGCTTTTCATTTCTCACGAAATGTCGTGTGCCGAGATTATGCAAGAAGCGTCCAACTTCGAGCGACGTCTATCGTGGGTAAAAATATTTCAATATTAGAAAGAATACGTTGTCAGCACATATTTTATTGTAATAACAAATAAAAACAATTATTATGCTTTTTCAATTACAAGAGGTTCCATTTCTCCTTGCAATACTCATTTGGACCACCGTTTTTAAAAAGTTTTAACAGAGATTGGTATTGGTCCTTTCCTTCTGAGATTAAAATCTTGTCTCTAAAACGCACTATTTTTCTTATCAATATAGCATATCACAATTCATTTCTTTTCCAATGAAAAACGAATATTTTAGTCATTCGTATGGATATCAAATATTACCACATTACCTGGTAAAAACTATCCATATACGTCATGTCAAAAAGCAATACAGACGATTTCGCCTTCCTGCGTTCGATGCTTCAGTCCAATGACAACTTTCAAATTCGATCAGCTGGAGATTTTGATCAGATTTGTTTAAAACTTGATCATAGTATCCATATCACATGTTTTACCGATCCATCATCAGAGTCTTTATCAATCGATGCGCTGCATGATCTGCGAATATCAAAAATGACAAATAAAGATTCGTTGACAAATGCTCAATGGACTCAAATTCGAGATTACTTCGACGGACTCGTTCAACAATCTGATCGTAATACTTCTCTCTGTTCGATTGTTGAATCTGTTCAAGATTATCTTTCTAAAATCTTAAATGAAGACTCTAAATCTCGTTCATCGTCATCATTGACAACATCGAGAACAGATGCATCAACACCTGCGGAAAAGTTTCGAGGAGCGGATTTGATTTTCAATCGCCTAACATACGATCCAACCATTGATCATTCGAAAGTTACCATCGGCTATGAAGATCGTTTCACCGGTATACAAGAAATCGCATTTAATGACTTCAAAAAAGTCCATGACGATAAAGTAATGTACACGCTTGTATTTCTATCCGAATTTAAATGAAACATGTTTATTGATCAGTGTGGTATTCCTATGCATCGAATTCGTTATTATAAAATCGATGGCGAGGTCGTTTGGGATCGCGTGAAGAAGGTGGATATTTTAACTGGGAATAAAATTAATGTTGAAACGCCTACTGGTATGTACGTTGAACGAAGAGAAAGGAGTTTGCACTTCGAAGACGGGAACGAGTTGTTTTAACCTATTGAATACTGTGATTTAGAGAGTACAATTAAGTCGGAAACTGAATTTCTTTTATAGATATTGGAGAGCAACCAATGAATCTAGTGGAAGGAATGTATGAGTTCGATCAATCGAATCATCGATGGAACTTATGTCCACATGTGAATTTAGCGTCAGATAATACGAGGGAACCATCTTCAAATAATATGTGCATTCCCGAGCGATGTCAAATTATAACATGGAATATTCTTTTCGATTATTATCATTCCGACTCGATTTATACATACCTTCGATATCCTGAAATTTTGAAAACATTGAAATCATTCTTACCGGATATTATATGTTTACAAGAAATTACTTTGGATTTTCTCACTCTGCTTATGCGTGAACTATGGGTGCAAGAAAACAATTACTATATTATAATTATGGAAAGTATTGTCAACCGTAGACATGAACAAACGTTTGGACAAATCATTCTGACGAAAAATTTTCGAGCACGAGCATTCACAGTCTGTCCCGTTCAATTATTCGAAAATGCATCAAGAAGAAGATATACCAAGGAATACATTATCGCGCGATTTGGACTAAACTCGCAAGTCACAATCGATCTGGTTAATCTTCATTTACACAGTGATTGTTCGCACAATGCTGTAGATAAACGATGCCAAGCGTTAAAATATTTATTTCAAACGATGGATACACAAAATTATATGTTGATTGGAGATTTCAATTTTGGTGATCATCATTGGCAAGAACAGTATCTCCTCCAGAAATATCAATATCAAATACATGATCTATGGAGAGACATTTACGACATTGAAGAAGTAAGTTTAGATGAAAAAAACAACCACCATTGAAATTGTTTCTTCTTTGTTTAGAATCCGGGTTATACATTTGATCCATTGCGTAATTCTTGTGCGAAAATAACATCCAAATCGTCAGAAAGTCATCGTCTCGATCGATATCTACTTCATACATTACATAATCTTTCCTATTCCATTGAACATATGAATATGATCGGTCTCGAAACGATTTCCGTTGATTCGCAAAGTAACAAACGTCTCAATCAATCGGATCATTTCGGATTAAAATTAAAAATTCACTTTCGAACACGACCAGTTAGTCATCGATCTATGCTCGCCATTGCACTTCCGATGAAGATGGACTCAATGATTGAAACTTTTCGTGAACAGTATGATCCAATGATGAAACAATCGCCGTTACATGTCAAACTCTTCTGGCCATTCTTTGAGTTAGTCAATAATGAAAATGACGAAGAAAGTATTCTTCTTCCGTTGAGATTATTGCTTGGTCAATATCAATCGTTTGAAATAATCGTTGATGAAGTCGACTCATCAGCAGACGATCGTACGATAATGTTAAAAATGAATTTACAATCAGCAAAATCCTTGAAAGCATTACATGCACAGATTCAGCAACTCTTTCCACAATGTTTATTATTGAATGAGCAGCAATTTAATCCACATATCATCATTGCACAGTTTGATACCAGTAAAAGATTAAACCAAGCTAAATCAACATTAAGTAAGTCGAAAGAATAACCACAAGTGGAATTTTAATTCATGTTGTTAGATTTCTCCAATTCAATTCGATTCCCTGTACAGTATATTTCTGTTTTACAGCGAACAGACGTAAATGATACATCGCCATTCAGTGTAACTCATCAATTACCATTAGGTCCAGTGCTTGAACCTATAAGTCGTAATCAACTGTATGGAGTCGATAGTAGTATGAAAGAATTCTTTACAAAAATGAATCTTTACAAGAATGAACAATCTTATGAGCGTAAATGCAAGAAATCTAACCGATTGTCGCTTTGTTTCGAGGAAATTCTAAATGAGAATACGTTACATTGTTACAGATGTCTCTGTTTTTCGTACGGAAGTTTTCGTTTGGTAAGTTCTTTCTTGTCAAAACAAGTGCTTTACCCATCCGCTTTTCTAGGGTTTGCATGGCGACGATCTCGACATTGTCTTTGTTGTCGCTGAGAACGGATCTCTCGATAATCCAACAGTTCTTGACCAAACATTTCTTCGATTGAGATACGATTCATCTGCACTAACAAATCATGTCTCAGATCTACTCGAAAAGCAAATATCTCACTTTTTCAATAATGAAATCATCTATAGTCGAAGAATTCAAGCCGTCTATCCGATTCTCTCGATTTTATTCACTGATCAAACGAAAGTAGAAATATTCATAGAAATCAAAGAAGCTTCCATACTGAAAGAAACAAATTTACTATCAAATTTTCACGAACCAATACATGGAGTAAGTGAAATTCACCAGAAACTAGCTCATCCTATCCACTTCTTGGATTCAGGTTCACGATATCGAACGTCTTGTGGTATATGTTCGTTATCCACCCATCTTTCAGTATCTATTAACATTCATTCGCACTTGGGCTCAAAATACCGGTCTCTACGGTCAGGTCTATGGTTATCTGGGTGGTTACTCATGGGCAATCTTATGTGCATACATCTGTCATCAACATCTGCCCAAAAATCAAATCTGTTTTTCCATTGAACAGTTATTTGACTTAATCAAACTATTCTTTTCGTTTTATGCACATTTCAATTGGCCACACGACTCGATTCATTTACCGATGAAACTTCGTTATCTCGACGAAACATCAGAAGTTAGTCGTGGGTCAATGCGTATCTTATGCCCAACTCCACCATTTAACAACAGTGCACGTTCTACGACTACTTCGACTCGTGATCTGATCATTCAAGGTTTTCAGCAAGCATATGAAATACTGGAAAAAACAGCTAATTATGAAGATATTCTTCGTCTTCCCAATCAATTTCCTCATAAAACAATCCAATCTATAATTCAATTGACACTATCCGGTCAAACAATAAACGAATTGGAGCATTGGCTTGGCTACATGAAATCTCGCTTAGCCCATTTCTCAACCGATTGCGAAGAGGAATGTCATTTATTTGTACAGACTGATACAAAAACTGAAAAACGTGATACAGATCTCGAACGATTTTACTCCGTTGGTTTTCAAGTCGATGAACAAGTTCTCAGTCGTCATCGACAATTCTATTACGTATTCAATAAATTTCTCGATGAATTCAAAGTATGTCCATTTCGAAGTGAAACAATGAAGATATCTTTCAAATTAATGTCAATACACGACTGGAGTAAAGAACGTTTAAACTCTTCCGAGTTGAAGCACTAACAGAACCATTGTAAAACTTGATTCAAACAAGTGACATCTATCGGATCGATTTCTATTTGTTCTTTTCTTCAGGACGTATTTTCCAATTGTTCGCCGTCGATCAGTGTCCAATAAACTTGTATTTTCGCCTTTTCAAATAAAATTGTAGAAGATTTTCTCTTTGCTTCGAAGTATTTCATTGTTTGCGATACAAATTTAGATAGATATGTTATCGAATACGTTTGCTCGTTTCCTTACAGCTGTCCGTCCGATTCGTCATTGTCAACAACATTTACTTCGCTCATTGAGCACTGCTGACACTAGTTCAACACAAACCTCATCGAACGAACGTGAAACAGGAATTGTTAAACGCTTTTCGAAAGACAAAGGTTATGGCTTTATATCAAAAAACAGTGACGGAAGCGACTGTTTTGTTCAGTATGTTAATTCTAAATGATTTTGTTTGACCTTCGTGGCTTTTAATTCAAAGTTTCAAGAATATCAATTCCGCTGGATTCAAAACATTAGAACAAGGACAAGAAGTCGAATTTTCAATTGTACAAGGTGAAAAAGGAGTCGAAGCCAGAGTAATTTTCATTTCTTGACATAAATATGTATCCAGTCCGAATTCTTTTCTTGCCTCACAGGATGTAACAATCACGAAACCGAGCTCGAGTCGTTCGTCGTTTTTTGGCGGCTCATCAAACAATGATTCGACTTCATCGAAATTCGGTTTCGGTGCTAATGCACGAAACCAATCATCATCAACAGCATTCAGTTTCGGTGGCACTAAATCCTCTCAGTTGCATTCTACTGGACGCGATTCGACATCAGCGGGCAAATCGTTCGATTTCACTTCGGGTTTAACAAGTTCAAAAACAGACAATCTCTTTTCTTCGAGAAGAACAGCAGCAAGTGGTGAACGAGAAATAGGTTCAGTGAAACGATGGACAGAAGAACGTGGATTTGGCTTCATTCGTCGAAATAACGGTGGTCCAGATCTATTCTGTCATGCACGAAGTCTTAAAAATGGCCTACGATCATTAACTGAAGTACATCACCGTCAATTTCAAATATTCAAACTTATTTGTTTTTTCTCTCTAGGGTCAGACAGTTCAATTTACAATTCAACAAACAGATAAAGGTGAAGAAGCGCGCAATGTGACCATTTTCGATGAAAATGATTCTTCATCTGACTCTCGGGAAAATATCAATCCTGAGCAACGTTATACAGGCACTGTTCGAAGGTAGGATCATCTCAACTGGTTATTACTTCTCTAAATGTCAAATCAAACGGTTTCTTTAGATGGTTACCAGAAAAAGGTTATGGATTTCTACGACGTGATGATGCGGGAACCGATGTATTCATTCATCTATCCAATTTACCCGAAGGAACCACATCTTTAGAAGAAGGTCAACAAGTCGAGTTTAATATCGTATCCGGTGGCAAAGGTGTTACGGCAGAGAATTTAACTATTAATAGTGAAGCTTAGAATCAATCATATGTGCGTGTGTGTGTGTATGTTTTGATATAATTTCACGAATAAAAGCAAAGGAAAAGAATAGGAATATTTTAGGATATTTACAATGTCTTGTTTTTGTTTTGTTTCAAGAGAATAAAGAGAAAACGATGAGAAAGAATCAAAAGTTAGTCACTCAAGCACAGAACCTTTCTGCAAGTGATCTCAATCAGTTTCTCGCCGATGTGAAGTTGAATTATTCATTCGAAATCCTGCATGCTTCGCAATTATCCAATGATTTTCAACGACAAATTTTGGAGCTATTCGAAACGAATATGAAAAGCTCATACGAGCAGTCCAAAGATGGATACAATCAACAAGAGAAATCCGATGAATTATTCTCTGATCAAGCACGATATTTACTTATCTTATCAGCGCGCGATATCATCGCGTATGCGCATTTTCGCTTCGATATGGATTATGGTCGACAAGTTGTATATTTATACGAATTACAAGTGAATGGCAACTATCAAAGTCAAGGCCTGGGACAATGGATCATGGAACAATTGAAAAAAATTTGTGAAAGAACGCAAATGTCAAAAATTGTGTTAACAGTTCAAAAGCTGAATGTCAAAGCGATTGATTTTTACATGAAAAAGTGTCAGTTTGAACCTGATAGCACAGATCCAAGTGATGAAGATGTTGACTATAGAATTCTATCGTTTTCTGTTTAATCTCGAGTGATTTTTCGACTCCTTTCTACACATTTGACTAAAAAAATATGATCATCTTCTCATTAGTTCTCAATCAATGAGAATCGATTACATTTTCATCATCCAGACAAAGACTAACAATCAATATTTACAAGATCATATGTAAATAATGACAGCCATTATCCGCGAAAAGAAAGGGAGAGAGAAACAACGTGTTTTTATTCGTGTCACAATGAATCAGATTGTAATCGTGTCATTTCAAGAGTAAAGCCCAGCACTTCTTCTAGATTTGTTCCCGATGTTGAAAACGATTTTACTTCTTTCACTTTTCCTCTATGTTCAATCGTCTTCTATTGTTGATGTTGTCTTTACGGTGAAGAATCTTTCCACCAACGATCGTTTGAAACTGAACTTCGTCACTATGATCACTTCACTGTTTCAACACACATCAACCGAGAATCTTCATCTACATGTGATCGGTGATTTTGACAGTCATCATTTCGTCGAACAAACTCTTCATACTCTTCAATACACTCGCCAAGTAATTATTTTGCCTCTTAAAACAAACTTCATTATTTCCCTATCGTTCTTTCCCTTAGATTGACAAACTGAATATTGACAGTTTGACTACAAAATATCAACAAGTTATTCAACCACTGATTCGTCATTTTTCATCGAGCCATACTTATTACAAAGACCCATTGTTTTTCCTCTCGCCATTCTTACATCGAATTCTTCCGGAGAACATCTCTCGAGTGATTATGTTCGACATCGACCTTCGATTTGACGATGACATTCAACATCTGTATAAACTATTCGATCAATTCAATCAAAGTCAAATCGTTGGTATTGCGCGAGAAAATCAACCTGTCTATCGTCATCTTCTCTGGTCGTACCGTCAAGAAAATCCACATACTTTACTCGGTAATCCTCCACCTAACGGCACAACAGGTTTCAATAGTGGCGTTCTTTTACTTGATTTATCGAAGATTCGTCAATCGACTTTATTTAATAGTTACTTAGAGAATGCTTCGCTGATTCAACACTTAATTCATAAATATCACTTCAATCACCCACATTTAGGCGATCAAGATTTTTACACATTGTTGAGTTTTGAACATCGTGATTTGTTTTACATCCTTCCGTGTCATTGGAACCGACAACTATGCACTTGGTGGAAAGGAAAAGGTTACGATGATGTTTGGGATAGTTATTTCAACTGTAACAATGATCAAAAGATTAGTATATACCATGGCAATTGTAATACACCACTACCAGAAAAACTAACTTTAGAAAAACATGAACTTTAATAGAGAAAAAAACGAGATACTTTCCTTTTTTGTACTTCAAGAAACATAAGGCGAGAGAATAAAACAGAAGTAATACTTCTAATAGAAATATTTAAATTACTTTTCAGTTGGCAGCTGCAAAGGAAGCGTGTAACACATATACACTTACATCGCGTTCAAAGGCAATGGTAAGTTGTACCTCAAAGTATTTGAATGATGATAATCGATGAATTTCAGGCAAGACAAAATCGATCAGATTATGATGATGAAGAGTCGGGTGACGAGATGTGTAAGATATTAGCGTTCTTCGTCAAAAGTCTTTGATAAGGAAAGGATTCGTCTTCTAGATGAACTGAATGAAATCTTTTCTAAATTTAAAGACGATCCACGTGAGGATTGCATACGAGTGAAACATTTAACGGAAGTGATTCAAGCGCTTGGTCGTAATCCATCGATGAAAGATGCTGAAGAAAGAATCGATGAACTTGAAGCCATAGGTAAATTTTCAAATCAAAAAGCTTCTTTTCTTTGAAGGGAACTAGAACTTGCAAAATTATCACATTCTTCGTCTTTCATAACTTTAATTTAGAGAGTACTGTCGCTTAGCAATATGGAAAACAATAGCTTGCAGAATTGTGTCTCGTTTTAGGGAAATATGAACTGACACTCGATGATATTTTACAAATTCTTCGTGAACCATGGACGGTGGTTAACAATGATCGCGACGATCTTCGTCATGCACTAGAAAGATTCAAACATGAGCATGACGATTACATTGATGTTGAACGATTTAGTCAAGCAATGAGCACACTCGGCGAACCGCTAGCGAAAAGAGAAGTGGATGATTTAATACGATTAGGCCTAACTAATGATCAAAAGAAGATCGATATTGAGTGTAAGTTGGATTCGTGCAGTAGAATTAGTTGATCTTAGGCGTTTCTATTTATTTTAGATTTACTTGTTCAATTACTTGGTGACAATGCATGATCAATGAGCTTTTCGGAATATTTTCTTCTCTCATTGTATCTCTAATATGATAACAGAAAACAAGAACAACAAAAATATATGTAACAGTATCTGGCCTTGAGCAGCAAATTGAAAAAAAGAAAAAGAAAACAAACATTTTCAAGCAGAGAAAAGAATAAAACGAATCGATTAAGCATCGTGAGATAGTTGTTTATGAATACCATTGGATTTTTCATCGGTTTTAAGAAAACTTGTGGTATTTTTTAATGGACATAGGTAATAGAAATCCGGTTGAAATTCATCGGAAACAATCGAGGAAGTCGACAGACCGTTTTCAATGCGATCGTGACCATTTTTGTGAGAATCGATCGTTGTATCTGATATTTCATTTGTCCATGGATATGTGAGGATTTCTTTTAGGATTATATTACTTTGATCAGTGTGTTTCGATGATGACGGAGGCGAACTGAGAGATTGAGACGAACGACTGGAATGAACTGGATGATGGATGCCATTGGCTGTTGGCCATGAAGCGGATATGAGACAAGCGGAGCACGAAGAAGATTCAGCTGAAGTTGTTGTAGTTAAACTCGATATAGAAAACTGAAGAAAAAAGAAGTTAAGAGATGAGGAGTTGACGAGAGGACATTACCTGTTCAGCGCGCAATAATTCTTCAACATGATCGTCACTGGAACAACTAGAAAGATTTTCGTGTTTCCACTAGAAATTTCGACAAAGAAAACAATGAACGATAATGTGTGAAATCGAGAGAAGATAGTTACCTCGTGATTAGTAGGTAAGAGGTTGAATGACTCAAGTTCAGAATACCAATCAAGTTCTTCTTCGATTTGCAAATGATTTGGGTCTTCTTCTCGTACGATACTATCATTACTTTCAATTATTTTCATTTCATGTTTCTCTAATATATCATTATCGTCTTCATCATCGTCATCATAAGATTGAAATCGATTATCGTCGAAATAACACGTATTGTTCGCTGTATCATCATAATGACTATCGAGCCAAGCACGTAACTGTGAATCGGATCCATATGTTGTAAGCATGTAGAATTCCATTGCATAATCTCGTATTGTATCTAAATGATATACATTATGATTGATTTCATTATCTTTTGAGCAAAGTTTCTGATAAATATCCGAATCGGATAGAGTTCGTCGATAAAACAAAATTCGGCCAAGACGTTCGGGAAACACTAGGCGATGTGCCACAGATTTGCACTCAGTCGTAGTTGGTATTATTATCGATGGTGTTTTGAATTGTAGTGGTGGTGGCGGTGGTGGTAGTGGTAGTGGCGATAGTGATTCCGGTAATGATATAGACGATGATGACAACGATTTTGTACTTAATTGACTTTCATCACTGCTTATATTATCATCGATCAGAAGAAAGTATCGACCGTCACTTGCCATGTGAATATCTTCTTGTCGTACAGGACCATTATAAAAGGCTGGACTGGCTGATGTATCACTTGGCAATGGCGGAGCACGCGATAGATTACTTTCGCATGATGATCGAATACGTGACCACGATGTCACACCTGAAGAACATTGAATATCGTCAGCTGAGGAATCATTTGTCGTACTATCATGTCTCATAACTGTGATCGATGCATCTAAAGAATCATGTCGAATATCATCAATAGAAGTGAAATTTGTTCTAAGAAAAAGAGTAACTTACTGCTTTTCAATAGTTGTCGAATATGATAGTGTTCATTGAGACTATCTGCAGAAAGGTCACGTGGAATGGCTGAAGTTGTTGACGAAGAATCATCGTTTGTTTCGCAAGTGTGATTGATGTGTAATGGATGTTCTATTTTTGTTTGCGATATTGTTGAACTTGTTGTTGTTGCGGTCTCGTCAATATGCAATTCATGGTTTTCGCGTGACACCGTCGTTTTTGCTGTCGTTGGGGTCGTTAAGTGACACGAAAATGTTTTCAGTTCTTGACTACGAACAGGTCGAACAACCTTAACGGTATTGGCAGAAAATAATGATCGTCGAATGTTGTTAGCGATAGGTGATGGCGAAATAGCAGAAGATTTCTCTTCGATTTGATTAGGTGATACTTTATTATTTTGTTTCTCAGCCATTAGTACGTCAAGATCTGAAACACGAGGCGATGTTGTTACCGAGGAGCATGGTGATTGAACAACAACTGCAGGTATTCGGTTTTTCGGCTGATTATTAGTTGTGCACATTTTCGATTTATTCACGGCAGTATGTGCTGGTCGAGGACGTGTGATTGTGCCGGTAACCGATCGTAATTGTTCAGGTGATTTTGTTGCAGTTCGCTGAGGACGAACGATTTTGCTGGGTGTAGTTGGAGACGAGGAGATTGTTCGTTGGTTTCTCGGTGTAATATTTTGTGATCGAATTTGAACCTGAGGTGACCGTTGTTGATTCGGTATTGCAGGAGTAGGTGCGATTGGACGAGAAGGACGAACAGGTGTCGTATGTAATATCTAAATTATCAAGAAAGAATAACATAATAATATTTTTATTAATTATTTGAGTCGTTTTCCTCTTCTTACTCGAGGAGACCTTGAAATATTTGTTGACGTCTTTGCCGGTGTATTTTTAACGGTAGGTGTTGTACGTTGGGATGCTAATGTAATATGTGCACGAGAAGTAAATTGTTGACTTATCGGTGATGTATTGACTGTTGATGATGACCTTTCGTGATTCGAATATGTACGTTGTTGTTGTATTTGCCGAGTTTTATTTAATATCACCGGTGTTGTCTGACGGTGTTGAGTTGCAGGTGATAAATGTTTTTTACTTGTACCGTTCGTTTGATGAGTCTGATTGGTGTTGTTAATTCGATGGTGCTGTTGAAGAACGTATGTTGTTGAACGTACAGGTGAAGATATCGGACGACGATTATGAGATAAGACGGGTGTACCTTCAAGAGGTGTGCTGTTTACGTGTGGAGAACGACGTTTGTTGCGAAGTAGTACCGGTGGAGTTTTTTCGTAGTCACCATCAGGTTTGTGTGATGCAAAGTAAAGTTCATTGGTAAGCCCAGTTGATGAAAGACGAGATTTGTATTTATTAGCGGCCAAAGTAGGAGAATAAACACTTGATCGACTTTCACTAATGTGCAACTCTATTTGTAAGAAGAAATAAGAAAAAACGCGTAAGCAAGAAGTAATTCCAAACAAAGATCTATCTGCTTCAAAGGCAAACTTATCTTACCAGTACAACAAAGTTTTCTATAGAAACGCTTTTTATTTCTACGTCTCTTCGACCTATTTGATAAAATTCCTGTTTGTTGATGCTGCACTTTCATCTGTCTGAGCATTTCGAACGCCAACTGTCTTCGTTGTCGATTTATTGTACGAAATTTTAACGGTGATGCTAGACGCGTTTTACTACAACAATTAGCTATGAGGCTATCGCATTCGCCGTAGTAGTATTGAACGGAATCGTCCTCGTCGTCCTCGTTTAAATTAGTATCTAATATGACCATATTTAATAAATATCGTTTTGTCTAGAGAATAGAAGCGAAGTTGGTTTTTGTTTGTTGACGCGCAGCGAAATTCGATTGTAAACGAATGATAGGAAAGATAATGCGCTTGTTCTTAATCTTGATTTATCCCATTTCGGACAATGTCCCGAATAAATGGTTTGTTTTCTGTTGTTGGGCGACAAACAGATGATGATGATGATGATGATGGGAGAGGAGAAGAGTCAGTGAACACGAAAGATAAACAGCGTGTATAAATAATGGCCATCAGAGACAAAAAAGAAAGGGCTTTTGCTTTCTCTTTTTCTCCCTCTCCCTCTCTTTTGTTTCACAAACCGTTATGACAGTAATGTTAAGAGAGAACACACAAGCGGGCGGGAGGTTATTAATTAAAATGAATAAAAGCTTAAATCTCTTTGTACGTGAGTATCTCTATATGTATGTATATGCATATATGAATGTCTCTCCTTTCGTCTTTCGTCGTTTCTGCACTTTATCAATACATTATTGATGCATAATCATGACTGACTTGTTCGATCTTACCAACATTTGTTATATGAACAAGTACCGCCCAATTCTGAGACATACATTGTCGTGATGTCGTGTCACGACATATATTCTATACGCAACGACGACGACAATCGATACATTGGTATGGTATCGTCTTCTTTGTCTTACGTTTTCTTCGATATTGAATTTCATTGAATCATATCTCTCTGATCAGGTTTATTCAAACTAATTGGCGAACTTCTTCTGCTAGTGAAAATATAATTTAATATACGTCTACGATAGGTAATGACATTCTCATCGAATTTCCGAGAACACGTTCTTCTGTCATAGCAAATAGTTAAAAATAAACTTGATTCAAACGACTAACAACGCCTTCTTTTCGTGAGTTATTCATATTCAAATTGAAAACATATTCTTCACGACAAATGTAAAATAGAAGTTCTTGATTAATATTTATTTGTAAGGAAAAAAAATTTGTTATTTCTTAACCTTTGCCGACTCTTTTCTCTTGTTTTCTTTTTCAATCGAGTAGAACAACAATGGAAAAAATAGTACCTTACCTTTGCTATGTATGTGTCGAAATATTCTCGTCAGTCGACTAATAACTCTATTTTTCCTCTCTGTCTCTGTTTTCTTTGCAACATTCGTTCATGTCCATTTTCCTGTCCGTCAGCGCTTTTCTAGTCTCTCTCTCTAATCTTCGCAGAAAGTCATCGAGGCTTATCTTTTCATTTCACTCTTTCACATATTCGAGTAAATCTAATTATTTCTGTGTATCTATGCGTACAGTAGATAGTAATGCAAGAAATCAATTACATCACACTCATCTGATGTTATTTCATACCCGTTGGCTGATCTATCTTCATCTTCAAATCATCTTTTTCAACGATCATCAAGTCTCGATGGAACCATGTGGATTGATCGTTTGTCGTATGACGATTTGGTTGATTCTAGAAGATTCAATAGTGAAAACAAACAAAAGATCTTTCGATTATTTTAGTACCGAAGAATTGGAGGTAAATTGACATGAAATACTACGTGCATTCCGAGGAATAGATTCATTCTAAAGAGAAAAGTAAACAGACGAATCCACATGTGGTATAGATAAAGTAAATATTGTTCTTACCCGTTGCACTTTCTTTCTTAACTGAACTGTATCAAATGCATTGTGTATATCAGTACATTGTTTTTTTAATTCCTACAAACACAAACAAGATGATTAACAGAAACTAACAAGAGCGAGTAAAGAAAAGGTCTTCGATGTCTGAAATCCTATTCTGATAATTGCCCACCTGAGAAGATGTATGATTGTCGCGCGGTGTGATACATTGGCCAAACAAGTTTTGAAACCAGCGTCTTTTGCTTCTCGTCATTCTTTCTTTGACTTCTTTTATTTATCTGTCACAATTATTAAGGCTTTCTTTTATTTTGACAGAATATTTCAAAGCAAAAAGACGACGAAAAAGAAAGTGGTTCTTGAGTTTTTATTTACTTCTCAATAAACAAAGTGTTGGTTAAATTTTTACTGTTTCGAGAAAAAAAAGAAGGAGAAAAAAATTTCATTTCTGCTTTCTTTCAGCAGCCATATATATTCAGTCGTAATTTAAGGAGACTCAAAAACATATACAACCAATGTACGAACAGAAGTTAACTTTACAAAATCAGAAAGGGGAAGAAAAGCATACAAGAAACCTCTATAGTGCATCATTTCATGCACATGTTTCGCAATCATAATAGTTTTGAAAGAGAGAATGCAATCAGAGAAGGAGATAGAAGATATACATATCTAAGAAAGCAAAACGAATGATAGCAGTTGGAGATATTTGAGAGAAAGAGAAACGAGTGCACACTTATGCTCATCGCGTTCAAACTACTCCTAAAGTAACAGACACACGTCAATTAAAATATAAAAAGAAGAGAATTTTTGCTAGATAAGAACTGCTGTCCGTAGAAGAATACTTACGTTTACATAAATATGAACAAAGGCATCAATTCAATAACGACCTCTGCACAAAACTCGAAGGACATAAAAACATAGAACTGTTTCAAAAGATGTTCTCGTGTTTTATTGTCTTCATATGTTTCACTCAGTAATTGAGGAAATCCAGAACAATATCAAATGAGACATACGAAGAAATATAAGATACTTTCTTATAACAGCTTTTCTTCTAAGGCGATTGTTGTTTTCTTTCAACTTCAAAGAGCACTTTTCACATTAAAGTACAACACAAATTCTCCGTTTTGGCAACAAAGGGTAAATAGTGCGATGTCTTCTACTTCAATAGACATTCATTGAAAAATTGATTAACAACGTCTTTAACAAACATGTTAAGCACGTTTGACGATATTTCGGCGTTTTCAAAGTTTGGTCATAAAGGTCGACTAGCACTCATTTGTCTTCTCAAGTAGCATAAGAAGTGAAAAAACTCATAATTTCTCAAGGGAAGAAGAAAAAAAGTTTTTTGCTTCACTTTTCTTATTTTTATTTGTTTATTTATATCCTACCTCTTGAGTAAAGAGTAGTTTGATAATTAGATCAGTAACCGATTGCAGGCATTTCTCGCTTTTGAGCTGATAGGTTCGATAGTTAAGATGCAGCTGTCGATTTTCAGTTTCTAATTGTTCGATACGCTTCAATAAGTAAATCTGTTCATCGCCGATCCATCGTTGATACTTGAAAAACAGAATGTGAAAAAAAAGTATAGCAACAATATTCCATCTAATCGTGTTGTTTTTTATGCGAATAATAAAAATAACAATAAAAATAAATTACCTTTTCATCGAGTTTATCGAAACGTTCTTTTAAAAGGTGGTTTTCATTCGCTAATCTATCCATAGTTATTGTGACTGTTTTCAACTGAAAAAAGAAGAAGAGAGAATAACATGCAGAATGTTTCGGCATAATAAAAACTGAATTTTTACGTCAGTGTCCGCGAAGATTGATGACCGGCTGTGTTGGATGGACCGCTTCCCGGAACACCGTAAGCGGTTCTTCCATCGCCGAAAGATTGTGCTCATGCTGTGAAACCAGCTGATCTAGAAATAAGAAAAGTAAACTTCGCGGAAATGCAATGATGTTATTACAGAATGTGTCACATCGTTCTCTCTACCTTGCTTTCAATTTTCTCTTTTGTCTTCCTATGAAGAGTCGATGCTATCCTCGAGCTGCTCAAGTCAACAACTAAAGTTAGCCCATAGCAAGATTGAAGTAGTATGTGTTCGCCAATAGTTGCTTGAATAAATAAAATCTCTCATTTTTTCCTTTCTCCTTTTTTTTCTGCTTCGATTAAGACTATCGTGTTCGTTTTACCTCAAAAAAAAAAGAGGAGAGGACAATGATGAAGGGAAAAAAGTAAGCGAACACAGAAGAGAATGACTAGTAGAAGAAGAAAAGAAAAAAGACATACACTCTGATGTCAACTATTCAACAAAACACATCAGAAGTTAAGTCGTCTGTTACATTCCGAAGAATTCATGTGTACCTCCTGTTGCGTTTTGAATTCTTCGTTTGATCCTAAGAGTGAGAATGTCAGACACACTAATCGATCAAAAGTATATACATTATTTCTCCTCAGTCACAAAACATTTCGGTGACATTTGAAAATAGAAAAGCAATACGAGACGTGTCACAGACGAAAAATGAAATGTACGTCGATGAAATTCCACGACTCGTTCTCATAATGACTCGCTTGTTCTTTTGTTCGTGTGCATGTTCATTGCATTTATTCAATTGCTAGATGACAAACACCTCCGAATGCTTTAATAGCATCCATGCGTATTTATACAGGTTTATATTCGCTTCACTGTTCAGATTATTCTTTGTATCCATTTCAATTCTATTATATTTCAACGTCGAGAAAATTATCGGCTGAACCCAGGTCACTTAGATAAATAAATCATGTAGAATCGGTTAACAACGTCATTGTGAAAGGAATCTACTCGTGAGTAAATTTCCTTCCATTTCTATTCATATTAAACAATCAAGAAACGAAGAAAATAGATTCTCATTCTTATCAATCTATGATATTCCACTCGCATGAACTTGTGAACAAATCATTGGGAACTAATCTTGTCACCTTTCGAACTGCGATGAAGTTTCTCCTTTGAAAAGTTCCTCCCATCCATTTCAATGATTGTCAGCTCAGTTACAACACTACTCGTGGTCACCATTGACTTTTAATATTTGATATTAAAGATGCGAAGTATCACGAACAATATCCATCAACTTTTACTTTTCACAAAAAGTCAAGCACTTTCTTTCTTTGTGTTAATTACATCTTTCATGTTGATACTTTAAACTTCACGATAATTCACATCAGACAATTTTACGATCAGAACTTCAGAACAAATGCGAAGAATTGTTTTGAAATTTTTGTCGAAAACAAATATTCATGCCAAGACAATCTTTGTAGATTACATCTTGACATAATAAAATTAACAATCTATTTATCTATGAAAAATCTTGTTTGGACACGATACATCTATGATAATGACACTCATTGATCAAACATCACACGAACTGTTTGTTAATCATGTCTATCATTTCAATTGAAGATATTCGTTCTTCTCTCTCTCTCTCGCACGCGCGCGTTTCATTCGTAGATACGGAGAAGGTTTTGTGATTTCATTGAACTCTAGTCTTAATTTCAAGTCCCAAGTTGACAGATCGATTAGTATTCATAGCTCTATGTAACACAATAGAAGAAAAATTTCTTTCGCTCCATTGTAAATCATTTCGATGAATAGAATGTTCAGTTCTGTGACGACGTGTGACAAAAAAACCGGCGAGGAAAAACAAACGACGACTTACAATGAGAAGATAGATTAATTGAAATAGATCTTGAATCAATCTGAGCAGTGGCATGATGAACAAACAACCAAGTAGACCAATATCAATTAAAATTGCCCATGTTATTAACATTTTGGCTGACCATTTCGAATCGTTTTCATTACTCATGACCACCGATTATGTGCTTCATTTGGCGACACTTGCTTGCAACTTGAAATCAATCGAAGAAACGAATGGAGACGCCGTCAGTATGTGGCAGAGTAATAATGCCATGTGTATAAGACAGAAGGAGAGAGACGCATCAAATTTCTTGATCTGAACGATGGAAGAGAACACAAAAAACGCGAACGGCAAGAGAAGAAGAAGAAATGATGAGAAATGTGTCTCAATATATATATTTTCTTGTTTTTATGCCTTCTACACAGCATCAGTTCAGAGTGTTGTTCATCGCAGCGTGCGCGACACTGTCGAGACTACGATAACGGACAAAAAATTCATTCTAGAATAAAGAATGGAAAAAAGAAAGAGAAGAAAAATCTGCCCTTCTTTTGTCAATTTCTCTTGTGGTTAAACCGTTACTAATTGGTTTTTTTCTCTTCTGTTACCTTTCAGACAATGGAGAAAGAGAGAGAGAGAAAAGTCGTATTTCATGTTTCTATTCTTACAATTTAACTGATTCATCGGATCATCTGACATGATCTTCTGTTGATAATTGCATGCGAAAGACGCTTGAAGATTGAATATCAACGCACATTCTAATGTCCGCCGAGATAACGTAATTGATTAATGAGAAACGAGTCACAAAAAACATGAATCTGTTCTTAATCAATTAACATTTTCCTATACATGTTATGAAAAAGTCTGGTAATTCCGATAATTACGTGTATTTCCTTCTCCTGTTCATCCATTGTAGCAAAACTTGTGCCCGTAGCACTGACATTATCAAGCTACGAGATTGTATAATCATTAATCAAAGTGATGCATATCATTTCAATTATTTTCAAACCAAACAAACACATTTTGTTCTTGCACGGGAGTTAAGTAAATATCTTGAAGAAAACACTTTTCTTCAAATTCAATTTTCAATTGTTTACCTACCAACTGACAACAATAATGAACGAATTCATATAAAAACTCCTCGAGTAATTCTAATGCAAAAGAAAATTACGTTCGATTATATTCTCAATATGCATCGTATATAATTGTTATAGACTCTGTGTGAATAGTTGTTATCAGTTAAGAGATCGACGTGTGACGATGTCACAATTGAGGTCGAAAAGGAATGATGAAACAAAGCTTTTAGTTCTGATAAATAGCAATAAATCAATTTTGATTACTTCATCAAGTATTATTTTTCGTATTCACGTTTTCTCGATGAATTGAAATATACATAAGAGTCAATTGGAAGAATGTTGGTATAACAGCGCGAATTCGAAGAAAAACGACGATGACGTTGATGAAATGACTTACGACGAAGGAACACATCGAATCAATTAATTAATTTTTAACACGTCCGGATGTTGATCGGGAAATATTTGATGAAATATATCTGCAGTCTTGTTCAAAATGTCGCTGCTTGAATGAGCACATTTTTCATTTCATCAACAATTCCGATCTTCTCACAAACAAGCGCAGTAGACGGATGTTTACAACAAAATGTTCTGTTATAAACCTCCGGTGCTCGGTAAACGGTACGAAAGGTATTACAAATATCATTGAATTGAGAATGCTCGTTGGGAGGAAGTTTCTAGTGAATAGTCAAGGTGTTTTCTTCTTCATAATATTTTAATGCTCCGAACTAATTCTTTTCATCATGATAGATTATTCCAATGTTATGATAGAACATACCAACTCGTAAATCATTTTCACTATATGCTTCGAGCCAGATTTGTAATACTTATTCTTTGTTTTGTTTTTTTATAGAATAGCTTCGATACTGTTGAGACTGTAGGCGAAACTAGGATAACTTCATCGATGAATTTTCTTCTTCATTTGCAAAGATTCCAAATGATATTCAAAACTTTGATCGTATTTTCTTTGATTAAAGCTTTATTTCCAAGTAAATGATAGATTTTAAGAATCATTCGCTTGTTTTTCGTGAAGAAATTGATGATAAGTAGAACACGCTGGAGATTGTCTGGTATGTATTGAATAATCAAGAAATAATGCGGCTTCATTGATGTTTATGCTCGCTGGTAAAAATATATTTGTTGAAGTGAACTATCCAGTAGAATTTTTCGGTCTTTCCGATAAATAATAAGAAAAGAATTCCCTTGAAATTCGTCAAATGTACGACGTTCATTATCTATTTTATTTTTACATAAACGTATCAATTGATCGAAACGACTTTCACACGTAGAATAACGTCTACTGAAGTCTTTTTAAGGTTAGAATATATCGAGATTGGCTCGATGAATTGCATTTAGTGTTCGTTGACGTAATGACACATTTAACCTTGACACTTGTGTGCATTGATTCTGAATACCAGGAACATATTTTATTGATGTTTGAGTATATTCTTCTTTCATCTGACGTCATGGGCAACGTCCTGTGAGATATATTTATAAATTCAATTGTTATTCTTCGATTATTCGGTTTTAAAATAAGCAGACAAAAGGAAAAATACTGATATCAAGTAAATTGAATATTTCAGTGAGGCAAATACAATATTTACTGGTCTACTAACAGAAATCTATATCAATGTGATCCAGGGAAAGTGAATCGTAAGTCCCCAGATCCCCTCGATCCTGTGATTCCAAAAAAACTTGTTTTTCTCTTTATTTATCGTACGTGTATTTAGCCCATCTGATGTATTTTATAAGATGTTAGTGATTTGCTTCATCTGATACAGGTTTATCCAAAGAAAAAGAATGGAACTCACGATCTAGAACAATCCAAAACTGAGGTTTTCTCCTTCCAGTAACTCATTTATAGCATACGATGGCATTTTATGCTAATAATTTTAATAGAGTAGTTTTTATCTGATCAAGTTTTAAAGCAGCATATAGGAGAAGTAACGTTGCTATCTGTTATTAAAAAAAGAGTTTAACCAAAATAAACATTTGTACTGTGGAAATACACCTTTATTCACCTAAATATATATGTTTAAATTGTCAGCGTTACTTCGATCATCGTCAGTAGTGCGCTGAGAAATATAAATGATAATAATAAAGGTTAAGCAGGAACAAAATATTCTTTTTCAACATTAGATTTATTCATCAATGTAACTGACAAAGACTTGAATATGACAAAGCTAGCCACTAAACTTCTTGGAATTGAAATATTCATGACACCAAAGATGTTATCCATTAGAAGCGGTTGCTTCTCACAAAGTCAGCGGATATATACAGATATATTACATCGATTCAGACACTATAGCCTGCGAGTTTTGAATATCTCATATCACGATGAGTTCCTTGGCGAATGCTAAAAGCTATTTTCTGTATTCACATAGCAGAACATTGTAATTATAGTTTTAAACATGAGCAGTCAAGGAAAAGTTCACACTGGATGGAACTTCATCTGGAAGAAAGATGATTTTCTAATGGATAAATTATTATGATAATATGAAAAGGATATTTCAACAATCAAATTCATAATTCCAAAAGAAAGTACTAGTCTAACCTAACTAAAAACATTTTATATTTATTTACATGACATACAGAAAAGAATAGAATAACACCGGTGACAATAAAGAAATCGGCATCATGTCAATCTAAATACTGATCTCATTAGCGGATTCGACAAATCTTCTTGTCCATATTTCTGTAGAGCATTGTCCATTGTATCCATTAGCAATTGGTAACGTAAAATCTGCATGACTATAAGGCTCATTGATCGCTGTGCTTCTTGTTCGTCGAATAAATATAATAAATATCGCCAGAGCAATGATACATAGAAATTTTGAATTTCAAATAATCTCCGTCGATTACGAAAGTCGATATCTTGCCTACTATCACGTGGTGCCGATAGATTCGTGCTGAATATGAAGGCAACCAACGTGAGTTTCAAGACTTGTGGATAAGCCATGAAACGATCAAATCGTGTTCGTGTCTGGGACATTTGACGATGGAAATCTTTCGTAATCCATTTAGACATATGTTCCCCAATGTGAGGATTCTCTCGGAAATTTTCCACAAGAATCAAATGTAAATGTATGATGTTCTTTAGGTTACATTTCACCAACAGAATCTGATCGTTGAGATCGAATTGTTTGAATTCGGGGATGAGTTTATAAAAATAGATTAAGGATTCGTGATTGACGTTTTCATCGTTGAGAAATTGTGTTAATGATGCCGATGAGGAGTACTTGGCGATGTGTGAACAATTAGCTCGCTCAACGCCAAGTTTATGAGTATTTATGACATTGTTAATCAAAATTTGATTTTCCAACGCTAAGTGGCGATGAATTGCAAATATATTCGTCTGGAAACTCTAAAAAAAAACCAAAGAGGGTCATGTGTGAAAAGAATCGATTCGATATTTACAAGTTCAATTTTGCACGGAGTAGCATCTTGTGATTTGTACTTGGATAAAAGCGGTTGAATCCGTTTTTTCTTCCGAGCCACGATGGGAATGGCGTCTAACGAACGGTGATCTAGTGGTAATTTGTTCAGTTTTCTTTGTTCTTTATGATAATTCTTCAACAAACGTAAAGTGCGTTCTTCTTCAGTGCGTATCCAATCTTTACGCATATTTATATCGAAACACTTCTTCAGTCGACAATATGTGCATTGACGACGTGTATGCACATTTATCACACAATTTCCTGAATATCGACATTTGAAGTTAGCCTAAAACCTCAAGAGACTGTCAACAAGCGACATTCTCATTTGGTAGATTTACCATATTTCTCAAAGCATTTCGACGAAAAAATGCTTTGCATGATTCACAAGTGATCTGATCGAAATTATAACCATGGGCAGGTGCACTACAAACACTACAAACTAAATTGACGTGGCAATTTTCTGATGGGTAAGTATCATTTGAAGATGCTTGTAAAATAAACTGGTCGTTCTGAAACGAAAAACAAATTTCCTCGATAAATACAAAGTATTGCTCTTCGTGATCTTCATACTTGAGATGATGATGAGGTGAAACTATTGCCCATGAAAATTTCCTCCGAATGAATTTTGTCCGCAAATAAATACTCGTCGAAATCTATTGGAAACCTATCGGAAATTGCTACTGGACCAGCACACGATACCATATTCCAATAAGCATCACTCGATGTTGTCATGACTATCGTATAGGGTAAAAAGGCAATCCGTCAATGACCTCTACTTTTCAAAGCAAGGAAAATAACGTTGGCAATGGTTCCCTTATTTTACAGTGAGACCTGTAAAACACATGTGAAACTTCTCAGTTGTATATTAAAAGAGCTTTATTTTTCATGAAAACGCCTTCAGATGAGCCTATAGCTAATATTTGATTTGATAGATTCTATTTATATCGTCTTATTTCTGCAAGCATCTGTTGTATTTTCGAATAGTTCCTCATCTATCGAACAAAAAATAAAATAAAACGATATACCACTCTGTAAAAAATGCAGCTGTAGCGGGGTATCTTGTTTTTTCCTCGTGTTGTCAATGAAAAAAAGCATCGACTACTGTCAAGGAAAGAGAAGGCATGTGATTTATCTTACCTCGTTGTGCACGACGAATGCTAAGCTAGTTTCGTTACGTCGGATTAATGCAGTAAGATCAAATGGTCGTTATCGATGTCAGGTTGGTTTTTGAATCCTGTTGTTGATGGATGTGTAAAATCCTACAGCAAAAAAGAATAATGGCGAAGTGTTTTTTTTTTCTTTACTTCTTTCTTTTTTCTTGTTTGCGGAGTCATAAAAAAAAAAGAAAAACGTTTGGTGTGTCAGGCGCTCAGGGTGTGTATATGAATAAGTGAGTCAAAAAAAGAAAGAGAATGTTACTGTGTTTATCGTTTTCAAACTATGTTGTCTTGTACTTAGAAATTCACTTAGTCAAGCTGAAATCGCAAAACTTACAATATGAAAGGTTTTTCCTCCCGATGAAATCAGCACTCATATGGTTCAAATGTATATCATGCTCACTGTTGGATTGAGCCATTGAGAATGAAAACTCAATGGCGACAGAGACAATTCTTCATTTGCGCAAATGAGAAAATCGTTGATTACAACGTTTGTTTTGCATCCCATCAACAAAACTAACGGAAATAAAACACTGACTAATAGAGACATTGGTTTTATATGATAAAATGTTGTTTATCTTTATGGCAAAACACACTATTCGCTATTGTATATATGTTACCTTCAACCCTGTTTAGCGACTCACCAAGTTCAAGCGAACCAATATTTTACTTTCATAGAAAGGAAGAAAAAATAAAACTAGGCACATGTACGATGTAGTCGACGGTGAGCAAATAGTAGAAAAGTTTTATATAATTTCAAGCTTTTTCTACTTTGTCAAAAGTACATCAACGGAAGAGCAAAAGTTGGAATAAATCAGATAAAATTGACTATCGGACGAATACATACGAAAGCAAATAACGAATGCCGATTGATGATTGTATCGTTTTCGTTAGAGGTCACTGAATGCTAGGTACCTATCTCGGTATGTTGTTCAATTAAGCATTTTACATAGTTTTCCTCGAGCTTCTCTTCACAGGCTAATATTCAAATAGTTTACACCCACATTTGAACACGGAAAAAGTATGAATAATTAACTAAATCAAAAATTACATTCAACAGATATTTTGTCTAGCCCGTGCAGTTTGTAGATATGAATAGGATCAGAATAATTACACTTCGCACGGCATTTAATCAAATACTGTTTGCCTTGATGTTTTGTTGAGTCATAGTTCATTGTTATACTATGCACCATATCCGTGCATAATTACCTATGGAAAACTATTCTGACTGTCGTTAATAATGATTTGTTTATGACAAAGATTCAGTACACCTGCTTTTTATTTAACTATGAAAAAAATTATAGCGAGAAAATAAACCATTTGTTTCTAGAATATCCTCAGAAGCTGCAAAAACAAAAACTATTGGTATTCGTCATCGTGATTTTGTTTCGATGGCAATAATCGAAAATAATGAGAGGCGAAAAATTTTATTTAGAAAAATACGTATATAACAAGAGAAAAACAACCCATATGTTTGCTTTCTCATTTAGCGATATTCGTGCGTATAATATAATCATGTATATTTCGTGCTCGCATCATCATTTGCGATAAAGAAAATTTAACGGCAATGTCGAAAGCTATTATCAGTTCGATATGTTTGTTATTAGTTGTTTTTGTTCCAGTTATTGACGGTCGGATAGCACGATTGGGAGATGGTGCTAATGGTGGTGTGGATTGTGCAGTTTGTTCCATTGTCTTAGGTCTTGTTGATAAACTTTCCATTGTTTATAATACGAGTATTGTCAATTCGCTTGAACGACTCTGCTCAATTCTACCAGGTGAATATAAGGTATACTGCAAAGTAGCGGTAGATTTTCTCGGTAAGTTCTAATCTTGTGAGAAGAAAGAGGAGATATCATGAGGGTTTTGATTTGATTAGGTCCTTATATTGTGGATGGTTTTATCAAAGGCGACAATCCTGATGTTATCTGTCATAGTCTGAAACTATGCCATGATACGCCCGGTCAACCAAAATGTCGTATCTATCCGACAAATTCTGGCATATCAATACCGGAACGAGCAAAGAATCTTCGAGAACGGCATCCATTGGTTAACCTTCTTTTGATGAAGTCGAAAATTTGCGATTTTCCAGGTATAAAAGAAATTTGTAAAATTCTTGAAAACGTTTTCAATAACCACCTACCTCTGGTCGATCTCGATCACGATAAATTTGGTGTCGAAACAACACTACGCGGTAGTTCATGGCGAGGCAAGGATTGTGACGATGCCTCTGCTAAAGTTCATCCTGGTGCACGTGTTGCCAACAGTGATTCAATTATTGATCACAACTGTAACGGTATTTTTGGCATGGATTCAGCAACAGGCTTGGCTTGGGAAGATAAATTCTGTAACGATTCACAACGTTTAGGTATCGCTGTGTTAGGTGATTCAATTTCAGCACATTTCCATATTCCTGAACAATGGCTTGATGCTCGCGAATTTTCCGAAGCTGCTTTCGAACATCTAGGCTTCATTCTAGAAAATGAACTTGATTGGCCACAAATGTCAGCTAGTACAGGTCACGTCAATGTTTCTTGGCCAAATATTGAAGGTAACTTGAATTTTGTTTCTCTCGAGAAAATTATGCACTAAAATTTACATGAAAAGGTCCTGTTCGATCACTCTACAGTCGTCTATTCGAACTTGATCATTGCAATCATCGAGATTATCAAAATATTGCTGTTAACGGAGCTCGTAGTGGAGCTATGCTCGATATCATGAAATCATTATCACGTGATCCCCAAAATGATGTACCGCTACTCGTTATCTACTCTTTAGTTGGCAATGATGTTTGTAATGGTCATCCCGACACATTTGATCATATGACAACCGTTGAAGAAATGCGTCAGAATGTATATAATGCTCTTGAACGTCTGGATACAGTTTTACCCAAAGGTAGTCATGTAGTAACAACTGGCCTGGCTAATGGTAGTATGTTATATGACCTTTTGCACAATCATATTCATCCATTCGGTCGTGTTGGTGTTCCACTTACATATCCTCAAATGTATGATTATCTTTCTTGTTTACAAATTTCACCATGTAATGGGTGGTTAACGTCAAATGCTACACTTCGTGATTTGACAACACAACATGCTGTTGCATTATCAGCTGCTGTACGAAATGCTTCATTAAGTTATCAATCACGTAACTATGATATCGATTATCTCGATTTTCCATTCGATGCAGTCATTCAAGAATGGGTTGCTCAGGGTGGTCAACCATGGCAAATTATTGAAAGTGTCGATGGATTTCATATCAATCAATACGGTCATGCTCTTGTTTCTGACGTTCTCTGGGCATGGTTACAAAAAGAAAAACCACATTGGCTACCATCTGTTAATCCACACAATGCAGACATTGAACGTGTTTTCAAAGATCAAGGTGGATATTAACCATTTTCAGAGATATTTTTTTGTCATCATTAAGAAAATAAAAAATTAAGCAAAAACTTTCCACTATCGACCTCGATTAACATTCTTTTTCTGAACATATATATTTTAATGAACTTGTCTGATGATATGCAAGGCAAAATCAGTAGCATTTTTGTACTGTATGCTACCGTATTTGACCAGTTTGCCATTCATGCAACTTGTTGTTTATGTCAATCAATATTCAATCGGTTACAAAAGACGAAATTGATTTTCTTTTGTCGAACTGTACTCCAATCGTATGAATAATTCATTCTGTTAAGTAACTGTTTCAATGATGCGTTAAACGAATGGAAGAAAACATACTTCACTCATTACATTTGTCTGTCAAAATAGTAACTTCATCAAAATTATGAACTAAATAATGGCGTATTTATTTACTATAAGATTATCGTTTATAATCAAACATCTGCTACAATGTATAAGATTTTCTTTGAAAGCAATTGATCGATTGTTTATGTGTATCTATATATATATACAGACAAGTGCACTGAACATTTCTAGTATAACATTCCCAATGGGTATATGTCTAAACTGCATCTATTCAGTGAAAGAAAACATATGCACATCGCTCATTTGTTAATATTTAATCGATAACTCTGAAGAAGTCATGAAGAACATGTGTGTTCGATTAACCTCGTTCATCATGTCAATCAATAGCCTTGAAATAATAACAGAAATCGCACAATCACTTGCGGCCTTTCCAATCAACGAAAAAAGACATGACTGACCATACACATGCATACATTGCTTTCTATCATTTATGGAACAAAGTGCAGTGCCTGGTATTCATTTTTTTTTGACAATAGAAGAGATTGAAGAATAATTTCTGCCGATCACTTAAGTTTAAACTGTTTTGCGTCATCATCAAAATTGAACGGCGAGATTGAAGAGAGAAAAAAAAAAGAAAGAAGAAATTGTACTACTCTAAAATTAACGAACAATGCTGACGCGTGCACGTACGTACGTGCACATATATTCACATGTATATACATAATTTCATTCATTCTCTTTTTTTATTTGGAACTATGTTACCAACAATCTGTCAGATTCTGTTAGGGAGAAATAGTGTGGCAAGTAAGTTGAAGTAGAGATCGGTCTTATCACTCATCTTTTTCGCCTTCAAGGTTTTAGCCTTTTTCAGTGATGGATCGATCGATTGACTGATAGACAGAATCAAACCATCTGGATAGAAGTGAGATGTAATGAAAAATAAATATTTTGACCCAACCGTCGGATGCCATTTCGAAAAATATCGAGATAAATCTCCATTTTCATCGTTTGCCCTTCTCCTTTACACAATTAAACATGAAAAAGACGAACAAAGCAGTATTTTTCTAACATGACATTCGTCTAGTTTAGTTCAGTTAGTTAAACAGATGTTGCTGATCTTTTTCCCTTTNTGTAGATAGTAGTACAAGGACGTTTCTTTTTCTACTTGTCAGAATATTGCTACTGTCGAATAGATTCTTCTATTCGTTTTAATGAGATTAGTAGTCATTCACACTTTTTCGTGTCTAGACTTGCTGATCTCGAGCAAATTGATTCCATAGTATCGCAATTATTAGTGATGATCGATCTGATAAAGTTCCTTTCTCAGCATCTGGTCAATGATTTTCTTTCCTATTTTTTTAGATAAAAACATGCACGCAACCTACTTAGCTTTGCTCGCTGGCTCCATGCTGCTTATAATTGAAGGTTTCCCTAGTTCGTTTTCGTCATCAACAACTACACCATCAACATCTATTCGTTCTGTTTTTGGTGGACATAGTCGCGTTCGTTCACGATTCCGTCGTCGAGAATTAGTACAAGAAGAAGTACGAAAAACAATGTTAAGTTATATGACGAGTTTGAAAGGCGAAATAACCGACGTTGTCTTAGAAGAAATGATCGATTATTACAATAGTCAAACATCGAAATTGTATCGACTAGAAAAAGAAGTTGTTCATTTGAAAAATTCCTCATCGCCAATTCTGCCAAATGGTACAAACATCAACGATCTAGTTCTTCGAATGTCTAAACAGCAGCGTTCATTTGCATCGAATATCACCAATATCGAACATAAAATAAAGAACCTAACAAATATTCTCAATGATCTTTTACACGAATTACAAAAACCCGTTCAACACGTTCGTCGGCTCGTTCCAATCAAAAAAGATTTCGAAGAAAATGAAACACCAACAGGTAAATTGCTAATTCTTCCTTTACAAACAAATAGGTCACTTTTAATTATCGTATCATCTATCTCAAACAATATATACATATCCATATACATATACATTATGTAATAATAGATACCAGAAAGATGAGTTCGTTATCACATTCCCTGGAGCATATCTATCCGCACGCATTTTGTTAATTGGAAAACAAAGAATAACTTATTTGTTTCTTTTTTTTCTCTTCAATAGATTGTGATGATATACTTCGTCAACAAGGATCGCTGGTTTCTTCGGGGATATTTCGCATTAAACCACGATTATCATCGGAATCATTTGATGTACAATGTATTTTCGAGAATAATATTGGTACATGCTGATCGGAGCAATCGAGATATTGACAATAATGCGTTCTTTTTTTTTCTTATTTATATAGCATGGACAGTAATTCAACGTCGATTCAACGGCTCCGTTGATTTCTACCGAGGATGGAATGATTATAAGAATGGTTTCGGCGATTTACGTAGTGAATTCTGGTTGGGAAACGAAAAAATTCATCAATTAACAAACCAAGGTCAATATGTGTACGTATTGAATTCCGCTCTTTCATCCTTTCATTCTAAATATTTCTGTTATCTGCATCTTCAGATTACATATTGACTTAAAACCATGGGATGGCCCGATACGTACCGCTGAATACGGTCAATTTTCATTAGATAATGAAAATCAAAACTACAAACTACAAATTTCGCAATATCAACCATCAGTCTCAACTGCAGGTGATTCACTTTCATCCTCATGGGATAACGCCAATGGCGCCCCATTTTCCACCTTCGATCGTGACCATGATAATCTGTTTTACGACAACTGTGCTTTGACTTACCATGGTGCGTGGTGGTTCACAAGTTGTTTTCAATCTCATCTCAATGGTGCATACGTACGGTCGCCATTAGCTTTACAAAACACGGCACGAAATGGCCTACATTGGAATACCTTTGCATTGTATCATTCAATGAAAGAAACCACCATGCGTATACGAAAGCAACGTACATCTGAAACAAGTGAAATCGTAACAAATTAACGTGAACTGAGCATTCTTTTTTCGTGTCTTTTGCCTTCGAATTGTCATTCGATTTGAATCTTTTTTATATACGTATATATATATATTCTGAATTTACATATGAACGAAATAATTAGTATCCAGGTTTCTAATAATGATAGTCATTTTTGGATTTTTTTAATTTCAAATTAACAGAAATGAAATAAATCTATGAAATCATTCTTTTTCACTGAACATCACACTGAGCACATTAGCGTCCTCTTCAAATTCTCATTTGTCTATTCCATTCGATGAAACAGTAACCTATGAAGACAGCCCCATAGTATTGTTATGTTAGACATGTTGGATAAAGATAAATTTTCCAAAACAGATAGACAATTGTAGTTAATTGATTTTTCTGTCGAAGGGCAGGTCATGGCTCAAACGAAAAAATCTGTTAGTGAATTTATCCAAGATGCATTTTGTCCGATGATTACTGTTCTATGCAGTTATGACGCGGAAAGTATTTGCCGAAAGAATAATTTAACGTTCGCAGAATTAATCCAACCATTCTGTCGTCTTCCATCCGAAGGTAATGCGTCTGATATTGAACAAGATTCATTTGAATAAGCTTTGATGATCTTCTTCTAGTGAGCTATCGTGATCCATCCAATAATTTGATTACGCTAAAAAATCTTCGTTTGGAAATCAAAGATTTCAACGCTTTACCTCCGCAAAATACATTAGCCAAGAAACTCTTGAATGATTCAGTATCGAATGCATTAAATATTGGATTAGCAAACAATGATCGCGAAATTCATACTGAACAATACCATCTACATGTCAAAAGTGAGCTCGATTCTTTCGAAGTCAACATTGTCTCATATTCTGACTCAATCTTTAGATACAACACCTTGGTTCGATGCATGGCGTGATTGTTTTCTACGTATAACATACAATGGCGAACATGAATTCCTAAAAAACTATCTTGCTTGTAAGTACGAACTTTGAATAACTAGTTAACGGTGTACTTTGGCGATTTACGGTTGAATAGGTGTGATGGTTGTTTCCACATCACATCTCGATCCAATGGATGCATTTGCTAAACTTGTTCAACAGCAAAGCCTTCAGCAGCAACAATCGCCGGCGAAACTTCCCAAGTGGTTCATGCCGAATATATATAAATATTTCGTTTTACTGCACGATGTCACCGAAGGTGAAGAGTCCAAGTATGTTACACGAGAAATTTGTAGTGTGCTTCATTTTGAGAGAAATATCAAGTATATATTCTCCTGAGCATGTCTATATGTCGAATCTTTCTTTCAGTATTTCAATAAGAAAGTAAGGTTTGCTTGTCTTGTTGTTTCGGTTCGGGAAGTTTGGGGAACGTTTTTTTGATCTTCTGATCGAGAAGTTTATGTTTCGAAAGAGTTTTCATTAAGAAGACACATTTTGTTATAAGTTCAATACACTTTCGAAAACGTTTGATTTAATTATTCAACGTGCGGTCAACAATGATTTCGAATATGATTTGTTTCTCTTTGAGTTCAAACATTAATTTGATTTTCCATTCACATGAATGTTATTCTAGAGCTGTGTCGGTTTTTGCTGATCTCAAACAACAATATGGCGCTGGAAACTGTCATCTGTTGCAAATCAATTCGAAACGCGCAGGACAGACGGCAAGTGGCGAAACGGATGAGACTACCAACATGCCAGATCCATGGCGTCTTTACGTTAAGCAATCATCGTTATCGACTTCTGCCGCTAGCCAACAGCAACAACAAGCGGGCACATTGCCAAAGCGAGAAAGCGCAATGAGTGATTCTTTATCAAACCTAACAGAACTTATTGACCAAGAACTTAATCTTAATAGTAATCACTTCCTATCACTCTCTAGAGATTCTCTTTTTTGTTTATGTATGTTTGTAGCTTCCATTTCTCATCCATTGGGTTCACTCGATACATCAAGTAGTGATATGACTTCTGTAGTCACTACTGATGAAGGATATGACGGTTCATCGATAAATAGTGCATCTACAGTGATCCATGGTGCTTGTTTAACATTGAGTGATCATGATAGAATTCACGTATTTATGTAAGTAACTTGTTATGTTCAGTTTATTTCGACATCTTTTTATGCGGTATTTAGGAACGAATTTGTTACGAAAGGACTACTTCTTTGGGTAGAAACAAATCTGAAAACTTTCAACGAACAGGTACAAGTATATCTATATAGTTCCCCTGTGAATAGAAGAAAGCAACGTGTGTTGATTTTAGATAACATCTCGTCGCGGTTTCACAAAGATATTTTCCATGCCGAAAAAGTTTTTCGGTGGCAATACTTCGACAACTAAGAATACTCCTTCAGCTTCTTCTACAAAGTAAAGACATTTCTGTTGATTTCGCTTCTTATTCACTTAAATTAGTTTGACAAATGATTCGATGGAAATCGTTCTTCGTCGCGCTGGTGATCTGGCATTTCTTTTTCAAAGCTACGAATTCGCTTACAACAACTACTATGCAGCTAAACGAGATTTATCACGTGAACAAGCACCGACTTTCTATGCCGGTGTTTTAGTAAGTTTTATTAACACTTTGTAACGTACACACAAAAAAAGAAATCATGGATCTTTTAAAGGAAATGTGTTGCTTGGCAAATTTCATGCAAGACACTTCAGCGACTAAAGTCTATCCCGGTCAATATATGGATGAAGCAATTGAGATCTATGCCAATGTAAGCAGGTAAATACAAACGAACGAAGCTTGATCAAGTTTTTCGAAGTAAACTTATCTAGATTACCAATATTTGCAACACGTTGTGTGCTGATGTCGACAGAGATCTTGAAATCTAAAGAAGCATATGATCAAGCTGTTCAACAATTCCTGAAACTCTCTCAAGAAGTACAGATTCAATTTTGATGTTCTATTTTCTCGAAGTTTAGTAACCTTAGGATTCGGATTTACGCGGTGCGCTCTTTCTCGAACAAGCTTCGCATTGTTATCTAAATTATCGACCTCCTTACATACGAAAATATGCATTCTACATGGTTATCGCTGGACATCGATTTTTAAAAGCCGGACAAGTTCGAAACGATGTCCTAATCATATACACACACGAATGAAATCTATTTTCTAGCGTCTTCATGCACTACGATGTTACAATGATGTTCTCGATATCTACGGGATACCAAATTGGTCTTTAGCTCTAGTGAGAATTCAATTTGTATCAAGATGATCCAAAGCAGTGTTGATTTTGTTCGGATTCTAGGATCATGTGAATTTTACATTAGGAAAACAAAGTGCTTTGTTGAATCACTCAGCCGATGCAATAAGAAGTTTCAATGCGCTTTTTGCGCCACATAACCGTATACAAAATGCTCAACAACAAATCAACTTCTTTAAAGAATATTTAACTGTATTCAATGTATGTTTTTTTTTCTCTTATTTCGAATCAAGATCATGCTTTCCTTGTTTCAGCAACTAACTAGCTCTCAGACGACTCTACCAGAATTACCAGTACCACTTGTAGATAATTCAACAATGAAAGTGCTTCTCTCTGGACCTCAGCAAGCACAAATGGGTACTGAGATTTTTCTCAATTCATTGATCAACCAAATTGTATATATTTCGTATGATAGGTGGTCATATATCCAATTGTAATGATTTTGATTTCGATGAAACGCGAGAAATATGGACAGATCTCGAAAGGGCGATCACGATTCACGATCGACGACCTAGTGGTACTCGTACACAAATGAGTTTTTTTACAAGCCGTACACATAATCAACAACATCCAATTGCTATTGCCAATGGTATGCTTACAAGTGAACGTATGTATACGTTCAATAAACCCTTTTATCTATAATTTCAGAAACTATCCGTGTGGAATTCTATGTACAAAATGTTCTACAAGTCCCATTATTATTGAGTGAAGTGCAAATACTATGGAAACATTCGCTGACAGGTTGGAAACGTAGAACAAGTTCAACAGGAGATGCGCCGGACGATGCAAAAGAGCATTCAAATGATACATTAACAAAACAGGTACGGATATGATTTCTCGAATATCGAAGATACAAGTGTCCTTTTCCAGACTAATCAACCTGTGGAATGTGATATTCTTAGTGATTGTGTCATCTTTGCTAATGACAATTCCAAAGTATGGAGAAAGTATCATATAACATACCTCTATTCTTCCTTCCGTTAACCTAGATCGAATTATCCTTACGACCACTACGGCCTGGTTATCTAACTATTTTAGGTATATGTTATCGATTGAATATTCTCGTTCAAAATATAAGTGATCAAACCACCTGGCCATATGGAATCATGGGCAAAGCATTGTTTCACGTAAAAGGTATTCGACTGAATTCCAATCGTAAAGAACGACTCAATGTCATGTACGGCGTTGATAAGCGATTGGAATTGCAAGTTGTGCCTGAAGCACCACTTCTACACGTAAGATCCGATCGAGTTTGAGTCGTGTTTGATATTAATTGAAATAAAATTATTTTCTAGATCGAATTTTCTCCAATGCCTACAGCGATGTTTTGCGGTGAGATTCATTCTTGTCTAGTTCATTTGATTAATCGAAGTACCACACATGCGATAAATCATGTTCGATTAACAACAAATCAACCAAGTTTAATCACAATATCTTCGTCGAATGAGGATTCTTTATTCACATATAAAAATGAATCTCAATCGATATGGAATCATTCATTAAACCATCAATCATCGATTTTAACGTTGGTCAATCAACATCATCCTTTAGAACCTAACTCTACTCGAACGGTACGTCTGTGGTTACGAGCATCGCATTTAGCAGGTGAAATGAATATTGACTTCTTATTCGTATATGAATCGGATGTTTTTCAACAACCGCTGAGGTAATGCGTCTAGTCAGATGAAGAAGTGTACAGATCTTATCTTTCGTTTTAGACATCGAACAGTAAAACATTCCTCTTTATTTATAATTTCACATTCCATTGGTTTCAATACTCAAGCTCAATCTACAGGACTTGGTCAGCTGATGTTACCCGTTCAAATCGATAATCTTATGGCAGTAAGCATCTTGTTTGACACATCTTAACGTCATTAATCAAATTCTGTTTCGTTAGACACCCAATACTTTAAGTATTAACATTCAGCAATTGTCTTGCGTTAGCAAAAATTGGCACATTCACTATCTTGCTTTGAATTCCAAAAGTAAAATCTTGTTTGCATTATTTTTTCATCAACTCTCTTACTCTTTTCTAACTATTAGATTCTATTCGTTATGGTGAAAGTTTATCCCTTCTATTTAAATGTACACATAAAGAAAATGAACACCATACATTGCAGATGAAACACATTGATTTATCTGCTGATGAAACTAAGAAAGATAAATTCGTAAGTGACTCTCCTTCTTTCTCGAAAGACAAAGTAATCAAATTGTTACCATGTGCATAGATTGATATTAGTCAAAATCCAATCGGGGATTTCTTCCGTCATTTTATCTTCGATACTGAACGATCACTTTCAACACATCGCCATAAGCAATCGAATCCACTACCCATTCCCCCTATTTCACTTGTACTTCTTTGGCAGATCGCGATGTCGAATCAACTAGGTCAAATTGAATTACGTCACGGTTTACACATGGTTTCACCGTCTGTCGATACACCAAATAGGCAGCCAGGTCTAATTGATGCCATTCAATATGAATTGATGTATCCTTCTGTCGTTGAACATACGTTTACGAAAGCATTATTTCTACCTGTTCAATTAAAAATTTTCAATCGAACAAACGAACAAATCGATCTACAATTACAGCTAAGCAGGTAAAACAGCTGAAAATTGCATCTTCCTTCAAACGAATACGATTCATATTTTAAAGATCATCATTCGATTCTGATCCATTACTATCATCGTGTTGTTTATGGTCCGGTATGACTGAACAATTTCTTCATTTATCAGCATACGAACATTTATCTTTAACTCTACGTGCGTGTTTCTTTAAGCCAGGATTTTACTCGCTGGGAAACATCGTACTAGCCATTGTTGATAAAATTCATTCAACAACAAAACCGATCAAATCCAATACACATAATTATTTTGTTGATATTCGAACGGTAGCATCATCGTCATTCTAAAAGAATTTTTATTTGGACATGTTTTCTTTTTCCTACTCTTCTATTATTGAAATAGTCAGGCATGATTGAAAATACCTTCATTCATATTTATTTTTTGTGTTTCTTCTTCAATGTTCACTGTTTNAACAATAGTTTATGACGATAATTTGATCCGACATGTTCGATTACTTAGATACAACCGTCATCGATACTCCGCGTTGAATAGAGGTCGCTAATCGTACAAAAATAAATAAAATAATGGAAGAGAGGACAGATGAAATAAAGAGTGGTGGTAAAGCGAGGATTGATAGATATGGATAACTAGATGGCATTACTAAAATAAGAATTCACGCTTGTTTACGAGAGTTCCTTATTACATTTCACGTAAATTAGTATTATTCGATCTACTTATTTTCTTTGTGTTCATTCCTGAGCGAAAAAGAATGATCTAGATTGATTCGTAACGCTTATCAGATCATTTTTATGCATCATCGACGAACACCATCGAAATATCTATTGTTATATCATATCACATATCGAAATGTACATCAATGATGATTACAAATAGAAGCAATCATGTTTAACTTGATACAGAATTCGCGCTTAACCTCGTTTTTTATCTGTTCTGTTTCTTTAGATCTAAACTTTTCTCCCTTGATTTTGTCGCCATTGAAAATGGCAACTGCAACAGAAACAAAAGATTGCGGTACGACGACAATCATTACAACCGAAACTGATCAACCGGTTCGAGCTCATTCTCCAACTCTCATCCTTGAATTACATCGCACAACTGATCCTGGACCACGTGTTCGGTGGGCTGAAGAAACCATTGATAATGAATTTATGAATAAGAAAAAGTCGAAATGTTGTTGTGTCTATACCAAACCACATAATCCTGAATTGGATGACGACAAAAACACGGAAGCGGACGAATTCGATCATTGCGACCATTGTCGATATCACACTCAATCTGATTATGCAGCTAAACCAGACGAACGGCAACCTAAAGTTAAACTAGTTGTCGGCGAACCGAAATCTTCCTAAATATGTCTGTAAACTACGACTGAAATGCGTATTTTTTTTCTTACATTTTTTTTTGTAAACAATAATATTGTCCTATCTTCTTTTTAGATCATCTCATTGTTTTTCTCTAACATCAGTTGAAAACAGGATGGGTCGCGTTCGTACAAAAACCATTAAAAAGGCATCGCGTCAAATAATTGAAAAATATTATACTAAATTGACGCTCGACTTTCATACCAACAAACGTGTGGTGGAAGAAATCGCTATTATTCCAACAAAACGTCTTCGCAATCAGATCGCCGGTTTCATCACTCACTTGATGAAACGTATTCAAGCTGGCCCTGTACGTGGTATCTCGATTAAACTTCAAGAAGAAGAACGTGAACGACGAGACAACTACGTACCTGAAATCTCTGCACTTGAACCACAAAATATGATTGCAATTGATCAAGATACCAAGGATATGTTGAATGCATTTGACTTTAAATCACTACCAAACGTTGGTGTTCAAGAAGCAAATGAGCAACAAAACCAAGCAGGTCATGGTAATCAACGTTCCGGTGGAGATCGACAACAAGGCGGCTATGCTCGACGAGCTGGTTTTCAATAAGCAACAGATCGGCAAGCAAAAAAAGAAAACAAACATATATATTATCAATCCTATTTAATCAACAAAATAAGAACAATATCTAACCATTGTTTTTACAGTTTTGTTTTGTATTATCATCTAAACAATAAATGGGATTGAGATGAAAAAAAAACCGAAATAAACCACAAAAACACCGTACACGAACGATCGTTCGATTATTTTCTTAGATATTCAATCAACGGCAAACTTTTCATTTAGATTACCAAATCATTTCCTTTTTTAATGAATTATCGAAAATTAAAAGTACAGGAAGTGGGAACAGATACTTATATTGACTACGAAGCGAATGTAAGTATCAATGATGAAGTGCATCTCGAAGTCGAATCTCTTCTCGACATTTCTTTTTCATTCTAGTATCAACGAGTACCATGTGCATGCGCATATCATCCAAGTAAGTCAATCGCTCAAACTCTATTCGCATGTAGAAACTATGAGGAAGAAATCGTTTCAAAGTTGGCTTTCTAACTTGTATTCTAAAGAAAGACTTCATTCGTAGGATGTTCGTGATCAAATAATGTATAGTTGAAGGTGATTACCCTCGAGTGAAGTCGTGTGTTGCAGGAGATAATTACATTCATGCTCAAAAGAATTTTGAATCGTGTGATAATACTTAGCAACGCTGCTTCTGTTCTTTTATTATTAACAGAAGAACGATCTTGAATTTTGAAAGATGTTCTTTCCTGACAAGTGGATATTTAGAGAAAACTAATCTTTGGAATTTTATAGGCCATGATGTTTGTGCAGTCAGCTATGATAATGGCAAAATTCGTCTGTATTCAACTTATAATGACACTCTAGAATTAATCAAAGGTATGAATAAGAAAAGAATGTAATTATATGTATATATATTCTTATTTTCTATTTACTTGCAATCGAGTCGATTTTTTCTACATTGTACTTTCATATTTAGAATTTACTTGCCATTCCCAGTGTATATTTGCGATTGCTTGGATAAGCGATCGATTATTATGTGCAACATCAGGCGATCAAACAACAGTAATTTATGATATTGAGACAGGTGCTGAAATCGATTTATTACGTGGCCATACAATGAGTGTTCGAAGTGTTAGTAAATTACACTACAGCACATGTATGTTAATTCACATTTAGCAACAAGGAAATGTCAATAATACTGGTGCTATTTTTAGATGTATTAGCAACAGGCGGACGAGATTCCATCATTAATATTTATGATCGTCGTTATACAAAAAAACGTATGTTCATTCACTGGCTTTCTCACGATGTTTACTTTTCTTTTCTTTAGAGGGAGCTTTGTATCCAATCAGCTCCATCGTTTGTGCTCACATAAGTTCAACAGCGTTACAAAAATCAGCACGAGTGAGTAGCAACAAGACATTTCAAAAATTGCTCAGTAAAAAAACAATTATTTTCCTTCAGAAAGATACGCGCAGTGTAACTGCGGTAGAATTTCAAGATGAACACAATTTATACTCATGTGCATGTGCTGATAGGTAAGAGTTTTTTATTGAAAACATTTTCTTCTATTCTGTTGTGCCAATATTTAACTAGTGCACTTAAAGTATGGGACTTACGGTATACTTATTCACGGTTAAACATAAATCATATGCCTAAACCGAAGCGTATGTTTTGCGTACCGATTGATGATGTCAAGTTAATCAATCGGCTAGCTGGCTTTTCTGATATGAAGATGGATTCCAATCGAACGACCCTTTTTGCCAATTGTACAAATAGTAAAATTTATCAATTCGATCTACATGAAAGTGCTTATTCGACGACGACTACACCCAAAATTTCTTCTTATAATGGCCATCGTGTGGGATCTTTTAACATAAAAATAGCAATTAGTCCACATGATCAACTTTTATTAACAGGATCTAGCGATTTTAATTCATACCTTTATCGAGTAAGGCCATGTTGAATTTGAACTTTAACTGCTCCTACATCGTTTTCTTATGCGAGAAAGAAAGGAAAGAAAATCAGATCCTGTAGGAGCTAATTACACATAAACGACAAGGCAGAAGAACTATCAGATGACGAATCCATGCGTGTTGACAAGGATAGATTTAGAAAGGATAAAAAAAGCCTAGCAATGTGAAGTTCATACTTCTCTAACCATTTATTTAGATCAACCAACCATCCATCGAGCCAATGAAAATTGAACACAATTTCGAAGAAGTAACAGCCGTTGCTTACCATCCAACTAATCCATTCTCGGTGAGAAGTCGAATGTTGTAGACAAAACGAAATTTGTCATTTATTTGCTTTTCTGGAACATAGTTTATTACATGTTCGGATGATTTTCAAGTTCGTCTTTGGTCATTATCCGTCGATAATGAAATGTCCACATCAACATGTTCGTCATCATCAAAGAATCTCTCGCAAAATATTGTAACACTTCTCCGACATCGTCAGTATGGTTTCGCGACCCGAAAAGCTCTTCTTTCATCAGTTTTTCATACGGTTTCACCTCTCGTACGTTCCCTATCAACAATCTCACGACGAAAATCTTCTTTATCAAATCTACCTGTCTGCAAAACTAAAAGCATTGGTAGTCGAAAACGAACCGTCTCAGAAAACGACGAAAACCGTCGTGACTATACTGACGAACAAACTTGCAAACGTTTATGTCGATCATCCGAATGGATTTTTGGTGATTCTCAATTGACGCTTTTCAAATCTATATCTACCATTGACAATCGTACATCGATTATCACTGAACAACCACCAACATATCTATTGTCGAAATCAGAAGAATACTTATCAAACAATACCAATCGACGCTATTCATCTGACAAACAACAAACACTCGACACACTTTCAACTCTTGTTCTTTCTCAGTAACCAAGTAATTTCAGTGCAATAGATGTGTATATGACTTTCTTATTCATATTGTAAATAAGTCAGATATATATTTTTCTTCTTCTCATATATGCATAGATATATACATATGTATTTTTTTGTTTGAACATGAATAATTCCAATCGAACATATATTTCTAGATAGAAATGTATATTTCATCGAAAATGGACACCATCAACACGAATGGTATTGACAAAAATCTTCACGATAGTCCATTCCGACTTGGTTCCAGCAACGTCGATTGGTGTGAGCCTAACTATGTTGTTAGTGCTTATATCAGCGAATTTTGGAATACAGTACGTAGTTTTTTGCTAAATATCACACGAATCTGTCGTTGTTCTTTTTGCCTGTATGAAATATTTTCTTCAGTACACTTTTTTTGTCTACTTGTTTCGGAATGAAATAGATTAAAATAACACTGCTGAATCAATGACCTACTCTAATTTGTATTGCAGGCTAACATTATGTATGTGTGGATCAAAGGTAACATTTTTTTCTTCTTATTTGGGAATGCTATTCATCACATTTGTCTATGCATGATCATCGGTTCTATTTTTTCCAATTTTTTGCTTGCTATCTATGATTAATCAAACCTAGATTTTTTTTCCCGAGTAGAATCTCGACTAGATCGAACATGTTTACGTGTATCTATGTATAGAATCTTGCGACTGGTTCGAATGAAAACCTTGAAAGCTTTTTTTCATTTAAAAGGTCTCCAATATATTCTTCTTTTTGGTTCCACCGCTAATGATTGCACTGTTTGCGTCTTACTCGAAACGAACTGCAAATGGAATCTCAGTGCTCTGGATTTTATTGATCATCATTGGGACTGGTTCTGTGTATTTTCATGCTACACTTAGTCTTGTATGTCAAATTGTAACATTTAAAGTCGTTGCATTATGCTGTCACATATTCCTTGTTTCAGGCTGGACAATTAGTTGATGAAATATCGATTCTCTGGGTATTGATGGCAGGTTATGCACTATTCTTGCCTGCAACTTATTTCCCACAGTCACTACGTGTTCAACGGTAAACTCTCATTTTGGTTTCATTTCGTTGATTCACGAGTTCCATGATCGTATTATAGCGCTCTATATAAATGGGGTGTGACCCATAATAGTGGACAGTAAGATAAGCTACTCTAGTAATCGATAAGGAATGGCTGGATATGATATGCATGACATGAATGAAATGACTCATTGCACGACATGATCCATATGTGATTATATGTTCTATTTAGACGTCGATTTGTATATAGTTGCATTGTATTGACGATGATCATTACTTGTCTTTCTATTATATATCCATATGCTAATGCTTTCGCCTTGATGATTCTTGGTTTACCTGCCATTGCTTTTCTAGCCGTACATCTCTCAAAGTAAATATCATGTTTAGCTATGCTTTGATTCATTCTACGTCTTCAGGTGCGATAATCGTCGTATTAAAAACCTTGGTATTCATTGTTTGGGCATGTGGGCTATTGCTGTGACAGTATGGATATGTGATCGAACGTTTTGTTCATTTTGGCTATCAATCTCATTTCCTTATCTACATTCTATTTGGCATGTGTTAATTCTATTTAGTAGCAACGAAGCTATTGTTGTCTGTGCATATCTCTTGATCAAATATCAATATCCTCAAGCAAATCTGATGTTACATGTTTGGCCCAACGAAGAATGGGGCTCATTCAGTTTACCGTACCTGAAATTTCATGATGATGCAAACTATTTATCATCAACATCGAACAGTTTCGCAACGAAATCCATTGTCTAATGGTGTTATGGTTTCTCTTTCATAACAGTTTATTAGATTCCCCCCCTAAGTAGATATCTCTGTGATACGAAAAAGACATTTTGTCGGTATGTAGTTAGATGAAAGATCTGATTTACTTCTAACCGTCCTAATTGTTGTAAACGAGTGTCAGTACTTCCTAATACCCTCATCTACTAATCAATCTATTTATATTTTGCTTTTTACAATTCGTCCATTATCTGATTATCAAACAGGTTCTTTTTTTATCGGATTAATGTAGTACAGTATTTCGTTTCAGTCAAAAGTATATATTCTCAGCCAGTAATAATAAATTTCAAAATCATACGAAGAAATAACTTTCTATGCTATTCGTGTACCATTGAGAACATTTGATCAACATACCATGCTCTTTTTATGAGACTTCAGAAAAGGTCAGTAAATCCTGTTTTGCTCTTTTTATTACATTTCTTTTCCTTCTCTCATATACGATAGAAACATTGCACGCTGAAAAGTCATGTCAAAAGTTGAAAACGAATGCTCACATGTACAACTACAGATGATTGGAAAGATTAGATTGTACATGTGGATGCTCCAAAACAACCTTCACTGGTTGTGATTGGTTTTGTTTCACTATTCAGATCGATCTTAACTCCCGGTTTCGCCTTTTCCTTACTATTGAGTTTCATTTGATTCATGTGTGCTACTATCGATCGGGTAAAGTCTTCGAAACAGATTAGAATGTTTTCATTGGTTTTCGCACTTGTTTCCAAATAGACTAATTGGTTTTTATCCGCATATGCCTTGGCTGTCGAATACGGAATGACACGTTTATACTGTAAATCAGATTTCGTTCCAACGAGAAAAACGGGCGTATCTTCAGGACAAGATGTGTAGACTGTGTCAAGCCAAGTCTGAACATTTTGAAAGCTATCTTTATCGGTAATATCAAAGCAGATCATTGCGCCATGTGCTCCACGATAGAAAGTCGATACGACGCAACGAAAACGATCCTGACCAGCTGTATCCCATACCTGTAGTTTACATCGATGACCGTCGACGTCAATTGTTCGAATGTGAAAATCTATTTTCGAGAACTTCGTAATGCAGAGAATTGAAAGTGAGCTTCTCTTACCAACACCTACTGTTGCAACATAGTCATTCTTGAAATAATCGGTTGCAAAGCGTTGTAGGATCGATGTTTTCCTATAAAAGTCCGACACGTATGAATGAGAAATGAACAGAATACATACCCAACTCCACTGTCGCCAACAATCAAAAGTTTTAATAGATAATCATATTCAGCACGGGAAACGTAATCTAACGACATTATAATTACAGGTTGACGTATGATAATGTTTTGCTTCTTATTTTTGTATTGTTCTTTTTATAGGTAATATTTTTTATGTGGCCCCAACGATATACCTGATGACTCAACATATTGAAACAGTACAAGATGAAAGGGTATAAATATACATTCAAAATGTTTTGTACTTTTCTTGTTGACAAATCCAAATGAAAGTCAATCAACTAATTACCATTGAAAACTTCTTTTGGCATCAAGATACTTTGATCATATCCATAGATGATTGAGAGAAATTACTTGAGAGTATTACTTCTGACACTGAGCCTTGGAAAAACATGCCATCGTCCTTGATGTGAAATCTCAAGACGAAACAGTTCTTCTACTGACTGTTTATTTATAATATAGTTGGATATTTTACATTCAATTTTTATTTATTCAAGATAATCCATGACTAGTGGTATATGAATGACGACAAGGATATATTCTAAAGGACACAACACACACACACATAAGCGCTAAGCGTCTATAGAGGAGAAAAAAGTGAAGTTCTCAGATAATTGGGAATAAGGATATTCAGATTTGATCTTATCTGGTATTTAGAGAACTAAGCATTTGTCAGCGAGGAAGAAGAGATGGTACCATTGAACGCCATGATAAACAAGACCTGATGCCATCGAGAGAGAATGAAATAAATTGAATTTATTATTGATTATACGATATTTGGCATCGTCACGAGTTAAGCGTTCGATATCGTCGGATGTCTAACAAAGTAAATGAATGTTTAATCATTATCAGTTCGGATCAACGTGTATTACTTTAGCTGCTTGTAAAAATTCAATGTTGTTTCGATCGAACATCAAATTAGTAACTAATGGATTGAGTACAAGGCTGTTTAATTCAGCAGCACCTAATGCAATGATCAATGCAATGCCCTATTGAAGCGAAAGAAACGACAACATCAGATTTGCCATAAGAGAAGAAACATGATCTTTTGATTCGGTGAAGTACATACGAGATTGGTTGCTTCTTTTGACCATGTATTAATTGGATGACGAAGTAAAAACGAGCCCAAACTAAGGCCAGCGAAAACAGCTGACGAAGAAAAGTAGACTGTTGATAATTGAGATTGAACAGTAGCAAATTCATGGCGTGTCAGCATACGCTGAATGGCACGACCTATTTTTTTTTTATCAATAGTGAATGGTGAATAAACAAGAAGATACACTTACCATGGACGGCTGTTATCCAAAAGCTAATACCGAATCCACCTATGATGAAGCAATGTAAAATAGTTAATGAAAAACATGGGCTAATGATTTTTACCAGCAACACCAAGTAGATGCAACAATGAAACATTGGTCGACGATGGAATAGGTTTTGTTTGTGCAAAAGCATAACCAACATAACCTACAGCACCGAGTGATGCAAGGAATGGTGGGGCCAAGTACCTAAATATCACTACGATGGGTATACAAGTAAATATCGCATTCGATGCATACCAAGCTTGGGGCCAAGTTTTTTTGTATAATTCATGAATTGTATCTTCGATTTTGCTGATTTGTGCACCCATTGTTCAAATTTTTCGACGATAATAGTAACGAATGATTCTAGATAAAAAAGTGAAAAGAATGATGCAATGGAATAGGAAATCTCTCTAGGGCTCGTTTTCTTTTTCTTCTCTGGCTTTCTTTGCCATGAATGACAACAAGAACAATAAACAAATGGTTAGCGCCACTGCCTTTGCGTTCGAATAGACCAATCAACAACAGTTGATTATTTATCAGATTAAACGGCTTGTCGGCGTACCGAGAGGATTTTATTGAAATCTGAATTCATTCATGTAAACATCGAAAACATAGGGAAAAATTCTGATGTGATACAGTATCATGTATGATAAAAGCCAGAGCCAATAGAAATTGTTGTGGAATACGAATGACTTGCGTAAAAACTGATCCCAATGCTTGGCCACGTGAGTTCGAAACTCACGCAGTCAAAAGCTGATTTCATCAAGATATTATCTGTACATGAAATTAGATAGAAATTGAATGGAGATCAACCCGAAATTATTGGACTAGACTATTAGAAATGTTTCCAATATTGAATAGGAAATGAAATTGTTTTTCGCTTTTAGGTAGTCAATATGTCGACATCGTCAGTGAAAGTAACTTTTCTCGGTCTGGGGAGTATGGGTAGTGCCATCGCAAGAAATATTCTCAAGAAAGGTTTCCAACTTGTCGTGTGGAGTCGAACGACATCTAAAGCAAATGTAAATCAACTGAAGAATGAAAGAAAACTGGCAATAATCATTTTCATTTATTAGGATTTAATCAAGGCTGGTGCGCGTTTAGCAGCAACTGCACGGGAAGCTGTAACCGATGCTGATATCATTGTTAGCTGTCTATTCGATGATAAATCATGTTTAGACACTGCTCAAGGTTGTAACTCATCTTCATAGAATTTCCTTTGATCTCAAATGAATCAATGTGTTTGCTTTCCTTCAGGAGAAAATGGTTATTTGATGGGTGTGAAAAAGAATGCTATACACGTCAATACCACAACAATTAATCCAAATACTTCAACTCAATTGGCAAAATTACACGAACAGCATGGTGCTTTCTACATTGCGGGAACTGTAAGTAGAATTAGATTGGCGTTCGCCATATTTCACTGTGATTTAGGTTCTCGGTCGACCAGATGTAGCGGCTGCTGGACAATTACGTAGCTTTCTAGGTGGTAATCTAGAAGCTATCGAACGTGCTCGACCAGTAGTCGAAGCCTATTCAGGTGGATCGATCATCGTCGTTGGGGACAATCCTGCACATGCAAATGTGGTTAAACTAACAGCGAATATGGTTCTTGCTGCCAATCTATCTCTCTTCGGTCAAATTTATGCATTGAACGAACGCTGGGGTGTTGATGACGATATCACACAACAAATACTCAAAGTTTTCTATTCACATCCCGGCTTATTAGCATACGAAAATCGTATTCGAAATCGAGATTACGAAATAGGCGAAGGTGAAGGATTTCGAGTGGAAGGTGGTTTAAAAGATGTAAACGCCATGTTAACAGCTGGTGATGAAGTTGGTGTTCCTCTTCCGTTCTGCAGTGTTTTGCGAGAACAATATGCTTCGATTATTGGAAACGGTCTCAAAGATTTGGATTGGTCGGCTGTCGGTGATGCGACGAGAATTAACGCTGGATTATCTCTTCCACCACGAAACAAGCGTGAATAAATATTGTGATACGATTTGTTAGTAGTCTAATTTTATCGATTTTCATAAATAAAACTTTTACTTGAGATTGATCCTTTTTTTGTATGTTATTTCTGCAGTAGAATAAATTGACTTGAATACAAACTATTGTTTATTCATTTTTTACCTCATGTAGGGAGGGTTAATCAGTAGAGCAGCAGAAATTTCTTTCCATTTCAAACGATTGATTAATTTTAGAGTATCCATGTGTTAACGATACAGCGATGCAGTTCCCATCGAATTTCTCTTCGAAATACGAATGCTAAACTAACTGGAGTAAGTCATCGTGTTTCGTGTTCTTGACTGCTGATGGAAGTTTTTTGACATCGATCGATAGATCAACAATATGCTCTGATAATTCTGTTTGTTGGAGAGAAAGAAAAAGTTTGTACTATGGAAGAAATGTTATTTTTCCATTTCCGTAGTCTGTCTGCAAGATAGAAACAAACAACTAGGGAATATATTAATCCCTCGAGTCTATATGAAACAATAGAGTAGAAAGATAAATAATTGTATGATTGTGTTTTATGATAAGAGATGAATGTAACTTTCAACAAAGATAACAATCGAAAAAGAGCATGTATCGTTGCAAAACGAATTGTCTTAATTTTTTCGTGTGTCAACTTCAAATTTTTCCCATAGTGAAGTGAATTAATCTGATAGCTAGGTACTGAGATATTATCGAGGCCTTTCTTTATACGATTATGTAACGTGCGTTCGTCGTAAACTGTTATTCTTTAATATATTGTTTAGTCTTTTTCTTCTCTTGCCGTTCTCCTGTTTTCTGCTTCACTCTGTCGATTTCAATCTATGTCTTATCGTATCACGTTACGCTCTTACACATATTTTTCGATTTATGATATCATATATACTATAATTTTCAATAAATTTTCTTTTATTCACGAAGGTCAGCGACGGCACAAATGTCTCCGCATTATCTATCTAGAGACAGACAAGTAGAGCTAGCCCAAATAGCTCAAAGCATTGCCACGCCGGGCAAGGGTATTTTAGCTGCTGATGAACATGCAGGTTAGCGAAATATATTTGCTTAAAAATCCGAAAATATTCCAGTTTTTCAGCTATTATCGAATCGCGTTTTTCACCAATGGATATTCAGAATAATGAAGAAAATCGTCGTTATTATCGTCAAATGTTATTTCGAACAAAGGAATGTAGTCAGTATCTAAGTGGAATCATTTTATGTCATGAAACGTTTTATCATAAAACTGACGACGATGATATACCGTTTCCTCGTCTTTTGAATGAGATGGGCATCATGCCTGGTATCACAGTTGACAGAGGATTAATTATACTGGGCGGTACTGACAACGAGACTACAACTCAAGGTTTGTCAATAAAAAAAAGAGATATTTGTTGAATATTAGCAAGAGATTGCAGGTTTAGATGGCCTCGAAGAACGTTGTCGAGAATACAAAAAGAACGGCGCACAATTTGCTAAATGGCGTGCTTTGATAAAAATCGGTCCAACCTGTCCTTCGCAATTGGCCATCAATGAAAATGCTTCTAAACTTGCACGATATGCGTCGATTTGTCAACAAGTAGACATTCTCAGCAGATGTTATTATAGAAAAGATCTCAACTTCTACGTATATTTTAGTGTGGTCTTGTACCTATTGTCGAACCAGAAGTATCATTAGAGGGTGATCATGATCTTGAACAATGTCAACGTGTAACTGAACAAGTTTTAGCAACTGTGTACAAAGCATTAAGTGATCATCATGTTTATCTTGAAGGCACACTGCTTAAACCAAACATCGTTACCCCTGGTAGATCATTTGAAAGTACTTTTTCTCGAATAAAACGAACATCTTAGGTGTTAATTGTGTAAAAACGTACACAATTGAACAGATTGCTGAAGCAACAGTAATTGCATTTCGTCGTACTGTTCCAACCGCTGTACCTGGCATAATGTTTCTTTCCGGTAAACTTCGATTTCGCTGTGGCGACGTAATGTTGTAATTGATTCTTGTGTTCTTTTTTTATGTAGGTGGACATAATGAAGAGAATTCAACTGCATACTTAAACGCCATCAATCGCGTACAATTGTATAAGCCGTGGGTATTATCATTTAGTTACGGACGTGCATTGCAAACATCGGTTTTACGTGCGTGGAAAGGCAATAAAAACAATAGCGAACAAGCTCGAAAAGAATTTTTGCGTCTAACTAAAGTAAAAGGAGTTTTATCAATTAATTCATATCGTCACGTGCTAATATTTCTTATAGCAAAATGGTTTGGCATCATTGGGACAATATGAAATATCCGCTTAACCTTTTAATCATCTGTGATTTTGATTTCATATAGAATTTTACACACTATCCTATTTCGTAAAGCAGAATGAAACATGATTTTGAAGGTTGCTTTATTTCTAGAAGAAATCGTATCATCATTTGTCATTAATACGAATACAGCCATGAAATATATCCTAGTAACCGGTGGGGTGATTAGTGGCATTGGTAAAGGAATTATCTCATCAAGCATTGGCACAATACTGATTTCTCATGGATTTCGTGTAACATCGATTAAGGTAATGAGGAAAAAAGGTTACCAACGATATGTTTTTCTATGATGTTCTGCAGATTGATCCATACATTAATATCGATGCAGGCACCTTTTCTCCGTACGAACATGGAGAAGTATTTGTACTTGATGACGGCGGGTATGACGTCAGTGTGCAACGATGATTTGATCTAATTGTTGCTCTACTTTGAATTTCAGTGAAGTTGATTTAGATCTGGGTAATTACGAGCGATTTCTTGGTATAACATTACATCGAGATAATAATATAACAACGGGAAAAATATATCAATATGTTATTGAAAAAGAAAGACGTGGAGATTATCTCGGAAAAACTGTCCAAGGTTGGATAAGATCAATTACATTGAACATTCAGCTTCTATTTTCTTCTAATCGATAGTTGTGCCACACATAACAGATGCGATTCAAGAATGGGTTGAACGTGTCGCCCGAATATCTGTTGATAATGATACAGCTGAACCCGATATATGTATTATCGAAGTGAGCAGAGAGCATGAAAGCGCATCGCATAATAACATTTATTGTATAGCTTGGTGGTACCATAGGTGATATTGAAAGTATGTCATTCGTTGAGGCATTCCGACAATTTCAATTTCGTGTGAAGAGAGAAAACTTTTGTGTTGTTCACGTCAGTCTTGTTCCACAAGTTCGTATATTCACTACAGATATCTATTCTATAGTTCGTTAAATACTTTTTACCAAATTCTAGCCAAACTCGACTGAAGAACATAAAACTAAACCTACACAGCATAGTGTCAAAGAACTTCGTGGTTACGGTCTATCACCGGATCTTGTTAGTAATCAACGATAAAACAAAGTAATATTGAAAATTATGATATAGATCATTTGTCGATCAACAACTCCAATGCCCCTATCGGCAAAAGAGAAAATCTCGATGTTTTGTCAAGTGGAAAAAGATCATGTAAATTTGAAACAAATTCTCTTCGGTTCGATACTTATTCTCTCTTTTCGTCTGAAGGTTATTTGTATGCCTGATGTGAAGACACTATATCGCGTTCCGTTGATATTAGAAGAAAATAGTGTTTTCGATTTTTTGTCAACACGCCTTAGTCTTACGGAAAAAACGAATTATGATCAATCGTTTATGATCAAATGGCGTGATTTAATCGAAAGGTAGATCTAATATTGAATAGACAGATACGTACGTGAACGAAACAAGAGTTAGTTTGGATAGTTTAACTTATCATCATGGTTTAGTACATGACTCTTGCTCATCACTTTTTTTCTTTGCTAATAGAAGTGAACGTCATCTTGATGAAGTCGTCATTGCTCTAGTAGGCAAGTATACAGCTTTGGAAGATGCGTATGCGTCGGTTCTCAAAGCCTTAAATCATGCCGCATTGTTCTGTCATCGAAAATTGAAAGTTCGAGTAAGAATGTCAATTCTTCTGGAAAATCATTTCTAAAAAATAGTTTTAGTTCGTTCACGCAACAGATTTAGAAGCAAATACGAAAAAAGACGACCCTGTTAAGTTTCACGAAGCATGGCAAAATCTATGTAGTGCACAGTGAATGAGTATAATTAGAAAGAGTCGATGTGTAACTTTGGTGGTTTTTGTTTACTTTCAGTGGTGTTCTTGTCCCCGGCGGTTTTGGTTCAAGAGGTGTAGAAGGGAAAATAGCTGCGATCGAATGGGCAAGAACAAAATCTAAACCATTCCTCGGTATTTGTCTTGGTCTACAGTGCGCAGTGATCGAATTCGCAAGACATGTTTTACAGTATAAAGATGCCCATTCAGCAGAATTCGATAAGACTGAACATGAAGTGGTAAGATAGAAGTCAACTTTCGGCTAAAATCAGCTTTTATTCATAGGTAATTGAAATGCCTGAGCATAATACTGGGTATATGGGTGGTCAGTAGATCTCGTCGATTGTTTCGTACTTTAACACTTAGTTATTTGATAGGTACGATGAGATTAGGCCGACGAACAACTCATTTTGTCACTGATGATAGTATTGTTAGTATGTATTTCGTTAATTTTTATTTGTGTTGTTGTGTACCAAACGAAACTTTCGGTAGAGAAACTATATGGAAATGTTGATTCGATTGATGAACGCCATCGTCATCGATACGAGGTGAATCCAAAATACATTGAAGAATTTGAAAAAGCAGGCATGAAATTTGTTGGAAAAAGTGATGATAATGAACGAATGGAAATACTTGAACTTGAGAATCACCCTTATTTTGTTGCTGTTCAATATCATCCGGAATACATTTCACGACCATTGAAACCATCAGCACCCTATTTAGGACTAATCTGGGTAATTTGATTCTTTTTCGTCATAGGACTTTTTGTTTTTCAATTCAAATTGTAGGCTGCGTCTGGCGAATTGAAAAATGTTCTTACACATGTCGATAAAGCAGAACCATCACCGGATACGCCGTTGAAATCTCCTGGGCCTTTCTCTCATGTGAATCTGTTTCGTCATGCATGATCTGATCGTATACTGAACTCTGAACTACTCGTTGACGCTCAAGATTCTTCATTTTGCTTTTTGGCGTTTTTATTATCTTAAATCTCATTTGATTGAGAACCATAACTACACATATGATCTGTATAAGCTTTCTATGAAAAATCTCTATTGTTTTTCTTTCTTTAAACTCGAACAGTACAAAAAACGATAAATAAATATTCCGTTGAAAACAACCAGCAATTTTAGTTTCTTCGTTTCTCGCCAATGTCAATATCATTATCGAACTCTGTTGGACGATATATTATTTAAAATCTGGACTTGAGATCTATCTGTCCAAACCAATCAGAGGCTAGCAAACAATTATTCAATCAAATCTCTTTTCCGTTTCATTCAGATATGTTGTATTATAAGTAATCAACAACAAGAATGTTCGGTCTGAGCTTGACTTTTTATTAGATAGTGAGTAAATTCGGTCGACAATTGGTAGTTTGAATAGAACGAATGAAGCTACGGGTAAAGCAAGAAGAAACTGTCAATGAGTCATTCATCGTAACATGCTCGGTCATCATTACTGTCGTATATTCCTCTCTCAGCAACAATTCCCAGTTTCCTATAAATTCTATCGTTTTACTTTCAATTCTTTGCAAACTCAATTTCAAATTTATCGAACTATGGCATCTACTAGCGGCAAAAATGATAGTCAACAATATGATTACGATTATTTTGTCATTGGCGGTGGTTCGGGAGGTGTGCGATCTAGTCGCATAGCGGCGAAGCACGGAGCTCGTGTTGCCCTAGCCGAAGCGAAGAAATTAGGTAACTAAATTATAGGCTCAGCTTTGCATTTCTATTTATTTTTCTTAGGTGGTACATGTGTTAATGTTGGTTGTGTCCCAAAGAAATTATTTTGTTACGCATCACATTTTCGTGAACTATTTCACGATGCTGAAGGTTATGGTTGGCCAAAAGTCGACATGAAATTAGAAGATCATAATTGGAAGAAGTTTATAGAAAGCAAAAATGCTGAGATTCAACGTTTAAACAATGCTTATGAAAAGAATCAAAAAGACAATAACGTTACGATAATCAAAGGATACGCACAGTTAAAAGATAAAAATACAGTTGTTATAGATGGCAAAGAGTACACGTCGAAATACATACTTCTTGCTGTTGGAGGTACAATTCTCTTGCTGGCATGATGTTGAAAATTATCTGTCTTGTTTAGGTCAACCGGTTCTGCCGAAAATTGAAGGACGTGAGCATGTCATCACATCGGATGATGCGTTTTTCCTCGAAAAATTGCCGAAAAAAGTGATAATTGTTGGTAAGTTTGTTGAGAAGTGTTCATTGTTTTCTAGCACATTATTCAAGGTGGTGGCTACATTGCACTGGAATTCGCTTGTATCTTCAATGGATTTGGCTCTGATGTGACATTAATTTTACGTGGAAAGACAATTTTATCCAGTTTTGATGAAGGTAAAAGCAAAATGAGAAAGTGCTTTGTGTCATTTCAGAAAAAAGCATGAATGTTATCTCTTTTTTAGATGTTCGATCAAAATTATGTGATGAACTCAAGAAGAACGGAATAAAATTTCAATTTGAAACCGAAGTTGAACGCGTAGAGAAGGTTTCGGATGACTCTTTTCGTGTTAAATTCAAAAATAACAACACTCCGATCGACACAAATCTTGTCATGTTCGCCATCGGTCGTCATCCAAACATAGAGAATTTAGGTTTAGACGCTGCCGGTGTGAAAACAAATGACAAAGGCGTTGTTCAAGTCGACGATTATTCACAAACAAATGTTTCCAATATCTATGCAGTATGTTTCCTCTGTTACTATCTTTTGATCACTTTCCTCCTGCGATTTAGGTCGGCGATTGTACAGATCGTAAAGCTCTGACACCTGTTGCTATCCAAGAAGGTCACTACTTAGCTGACATGCTTTTCAATAATCAACAACCACGAAAAGTTGATTACGCTACTGTTGGTACAACTGTGTTTAGTGAACCGTCTATTGGTACGTGTGGTGTAACGGAAAAAGAAGCAAAAGAAAAGTATGGTGAGGATGGTTATGATGTTTATGAATCATCGTTCAAACCCATGTTTGTTCAATTACCTAAACGCGATCGAAAATCATACGTGAAATTGATTGTTGAAAACAAATCTCAACGTGTTGTTGGTATTCATATAATGGATCATGCCGCACCAGAAATCATTCAAATGTGCTCGGTAGCAATTCGTGCAGGAGCAACGAAGGAATTGTTTGATCATTCGATTGGTATACATCCGACTAGTGCTGAAGAAATTGTTCAAATTCGAGAAAAACGAAAGAAGAAAGACGAGGAGAAAAAGTAACGAACTAAACAAATATTTCGATTTGATTTGATACATTCTCACAATGTCTACTAGTACAAACGTAGATTTCTTCAATATGCTAGTTTTTCAATAAAGATTTAGTTCAACTTATCAATTTTTTTAAAACGTGTGTCGAGTTATTCATACTTACCATTGATTGTTAGACTTTCAATAAGAATAAACAAATATCTAGAATGAGCCTCGTCAAGAGCATGTTCTTCGGAAGAGAACAGCATTGGTATTCCTATTTTTTGGTTATTAACTTAATACTTTAATACTTATTATTCATACCTGAAAATTATAAGACGATGTTTAGTTCGACTGTAAAGCACGTATTTATCTGATTTGTTCTTTGTCGTCTCTCCGTCGAAAAACCATTCGACAATTATATTCAGATCGTGACAAACGAGACAGCATTGTCTACGATAACTGGCAATAGCTGACTATTCGCGTGTCACCTAATGCATATACAAAAGAGAAGAAAGAGAGAGAGAGAGAGTAAAGACGATGTAAAGTGACGGCGAACCTTGCGTGCTTACACACATATTCGATGGCTGCACGAGTATAAAACTATCCGTCAACAATTACTTTTTCGTGAATGAATATATATATTTATGTATATTCACGCATTTTCATTCACTGACAAAACAAACTATCATTTTCTTTTGGAATATATTTGTATCAAAATCGAGTGTTTTCATGCATATCTAGCTCATCATTGATCACATCATTCACGGATTGTGTTCAAAAGATAATAAAGCGAAAGAAAAGAAACTTTTGATTCGACAAAGCCTTAGAGAATTGAACGTGACTTGTTTGTTAAAAATTTGTCCATATCATTAGCCTTTCTTTTTTTTCCTCATCTGTGATGCAACGTGCGACAGCTACTAAATCTTCAAATGTTGATTCCAAACACGTCGACATATATTTACTTGCTCTTCTTTACTCTACACTCAATGTGTAGCCAAGTCAACTTTCTTCTTTCTTCATCGTCTTCATCTTCTTCTCTTGTGTATATGTGAATGGGGATCACGCACATGCGAACGAGAAAGAGCGTCGAAATCAAATTCTGTTTGAGCACGCCATCACCATCACAGCACGTACACGGATATGTCCGCGCGCGAGCATTCGTATGATTACAGCGGTGCGTGCAAGCACGCATTCGCACACGCACACACATAGAGAGAAACAAGAGAGAAACGGAGAGCAACGATGAAATATAGAGAAGCAAGTTCTTTCCATTCACTCATCATCATACTCAAGAGAGAGAACCTACATTTGTTCATTGATTAATTCAGAGATGTATCGATTGAATCGACAACATTGTTATTTGTGTGATCTGCCTCGAACACCTTGGGCGATGATTTACGATTTTTCCGAAACGGTTTGCCGCGGTTGCGTTAACTATGAAGGTAAAGTATATCTTATTGCTCCGTGTTGTTTTCCCAAGTCTCGACATGATTTCATAGGTGCTGATCGAATTGAAACAATCATTGACAATGCGCGTATACTTCGACGTACCTCCTTAACCGATCGATCTAATAATCTAACGTCTTCGAAATCGTTCTTGCCATCTTCATCAACTCTTCTTCCAACGAGCAGTAATTCTTATGCATATAAATCTCCATTGAATGGTCATCATCGGCCATCGCTTCCGTTCATGCCTTCTCGTTCCACACATCTGATGTCATCGTCATTATCACCCCCGAACGAAACAACTCTTTCTTCTCAAGAACCTGACGATCTTTCCTTACCAGAAATAGTCAAAGATAGCTTACGCTTATTAACAGCATCAACTCCGTTTGATATCCGTCTTAAACGAGATCCTACTATTCAAGCTCGTCTATTCTTATACGATTCTCATCAACGCCATACGTCAACAGGTGGTACAAGCGAATACGAATTACGAGTATTCACAGAATATCCCATTGGCTCGAATAATGTTCATGCAAACATCAATTCTCTCTTTCGACAAATGAATTCCGATGTCAAACAATCATCATCCAATGAAGACAGTAACCAATCTACGAAAAATCCCTACAAAGCACTGGAATATCGAATCAAATCATCAACTGATCACACCTCAACTGAATGGCATTTATTAAATGATCTAATTAATGAACGTGTACGTGCATTTAAAGAACTACCGAACCAAAATCTTCTACCTGAAGTTCATCTTGATCCAAAACAGATCAAACTACCATCGATTCGTAATTCCATAGCGAAACGTAAGCATAATGATGCTGACATGAGTTGTATTAATAAATACCGTTTGTCCAAACGTCTACGTACACATCAATCCAATAACGAGACTTTATCTGCATCCATACCATTATTGATTCTTCGATGTAGTGATTGTCACCAAGTTCTCGAAGACACACATTTTGTTCAATGTCCATCGACGTCGGAACATCGATATTGTTTTCCATGTTGTAAGAATTTTATTAAAAAACAAACAGGTGACAAGGAAATTTACTGTCCAAGCGGCTTGAAATGTCCACTGGTTGGTTCGGCGAATATCCCATGGGCATTCATGCAGACAGAAATTGAAACAATACTACATACAAGATCTCCATCGCCTCAAAAGTCGAATTCGCCAACATCAAGTTTGACTGTCAAACAAGAAGCGGAAGCTTAGGAGAGAAGCAAAAATCGACACACGCTGTATTTTTATTTAATGTTTTGTTTTTGATTGCATAGTATAATATAGAATAAAATATTCAATTTCTTTTTTTTTATAATCCTTGTAAATCTAATTCGCGGTGCATTTGAACAAGAGCGCAACATGCACAACATTGAACTGCTGCACAATCACCGCATAAGCTGCCCTACATTTATAAATATGAAAAGAGATTATCTATCTTTTCTTGCGAGTCAAATGAACAAACTTGTATTCGAAATAGAGTTCGTATTTTCGTACGAAGTGACCACAGAGTCATTGGCCAACACCATGAAATACAATTTTCACCCAGACGACGGTAGATACCATACGATTTGCATGGACAACACCAGCAAATTAAACAGCCTGAAAAGCAAAGTATTCGCTATATGAAATAACAACATATTCCATTGTAGTTTCACTGACAAAGTTTTGTACTCTGACAGCAATCGAATAATGGCTGCTTCCAGGTATTTTCATAGCCCCAAGCATCATGTCCTGGTCTTGTTTGAACCAAAACTCTATGAGAAACCGACCTTTGAGCTTGAGTATTTTCAATTATTCAATATTACATACGGTGGTGGAATAGTTTGCATTTTCGAATTTACGAATAACAGGAGTTTGCAAGTATCGAAGTGCACACTAATGCTTGTTTTTGCTTCTACGGGGACGAAAGAGTAACATTCGTGCCCATTAGTTAAACACTGATGCACTTGAAAACGAACAAAATTTACATGTCGCCAATGGTATTTACTGGGAAGAAACAGTTTAAAACTTCAATTTGAAGGTTATTTTTTCAATTTAATTCACCAAGCGACCGATCATAAAGAGACAAAGGAATTGTAATCATTGTTTGCAATAATAACATACTCCATTCAATCCACCCATGTCTCACGTATCGAACAAATCGTATCTAGTCGTACATTCGATTGTAAATATCACTGGAATCATTCACATCGCTAGTAAATATTCCTCGAAGGTGTTTCATCTCTCGAGAGAAGCTTCATAATGAACAGCAAGACATTCTTTTTCTTTGAAAAGCACTTTAACAGGACACGCGAACGAAAAATGTACAACTTGCAATGTCTCTTGTCTTCCAGTCCTTGAATGAGAATCTGTCTAGACATGACAATGTAAAAATCTGCAATGAATCCCTACAGTGCATATTAATAAATTCCGACATACTTTCAGTAAACTTTTTTCCGTTAATCTTTTATTAAATAAAATAAATTCAAGATAAAAATTCATTTGCGTCAGTTCACTGTCACATACAAAAAAAAATAACTACTGAATCGTTTGCTATTTCACAAGTTAGTGTTCATAAATTTACATCAGACGTTTGCCACCCATGGCTGGAATACCTTGACAATCCAGTTCATGGTCGATTTGTAAAATAGCACAAGGTGCGGTACAACAGGTGGCTACTAGACAATCTTCGACAAGATTACCCTATAACAAACAACAACAAGCCAAATATGAAACTAAAAAATCAATATTTACTTGAATTCGAAAAGCTGTTCGAACTTTCGTACGTAGAGCCATTAATGACCATGGGTTACAAAAGCCAGTACAGTAGTTATCATTCGTGCGATCGATTACTTTAGCTGTATAACATGGCGTGCAGAAACATGCGAGAGCGGCTAAAATCAATGTAAAATATTCAAGAGTTGATTGTTTATTCAAAATGAAGGTCTACATTTGGGACACGGTTTGAATGATGAAAATAACGGTCGATTCCATTCATTTTTAAATGCAAAAAGATAATTTAAATCACGCGGTTGAACGGCGACTTGTTGCGGAGCGTAAGCGGGTGGCGGCGGAGCATAGCTTCAAAAATTTGAGACATTAATAAGGAAAAATGTGCGTAACAAGTTGAGTATATGTACCGTGACATGTCTAGTGATATTTACTCAATGGTACTCTAGTGCAAAACTCGATGATTTGCTTTGTATCCTTTGAAATGAGTGTTCTTCTTTCTAATCAATCAATCAATGAACGTAGGCAAAATTGTTGTCAAGGCAGTAGTATACACAATCGGTTAACTGTTTTAATCGAACAACTTCAGGTGAAAGAATGGTATGTCAAAAAGAAATAAAGAAAAAGAAGAGAGAAAATGTGGAATTTATTTTGTTTTAGCAACACAGATCTGTACATTAACATGAAAAATACTCGTTTTTATTTTTGTCATGTCTTCAGATTCCTATTAATCTAAGTAAAGAAACTTCACTTTTGTTACTATGGAAGGAGTTGAATCGAATAATTATAGCTACAAACAAGCAGATCGAATTTCACAGATTTGACTTTAACTCATGAGACAAAAATGAAAAAATAATATTTATATGTATGTATATATATATAATATATATGTTCGAGTTGAGCTTTTATTCATATTTGTATACGATTACACAGACATTTGTTGAATAAAATGAACTCAAAACGTTTGAAAAGTGAAAAAAAAAACGTTCTCTTTTGGTTTGTGTTTTAGTAGGTATCACCATGGTAAGATCGATCGTTTCGTGGATGGGTTTTTCGTGTTGTTCGATTACCCCATAATCCTTGAAAGTCAAGTTCGTTTGCGATTTGATTAGCCACACATGGTCCGCAGCAACTTGTTGCCCAATAGTCACCGCAGCATGAACCCTAAGGGCAATAAATAAAATTTGTTTTTTTTGAAAAAGGACGACTTACTTCAATACGTCTTGCTGTTCGAAGTTTTGTTCGAAAGTAAGATAGTGAACCTGGACAGCAACCGATGATGCTCGATTCTCCCATACTTTTGGCTACTTTGCATCCAAAGCACATGGAACAGCACCACGCGCAAAGAACTAAATCGTATCAACAAAATTGCGAGTTGACCATCGTCAAAAAGACGTTATCTTACATTGACTGCACGGTTTGCAACTAAATAATTCCGTACGCCATTGATTTTCAAAGTTCCATACGTTCTGTGTGTCATATTGTTGTTTAACAACAGATGGATGAGATGAGTTGTTTCTAAATACAAGCGAGCTAGTCAAGATCCACAAAAGTTGATTTGAAGAACTCACGGGCCGCGATTCATGTCGATGCTTGTTTTGTTTGGTTTATTGTTGATTTTGTGTATATACTATGCAAGAAAGTGCAACAACTTGTTCTTGAATTGTTTCTCTCTTGTCACTTCGATCGAATCTAAACGATAATATCATTGTTCAATTTTTTTTATCGATGACTTTTCTCTCGCTCTCTTTCTATTTTTTTTTCTCTCTCTCTCTCTCTCTGACAACCTTCTTGTTGGTCTTTTTCTCTTTTCTATATTCGCTTTTGACGCATAGAGAGAAAAATTCTCGTTAATATGAATTTAAGTATGTGCGTGTGTATTTAGCAACGCAAAATGGTTGACGCGTGATTTTAAAAACTTACTTATGCTGAAATAATTGAAAACAACGTTGCAAAAATATATTTTTTATATTCGATTGGATTATATTAAAACTTGACAACAATAGTCAAACAAAACATGTTTGTTCATTGTTTTCGCAATTAAATTTCTTCGCTACTGATCGATTAGACTTAGTTGTGTGGATACCGAAGAAAACAGAATTAATCAATTACAGAATGTCGGACATGGCCACGGTGAAAAACGAAAGAAATTCATACTCGAGGTTTCCTTAGGTAAAATTTATTCAAACTAAAGTAATGAAACCGTCGAAATTCTTCTTTTTTACTCAGCCGACTACGAGGATATTGATACGTGCGATCGAGAAGTTTAGATAGAACGAATAAGAAAATATTTATTCGATTTTTGATTGAGATTTTCAGTTTCATGCTCTCCCGGCAACTGTTACTCGCAGTAGAAATGATGAAATCTCATGACTAATGGAGAAGAGCATTGTTTTTCTTTCATGACGAATAAGAGTCAAAGAAAATGTACATACAAAAACAACGTGGCTGCGAAAACAGAAATTTCATTAATAGTACAAATACAGTGGACCGTCTGTCATGCTTTGAACAAACAGACGTTGAAAATATTTGAGGAAAATGCACTTTCGCGGAGAGATCTGGTTTACGTCATCAATTATCAAAAGAACTGCTTACAGGTGTCGTTTTTGCTGCTTTGTTGATCGTATTTATCGATATTAATAATTTACGTTCAAGAGAGATGGTAAACAGTCAATCAAGCATTTCGAGTAGAAATCTAAAGAGGTTGCCCTGACAAAATAGAGCTCCTTACTTGAAAGACGGGCAAATATGTCATTACATCATGCCTATTTTCCTCGAATGTCTTTGTTTACTCGATTATAACTACTTGCATGACCGAATAGACTCAATCACTCGAAATCCAACGTGATCAGTTTTATATAAATAATCAATATTTGAGTTTCTAATGAATATACATCATTATTTTTCCTCGATTTCCTCAAGGGAAATAGACTTTGCTTAATACGACTCAGTTTTTATTTCGGAGACGAATTTCAAAGAAAATCATAACTCTGAAAGGCTAATTGTTGTACAGTCGTGTGTTCTAATCATTGCTGATAACAGGGAAAGTATCATCAATCTCTTTTGATGGTTTTGTAATAGCTTCTTATGTTTATTTAATTAGATTCTTGATTGTATATTTAAAAAAACACAGGAAGATTTATGGCTATTCGGGTCGTTCCTCTAATTAGTTTTTTCCGGCAAGGCTATATGAGATATACAAATACCTTTCTTTGTCTTCGTTGTATAGAACTTCTGATTTGGTGTGACAAAAGCAGATCATCATACATTACTGATTTATTAGTTTTTTTTCTTTCTTTTTTCAAAAGGAATCTGCATAAGTAGAAAAAGACTTTGTATGTATATACTTATTACATTTCAGTACATTTTTTTATAAAAAAAAACGAACTTACGTTAAGATAGAAACAAACAAACAACACTGAGGAGAAGAAGGTTTTTTGTACACATAAAAGAATCGAAACTCAAGATCAAATCACACAAAAATACCGTCATCACGATAACGATCATCATCGCGATCATAACTAGCAATATTTGTATCATCATCACGTCGATAGTCGATCGATATTCGGTCGCGATCATCATCGTTCGAAATGAACTGATGATTATCCTCGAGATTATCTTTGTAAGCGTCCACTTCAACTTCATTCGAGTCCATGTAACGATCATGATAATCAATTTCATCGATAGCGTTCATTTCTCGCCAGTGCTGATCAGTCATGGAACTCGTATGACTCAAATGCTCGCCCTTCGTCAACAAGTGATTCTCCATGATCAAACTGTTTTCTCGTGTGTGATCGCTTTCTAAGAGATCTTGCCGGTGAATGTCGAGTAGATTTTCGTCTTTTGAATAAGGAGAATATTCACGACGAATTTCGCGGTAGTGTTCACGCGCACGAAGATCGCGCTCGGGGGAGTAACTGTTCCTTTGGTTGATTTTCATCATTTGTCGATCGAGTAGATAGAATGGTTCCTGTGTGCTATAGAAATCGAGTCCGTTCAATTTTGTCGCGTTTTGGAAACTTGAACGGCGTTGAACTGTTAAAGGATTGTGATCAACATGTTGGGAATGCGCTTGTTGCTGTTTCGATTGATCGTGAGAGGGAAACGCGGCAAAAACAGGACGTGTTCGATTTAACGGTAGAGTCTTAATGGTTGCTGTCGCCGATGATCCATTTGTATTTGTTGAACTGATCAATTGATCAAGATCAGTTTCTTTCAGAGTATTTCGTCGGAGAGAAGGAAATTCATCCTCAGGTGTATAAATACCTCGGATGGTCGGATTACTACGTTGAGACGTCGATGTTTCTGTCGAGATTAAATAATCTTTTGAACGATAAGGACGGACGGGATAAGCTGTTCCATTGCCATTCTGTTTCAAATGTACTAAAAATAAACACGACTTGATGAAATACTATTCTATTGATTCGAAAAGGAATCAACAACAAATGTCGATGTATCTATCAACAAGGTCTTTATCGTTCTTGATAGACATTTTATTCTTTTGATTTATGAGTTACACGGAAACAAAAAAAGAATTCTAATACGAGTTTTATTATACACGCATGATTCTATCATGACGACTTATCTAGATCAATTCTCAATGATGCGAATGGTAATAATCTCCGATCTCTTTTTTTTGTCACATAGTTCATATCCCGTTTAAAATTCTATATTATCCCTCGAGGCACTCTCTCGAAACATCGTCAATTGTGCGTACTACAACAATGTGTGTTTACCTAATGAATGTTTACCATTTGAATTGGCATGTGTATTTGAATTATGGTTTTGATAAGTGAGACCTAGAAAATTGGTACCATCGTTTAATAATTTATCTCTTCATTAATCACTTACTGTCAAAATTGCCTTTCGTTTTTCTTCGATACAACGATCGACGGATTTGATGGCAACAACAACAAATAATTAATAACGAAACAAGACACGCACCAATAACACAAACGGCCATATAAGGCCAATAAGTTCGAGTTTTATCGACAAGTGATTCGACTAAAGAAGAAAATGCACTCAATGCGAGTTTTTTTGTATTTACGAAAGTGACTCCTACCTTTAGGTTTACCAACTGTAATAGAATAACTTCGGTCAAAATTATCACCATATTTATTCCGTGTAAATACACGAAAATCATGATGACGTTCGGGTTTAAGATCGGGAAGAATAAATGCACAGTTACCTACGGAAAGTACGAAATCAATGGTATACGACCTTGTTTTCTACATCATCGTCTCACCTTTTAATCGTGCATGTTCAGAGAAGGAACCATTGTCTTGTTTTTTATACATATAACAGAAAAAATCTTCATCGCCTTGATGAAAACCTGCAGCGCAATTAACTGTTAACGTCGCATTCACATATGTATAACCACAGGATTTAATTGGATCAGGTATACCTATTCCAATGATTATGATTCGTACAACAAAATAAACAGATCAATGAATATACATTACCTCCCATAATCATATTAATATGACACTCAGCAAATAGATCTAGTTCGTTTTGTGCTCGACAAGTCGCTTGTCCAAAATCTTCGATATGATTCGGTAAGACTGTTATATAGCTAGCAGTTTGATTTAAAAGGTGTCCTAGATGTGTTTCGCCATTCGGTAAGATCCAAGTGAAATTTAATTTCGACGGGTTGGCATCATTCATAAAACAAGTTAAGTTTATAGGTCGATGAATTCCAGTGAAAAATTGATGTGAAGGATGAACTTTATGTGCACATGTTGGACCATCTAAACAATAAAATCAACACATCAAAAAAGAAAAAGAAAAATCTCATCGATTGCTGCTTTCTTCTATTCTAATGATAGATTGATTTGTTGACATGTTAGCACGCGCTCGAATGACATCCGCCAGACGTCCATACATATATGACAAGATTAACAGAAACTATAACCTATATGTATATTTCTAGCTAAACATTAACCTATTCGATTCAGCTGCTATGTACGAGCAACTCTAACGTTCATTAGAAATTCTTTGTCAAACAAATATCCGCGTTAAGTACGCACTTTCTTCGTATTTCAAGAAAGCAGACTATTTCCATACAAAGAATGTCTAATACAATTGTTATTGTATTGACTACTTCATTTCATCTCGATAAATTAGTTTCAATTTCAATTGTTCTCACGTTTTCCTTTCTCTTCCTCTCTTCCTAAATACTGACAATCAAATCAGGAAGCAATTCTAGGGATTTTATGATTTCTTGTTTGCGCTTTTTGTTAACAATACATTCTCACGTTTTTCTTTCTCCCAAATAACAGATCGGGTGTCAATGAGCCTTAACAGCTCTATTTAATAAATAACTTACTTGGAGATGTATCTGGTAGTTATGATATATGTGTGTTGTTTTTAGAGAAATAATATTCTATGATAATGATAGTAATGGTTAGAAAGTGTAAGTACTAACGATAAAGGCTGTTGCAAGCAGGAGAAAAGCATGAAAGAAAGAATAGAGGAGAGAGAGAGGGAGCAAGCATCTCTTAGCGTCTTTTCTTCTTTTTCTCTTTCTCTTCTCAGGGCGTTGATGCTGAGAAAGAGAAAGTAACAGTAAAGCACGACACATAATCTCTCATTTTCCAGTAATAGATAGTTCAAAGATGTGCTACACACACGCACACGCACACATACATACATATATACAGATAAATATATGTATATACAAGCTAATAGCAGAAGCTTAGGTGATATCAAAGCAAATGAAACAAGAGGAGGAAGAAGCCTCATGTAGACTATTGTTGATTAATAGCGTGTCAGCTTTAATTGGTCGCAAAATTGGACGACGTTAACACATATATATCTGTGTATATAAATATAGATAGGAAAACCTCTTGACTTCGCATCTGTTGAATAGTATGGTTGAATTTAAACGAAGACGGTGGTATAATTATATCATTTATTCACTCTGTTTATTCTTAGTAGATGAATGAACTCGATCATTAAAGATAAAAATAACATGATGCACCTTAGTTGATGTTCCTTCATTCGACAACATTCATCATTATTGTTGTCTCTTTCGGTCCGAGATTGCGGAAAGAAAGCAGAGATAGACAACCTGAGGGTTGGAATCTCTTCTTCTTCTTCTTCACCATATTTATATTCCATGTGTGCTACCATTTACTGATCCAATCGATCAACCGAACGAAAGACGAATAAATGTACGCGAAGCAATCAAGCGAGAAATAAGCGGCGCTGTGTATGATTGAACACAAAGGAGACGTAGAATTGACTAGATTGAATGAAATATGCCATCGTTCAATGTTCGATGAACAACAGTCTGACACGCCAAATAGAATTAAAATAGGGGTGGAGCTATGCTGTAAATTGAAGATGACGATAGTCATATGGACAAAAAAAAGAAGAAGGAAAGGAATGTATAGTCATCTTTCCTTTTATACAAGCTCCACTATACAGGGTCAAGAGATAAGGTCTTATCATCATCATCATCATCGCTCTTCTTTTCACCACTGAATATGCATTGCTCCAAGGGACATCTCACACATGAGTCAAGTGTTTGTCTGCTTTTAGTCATTCCATCTGTTTTCTTTCTGTAAGGTGCTATGATCACATAAAAAGAGCTTCTATTTTCCGTATGTATATGATACGAACTGTTTGTTTCATTAAAAAAAGAGAAGGAGAAAAAAAACTTCCTGCTGTCTGCTTCCTATTAAAACCCGTTTTCTATTAATTGGAAAAAAGTGAAATTAATTATTTATGATTTAGATAAGAGTGACGATGGAAATTAAATATTCCTTTTATGTTCTATACTTACAAACTACATCTGTTTGAAATGTGTTGGAAAGCACTTGGTGTTGCGGCTGCTGTTCTTCTCCTTGTTGTTGTTGATCTTGTTTGTTTTCATCACCGATAAGTTGTGATTGAACGGCTTCACAATGAAATGTACGTTTATGGAAAAAGCGATTAAGTCGAAGAATTATGATCACTATTGTTCGATAAGTTTGATCGTCGTTTTCTAAAGTGGTATTTTTCTCGACACGATAGTCAATATCGAATGGAAAATGAATTATTGCTGCTGGTAAGGCACGAGATACAACACATGTAAGACGTATTAATTGATTTTCACGTAAACGTATGTGTCCATTATTTGATAATAATGAATAAAAAAGGAAATGGTTAGATGATGATGATTGATGCGAAAGATCTTTATCGGTTTGATTTGATACAGAACTGATTGCAGAATCGTGTGTTGTTAGCAGTTGAGCAGCAAGTTCGACGGTAGTAAGGCGAACTAAAATACATATTTGAAATAAAATGCTCTCCTATGACGTGTCATCTCTGATTTCAACTAACAATTAATTCCTTTTCTCTGCTCGTTTTTTTCTGTATCGTTTTTTTTCCGTTTCGTTCCTATTCTCTCCGATGACGTATGTTGTCGAGTGGTTTCCCGTGGACAATGCCCGTTATACATTTTTTTTTCTTTTCGAGGGTGCAAATGAATGAATAATGAAGAGGTGAGAAAAACGACAACGAGACAGAGAAAGAGCGCACGTACTGCGATAGGATTCAATCTCTCTAGCCATCTCGACACTCGTCATATGTGCGTGTGCGTACTTTTTAGAATAACATACGCAACGGGTAATGATAGCATAGGGAAAGTTTAACGGACGGAAACGCACAACTATGATCTTCGTATTAAAATAGAATGATGTAAAGAAGAGAAAGGGAGGGGGAAACGAGAAATGAATAATAGAGGTAGCTCACAGACAGAATAGCGGCATAGTTTACCAACGACTCTGGCAGTATGGCTGTCTAATACCGACACATTAGGAGAGTGATGGAGGAAATAGGCACACGCATAGTTATCGATAGAAGGCGTAAAAGAAAAGAAATGACGAGAGGATCTGAAATCAGACGCCCGGAAGAAGAAAAACCACACCCAACTGGCAGTATTCTTAGTTGCAAGGTTGATTACTGAAGATAAAGACAAGGAAGTTTCGTTTTCATCTGTGCCTGTAGTCTCCTGAGAAGTATATTGTAATCTTTGGATTAGTTGCTCCAAGTGAGAATGAATGCAACAGCGCCATTTAGAACAATGTTGTCAAAGCGAATAAGGACAATGATCAGATTCTATGAGATTCTTTTTTTTCTTCTGATGTTCTTCTCGTCAAATGTGAGCGTTGAAGCGAAAGAAGGAAAGAGACGAGGGAGAAGGAAAAACGAGGAAAAAAAATAAAACAAAAGGAGCATGCCAATCAGTCTATGGATTTTCTCTGCAGCTCTTCGCATTCATAGAAAAATCACTCTGTATAGTTTTTTCTACTAAGATTTCTAAATATAATTTGAACACAATTGCAATTACCAAACCAATAGTTGTCAAGACAGACATCTATTATTTTTCTCATAAAATTAATATTAGCTCAATGCGATCGATCGATCGACGACACTGCACGCGCGCACATTAGAGCAAACACAATAGACACAGCATCCTACACAAATGCCCCCTATATATTACGCTCGAACTCGGCTATGTGTTCACAGCCACTTGACGTAATGTAACTCGTGTTACTTACTGCGCACCATCGATCATCATGAGCGCGTGTATGGATGTATGTGCTGTATCAGTCGTATGTATAATAGAGAAAGAAAAGGGAAAAAAATCGGAAATTATTTCGGAAAAGTGTGTAACACGCATCCTTCCCATTCTATCAACTTCATTGAATCTCTGCGTTCTGAAGCAACAGACATTGATGTGAACGGGTTAAATCATCTAACAGTTGTTAATATCTCAAAGGAGAAATTAAAACGATGATGAAGTCTGCAAAAGACAACGAAAGATCAATATAGACTTGTGCCTACAAGAAGATGTGAAGAAAGAAAACGAGAAGAAAGAATTTCTGTCATTCGCATACATGTACAATTGCTTACTTGCCAGAGACAAGAGGTCTCATTTTCTTCTCTCTCTCTCTCTCTCTTGCTCATTCGCTTGATGCACATGCATCATACACATTATGTCACAGTATGTGAGAACAAAGACGACAGATACTCAAGATCATGTTGAGTGCGATATTAAAAATGTGTCGATAAGTAATTCAATAATCATTCAGAATAGGCAATTTTCTGTACTCAAAAACTCAATATACTAAATCTAATTTGATTGAAAAGAAACCTTTGTCTCGGAAACTTAACTTACTGATGACAAAAAAGAGAAGTCTACTTTCTTCTTTTGCTCTAACTGAACAGCAATGATTTCTCTATAGAACTTTTGATAATATAATATGAACTAATCGGATTGACTAAATCCCGACTTTTCTTTAATATAAGATATGATTAGAAAAAGAGACTTATGCGCGAAAGTCACTTGTCCACTAATGCTGTGATAGGATTGACTATAATAACCCATTACACTAAGACACAAGATTAATTTGCTTTTCACTTTCAAGCGGAGAAAATTCTTATTGCGATAAATACATATACGATACCTCGAGTCTCATACACCATAGAATTCGGATTTATATGGATGTTTTTTCATGTAAATTCGTTAGTACTCGTAATCGAAATAATCGAATACTTTTGTTCGATGGGCATGCGTGAATCGCCGAATAGGCAATTCGACGTCTTTAACTGATAGATTGAATTATTAGACAGAATTAGTTATTCATGTCGAATTGTACGATAGAAATCTTTTTCATAGAAACGGATAACTACAACTTTCTTAGATCTATACTCTACGCACACCAAAACAAGCGATTTATAGGAAAAGTCAGAAGATAGAACGAACATTTCTCAAGTATTTTCAATAGACTATTGCTAATGTCTGTTGTTGTCTCCTTGTTTGTCTGTGTATATATCTGCTTTTTTCCTGATAGCATCAAAATACACAAAAACCATTTGATATTTATAGTCGTTATAAGCATTTTGCCTCGATGACTTGAAAAACAGCAAACTTTTGTAAAGAAAAAAAGAAAGAAAAGGGAACGAAAGAGCAAAGTTTAGAGATAAGTTACCTATTTATAAGACTAATTTCATCAGATCTATAATAAAAGAACTTTATTTCATTGGCTGTAACAAATCCAATATGATCCCTCGTTTACTAAATACATAATAGTCTTTCTATTTCTAGCAAATATCAATCTCCGTAAACAAGCAATGATTTATTAACATTTGATAATAATAAAAATAGGCGATTATTGAAGTTTAAGATACTCAAGCTTGATGATTGATGAAGAAACGTGAAAACTTCTCTCTCAATAAGAACTCTATCACACGAACTTTTCCCAAATGAAAGTCTATTGCAGACCAATTCAAACTTAATGAACTAATAAATATTCACCGAGAAGAAAAACTAAACTTGAGTCAATTATCGTCAATAAAAGCCTAAAAAACTCACTGAATTCTTACCTGTGACAGTCAAATTGTATTGTCGAATAGCGCCTAAAGTTTCACATTCGTAAATCCCTGAATCGTTGGATTGAAGTTGACGGATATGTAACATTTGCAGTTGTATTCCGCTTGATTTCGTACCATCATCTAGTTTTTCCAGAGCCATTTTGAGACGATATTTCGATAAGATAATACCATATCTTGTGGCGAGAAGATCTGGTCGTTTCCACCAAGCAACATCGGTTAAATCACAGGTTAATCGTACATGACTATTTTCGGGACGAATGATGTCTTCAAAACGATTGTTATCTTCCAGATTATCAGTGAATATCATCGTTATTTCAATGGAAAATAAAACAAGAAGAAAAATAAATGCTTTTTTAGATTTAATTGTATACATGTGATAATATTATTGACGACAATGATGAGGCAAACATAGTCGTCGATATATTAATATATAGAAAATGATTATCTACAAGCGAAAAAAAAAAAGAAGAATTTTTTCTTTTGAGGTAAAGGTTATAAACAAAGAACGAAAGAATTATAATGTCGTCTCAAACATCTAGATTGTCAATTAGTGACAGATAATGTCATCATACATGACATATTCTTTTTGTCATCCATTATAATATCTATGTAAGAAGATAATATAAACGAATACATATAACATATATGTCGATAGAGTAGATGTCTATTTAAAGTCTGTATTAGACTTTTTATATTGACTTATACATACGATTAAGATGTATTGGATAATAAATCAGAAGATCTCGTAATGAGATTTGGTGTTGCTTCATTCACTTCGACAGAATGATATGGATCATGATGATTGAAGTAATGTGTTCAATATTATCATGTTGCGTTGAAGAATAGACAATGGATTAGAAGATCCACAGGAGTTGATTAGTAAATGATGTTGCATGATGAACGTGTCAAAGTGAAAATGAAGAATACATAGGCATTTTCGATGTCGACATTATGCTGATAGCGATGATGTGAGACGCAAACCAAGTCAATAGATTAGTACATGCAAACGATCAGTCGTCTGTTTCTTGACTAGTGTTACTAATCATAGCACGTCTCACACAGTCGGAGAGGGAAGAGTCCGATTGTTAAACAAAAATAATAATCACCTCTGACGCGTGAAGCAACTCTTATCTTATGTCCTCCCATTCACTCTCTCTCTCTCTCTTGACTTTACATATATGTATTATATACGATTAATCGAGTGACTTGCCAATTCCCTTTAGTACTCGTTCTCTCTTTTTACATCTCTCCCGGCTATAACCTCACCATTGTTGTCAAGTTATATTATAGAATGATGCGTCCTTCGTTATACGTTTTCTCTTGAGCTCTTGTACAAACAGATCGATCTTTCCTCCCTCTCGTCTATTCTTATCAGCTAGTAACTGATGATGCCTGTTCAGGATCATCGACAGAAAGCATTCTAGTCATCAGCACATCAGATTGAATGCAGAAGTATGTTGCTCTTTAGCTCAAAAAGTGACCAACAATAACAAATGGACGAAAGCAATCGTACTAATGCTAATCTTTTACTGTTCGATTGTTCACTTATTTGACCATTGACTTCCAGTAATTGTATGATAAATCATTAGAACGAACGAAAGAAAGAAAGAAAGAGGAGAGCAATTCGAGAGAATCGATCGGACAAGAAACTTGTCTTGTATGCGAGAAACAATTATCGCCATACATACACTCACATATACACACTTGTGCTACACAGAACACATCAAGCAGGAAGTGACTGGCAAGAAAGCAAGTTCTAATATTGACGAAACGGCTCGAATCCCATAATGATTTCTTTGACACACATATAAAGCGTTATAGACAGAAGAAGTCAAATGATGGCCGCGAGCGTCAACGAGATTATGAAACTTTTTTTTATAACTCTCGCCGTTTTTGCCTCATTTTTATCTATCTGTCTTGTTCACATACATTTCTACATTTGCTCTTTTAGTTTCTTTCTTTGTTCATCTGTATGTGACAACAATAAGGGTCATCAAATACAAAAAAAGAAAATGCCTGTAAAAAATGAAAGTCATTCGACTCGTAAAAGTCTACACAGGCCAGCTGGCACAGCTGTAGATCGTTTTAACTGATTCTTACGAATGAAACACGAGATACTGTAACAAGGTTAACACAGTATGCATCGATTACCTCGGGACACATAGATACAGATATATGTACGTATTATATCTAGTGTTATTTTCTTTTTCCATGTTGTCTGTCTATCTATTCTAGGCTCTCTCTCTCCCTCTGTGTTGAAATGAGCGTCGAGACCTATATCACTTACCTCCGAAAGAAGAACAATTACAATGGACAGCATGCCAATCGGTCGAACGAAGATGATGTAGAACAAAGAGTTTGATCAATGAGAGGAAAGAACGCTCAAGAGATTTTCGGCTTACTAAATAAATTTTCTATTTCTTATGTCCGTTCTGGTGTTTCTTTCTTCTTTTTCTTCTTCTTCTTTTTGTTCTTTCTCTTCTTCTCTCACCCCCTCCTCAGGGAATAAATCATCGTGAGACAATTGCCGATGATCTGAACGAGTGAAACTGGCTTTTCACGTTTATTGGAACTACTAGTAGTCATCGATTATAGGAATAAAATAAAAAAGATAGAGAACGAATACGCAATAATACAAATGAGGTCATCGGCAGACAGGTACTCGACAATCCAAACGAGCAACATACAAAAAAAGAAGCGAGAAGAAAAAGAAATCGAGAAGGCAAATAGGATAATCAATTTACCTCGAAACTGATCGGATTTTCATCTTAGCAGTTTTTCTGCTCAATGAACACAAATTGAATTTGAACGACAACGATACACAAGTCAGTGACACTTAGCAACTCTATTAAAATTCGAGTAGCCACTTTTTGACTTTATTTCTTGAACAAGAAGAAGAAAATGAAGAAGAAAGATCTTCATCGTCGTCTATCAATGAAGATGAGAGCGAGAAAGCAAAACGGGAAAGCTGAAAAAGAAGAAAACGAAGCCACTTGATTCTTTTTCATCGGCTAACTCTGTTGACTGTAATTGTTCAATCAAGCAACCGGAAAGTTAGAGCTGAAAGAAGGCGTATACACACGCTTCCGTCTTTTCTTTATAGATATATCTCTCATTGCACATGCATGCATATGTATATGAGCAATTAGAATTAGGACAGCAATTGTTTAAATCTAAGTTATGTCTCCTGCACTTACCAAGACATACAAGGAAAGAAAAACGTTCGATTAACAAGTACCTATTCATTGTTGATTTTTAATCGATCTTCATTGATTGTATGAACGGTATAGTGAACAAACATGTCGTTAGTACAGTCGCGTGCTTGTTAATCAAGACAAATGACATGCTAAAAGTAAACATAGATGTCTGTCTTTAGTACTCGATAAATGTACAATGCTAATAAGTCAATTAACACGAACAGAATTAGCGACAAAGAAGAAGCGATCATATTGTTATGATTATATTCCAATGATATTTCTCGTATCGACCTTCGGATTTTAAACTAAACATACCAGAGATGAGATCTATCATTAGCATGACACGAGATGGACAGCGAGAATGAAACTAACAAGCGAGTCAAGGTTCAGTTCTAATCGACAATGACAAATATTTTGAGGAAGTTAGTTATTAAACTGAATCAATAGTCGAGAGGTGAACCTTAGCAGAGAATACTTCATTCGGTTTTTTTTTCAATGTCTTCGTTGTCGTCGCATCATCAGCGCGTGTAATCGAGCATTGAACAGGTATCTTGAGAAGAAGAAAAAAAAACGAGATGAATTCTTCTTTTCTCACACATATTCATTTGTTCTCTGATTGCATTAGCATTTTTGCTCGGTTTCTCATCGTCCTACGAATGGCACTTATATATATTTCTTCTTCTTTTACATTCAAGTGATAGTCAAGATCTAGTCTTCTTGACCTTCTCCATCGTGAACATTGAACTACCCACACCTTGCCCGTAACGATCATTTCTTCTTTGGTTTCCGATTGAAAATTAACTCAACGTGCTTCCACTCATCTTTACCTTGTGAGTAGTATGTCAAACGGGGATAATTACAATGGTATTTCTACAACTTAATCATCAAATTGGATCTCCGACAGACGTACTCACCAAAGACACAGAAGAGTTAATTGAAAAAGAGCAGTTCGACATATCAAATTTCTTTCCTCATCTAGTATTATCTTCAAAGTTTCTCGGTCTCTATTTATTTTCAATACAACTCATCGTTCCTTCCTATTTCCTATCGAAGAAACCCTACCTTCAACCGTTTCTGTTCCGCACAAAATCTACGCTTGAGACACGTCGATAAAAGTAATATTCTCATATAAAACAACTGAACGAGAAAGAAAATAATAAAAAGCAACGCAGGTGTCTATAACAGCTTTTAAATCATCGAGAGATATTATCGGTAGAAATGTTCTCAAACTTTGCATTACTTCCACCTAACAACAAGCCATCGAAGGTCGTTCAAACACTTTCCTATTTTTGCAGTAGTCTTATTCAATCTTTTGCTCATTATCAACATCGAATTGCTTATTTTTGTATGTAGAAAAGGCAAAGAAATGAAACAATCGACGATTATATTTCTTCGACATCACTGCCAGGACCTTTGGCAAAGTGTTTCATATTGTTTTGGAGAGATTTCATCAATGCATGCGCATCACGACGCATTTCTTCATTGTGCAATTGATCGTAATCGGCTAATGCTTCCTGAAACAAGCAGATCGCACGATCTGTTGAATTTCTCTTTCAACAATAGACGTCTACTTCGTATGCTTGCTTAGCTATTTTCAAAGCATTGTCTGCTTTTGATTTTGAATTAAAACAAAAAACCGAGTAATTGAGCATAATTCCGACACGAACGGGATGATAGGCAGGTAGATGGTTTTCCGCGAGCTCTTTGGCGTTCAAATAGCAACGATTAGCTTCGTTTTGTAATGATTCTCGAAGGTTTGCTGAAGCTATTTCAATTTCATATCGAATAAAATCACCTTTCATACGTTCGTAGAAGGCGATTTGTTCTGCATCGTTTCGTGCATTTGGTGTTAGAACATCTTTGACAATCGCTTTGATTAGAAATACAAGCAATCATCGAAAAACACATCGACTTTACAATGCATCTGTTTTACTTAGCAATTCTTGACAAAGATTCCATAACTCATTCGCAATTTCGTCTCGATATTGCTCACAAATCTAATATAGAGTACGTAGTTTTGTTTTTAATTGAGTATTTAATGTATTTTTCTCAATTATCACCTGTATTAATTTGACTTCGTCAATTTTCTTACAATAAGTTGTCAGATGACGAATTGCTATTACGACGAAAACAAGAACAAGATACAATCTAACGATACTATCAAACATACACACATATACACACACACACCTGTTCGTCGTGTTGTCACCGTGTTTTTATAAGCAACAACAAGTAGATTTCTTTCGTCAGCAGACAATTTCTTTTTCAAATCGAGTAGATGTCTCATTTGAATCAACATGTCTTCGTATCGTAGAGCTTTTTCAGCTAAACGTGCACGATAAATGAAATCCTCGGCTGTCAATGCCGCCATTTTCGCGTGCATTCCTAGACCGTTCTCGTCCGTTTGATTTGTCATTAATAATTGTGGTTGTGTACGTAAAGCATGTTGCTGATCATCTGTTTGATAGGACATGGCAATCAATTGAAAAAACCCAAATGAATTCGATTCATTTACTAGTCGAATATTTTCTAAATAGGCGCATTTTTGGGCTTGTTATTTGTTGTACTTCGGTATGATAATTAACTAATTTTACATTGGAACGCCGTACGTATAAAATGGCAACCATCAAAATAAACAGAGTCTAATAAGCGTAAAAACCCTGATAAATCAGCGTCTCACAGTACATGTATGTGTATATGTATATGCATGTATATATATTTATCGTTGCTGCACGTCTGTAACTAATCGGAAGGAAGACACTTTACAATTTGCTTCATAATTACTTACCTATCTGTTAATGATGGTTTCACAGTGTTGAAAGTAGTTGATGATTATCATCGACACAGGAGAAAAAGAGATATTGACAAGTAATTAACTTTTTTTTGTTCGACGAAATGATAGTTGCGGTAAAAAAGAGTGTATGAAGAACGAGAGGAAGTGAAAATATGAATGCAAGAAAGTTGCCATCAAAATAGCTTTGTATGTGAAACGGCAAATGTGGTCGAAGAAATGACCTTGTGCTGTGCGGTTTGCTTCATTGATTTTAATGATAGTATTTAAAAAGACAAGCAAACAAGTGTTACATATACGTTTCTTGTTGACTAGCACTCTTGGTGGCATATTCGTATAGTTATGGTTGACGCCGTGTTTAACCAAGCTGGTAGTGATGCTTTGTTTTCATATAACTACGTACGTCTAATATGATCTTATTTTTCTTTCTCTTTTACGAACAGATCTGAATAAAGATCAACGTCTTGATTTCAACGAATTTCGTAATCTTATTGCTCAAAGTTTGGGAGCAGGATCAGCAAATAATTTCGCTGGCAGCGCGACTGGAGCAAATCAATACTCGTCAAGTTCATATGAAACATCTTCACATGCTGCTTATGGTGAAAACAATGCTGCCAGTGGAAGTTTCGGTAGCTCTGCTGCCATAGGAGGAGCTAGCCTGAATGAAGCAGGTAATGTCGGTTGCGAAGCAAGCTATAGTTCGTATGAAAGAGCATCTTTCACACCAACATCTGGCATTGATGTGAATGGCTTCGATGTCAACACATCAGGCGGTGTTGGTGGGTACGATGCTAGTTCATCGACTAGCTACGCAGCCGGCGGTCTTGAAACAAGCTCAGCATCTGCTGTAGGTTACTCAGGCGAAACAGCTGGTGCTTCGGCGTCAACCTTCGAAACGACTGGCTCGCAAAATCAACTACAAATCAATGGTGCTAACGGACAAAATCTGTACCAAGATCCTAATCCACAAATCATTCGACGACCAGCACAAGGTGGACCTGTCACATACACTCAAAATGTGAAAATTCGATTTCTCCAACCACCACCGATCGCACCACCTGGCGTAAAATCTTTTTCTTTTATCGAAAATGTAAACAATATGTTTTTGTTTGTATCTAACAACTTTTAGCCACTCATCATTAAAGAAGTGCGACCACCTCAACCACCACCACCACCACCCCTCCGAGTTCGTCAACAAGCTCCACCTCCTCCACAACCACCTCCACTTATCCTACGTGAAAAACCTCCAGCGCCACCAACGAACATGGGCGCTCAAACTGGTAAAAACAAATGAGAGAGGGAAACCTATTTCGAACTATGTTTTTTACAAAATTTTCTCGCTAGTCGTTCGTCGCTTACCTGCCATTCCTGTTCCACCTCGATCAGTAATCATCGAACGCCTACCAGCATTGCCACCGAAACCGCGTAAGTCATTTCGTTTTATTTTGTTTCGCATATTATAACGGAAAGGTGAATAATTGCAATTAGGTGATATTATCATCGAACGTTGGGTACCATACACATCGTCAGCCAAACGAAAAACGATCGTTCAACGAGCCGAAGCACCAAAAGAATACCCCAAACCACGCAATATCATCATTCAATATGAACCAGTACAAGTACGTGTTGTCCGACAATTCCAACGTCTTGGTGTTACTCAAGAAAACCCACAAGCCTATGTTCAACGTTATGGTTCATCACTTCTAGAAGCTCAAACTTTGGTGCAACAAGCACGTGCTGCTGGTGTTGTTGAAGATATTGTAAGGCTGACGAATCTTGTTCTATATCATTCAGATAGAAATTTGTTTCGCTTTTCTTTTCCTCTTTTAATTATTTATTAGTCTCCACCAAAAACCGGTCCTAGTCTTACAGGAAGTTCAACATCACTTAATGCTGAATATAACAGTGCCAGTTCTGCTGTTGGAGCAACCAGCGGCATTGATCTTGCCAGTGGTACTGCTGACCTTACAAGTGGTGGTGTTGATCTAACTGCTGGTGTCGAACACTCGAATGGTAGTGCCGATTTTTCAGCTAGTGGTGCTGAATTTTCAGGTGAAGGTATTGATTATGGAACTGCTGGTGTTGATTTCTCAGCAACCGGTGATATTGGTACAGCAGCATCACCTGCTCACTCATTGAATCGTAGTCGCAGTGGTAGTCAACACAGAAATGCTAGCTTCTCAGCTTTCGATGCAACACAAGGTAGTACAATTGGTGGAAATGGTTATGGAGCAACAGCATCCTTTGAAAGAACGTCATTTGCCTCCCAAGGTGCTCGTATGCAATCGCCCGGAGCAGATTTTGTTGGTGCTAGTGCATCTGGATATGAAAGTTACAGTTCTGCTACTGGTGGTGTTACTCTAGGTGATAATGATCCAGCAACTATTGCCTTTAATGAAGCAGATTTAAATAAAGATGGTACACTCGATCCCAATGAATTCCGTCAATTTCTTAGCGCACAATTTCAAAATAGGTAAACGAAATTGAGCAGTGTTTTGTTTTCTTCACGACTATCTTTTCCTTTTAGAACATAAAATATCTGATCGATAGACATTACCTTTAACACATCATGGAAAGAAAAAAGAAGCTTTTGATTCGTTGAAATTCTTGTGATAAGGACAAGGACAAGAATTCTTTCTTCTCTCTTCGTTTTTTTTCTATCATTTCTCTTTTATGATATGCATTCGTTCTGCTTCTTTTTGTCATTCTGATTGATTAGATTTTTTCTCTCAATTATTTATTCATTCATTTGCCTTTTTATTTCTTTTATATATAGATAGACTAATACTTATTCAGTTGTCATTATTCAGTTTCTGTCTCGCTTATTTCTAATTTCAATAAATAAAAACAGCAAGCTAATTTGAATTTTCATTTCATATAAAATTTCCAATAATAATAAGAATGATTAGTCTTGATGCACGAGTACAAACGTGTTGTTCTAGTTTATTTCAAATTTTACCTATGCATATACATATATAAAGTTTACTAGAGAAGATTAACGAAGAGAAAGAAAACAAGGGTGAAAACCTAGATAGCACATGGAACTAATTAATGGTTAATGAAAAAATAAATAAAAAATAAATCGTTTAGCTCAAATGAAATTTGTTTGTATGGAAATTAACTTCATTTCATTGAGTTTTCGATTGTTATCAAATATGTTTATCTAAATAAAATTATTAAAAAAAAAACTAGGGAAAGGAATGCTCCAGACAAATGCCGTAGTTTAATAACCAGCATTGTGAAATTCACCACGTGATAAAACACCATCGTGGTTTGTGTCAGCGGCGTTGAATGCGGCATCATTGGAGCTACCGAAGGCACCTCCAGTGGATGCACTGTATGATGAGGAGGCTTCGTATGAGCTAGAGCTGCCGAAACCGCCATCAACAGCACTGACACCGAATCCTGCACCAGCACCGAGTCCAGCACCTTCGCTACTTGCTGCGAATGATGATGATTCGTATGATGATGAACCACCTAAACCAGCATCAAAGCCTGTGCCTGAGCCTGTTGCTGAATAGGATGATGATTCGAAGGATGAACCACCGCCAACTACTCCACTTTCAAAGCCGGCTGCTACTGCTCCACGGACAGCTGGTGCACTCTAGATATAAAAGATAGAAAAATGAGAAATGTATTCATTTCTAATAGAAAGTAAATAGACTTACAATGTCTTCAACAACACCAGCAGCACGTGCTTGTTGTACCAAAGTTTGAGCATCCAAAAGAGATGCACCATAACGTTGAACGTAGGCTTGTGGGTTTTCTGGGGTAACACCAAGACGTTGGAATTGTCGGACAACACGTACTTGGGGTGCTTCGTATTGAATGATAACATTACGTGGGCGAGCATATTGTTGAGCTGCAGCTGCACGTTGAACAATGGTTCGACGTTTAGCTTGTGCTCCATATGGAACCCAACGTTCGATGATGATATCGCCTAGAAACAAAATACAATTCATTGGTTCATACATATGCAAGAAAAGCTAGAAACGAACGTGGTCGAGCAGGTTGTGCTGGTAAACGTTCGATGATCACCGATCGTGGTGGGACGGGGAGGGCAGCCAATCGTCGGACAACTAGAAGAGTACACAGTATTGAAGAATGTGGAATAGATAAGCGTTAATAGTATGTTCTTACCAGTTTGAGAGGCGACGGACGCTGGTGGTACTGGTGGTCGTTCACGGAGGATGAGTGGAGGTGGTGTAGGAAGGGGAGGAGCTTGTTGACGAATGCGGAGGGGTGGTGGTGGAGGTGGTTGAGGTGGTCGCACTTCTTTGATGATGAGTGGCTAGAATGAAAAAGAAGCGATATAGACTGTGGATAATTGCTATGAAAAGATAAAACATACGCCTGGTGGTGGAATTGGTGGGGGTTGAAGAAATCGGACTCGGATATTTTGGGTATAGGTTTGAACACCACCTGGTGCTGGACGACGAATAATTTGGGGGTTGGAGTCTTTGAAGAGACCTTGAGCATCGGTTTCATAACGTTGAACAGCAGTTGTTTCTGATGATGAATAGTTAGAACTGTCTACTCCATAGGCAGCTCCGCCATTACCAACTGATGAGTTGTATGATGACGATTCATATGATGAACCATAGCCAGCACCGCCTAAGGAAGCACCACCAAATGAAGCACCAGCTGCACCGTAGGCAAGTTCACCACCTAGAGCTCCACCATTTGCGGATGATGATTCGTAAGATGATGATTGATATGATGATGAGCCATATCCAGCGCCAGCTCCGTATGCGCCGAATTCAGCACCAGCAACACCGCCCGCAGCGTTACCACCGATAAAGTTTCGAAATTCATTTCTATCGACGACTTGATCGTGGTTAACATCGGCTTGGTTGAATAAAGCATCAGCGGCCATTTTTTACTAATTCAGCAAGTAATATAGATAATGATGAGTGATTATTGTAATCGGTTGTATGAAAACACCATTAAACTACACTGGCTTTTATACCAAACAGTTTCATTAGAACCATTCAACCGCATTAAATATTTATCTCTTTTGTTAATTTTTTGTCCAGCGGTTTCAGTCATTGTTCTCTTAAAACAAAAAACAATTTCGCACAAGTCTCCCTGTCAAATATATTCTTGGCCTATTGTTTCAAAAAATCCTTGAGGTTTCATAGCTTATTGAGATACAACTGTCTTATGTCTTGGTATGATCTTTGGTTTTGATTATACTCTAACGCACGGTATCACAGAGAAGAGACGATAAACATTCCTTTAATTTATGAAACCGCAGTTACTGTTTATTTCATAGTATAAGGACGAAGAGTGCAAGCAGAGACAAAAAAGAAGATATGCACCTAACGACATCCGCACAATGAAAATTGCTTTTCTCATCAATACCTTTTCATGGACAATAGAGCACTCATCCATGGCAAACTGAGTATCCTCTCACTACTAGTCACGTACCACATTCATGTGCTATGTGTATAAAGAAGTACTAATTCACTTCGAAAATCTTTTGGAAATCATCTTTTGTTCTTATCAATATTGATGGAACCGTTGATCTCTCTATGTATATTGCTCAACACTACAGGAGAGTCCAATCAACATCTGACATTTCTGTCTGTTCTACGATTCATCTTGTTCAGATAAGAGAGTTTCAATCGTATGAACTTTCAAGTTAGTTCATTTGTGTTCTGATAAGAATTCAATTGAAATAGCAAATCAAACAACTATAGAATTCAAGGTTTATTTTCTCAATAATATAGTTCGTTTTCGCATTTCTCGACACAAAACATCAACACAATGACAGCCTTGAGCATCTTTCGGCAATGATTATTTGTTTTCATGAAAATAAATAACAATTTGTTCGAATAAAACAAACTGTCTTGCTATGTTTGTTGTTTTCATATCAATTGATTCCTATCAGAGCACGAAGAATATTTTCAAGTAACGCAAATTACCATCATAAACAAATTCATCAATGTGAAATTTCTCAATAAGTTTATATGATTATTCTAGTGGATTACTCGCGTACTTTCTTTCACTGGTATGAAATATCATTGTGAAAATTCCGATTAGATTTCAGCGACATTCCAAGAATGTCATCATCTGATTGGTTGCGTCTCCTACCAGTCAATACAAACTGAACCCACTAGATTGGGTTAGATTAGAAGTTTCATGTCATTTCCTTAGTGAAACAACAATGAATTCACGTACGACAAATCCATCGGCTGCTAATCTCGATGAAGAAGATCTTGTCAATGTTGAAGATATTGAACAATTATGTACACGTTTATCGAAATACGAACCATGTTTTCGTCTATCAGTGATTCAATATCATCTGAAACGATTAGGTGTATCGTGTAGTGATGAACGTCTGATTAAACTACTTTCGCTATCATTCGAAACAATGGTAATGCACATTATAAAATCTCTTGTCGATTTTGTTCTTTTGCCCATGAATTATTTTAGATTCGCTCACTTGTTGCCGATTGTGCTCGTGTAAATAGAGAAAACAATGCGCCATCGAAAACATTGACTAGTGAATTATTGACTCAGACATTACTGAATACCATACCAGAAAATAATTCTCAAGCGACGAGCAATTCTCAACAAAATACAAATAGTACATTAAGTATGGATGATTTTTTCGATTAATAAAATCGTTCTGCACATTCAATGATTCATCATGTAAACATTTTCCTCGAAATAAGACTTTTTCACTGAATACAATTTTCACGATCCGTTCATAAACTTTTTAAACATTATTTTGTCAGGATTCAGCTAATACGCACACAGTATGTACTTGTATGTTTATACATTAACAGAAATCTGAGAGCGGGGTGAAATGTCGACATGATGCATACTTGCACGTCGATAAATCCATCTTTTCTCTCTCTCATTCTCGTGGCAACTTTTTGCATCACTGACATTACTCACACATTGAAAGAGCGGCGCGATTTCTTTTTTTCAATTCGAAATGACGTGTCCGGTCATTGCTGATAAAGTCGATTTTCAACGACATTTGAATGGATGTGAACGGCTTATCAACGATCTAAGTAAATCAATTCAAGCGATTGAAAAATTCGCTCAAAAACTACTCATAAACCGCACAGCATCAGAACAGGAAACGTATTTCGATGAATTAAATAACATTACATCTCAACTCGAACATCTCTATTCATCAATGTCAACATTAGATCAATCGTCATACGCTGTAAATAGCAGAAAACGTCTCGATGTTATAAAATGCAATTTAGAAAAAACTCGAATCAAATTCGAACAAATTCAACAATACGCTCGCATCGCATTCGGTTATCACTACGAACCAAATCAATTCGAATCGATTTCTTCAGAACAACAAGAACAACTGATGAAATTAATCGAAAAGAGTCCGTATGATGAACAAATGGAGTTGAATCTGATAAACCAACGCACGATAACCGTGTCGACTTTAGAAGACGATCTAACCGACTTACGCGAAACATTTATCGATATTGGCAATATCATTCATCAGCAAGGAACAACAATAAACGCCATCGAACAATCATTGACAGTGGCAGATGAAATGGTTTATAGTGCGAAAGAAGAAATCAAGACTACTGTGAATAACAAAAAACGTTCGAATCGAATCAAATGGATTCTACTTGCGATTGTCATTATTACTTGTCTACTTTTAATCATTATCATATATTTCTCGTTGAAATTAGCTTCGCCTTTTCGGGCAAAATAAACCAATCATTATATCATCGATCTTGATAGCATTGTCAGACAGTAATTATGTTACGAATAGCACATTGATGACTCGCATGAATTTCAGTTGTTGCGCTGGTGATAAAATGTAAACATATCAATAAATCTATGCTATAGCAATTGCAATGTAAACTTCATTCACATTCATTTGTTACCAATGTTCTTTCAATGTGCATAACAAATAAATAAACTTATCGATCGTTATCGAAGCGAACGGTAAATTAGCATAGTTTTATAAAATTCTTCATTTCCAATGTAACACTTGTGCAAATCAAATAAAAAATACGATAATATATGTAATAAACCTTGGCGAGTTCCTTGATATCGTTTAATTAAAGTATAACGATTTGCATCGAAATTACACGTATAATCTTCATGAATGCAGAATCGATTTTATACAAAAATCGTATATGAGAGGAGAAAAACACGACTCAATGAGTTATTATTAAGAAGTTCGAATTGCTTTGATTTGTTCTACGACGCGTATTGACATATCAATGACGTTTTATTAAGAAAATAGAAAGAATACAAGCACCGAAAAGCAGTATGTCACTGGTTGAAAAGAGCTTCGCCGAACGAGATGTTGTTACTGATGAACTATAAGTTTCTGTCTTAAGCTGATTGGCAAGCAAATAATTAACGGTTGTAGTGACAACATAAGTCGTTCTTGCTTGTAGATTCGAAAATTGATAGGATTCAATGTTGTATGTGTCATTAGTTACCAAACTGATATACGTCGCATTTGAGTTTAGACTTGAAATTTGTACAAGAGTGGAATTTCGTGTGATGGGCAATACGTTGTACCAATTCACAGTGATGAGAAACGAGTTCGATGTTATACTAGCTGCTTGAATGTTCACTGCAGATGCATTAGGACAATTTGATGAGTTCTGTCGTGAACATGTTTGAGCCAGTTGACATTTTGTCGTCGCAATGAAGTAAGTTACGTTGGTTATTGTCGAATTCGTTGAGAAACATACTGAATAGAAAGCATTGACCAGTGGAAAATTTTGTGTCCACGAAGTAACTGTCTTGTTCGATGCTGTAGAGGTAAAATTCGCTGAATAAGTCGTTGTATTGTATTTTGTATAGTATTCTAGAATAGTGATATAAATACGAATCAAACTCGATTGGTCAATGGAAGAATCAGCAAATTGCCAATTAATCGTTAATGCTGTTGAATTAACGGGAACGATGCTTGTTATTTTAGGTTCGGTGATATACACGCTCGTTTGACAATGACATAACGACACGAGCGAATAGATTAGAAAAAGGAGATAGACGAAATACGAACACCTACCCATTCGAGTAGTATGCCTTCATACAGACAGACCTAGAACTGGAAATTAAGGAGCTTTATATATAGAGGACAAAAATATTTTTCTCACCCTGTTAATTTACTTCAAGGTTTGAAATAATTGCAGAAGGACATAATCAGTCGAGACAGTTTTCTTTTTCACAAATGTACACTTTTTTGTCGTCGGTTTTTCTCTATTTAATTGAAAATCAATTGGCAGAGAAGGTATGTTTTGATCAATAACAATTTTTTCTGTATCACTAGTTGCGTACTACCGAAAGGGACAATCTCCATATAATGACATGTTTTGCAAAACGTTGTAGTAAAATAATCGAAGAAAGAGAGAGAAAAAAACTTGAATGAGCAGGAAAGAAGAATGCATAAAATATATAGTTTTTTTTTCGAGCCGATGTTACCAGCAGAAGTGAAGGACTACAGTGATTACAATGTCCTTCTTGTTCTACTTACTATTCATATAATCACAATGTGTTATTTTTCGCCTCGTACCAAAAATAAAATAGTTGACAAGGTTAAATGAACTCTTACATTGATGACAGAATTCATTCTCTTTCTTTTCTATGATTAATTATAGATTCCGATTGGTTTTTTAGTGAATCGCATCACAAGAATAACATTTGATTGATGAGTATGCCTTTGAATGATTCAGCAAGTGAAGTGATATGAACTTATTGATCTTCAAATGTTTGATAATAATTTTTTATATTGACATTAATGTGTGAAGGCAAACAGATAAAAAGAACAACACACTTTTTTTTCAAAGTTATTTTCACAGCCTTGAGCTTTGATTGTACAATCTGTTTTTCTAGAAGAGCATGCTGGAGCGCTTTTTTCTCTCTGAAGAATTCCATAACATGCGCATCAGGTAGATTAACTCTGTAATCGATCCAGTTATTTGCAGTGTCTTTTATTTGATTCATTCATCCTTGAACAATCCTTTTCATAAGCGTTTATTCACGAGCGAAAGAAAACAAATTATACGGATTTCTTTTCATCATCGATTATAGTGGCTTTTCGTATAGGATTTCTTTTCAATGGTTTATCGGAGTTTTTATAAACATAGAACCATTTATCTGGACGCTGAGCCAACGACAAAGGCTTTTCATTGAAATAGGGAATTAACCAGGTATTTTGAGTACATTGTGCTCGTAGTTTGTATGCCAATGGTTGCTAAAACATTCAAATAAGCACAGGACAGCGTACATCGATAGATTTACTTTAAAATACAGGCGTTTGCCTTGCCGAAGAAACATGTATTGATATCGATATAACCATTTCTGTAATTTATCGTTAACTTCGGTGTTTTTGGCTGGAGTCGACTTGTTTGCTATACCACGTTCCTTTCGCAGAATATCTGACGTTAGTACATAAGCTTTTGAATGCAATGCAGCATACAAAACAAACCAATCGTCACGGGAACTGAAATCGAACGAACTTCATGATTTACATCTCAAATATGAATACTTACGTGTTGTCAACGAGAAATATTTCGCATATAGATCGAAGATTTTCTTGAATGTCTGCTGGTATACGAGATGTGACATGTTTACGTGCAATGAATAGCATTTGCTTTCGATTGACATTTAAATTTTTCAAAAAATTGATTGTCTACGAAAGACATTATGTAGGATTTGTGGGAGTGGGAGAATATCAAACCTTGATCATTGAAGTAACTGGGTCCGTAGCAAATCGACCAATACCGTAGAGAATATTTAAACCATCGATAATCATTGTGAACTTATGTTGACTGAGAAACCGTTGAAATCGTTTGAATTCCGTTGGTGTTGTAGTCTATTCAAATGAATCATCTTCATTTTCATATTCAAATCTGTCTGTACTTACATTGAAAACCTCTTTATCAGTATATGCACTTTCCATCAAGTAGTTTTGTAAGAAATGAAAATCATCATTGCTCAGTTCACTACTTTTTAAACTTACACCCGATAATTGTTTACAGGTGCCGCTGAATCGAAGAATACAGATAAATGAACACTTATTTACATAATCTTACTTTGGATATACCATCGTAGTACCATATTGATATGCTTTTCCTTTAAATCTGTAGAAGATGGTGAATTGGAGAAAAGAAGTTTGTATTGCACTAACTTGTCGAAAAACATTTGCATCTCTTCAATGGCTGACTTCTCCATAAAATAATCCAGTGTAGATAGATATTGAAACAAACGTTCAATAAATTCAGAAGTATTTGGATTATTTTCATTCAGATTACGAAAAACATCCCGTACCATTTCAGTTAATGAAGTTGACAATGTTGCCGCCGCGCTATCGCTCGGTAACGGAACGTTTAGATTATCTAGCAGTTTTATTGCTGATTGAACGTCATCGTTGTGTAAAGCAGCAAGTATAAGCCTTCGAATTGAAAGAACCTTACTTTTCATGATAGACAAACATCGAGATTTGGACAAACATACTCCCTTATTGCTGGTATTTGGTCATCGTCTCTAACGAAACGTAGATAAAGATATGCTTCATGCCAATAGCGAGTAACGGATAAACCTTTGATGATTCCTAATGCTGCTGTTGATGCAATGATCGACTAGAAAATCGATTCGACGATGGAGTTTCCGATTTTTTTCTCAATAGTTTACCTGATTCTTATCTTTAACGTAATTTTGGTAGATATCATAGATCTCTTTTTCATACACTGAATAATCTTGCCCGTGTTTTTTGTTTTTCAATGTAAAATAATCCAGTGCTAACAAACTCATATATGTTGAATATGTGGTTGATGATGATGTCAATAACTGTGGATGATATTCTTGTATGAATCGAAATAATGATCGTCCACGCTCGATATGTTTTAATTGAACACAAATGAGCATTGTAATCGAGCCAAATAACGGTTTCACAGGTTCGCCAACGATATTGTACAGATCTTTCCATTCGTCATTGGATACGCAACGATCAGGACAGATGGCCAATTGTTGTTCTAATACACAACGATAGTGAAATGGAAATTTGGTCATGCGTTCGGAGAGAATAAGTTCGTTGCTTAAACAGGAAATATTTGCAACATCGGAGTCGGCAGCATCGCCATTGCCAGAGTTTTCTTGTTTGAGAACAGTATTGACTTTGAGAAGGATTTTTCGTTTCGCATGCTCATTCAAGTTTATTAATCGTACTTGGATAGTATTTGCTGGTGAACAAGATTGAATAGAAGTGATAAATGAACTAGTTTGTCGACTTAGCCTAATAAGTAAACGACGCGACTGAGAAAATAGCATCTGAAAGAGAAAAACCAACAATAGCAAAAAAACAAATGCACTAGAAAATCATCTTCTAATTATTATTTATTTGAACACGAAACCATGTTTGAACATTTTCGGCTTCAGTCAACGGCGACCCATCAAAGTACGGTATAAGCCATTCGTTTGTATCGATGTGAACGCGAGTTGAGTATAAGCATGGTGCCTATGGGAAAGATTATTTGCTGTTTTCAAATTAACTCCTTCTTTCTTACTTGAAGATAGACAAGATCTGGTTTGGCAATTGGTACTAATTGATGCGTTTGAATCCATCGATCCATTACGTCGATATTATTTAAACCCAGCAATGTTTTATAGATTCGTTGATCCACCGGACTGGCCAATAGTGCTGTTGGATTCATATATAACGCTGATAATAATGGTAATGGACTTTTAATTGATCTTAAGTATGTAAGAAGCTATATAGTCAGATAGAAAATCATTATTGTTATTACTCGTATGGCACGCGAACTACGGATACAAGATCAGGTGGCATTCGAAGTGAATCAATGTAATCAGCTAGATCAATCTTAGCGATGACTACACACCGTTTACCTTTTTCTTCAGCGATTTGGTATATAATTCGTTTTACCTAAACAACCGTACCTTATTTATGCTGAAATAAAAGCTTTCCTTCTATACGTATAAGGGATGTCGAACATGCCAGTCAAGCTCGAGTGTTGGATAATGATAACAATCGAAAAGCACATCAAATGGTTCAGAAAGTTGGTGAAGTAGTTTCGATGGATCGGTTGCCAACTATGAAAGAAATATTTACCACGTAGCAAAAAAGAGAAGATTACACAAAGCGCACCTTGGGACAAGACGATTCCAGCAATGATTGAAACTTGGATCGAACCCACGAATGTATTACTTGACATTCTTGTTCACTTGGTTCAATCGATGGTAAGATCGATTTGTTATCTAACGACGTTCCACTAGAAAGCACATAGTCTATATTAGTTTATCCATATCGAAAAACTTTACTTGGGATAGAAATAGATATGTTCACATTTATATCGATTCGGATCCAGTCTATCATAAATATTATATCTTTTGATATTTGAGAGAATTTGTTTGTATACATACTCTCTCAATTTCTTCTCTAATGCTTTGACAAATGAGACTGGTGGTATGTAGCCATTGCTAGCAGTTTTGTCCAGTAATTTGACCAATGTTTCAATTTGTGTATTTCTATCACCGGTTAAATATTCAGTAAATGTTTCATATGCTTGAGATGTTTTTGATATTAGATAATAATCACTTTCTTTTATACTAGACGGGGCTATCGGCCGTCTTACACGTGGGTCAGCAGCGGTATTTTTCTTACTCTCAAAAGAATTCTTCTGCTTGCTATCTGCTCGTATTCGTTGACGTTCTTCGCGCAACCGAATCGCTTCAGTTTGTGAAATCGTATCGAGAAGGGAAAAGAAAAAAGCGTAGTCATGAAATTTGGCTGCTGCTGTTAAAACAAAACCTAATGCCTGTTGCATTCCGTCAAGATCATTATCTAAGATAGGTAAATATTGCAATGCATCTTTCCACCTTGACGTTAACGTTAATCCAGCGATAATTGGTAAAGCAAGCGTTGTGTCAGGAACGATTTTATGCGAAAGAAACTCGTCGTAAGCATTCAAGATAATTTGTTCATCTAAACGATATTCACTGAAATCTTGCCGAATATCAATTTCTCTTGCGCATAAAAGTAACATTGCTAAACTGGTCGGTGTCAATGAAATTTCTTCATGTTGTAAATAACTTATGTAAGATAAACCCATAAGAAAACGTTGATAGCCAAGACATTCTTGAAGAAATATACCATCGAATAAGCGCGAAACACCAATATCTTTCTTCACAAGATAATCGCGAAATGTTGTCCATTCTTCTTTGTCAATATAGCCGTCGTGCATATAACGAAGAATTTGTCGCACAGACATACGAATGATTAATGGGCGATGAAAATCAGAATGCTTGATGTCAACACGGTTGACTGCTTCCATCCAGTCATAATATGTTGTTTGTGAACGTTTGTATGCGTATAGAGACTTTTTTATCGGTTTTTTACAGATGCGAACGTCAGAGACTTTAGTTGCTGTTGCCGTTGTCCACCGTTTAGAAGCGCAAAAGAGTTTGTTGAATGATAACAACGAACGAAATCGATTAGAAATCATTATCTTCAACAGAAGATACAGTCTTTGTCTAAGAGAAATAAACACAGATCATTCGTTTTTATTTCAGACAGAAAACAAAAAGAACATTTATTTGAATACATAATGAAAAAAGAGAGAGAAGGAAATGATGTCTATTATTGCAGCATGGATGGAGGGGGTGGTGGTGGTGGTCTGTTTGTTGGAGGTGGTGGAGGAGGTCGCTGAAACGAAAGATTTATAAAAACAAAATCGATAACTACCGCCTTAACTTACAAATGGCGCTGCTGGCGTTGGTGCTGGTACCATAGGTGCTCGGGGCATTTGCTAAATAAAGAGAAAAATAGAAAATGATTGATTAGCATCAACTAAAATCTGTAGTTCGAATCATACCATTGCAAATGGTGGTGGTGGAGGGGGAAGACCGGGTAGACCAGGTGGAAGGGGTAGGCCGCCGAGCGCACCATAGGGTAACCACGATGCCATAGGAAACGGATTGACTGGGGGTGGAACCGGTGGTGCTGGTGCAAATTGTGGTTGATCAGCAAATCTAGAAGAAGAAGAAGACGTAGTATGTTAGGTGGCGAAAGCAATGATTTGCGATATAATGGCATACAATGTATGTGGTTTGTCTGAATGTGATAATGGATTTTGAGCAGCGAGCAATCGTTCAGCTGCAGAACCATGTCTTTCACCTTTGGAATCTTTTTTAAACGCATAGGAAACTGTAATTGGCCGATTGCATAAATATTGACCATTCATTGCTTCTAATGCTGTATCTGAGCCATCGAAATTAGCGAAATTAATAAAAGCGTATCCCTTTGAGTTGCCTGATTCAGGGTCACGCATAATCTGAAAACAATAGATCTCATATCTTTTAACTCCGTATCCAACAAGTCCACAACACTTACCTTAGGTGCCTGTAGGATGACACCGAATGCCGAAAATGTATCGTATAATAATTTTTCTTCGACTTCTGGATCAAGGTTTCCAATAAATAAATTAGCACCAACGTCGAGATTCTTTTGATGAGCTGATGCCTACAAAACATCCAACGGTGGATTAACATTGAAAGAAAACCTTTTCTGACTTTCTCTCTTACTTTATTGACACGTATTGGTTTTCCATAGAGTTTGATCATATTCATTATCTTAATTGCGTAATCTGCATCTTCTTCGGTTAAAAATTCAACAAAACCATAACCCTGATGATTAATTGTGACACGATCTTTGGGTTGATGAACATTGACTATGAAAACAAAAGAAATACATCAAACTTGAATTCAACGGAATTCATTCAACAACACTTACCGACAGGACCAGCCTGTACAAATAACTCCCAAAGAATACTTTCGTTCACGCGTTCATCAAGACCACCAACATAGATTGTCGCATCTTGATTTCTTTCAGCAACCGGTACAGCGGACATATCCAATGAAGAAAATGATTAACACAATCTAGCGATCACCTTAAAACAAAGTTTGTAGATAAGTCTAGAAGAGCGCGGTGGAAATATCAAATAAAAAATTGACAAATTTTTCTTGTTTCACTGTCCAATCGCAAGTGCATTTTGGTTGGTGAACTACAATACGACGAATAGCAAAGTATGTCGAGAATAGAGGACGTCAGAGATCAATCGCGCCTTTCCTTTTAATCATTATAATTCTCTGAACTCATTCTCTTCATAGATGTCGTTAATTACAGCAATTAGTTCGTTCAATATATGCTTCCAAAACGAAACGGTATGTCAATAATAAACTATGGATGAAATGCTTGTACAGTTCAGTTTACTTGAGATTGAATTGCGCTGTCTCTTTCTCTTTCTTATTCGTTTTTTTCTTCTTTCTGTTCTTTACTTACTTTAAGTATTGTTTATTTTTGTATCGAATACGTTACAAAAGAAGAGGGCTGCCCTATAACCTATATACATATTATACCTTTTTTCGAAAGTTTTCTTTTTTTCTTCTTCTTTATTATACTAATCTTACGGTCTTTTCGCAACTCATAAAAGACAATATGCATCTTGATACAAATATGGGGTAAAAGCTGCTTAAATAAATTCGAAATCCTTGATTTTTTTTGCCTTTATATATAGTGAACAATTGCCGTTATTTTCATGTAAAGCACATATATTTCAAGTTGATCCTGACACTCGAAAATCTTGGATACCATTATCGACTAGTGCAGGTACACGTGATAATATATATGTTAACATCGCATATTTGAAATTCACTTCGTAGTAAATGTACAAATATTTCATGATTCAGTCAAGAATGTCTATCGAATTCTTTCGGTCGACGGTTCAAAAGTGTTAATCAATACAATCGTGACTGCACGCATGAGTTTCACTAAGACCTCGCAGAAGTTTTGTCAATGGGTTGATTCGCGCGCTAATCATGTATATGGATTAGGTTTTTCGAATGAAAGTGATTTAACACGAGTAACGCGATCTTGAGCATTGGTTTGATCAAAATAATGAATTTGCATTTAGTTCATGGAGAAGTTTATCGAAGTGAAAGACGCAACACGACAAGCACTCAAACAAAATGAACATCGAAGTAGTAGTGTCGATGCTCGACAAACACCTCGTGTATGACGATACATATCCGAGGAAAAAAAAACTTTCATTCATTTTTTTTCTCTTCGAAGTCTGAAGGCGATTGGTCTATTCATTCCGGTGGATTAGATCCACTCATACATAGTCAATTGAAGCAAGAAAATGCTCATCTAAAACTCGCTCTTGCTCAGAGGTAGTTGTTCCTTATTCCTGATTGAGAATATGTATCGTCATGACATTGGTTTCAGTTCGACGAACGCGAAAAAATGGCAGGAAGAGTTGGAAATCTTGCGAAATAATAATGCAAAACTGACGACGGCGTTGCAAGAAAGTCATGCCAATGTCGAGGAATGGAAACGACAGTTACAATTTTATCGAGATGAATGTACTCGGCTTCGACAATTGGTAATGTACATTTTTTGAAGTCGAAATTATCTGAACAATTGTTCTAGGTTTCAAATCATCATTCGCCAAACGATGGACAAATAAGTGAAGCACAGGAATTGAAAAATCTGCTCGACAAAGCCGATGAACGTAATCGCGAACAAGAACAAGTATATGATTCTTTCGAATTCATTCATTTTCATAGATAACGTTACATTTTCATAGAAAATCCTTCAACTCGAAAGTCAACTTCAACGCTATATGACTCAGATCAATACTCTCGAAGATCGTTTTGCTGTATGTTAACAAATAATTCGATACTCGTTTTTTTTTCAATCTTTACACCTGTTTTAGTCAACTGAAGAGGATAATCAAAGACTTCGAAATGAAATCTCGACTATACATAGACGTACACCATCGAGTACTCACGGCACAATGTCTCGTTCACCTAATCGAAATGTCGAACAACTAACTCGTCTTAGGGATCTATTTGAAATGAAAACCAACGACTTGAATCAAACTCTCGCAGCTAAAACTCAAGATTTACAACGATTATGCTCGCAAATAACTCAGACAATAACAGAATTTTAACTCTTCGCATGTTTTTGCTCAACTCTCTCTCTCTCATTTATTTGGTCAGATTCAATCATGTCCTAATGGCCACAAGAGAACCTAACATTTCAATCAGATTCATAATGAAGAATGTATGTATTTCCAATCGATTTCGCTTCTTTTCCTTGTGATAATTAGAATTTCTTTTTGATATCTATTTGCTATGGTTCCGAATATTTCAAGAGAATGATATATCAGATGTTTGTACCACGCGTGTTGTTTTCCTAATCAAACTTTGAGAAAAAAAAGAAACGAAACGAATCGTCAGCTCTTGATGACTTATCTTTAGTTTCAGTAGTTTGTTTTATTTAATCTATCGATTTTTTATTCGTCTCTATTGTTAAATTATACCAGAACAATAATAAATTAAACGAAACAAGTGTGCAATCAATTGCGAACTTTATTCTTTCAATTTCACCATTGATCTTTGATGTACTCGAGTATCTATTTACGTTGAAATGTCATTAGACATTAACCACTTCTCGCCAGTATAGATAAGAGTGAACCGATCCGATTCTATGAAATCGATTGACAATTTGAGGATTGGACCCATTGGTCATATATTTATTATGTTTCACTAAAATCATTTTGAGGTCATCAATGAACGAAAAACACATAAATAAGACTACGAAAAAGACAACATTATTGAAGCGTTTGTCCTTTACATGCAGTGAATCAATACAATACTAAAATAAAGAAAATTTTTTCAGAGAATTATGCGTCGAGAATGATGTTTTCATCCATGGTAGGGACTGTTCGGGATGTGCTGTGTTGCTCCGGCCATTGCCAAGTTTTCGGTCCGAAATATTCGTAAGAAGTATCGTATAATTGCATACGTATGAATTCTTCTTTATTTTCAGGTTCTAAAGTCAAATTTATGTGCAACAGTCAGAAAATAAGAACTTCGATTTTATCTATTTTACCCGGATAATTCCAGGCCTTTTTCGTCTTGTATAGATGTTCAGCCAGATGTGCAGCTATCTTAACTGTGACTTCATGTATAGTTGGGACAGGTGGATAAACACGACCTTCGTCCAAATCCGCTTGACTTACTAATGAACCGAGTTTCTACATAAAGTATAGATACGTGATCGCCGAGAATTTTGATTTGGTTTAGTATGTAGAAAAACACAATTGAAATTTGGTTTACCTGTGCTGCTATCAAAAACATATCTTCTTCTACATGTCGAGCTGCACATGCGATTGTTGCTAGAGCCACTGCTGGAAATATATAAGCATTATTGCCTTGTCCTAAAGAAATTTGACGATATTATCTTTTCTTCCAACGGAAAATAATTTACCTGGATGAAACGTTTTATCCTTATAGGTCACCGCTTTAAAAGGACTACCCGATGCAAAAATACATCGTCCCTAAATAAATTAACAAGTAAACATAAAAGGAGCTCAGAACACGAGTCACAGCGTCATACATCAGTTTCACGGTAAGCTTCTTCAGCAGTACATTCAGCACGGCTAGTTGGATTAGATCTATATAACAAAGAAAGAGGTGTAAAAAAGAGAAATCGTAGTTTGATTCCAGATATACAAAGCAAAGATGACTGGTCGTTCGTTGATATCGGCCATCTTTTTCAAAACTCCCTCATGAAATAAACGTCCTACTCCACTGGCACCTAAATGAAGAGCAACTTCTCTTGGTAGGAAAGTTTACTGTTGATCCGTTTAGACGTACCGAGTAGAATCGTTGGTTTCACGTAATCTACGACTTGAGTCAGATCTTTAATCGGTTTACCTTTCTTCACATAAGGAGCTTTAGGTCCATCTAAATCTCCTTGAGGTCGACTCTAAATAGAAATGCACAGATTTTCACATGCATCACATTTTTCCTATCCCAATCATCCGGGAAGAAAAAAGCGCAAGGAAATTCTTAGCAAAAAACTTACTTTTATTCCACTCTAAAAGGTTAGGAGAGGTTAGTTGACAACAAACACATGCATTTCATGAGGTATAGATGAGAATACATACGTCTACTATCAAACCGTGTACATCATACATCCAAATTTTACTTCGTGCTTCTTCTTCTGAAGCACCTTCGCGAATCATTGCGTGTGTTATTAGATCAGCAATGCCACATGCAGCCTAAAGACTCAGCGTAGAGATCGTATCAGCTATTAGTGAACATACTTGACCAGCACCAACAAAGAGAAATGTATTTTCATTTAGCTTTTTACCAGAAATACGAAGTGCGCCAAAAAGACCCGAGAGAACGACAGCTGCCGTGCCTACAGATGATATCGATGTTTTTCATGCTAGTTACTCCTTTATCAGCGTAATCAAACCTTGAATATCATCATTGAACGTGCAATACTGTTTTTGATAACGTTCTAACAATCGGTAAGCATTCTGACTAGCAAAATCTTCAAATTGCACAAGACAATTCCAGCCAAATCTGAAATATGCACTCAGATAAATTTCATTTGCGTTCGATCACTCTTTTACCGTTGTACAACAGCTTCCATAAATTCATCAAGAAACTCTTCGTATTCTTTTCCCGTGACTCGCTTTTGTCTCAATCCAATATACAATGGATTAGCTGATATTTCCTGAAAATAAACATCTCCCGTGATCATCATTATCCTTATTGTTTCGAATCGCTCTCTTTACTTCATTGTTAGTACCCACGTCTAACATGATAGGCAGACAGTCCTGAGGCGGAACACCTGCGATTGCTAAATAGAAGCGAATTCATTTCAGACTCTCTATAGTTTAAAAAAACACAGGAAGTGAATTAACTAGAAAGTCCTTTTGACATGCACTTTCTAGTTTAAATTTGAACTTGGCGTCAAATTAATCAGCTTGACTGTCTTCTTTACCTGTATATAGTTGTAATTTACCCACCGGGATACCCATTCCAAACGCTCCGAGATCACCTAAACCTAATATACGTTCGCCATCAGTGACGACAATTGCCTTCACATGTTGTTCCGTCCAATTGCAAAGAATGTCATAGATATGACCTTTGTCATGTATTGTAATAAATAATCCTCGTGGTCGTTTGAACACTAAGCCATATTTTTGACAAGCAAGACCAACTAGATCAAAATAAATCTCTATTTCTTGTGTAATAGATTAGTCTTTAACCTACCTGTTGGTGTATAGACAATAGGTATAAGCTCTTCGGGATTATCTTAGAAAAAAATGCAGATAAAGTATTAAAAATGCTAGTTTTGTCTGGCTTTTACCTGCAATAACTCGATAGAATAATTTTTCATTTCGTTCCGAGAGATTCATCAATTCGGAGTAACGATCCAGATCATCTAGTTAAAAACAACGCAATGGACGAAGTTTCCGAGGTTTTCCATTGTTCATCAAAATTAATTTACTATTCATTCGGTGGAAATTGATCATAACACGAAGCGCTTGAATATCTTGAGAAAGGACAGCTGGTGGAAGTAGCCCATGAATACCCATATGTTGTCTTTCTTCCAATGTAAATGCCATGCCCTAAATGTCTAGTTCATTTCCACCAAATTCAATTCATTTCCTTGACATTACTTTATTCAAGCCCGGATTTCGAAGTAATTCTACACCTTTCAGTGACGAACGTGATTTCGTTGATGGTCGATATTCATCCGTCACTGTTACTGCATGTCGTCGTTGCTGTTGCAAGCAGCGAAGATGACGTTGACATGTTAGAATCGAACGAATATTCCTTAGTGGAACTGCTGTCATTTTTATCTGAAAAACTTCCAATTTATGTTTTGCAATTAGCTTTGTTTTTTTTGTCTGATTCTGGACAAACATGTACCCTTGGAAACCGAATTACACAAAACAGCGATTAAAAGTAGTAAGCATTAATTTCTTTTATCTTTGTTATCTCAGTGTAAATTCACGACATAGATATGCGCAACCTTCCTTGATAAAACTACATCCTTAGTAGCAGGATAAAATGTTTCTTTCCGCTCTATGAAAACCATCTCAAAATGTTAAATAGCACTCAGGTGATAAGAACGGTCAACATGAGCATGAGTGAATATTCATCGTTAGAATGTCAGCACGGAAAGTAGATAATTGTTACAGATCTGACTGCTTGCTCATTAGCAGAAATGTCATGCATACTAAAGAAGATTTAAAATATATCGTGATTTTTACACTCATGTTAGTATGTTTCGTTACTCTACAAATTAGTTTACTTAGTGAAAGATTAATTAACAAAACGGATTGCTGTTTCCTTTATTTGCAGCGTCAAATGAACGAACGAAGCATAGATTTGTGCAAAAATATTTACTCGTTCATATCCACCGTTTTGAGAAGAGCGAGAACATGGGAGTGTTTTTGTATGTGTAATTAGTTCTTGCAGGCAGTCCGTTTTCGGATGATATTTATAACAAATTTTGCCACCCATATCGTTTAATTAAACATCTATTCGTTTTTTTTTCTTGTCTTCGAATCATCGCAATCGTTCGACTACGTCAAGCGTTGTGATTAATTAAGCGTAGGAACAAAAAAAAAGAATTTGATACTGCTTAACAACAGATAACTTACACATGCCTGACAAATTATTATTTTCTTTTTCTCTTTATATATATATATAGATGTCATAAATTTAATAGCTCCTCCTGCTAGCTTTCTCTTTACGTTCTCTATGTCTCTTCTTTTTCTCTCTCTTTTTCACTGTTATATATAAGAAAGTTTTCGCATAAAAGCTCATTCTCTGTCAGTTCTCTACATTAAGAAACAAATATTAGACTTCCTTAAAAATTTAAACTGCATCTATTTAATTCAGAAAGAACCAACAACAACTTGTTTTTCTACACAACACTATGCTATTCACCAGCAGCAATACCACTCGTGTATCATGGATTATCTTTACTGTGATTGCCATCCAAATAGCGCAAGTAATATCGGCTTATACAGATGTTCCTCGTAAGTAAAACTATTCATTGTCACAATCGAAATCTATGTCTGTTTATATCCCATAGCTCCACCAAATCGACCTGAACGGTTTCATTCTCGCGAAGAACTCAAACGTTATTTACAGCTCGTATGTTGACACGTTTTTCGTCTTGTTTCGCAGTTATTCTATTTCATTTGTTGTATCATCAAGGTCCATGAATATTACGCAATCATCGGTCGACCACGTTTTGGCCGCTCTCTGTCCAGCAAATATATCGACGCGCAGGATAGACAACTGTTTGATTTCTTCGATGTCAATGGTGATAACTCCATAGCACCTGATGAATTTTACCAACGACTCGAGAATATCTAGTTGTGTACGTCTTACTAACTTACAACCAAAATCTTCTTCTTCTCCTTTTTGTTTCTACATGAACATATCGGTTCTTATTTCATTACTCGTTTTCTTTTTCTTATCTGTAGATGAGCTTGTTCTCACTCCAGTGATGATCAAATTGACTTCAAAAATAACAATTTTTTCTGCGAAACGTCGTACAGTTGTTGCCCTGTTTCTTGACTTCATTGTTGATCATCGCTTTCTTTCTATTGCTTAAGTGAATATCTATCATGTTTCCACAAAAAATTACAATAAAATTGGCGATTGCATCTATACAAAAAAAAAAGAAAACAAGGATTATTATGCACTGTTCCACTCTCTGTGTACAAGGTCATCTGCTTGAAATAAGTAACAGAAACTGCTGCTTTTCTGCATGCGTAAAAGAACGAGAAGAAGGTATTTTGATTGGTACCTCTCAAACATACACAGTAATTATGTGAACAACATACGCTTTCGTGCAAACTATTCTTTTGGAAGAAGTACAATGGTGGCAATGACGTACATGCTTTGAAAATATCTAAAATATAGTTCCTGTAAAAGTTATCGAAATACAAGAGACTTGAATTTCTGATGTTATTTCAGTATGTTGAGTACAAAAAAAAAATACACATATATGTATCAACTATTGGAAAAAAAAGAAAATGTTTAGCTTAAGCCAGCAGAAGAAGAAAAAAAGTTAGTTAATACAAGAATTAATGATGAATCTTTGTTGAATAGTGACTCTGAGGAAAGCACTGGTTTAGGTCATTTTACTCTGGGTTTTTTATTTAAAATAGAAAATTAAACATTGAAAGAAGATGACTGAGCTTGGGCTGTTTTAGCATATTCAACAAAATCATCGATTAACCTAAAAGAAAAAAACCGATCGAATTATACTCGTGTGTTGAAAGAGATCGTTCAAAAGACGTACGTTGGCCAAGCACCATCGTGATCATAATTCGAAAAATCGGATTTGATTGTTGTGGAAAAGTCAAGTAATAAATCCCATGTATCTTTAGTGATCGAGCGTTGATTCGAACGTTCTTCGAGAAATTTCAGCCATAAGTCAAGAAGTTTGAATCTCTGTAACGGTTTGTTGTTCGCAATAAATAACATCTTCCAGTAGGCCATTGCTAAAAGAATTAGTGTACTAATAACCTACAGGACATCATTTATTAAAAAAGTTTGAAGCGCGAAACGACTTTGATCACGTAAACTACAAAAGTGCTCTTTTACAAGATGATAAAGACGAAGGTTAAACAAGCTCCAATGTGGGTAGGAATCTGTGATGAAACAGAATAATTAGATTTTTAGTGTTGACTATCAAAATCAGGAATATTAGACGGAAACATCTTGAAAAACCGGGATAATTATGGTAACAATTTACACTGAACGATAGCAGATCACATTTTTTTTCTCGAGAACTTGATACACTCAACCATAGAAGTGTAATAATTGTTATTAGAATTCTCATTAAAATATGCTTGTTCGCAGTGAGTACTAACTAACACTGATTATCCATATCTATGAGTTTCTTTTTCGTTCGTTCGATGAGTATCAAATTTGATACGTATTTACTTGAGATTCAGTTTTGAGAATCAGTGAATGAGTAGGAGTGAAATTGCCTGAGAATGTGCATGTTTTTCTACTTTGATTGGTAATTAAATCATAGGGAAAGAAAACCCCTCTGACAAATGTCGATGCATTCGTCAAGAAACAATTGTCATACACGGAATATTCATGTGCTAAACGTGCTTAAAACTCATCTTATTCCCTCATGAGATATTATATGTTTGGACGAGCATGGTAATGAAAGAAATTTTCACAACACGCGCATTTTTTGAGCATGAAAAAAAAAGAGGAAATGAAAAGTAATAATTAAGATTCTCCAAATCGAACAGACTTTACATTCAGCACTTCTTTCACTCAATCTCATGGTCGAACTGATGATCATACCTGGTTGTACGTCCAGATTTTTCATCGACGTCGATGAACGTGCGAAATTGAATGTGTAACCATACAATTGCTTGAATTTTTCGTTATCACTTTCGATATCTTCATTGAGTTGTTTAATTCTATCGCGCAGTTTGTCTAGTGTATCACATTGTAACTCTTGACAGCCATTAGTAAATTCAGTTCGTTGTAATTCTCCTTGCTTTGAAGCACTCATTTTCCAACACAGAATAAGAATTTCTCTATCACTTGGTTCGAATTGTAAATCTTTTATAAAACGTAATAGTTGGTCTAAATTCATCTTGGTCGGATCACGTGAGTCTGTATAATTAGCCCATAGCTGATCAATCTTTTTACGATCAAATTTTGTCGATGATGATGAGGACGAAGATGTCTGAGTGTGGTAAGGTGAATGATGGGAACCGCCACCTCTCGAAGAATACGATGTGTCCTCACAAAATGCACCGATGGCACGTTCGACAACCCAATCGTTGGATTGAAGCGCTTGACGTGCTTGTTGTTCACTGACACCCATGACTTCGCGTAACTGACGGATTTTTTCGTTCTTCTCCCGGTCTGTTGTTTTACTCCGTCCGGACATTTTGTTCTTCTTAGAAAATCCTTTTCTTCTATCTGAAATATAAATAATTTTTTTTTGTCATTTGTATCTATAAACAAGAGACAAACATTCAACGAAACAGAACGCATTAAACGGAATTTAAACGAAGTGATGTCACTGTACAGTCACTACCAATAGTTACCAAACGACGAGTGGCCTTATCATATTTCAAGGCCTCTAAACTTCCAAAATGAATCTTTTGACAAAAAATTGCCCGTGCATTTTCTTCATCGCGCCATACGACCAAATAACCATTCTGTGTCGTACAAATAATCAACTTTTGTTCTTCATCAACTTGTAAATACGTCAATGTGAACCATCCGAACAACGACGTCGGTGTGTGAAGAACATAGAGACAATTGTACGTATTTGCATGACTATTGTATACTCGTACCGTTCGATCATCCGCACAAGTATAAATTCGTTCGTGTTTCCACTGAACAGCTGTTACTGCTGTCGTATGACCTGTTAATGTTGCAATTAGCTTTCTTTCCTGATCAACTTGCCATATACATGTTGTTTGGTCTTCCGACGCTGTTGCACATAATTGTTCGTTTGGACTCCAATCAACACTCCAAATTTCAGCATTGTTCGCATGCAGACCGACGATTCGTTTGCTTTGTAAATTCACCAGAGAACCATCGGCGAGGCCGATTAAGCACGCGGTTTGATCATTATTCCATGCTGCACAGATGATTGTCGTGGAGAAATCCTCAATGATTTCCTGATTATCAATATTATACAGTGCACCAGATAGTGTGCCAACAAGATTTTTCGATACAAAACATCGAACACTATCAGAAATGTGTATATGTTCTTTAGGTTTGGTTTCATCGACACTCCAACGAAAAATATTTCCCGATAAATCACCCGATAAAATTTCTTTCTTGTCCATGTAAATACCACAGCCAGCTGTTTCGTGCAATGTCTTGTGTATCAATGTCGTTAAACACAACGTTGCAGACGAAGATAGTTCATCCACGCTTGTGTTCAGTATTGTAAAGGTTACTGCGTTAACTGGCGATGGGGTTCGAACGATATCGATCAATTCCAAACGAACCAAAGTCAAACCCATATAACCGCCGACCCATAGAAGATCCTGTTCATTTGAATTCCATTGCAAATGACAAATAGCTGTTGCTGGTGCATCTGTACATGAAGCAATCAACGTTCCATCCAGTGAATAAGCGTTTACTATCGTCGAGATATAACCAAAAGTTAATAAATAGGAATGCCACCAAATGATCGCTTGTGGACTTCCAGTAGCTGTTTAGCACATAAGAAGAGGTATGAAAAGTCCTTTTTTCATAAGAGAAAAACGTCTTTACCGTTGATAATGCAATGGACATGTAGTGGATTTGTATCGATGATGAAAATTAAACCAGATTGAAGTCCGACAGCGAAAAATTCTTTTCCAGTAGCAGTCTGACGTAATGTTGTTGTTGTAGCAGATAGAAACGATTGGTTCGGTTTGGCATCTTGCAATTTCAAATCCTGAATCAGATGACCGTCGCGTAAATTGAGTTCATGAATATGAACATGTTCGTGCGGTCGTTGAAGTATGGCAAATAGATGACGACGTAGATTTGTGCAAAGGACAAATTCATAACCGATCGAACCAGCGACATAAGTATTTGACGTTTCCATTTTCTCCGCGATGTTAATTGGAGAGATTGATAGGTCAAATGATGGATGAACTGTTTCAGCATCAGCTCGCGGTGTTGCCCAATGTCGCAACCAAGTTTCAGTTAATGAATGATGCTCAGAATCATAAGTCAATGAGAGAAGCGTGCCTAATTACCAGCAAAGGAAGAAATTGTTGAATAACAATAGGGAAAAACATCCAACTTACCATCAAATCTTGAGCACAGATAAATTCCTGTGCCATCTGTCGTCCAAAATCCATAGTGCACATGATTGATTCGTGTTTGCTGTTCAACATAACGTTTTTGATAATCATGTGACCAAATAATAATTTTTCCTGAATACGAACATGTTAAAATTTGATTTACATATTCATTGTATACCATCACAACGATGATATCATCGTAGACATGTTGGAAAAACAAGCGTTCGTCTGTTGAGTGATTGTAAACTTGAATACAACCATTCAATGCACATTCGTACAGGTGAGAATCAGATTTGTCTGTTCTTTTTATTGCTGTTGGAAAGCCAGAACAGAAACGAAATGATCCAACACCGAAGACATTTTCAATCGTAAATGACACCATGAAATTTGAATTGAATGAAAGAAAAAGACGTGTATTTGTGTTTTTTTTTGTCAAATGCTTCTATTTGTGTTTGTTTTCTTCTTCGGGACGATTTTCTGTCAGTCAACGAGTGACTATCGGAAAGAAAAGAAAGGAATGAAAAAAGTCACATCACATAACACAATGGTGGTGCAATTTTGCCGTGTACTTGAGTCAGAGAGCAAATTTAGTAAGATTTCGTTGGTAATTTTCGAGAAAGAGTGCACAGGAACTCATATGAAAAATATTACTTTTTATAAACAAGAAAAACGAACGATCGAGGATAGAAATAAAATTATCTTTACTGTTCTTATTTACGGCACTTGAAAAGAATTGATTCAACATTACTTAGAAATCTTTGCAGAAAAACCTCGCCGAATGGGACGGAATTGTTGACATTCGGCAAGTAGTTGAGCTCGGAAAATCTTCGATAGCTGTTCAAATTGCATTATATTCGCGTTCTGACCTGTCCAAAAACGATGCCATTCTTGCATAACAAGTAGAAAAAGTCGGAAGAATTCGTCAAGATTACACGGATAAATAGAAAAATGTGTTAACAATGGATGGAAATGAATATTCTTGAACGGATCAGGTTCGAGCAAATGAACAATCCACGAAACAATATTAATGACACCAATAGCAAACGAATAATCATTCGGTGGGCGAATATTTATATACGTTAAACACGTTTCTCGATCACGTGATAGATATTCTATACATTGAAGACCAAGCAAACCCATTCCTAAAGAGAATTGTCAATGAGATGAAGTCGAATGATAGAAAATATTCATTCTGATCAAGTATACTTTTGCCATGTTCGAATTAGCAGTTACCTCGAAAATCGGTCAATGGATTTGAGCCCTATTTGTAGAGAAAAAGCTTGAATTTCGAGTTTCGGATTTTAAGTGAACTATACTTGAAAGCCAATCTTTGTCCAACGTTTGGAAATCATCTGCAATTCTTCGTGATCATCATCTGCTTGAGTGACTAATCGTGACCAGATTTTCTCGAATAATTCTAAATGTTTTTCATCCGTTGCCGTCACTTTTGTTAATCTGATGCTTTCCACTTGTTTTACTAGTTTCTGATAGAGATCTAATTTGTGTATGACAACGTACACTTTATCGTGTACTAACGATTTCTTCTGATCGCATTTGGCTTGTTGAATTTCAGCATCGAGAGGATTTGATAAGGTGAAATTAACAGAATTCTCAATTTGATGTACACGAGACGAAAATGGTAACGTACGATTCGCGATAATTCGTTCGAGTTCAGATTTTCCCGTTAGAAGATACATAATAACTCGGTGAAATTGTAGAACCAACGTGGAAATCGCATATGACCAAGGCATAGTATCTAGAAAGACATAGGACATGATGAATTTGGTCTTTTAATCTAAATTTTATTTGTTAAAGAATCAGGACAGGACACAGTTTATGTTTGTTGTTTGGTAAGGAGAAAAAAAGAGACAAAGAAGGTACAACCAATAATCGTAAACTATACGGAAAAGAAAAGAACAATCGAGTCCGTTTATTGGATATTTGGTTTACATATCATCGACAGATTTCAAAGCTAATTCGGGTTTGTCATAGCCTAAATCTTCGGGTGTTGAGATGCCCAATTTATCTAATGTTGGGCGAATCTCTTGAAGAATCCACGGCCAGACTTGTTTCGAAACTGCATTGGATTTATAGCGGATCGCTTCTAAATAACGAACAGCCAACGAATGATCATTGACACGACGGCACGCTTGAAGGCAAGCAGATATGATTTCTGGTTCAGGAATCAAGTCGAGACGATTCATATGATTGATACCTTGACGAATGTCCCAACCTAAATGTCAGTGTACCCAGATACACATATTTCAATGAACTGTGTCGATAAATAACACTTACCATCGATATTTGGTCGATCGAAGTACGCTTTCCAGCGTTCGTCAAATTCTTCATCGGTTTCCTTTTTATGTGACGACATGTTTCGACGACCTGTTGATGTCATCGCTGCCGCCCACATAGGTCGTACTGATTTTGTTAATGCTTGAGCGAGCGCTGAACGTAATAGAAGAGCCATCTAAAAGGAAAAGGTAACAAAATACAATAATATATTCTTGTATTCTTATTTGACTGGAACTCCACAACCGAGATATCTGAAGAAAGACATACTTACTCATGTACAAAAACAGAAAAGAAAAGAAACAAAGTACACATACACAAATAGATATGTTCAAAACAACAACGACAAAGAAAAATAACCGAAAAAACATCTATCTGACTATATATTTCCATTATTGCATATCTAATTCTTCCATCTGCTTGTTTATACTTTGAATAGCTTTCATAAGAGCTTGTTTGCGTTGATTTAGAACTGTTCGCTGATTATCGGACACGTGTTTAACCGATTGTGGACGATCATTCGTTGCTATGGTTGAGCTGAAATAAGTTGATTGATCATCATCTCTTGTTGAATCAAATTCAAGAGCTTGTTGCTGCTTGGCAACAGATGATGACGAAGCCGAGTCAGCACTGGAAATCAAACGATGGAAATTTTGTTGTTGTAGTTTAATGATTGTTGGATGATGAATAAGTTCTTCGGAGACGTGAAGATCTTGTTCGTCAGATCGTTGCTGAGGCTGAGATTGGTAGGGATATTTCGTTGATGATGGCCGACTAGATGATTGAATAAACACCGGTCGAGTTAGAGACTGAACTTTCTTTGGTTCAGGTGGCCGGTATGATGAGGCAATTGAGTCACTTGTACCAGTCGACGAATATTGACTGGAGAGTAATTGAGACGGCATGGAAGGTCTATCAGTTCGTATCAAAACTATACAATTCAGATAGAAGTGAACTATTTTACCTGACAATGGCCGGTTGTTGTAATCGATTGGAAAAGCTGTTCATTGAAGCAATCGATGACGAGTCTGAATTCATCGTCGATGAATTCTGGGACCGCTTGCCAGTCATCATGATTGATGCCGGTCTTTCCGGTACATATAATTGATTTAAATATGCCGATATAAGTTTAGCCGATGCGTAACATCGTGCAACTGAACAATGACTAACACCTAGTCTTGTATGATAATTGCAACGTTCTTCAATCATAAATGAATATGCAGCATTTTCAAATGTTTTATGGATATCATCACGTGACACACGTTGCTTCTTTAATTCAACTAAAAGCATTATTAATGACTCAACACTTGCGAGACCAACCAAACGTGTTTCTTTTGTTGGCTTCACTCCTAAAGGAAAAAGAATTCGGTAACAACAAATAGAAATATGCCAACTGATTTCAATAGTTACCTTCTGCTTTTTCTTGTAGCCAATCAAATAATCGACTTGTCTGCTCATATTCAACAGCCGGAAAAAAGACACATGGTTGACTTGATCGTAAAGATCGACGACGAGCACGATCATCATCGGCAGGATTGGTCATTTTATTGGCTCCATTCGGAAACAATACTGATTTCAATTGTTGATATATCAGTTTGTAATTATCTGTTGCTTCAGCGAAATCTTTCAATGGAATTTCATGAGTTGACTTTAAATGTTCCAAACAGGCTGACATATAACCAGGTGGAATTTTATCTGGCTTGATAAATGTTTGTCGGAACATCGTTGCACCTTCAGCTAGAGTATACTAAACAAAGACCAAGTATGAGACGATGTCCGGCGCGTTTCTTACTCGAAGAATACACATTTCAGCCGGGACGTATTGTCCGCCATCTTCTTCATCAACTTTACAGAAAACTTGAAAATTAATTATATAGATTGGCATAGATAGTAATTCATTGATATCTAATGGGAGATATTCAAATGCAAGATAATCTCGTTCCAAACTGAATCGATCATAATGAATTTTCAGTTCTTCGCATGGAATATCACGTTCACTAAGGATTTTCTCATTTTTCTTTTCTTGTTTAAGTGCTTTCTTCGTTTGTAAACTACGTTGATTATCATTCGTAGCAGATTCAGGATCTAAACGATACTGCATACGCCATTCTTCATATAAAATTTTATATGGTTGTTTGTCTTCATCAGATAATAATTTCCATTCGTCATAACATGCAGCTATGGCATCAGTAATACTTATACGATTTCCATTGTTACGAAAATACCGACGTTGATACTCAAGAGCATAGAAATAAAAAGCGGATCGACTTGGTTTAGGCATTAAATAAAGAAATTATCTAAAACAACATTTCATATACAATCACGTTCATTGTGTTTTGAAGGAGAATTATTCAAAACAAACGTCCCAAGGACAAATGAGCAAATAGACTATCCCTCTATACAGTAGGTTTATACATCAATTTACGGTGAGAATTTTAGTTAAATTTGCTCGTTTAGTACAGGAAGTACACGCTGTTTTTTTTAAACCGAATTTTCTCAATTCGTGCTAAATTAATCTATTTACCAAAACCGGCATGTATTCATCAGCAAAATATAATTACGATAATCGATGTGCGAGATTGATTTTTAAAATAACTAATTAGATTTGTACTGTTTCGTTAGTCTACAAAAGAAAGAAGTGGAAAGTTTCGCTTAAAATAGAAAGCTCTCGTCCTTACTAATAAAGAATATTTTCCTACAACGTTAGGTACTTTCGCGTAGATCTCCAACACAAAGTCTCTACAAAGCATTCCTATTCTGTTTATATTGCAGTTTTCAACCATTGGTAGTTCTATACTAGAAAACTAAACTATCTCTGACAATTAACGTAGCGATGAACTTTGGGTTTTGACGTATTCAGACTCTAGAGAAAACATCTATGATCCGCTCGATGTAAAACATGGAATGATGAATAGGTACAAAAGAAACCATTGGAGATATTTCATGACCTTTACAAAACTCAATCTAAGAGCGAACGTAGATAAGATGGTGAAATATTAATGAGAATGCACTATCACTTAAAATGGAAACCAAAAATTGAAAAATCTCGTATCAGAATATGATAGATGGCGCCAACATCAAACCGGTCGCGACACGTACTTTACGTCGGATGAGATGTGATCAGAAATTCTCTTCTTGCCGTCGCACTCCACAGCTTTCCGTGCACGTTAATTATGGGTTCAAAACAAACTTTTTGGATAATCAGACCTGTTACTCTCGAGTTGTTGGCAGATAAACCTATCTATTCGTATTGCAACAGATTTGATTCAGTTCATTCTTTTGTTTATACTTATATTCATCCTTTCAAGTTTATGATCAACCAATATAACGCCTCGTAATCGCCCAGAATGTCTTGAAAAAAAACTCAACAAATTGGAAATTCATGTGGAAATACTTTCGTCATTGCATGGGATTCTAAAAATGTTCTGTCCCACGGAATGGGATAGTCGTCATCCCACGCAGAGTTCTAATGAGTATAAATTCCGTTAGTAATGTTGTTGTCTAATTGTCGCGCAGAATAAATCCTTCGATAAATCAAAGTTAATGCACTACCCTTTTCGTATTTCACGAAGATGTGAATGCGATCATTCTTTAAACGCACTTTTGGTGACGTCTGGTGTATATTGGGGTCGTACACAGGTAATATAGAAATACTTTTAAAAATAAATCAGCTGGGTGTGTATATGAATCGATCCCTCTTCCCCATTTTACACGTTCCATTGAGGAAAAATATCAGGTATACGATCCTATATTAATTGCGTTGAAACTTGTATTGTATTTTAGAAAAAATACTACTAATCTTTCAGTGCATTTTTAGACAAACACCTGGTTTGATCACTCAAATATAAAAGCGTTTGAAAATCTCACAGAAACAATCACATATTTATCTCAGCCCAATGGCAATTTCTTCGATATCAGTTCTATTTCTATGCGTTGTGGCAACGACTGTATCAGCACGTATATTCCGAATCAGTAATAATTGTGACCAAAAATTATGGTTTGGTATACAAGGCCAGCCTTTGGTTTACGGTGGTGGTTTTGAAGTCGAATCGCGCTCATCGAAAGATCTTACAATTCCAGATGGATGGGTATGTCTACATCACCTTCTAATTCAATTGATCAATGTAAGAGGTTGAAAACTGAATAGGTTAGCGGACGAATTTGGCCACGTACAGCATGCCGATCAGTTAATGGAAAAATTACATGCGCCACAGGTAAATGATCGTAAGAAAATTTAATCAGCGATTATATGTGATGTTTCAATATAGGTGATTGTGGTGCACCAGTAAACAATTTCGGTGTTCAATGTAATGGTATTGGTGGTCAACCACCGGCCACTATTGCTGAATTTACTTTGGATGGTTGGGGCGGTTCTGATTATTATGATTTGTCAAATGTCGATGGTCACTCCATTGGTATGACAATTAAACCAATTCCTGGTCAATATACAATGGTCAACAATCCGTCCTTGGGAAAATACAACTGCGGAACAGTACATAGATTCCTGCTCGCATTCCTTGTTCTGATTATTCCTCATTATTGCAGGCTACATGTACATTTGATGCCAGTAAATGCCCACCTGAATTGCAAATGGATGACGGCACTGGCCACAAGGTATGTGCAAGCATCTGTGCTGCTATTCACAATGCTGGACAACGTGCTAAACACACACATTTACAAAATATCTACAACAATCCTGACACACGTTCATTGGTTTGTTGTTCATGCGATGGCAATTATTGTGTAAGTGAATGCATAATTCAGCAATTGTATTGTGGATGAAATCGAATGGTTTTTTTTTGTTTTAACTTAAGGTCTCACCACATGATAACGTCACACCGGGCCGAAAATGTTACGTAGAACAATGGCCACGATCAACACAAAATACAAGATATGATGAGGTCTTCAAATCACAATGTCCCGATGCTTACTCTTGGCAATTTGATGATTTTGCCAGTAAGTGTTCACCTATCTCTCAACATTATGTTTAACTAAATCTGAAGGTACCTATCAATGTTACAAGGCCAACTATGAAATCATTCTCTGCCCATCGGGTAATCCCTCAACTAGTGGACCTAATCCAACAACATCACAACCATCAACAGGCAACTTCTGTAATGGACAAGGTTTTGATCCTAACATGTACTGGTGCGACGGTGGTCGTCTCTGTTTGAAAGGCGAAAAAGCATGTGGTTCCAACCCACATGCCTGCTACAAAGATACCATGTACCAATGTGTCAACGGTCAACTCCGACCAAAATAAACCGAACGAGGCTTTTCTTCAAAATAAACTGATTTTCTTCAATTCGTCATTGTTTTCAGTCTCGATAAATAATTAACAACGAGCAACTATCTCTCTAGGAGTCACTTGTACCATTATAGATCATGTTATTTGAATCTATAGATTTCGGTCAACATTTGCAATGTTTCCAAAATAAAATAAGTCTTTTTTTTACGTTCCAGTGAAATAACAGAATTCCGAGTAATTAGTCAAAAGTATGATATACTACCTAGGAACATACGTTACATATTTGGCAAAAACAAGCCTTCGTTACACAGACTAGCATATGTTGTTTTCCAGAACATGAAATGATTCGAGTTTGTCGTCGATAAAATTATACATTAATCAACATATAGCGTTGACAATCAATGATGTTTTGCATAGCTATAGAGACATTTACAATTAAGTAGGTTAGAGCAAGCGTTGCATAGGCGATGGCCTAGGATATTAAGAACATCGAAGAGAAAACAAATAAAGAACGAGTAAAAACAAAATCTCGAGCATAATTATGTATGGTTCCTGTTATGTTTCTTTGAAACAATACTAACGTCTCCAAGGACATCCATGTTAGTCACCCTTTAATTACTTTTCGCGCGATATTTATGACGATCTAGCTTTGAAAATGTTCACTCAGCAGGCTCGATGGTTAACGCATCATTTCAACGTAGAACAAATGTTTCACATTGGTTTAGCGCAACTACATGATCTTGAAAACATAAACTCAGTAATCTAACTGGCTTGCATCTCATATTCCTCTTCATTCTACATGAATTTTTTAGGAGGAATGCTCGGTAATATCCGACGCTCAACATCTTTCTGAAAAGGCACTGAATTATATATTTAATTTCACATTTATTTTATGGGGTTTATTAATTATTTGGTTCTTATTTTACATGTGTGCTAAGTGATTTCGTCTTTGATAATGGCATGTTAGAAAAGGTCCATTAATTCATATGATTGATTCATTGTAATCATAATCAGCGGCTGTTCTTTTTGTCTTTGATTTTTGCCCTGTATTGTGAATCAATGTAGAAAATGTTCATGTTAATTATTTCTTCGTTTGAATTAATCATGCGCGAGAAACTAATTCTAGCTAAAAAACGATTGCTTTGGACTTTTTATTCTTTAAAAACGCATTTCATTGACAAAACAACAGAAAATGAACACTTCTGCTTTTTAAATCATCGGGAAATTGTTGTGTCGTCGCGCGTGAATGCGACATATGGGACATAAACTACGCAGAATGATGTTGAATTTATGGCGAAAAAATTTACTAAAAATATAGAAGAGAATGGGATTAAATGCCGTCGATGATAATGCTAATAGAATCGATATGATTGAATACAGACGATTTTCGTACAAATGATGCAATTGATTGATTTGAGCATAGACGAAATTAATCTGTCCCGGTGAAAATGCAATGAAATAGAGAATGGCAACGAGTAATAACATAATAATGGCGTTCTTTCGCGCGGTATCGCTGTTTTTCTGCGAAGAATTAGATATTGTCATAAGATGTGTTTGGGAACGTGGGGAACTCATTGGAATCAAACTCATATGATGATCATGCAATGGCGTTTGCATTAATGAACTCATCTTTGTACCCGAGTATTGCCGATGCGATTCACTAATTGAGCTTTGCTGTAATTGCTCACTGCGGCAATTGGCTTGAACAGCACGATCCACGATAAAGATGTTTCGACAAATAATTATGTAAAGTGTTGCCTAAATGAAACAAATTTAGACGAATGGTCTTGTCTAGTAAACATACCAATCTAATCGTTCTCTGAAGAATATTAAGAAAAAGAAAATATCTCACGAGTATTGCAGATTTTTTCCTCTCAGACAAACGCGAATAGTGCCCGGAGACATCAATGTCTGTAATTGTGAAATGACATGAGTTTTTGGTAGCGTATTCGTACCTTTTTTTTCACAGCGTATTCTTTAATTCAATGTGCTGTTTTATTTACATCCGGTCGTTCGTATGAAAGTGTCCTTTGTGGCATAATTTCACGTCTTTAACAAAATGCTGACACGTACTTTCCTCATAACTCGCGAAAACTGACATTTTCTTTTCCGTTCTCAGAGAGGACATCCTTTTTGATTCAATTAGCTGATATTTATGCAAAATTGCTTTTTCAACTTACCTGTACAAAAATCGGTATGAAAAAGAACAAAATCGATTCGACATATTTATACAATAAGATCCAAGTCGAGTGCTTCGGTCGATCGGAAAGACCACAGATGAAATATCCGGGACGATTGTAAAGCTCGTGCAAAGTCAATAAAAATAGATTTGGCAACGCCATTAAAACCCCTATCAACCATATCAAAGCGAATGTCAATGAAAGACGTTTACGACGATTAACCGATGAAATTTTCACAGGATGAACGATGGCGATATATCTAAGAAGAACAAGCGCAAAGATTTTTAAACTTCATCCGACAAAAGCGAATTACCTTTCGATGCTGATCACAAGTAATGTTTGAACACTCACATAACAGCCAAGAACCTGAAAAAAGCGAACTATCTTACATAAATACAAGCCAAGGTACCAAGCTGTTGGCCAGAATCGATCGTAGGAAAATTGAACTACGTCGAGGATATTGAAAGTAAGAATAACTAAATCAGCACAGGACATATTGACAAGAAGAAGATTTGTAGATGATCGACGAATTTTAATGTGATTGGTTGAAACAGAGAGAAGAACAAGAGTATTGCCAATGAAGCCAATAATTAAAATAGTAATAAAAATGAGAATTAAACAAACGCGAAACCCTTGTGACGGTTCATCGTTTAGTTTAGCTAGTTCAGTTAGATTCATGTTGAAAATGTATGCCAGTTAATCACTAACTCAATGAAGACACGAAACAATGAGGAAGAGGAAGTAAAAGGCAACCATCCGTAAGTGTGTTGTCAGACAGAACAAAACTACAATAAAGAAAAAAAGGAGAAAGGAATAGAAATAAATAATGATAAAGTCATTCTGTCTGTGGTACGATTTGTCGTCTGAACTGACTCATACGCGTATTTCGACAAGACATTTAGCAGGAAAAAAACAGAAGCTTATCGAGATCACAGCTACACAAAAGATAATCTTTGGCTTTTTTCGCGTGACAATATAGAAGAATAGGATAGCAAAGAAAAAAACCTATTGGGAATCGACCGAAGAATGCATGCATTCTTTTTCATCACTATATTAGACTAATTTTACCTGCGAACCTCGATAATTTTTCGAGACAACTGCTTGAAAAACTAAAGAAAAAAAAACCCGCATCGATGAAATCTGATTTTGATTATTCTCTAAGTGAATTCAATCTTACTTACTGTGTTACTTAGTTTTAAACATTAGATAGGTGAATACGATCAGTAGTAGAACAGCACAAATGAAGATCGTGAACAGTTGATTGTAGGCAAAGCCTATTGAAAGACAACGATGAGACGAATCAATTTATCCGAATAATATTAAATCACAAAAGAAAAGAACTTCTTAGATTGTTCCGAGAAGAGTTAGGCTTCTCTTTCTTTTCATCGAGTTAGACGTTAGAGGAAAGAAATGAAAGCAAATTACCATAATATATGGAAAGAACAGCTAAGCACAAACCTGGAAGAAATCTGTCCGATTGTTTAAACAACGTAGCTTGGCTCGTTCGGCTTGTCTGCAAATCTGATTTTATGATAAATCATTACTTGAAGGCGAAAGAAAGCACCTTACTGGCTGATATTCCTTTTGCGATGCTACGATTCCTATTGATAAAAGAGAGCAAAACACACCAGTCAGTCGATGGACTTTGATTCCCTATTCAGTACAATGAAATTTTAATTACTTTTGATAACCGATATATGATGTGTTAAGGTGATCAGATTGGTCTGAAGAAAGAACAAAGTCAATGAATAGATGATTATATATATATATACGAAGCATATGAAAATAACAAGTAATCTGATCAATATAAGAAGGACTCAAAGGATCAAATAAATATAGCTTACGATCTCGTTTTCGACAGGAGATAACAAGAAAAGAAAATGACAGCGAGTATGTAATCGATCAATATTCCCTTTCGGATGCTGTTATTGATAATGATCAAGCGGAATATTTTCTCGGCGCATTTCGGTATAGGCAAATATACAAAATGATTATCTTTTCTCATTGTTGGAGATTTACTAAGCAATTAAAGCGTTAAGAAAGAAAGGAAAATGAATCAGGATGTATATTTTGCCGAACTAGTGCTTTGACAGATAGTCACAAGAATATCTGTCAAAACTCATTGACAGTAAAGACGTCAATTAAACACACATGGAATGGAATTCGAAGCATTATCGATCCCAGAAATAATTCAACAAAAAGTATTTCTGACTGTGTCTTGCACCGAGCATATCTAATTAAAAGCTTCTCAATGACAAGAAATAGATATCTGCAACTGCATGTCTGTTTTGAAAATTTAGCAAGTAGAAAATGTCTTCGTGGTGTTACACGACAAACGTGAAGATATTTATAGGAAAGATGATCGTAAACAGACAATTTTCTATGCACTCAGTATTTGCTGTCACTGATTCAATGAGATGTTCTCCGCTCAATTCAGGAAAGTCATATATCATAATGACTGATGCGATTAACTGCTTAATTTCAAGCCACGAATAAATTTGATGTCATTTACTATTAGAAAATAGAGTAAATTGCAAATGGAAGAGAAAACATCTAATTTGACAGGCGAGGATGTGTTGAGTGCAAGTACTCTGTGAGGCAAACAGAGATCAAATTTGAAAAAAACAAAGAAAAGGACAAACTATTCATATTACTGCACTTGCCAGCCGTGTTTTTTCTATTAGACGAACATAAAGTAACATTAACATTAATAGCACTGTCAATAACATTAATATCGTCAAAATCGTTTTACATCCTCTTCCATGTAAGTGGAACTAGATATATAAAACATGCGTAATATTTACTTTTGTATTGTTGAGAACAGTTTCCTGTTTCTTTTAAATGATATATTAAAAAGCATGAATGCATCCTTAGATAAAGACTATTCCAATGAAATTAGCCATCAGGGAACCATGAAGCGTACAGTTTTTTTAAAAACATTCTTTTCCGAAGCTCAATTGCGCATTTATTCATTCTCCGCCCTTCCTCGTCTAGTTCTAATTACAGATATACATGTCATTCTGCGCTAGTTTCTAATCATACTTTTTACAAAAGCAAATGGCATAGGTAAAAAAACTATAACACTTTGTCTATGAATGTTTCGCATTCTCGGTACACGAGAGTGAGATCAATGTACTTGTGTGCGGTCGGGGATGATTTATTCGTTTGCACTGCTTAGAACAAAAATTTTACCGAATGAAAGTTCTCCAAAGGGTATACATGATATGAATTAAGTGGAAAGTGCACTGTGTCCTACCTATTCTTTCACGGAAATAAACTATTGTTGAGTACGTTGGGAAATATCCATGAGGAAAGTCAATAAGAGAACAGGATATATTGTGTTCATTGTGTTCTTTTGTTAAAAACAAGTTGTCATTCAATTGGACTCGTATATGCCAATTATGATGGGAAATGCATAATAAGTTTGAGAATAGAATTGCGGAGTGATCATCGTTGAAACAATCAATGTTTTCTTTACTTTGGATTAATTGATCGTTTAGTTGAAGTTGTAGTTGAGATTTGGGATAAGAATAGATTTCACACGTGATGTTGACATATTGAGGTGGAGAAAACCAAAATATCGATCGATTTTCCATAAGAGTATTGTTAATAATTAATGAAAATGAAAAGGGCGAAACTAGAGTAGAATAGCAGAATAAAATAGAGTTTTTGTGGAAACTTTGTTTTTCACCGTAAATATTCAAATCGAAAACCATAATTTCAAACAGATTTGTTTCATTATCATATAAAACACATTGAATATTCTCGAACGCAATATTCATCCATTGACGAACCTGAAATGATTTTATAATAACTTTTATTTATTTGTTGGAATCTACATTAGAAATTATCATTGTGTACTGATTGTGATCAAACTTGACATTTTGTGGTTTCTCTTCAACTTCATTTTTCAGTGAAAACTCGTTGCGTGATTTGGAATTGATGTAGTAATACCTAGTAGGACCGAAAGATTCGGTTGAATTCCAATTATGCGATTTCGTTTTACCGATAGGCATCATCGTGATGTAAACTTATTCTCCATGCAACTAATTGTCGCTCGTTTCGACAGTCAAGTTCAACCGTACTGTGCTCTTCGACATTCAATGTTTGATTGTATAAAATACGTTTGAGAGTAACTTGTTGGTTTAAATTTACGATGAAAATCATCAAGGTCAAATGAAGTATTGGCATTCTGAAAATAAATGTTGATCTATTTTAATTCGATATACAATTCACGAGAGAAAAGCAAAGTCTAACTATCAAGAGTGAGACATGATAACAACTACTGATTTATAAATAGGCACATGTTTAAGTTCCTTTTTGCTCGAAGGAACTTAATGTTGGTAAAGTGCTTTGAGATGTAAATTCTCTGTATTACTGAAGTGCTGTAGGTGCTCTTCCTAGAATACAGACATCACTTTTTATTTTCGATAATGTTTCATATGTTAAAAATAAATCAAATGGAAAACAGATGCAGACATTTCTCCTTTCTATGTGTGTTTTCACCGACATGATGAATTGGCTGGAATATATTGAAGACAATGGTCTTTTCATGCACGAAAACAAACCAGATGGTTGGAATACATATCGCCAATGAAAATAATTTTATATGAAAAGTTCGTCATGAGTAAAAACTAGGCGTTACTTATTTGTATGATTTCTAATATATCTTTTAATACACACGGTTTTCGAACTTTCACTTTCGTATACGACAGAATATAAACCGAGTGATAAGATAGTGACAGTCATGACATTTTTTATAAACAATATTCCAACATGGTTCGAGTCATAAGAAGAATTTACGCTTAAAAGTGGTGATTGTGCTACGTTATCCTTTGTGAAAAACGTTTTTTTTCGGGCATTGAAATCTGTTATAATTGCATGACGAATATCAAGCCGACGACATTGATGTGTAGTAAGAATTCAAACGATATTGAAACAGTTCAAGAATCTGGAGCATCTTCCATCAAAGCAACGGGATATCAACGTTTTGATCTCCATAATATCGTCTTTTATGGTTAGATGAGAGCATATGTGACGATGATGAAGACTGCTTACTACACCACTGCTCACTTACAAAGCATTGCTTACGATCTCAAAACTTACACAAATGTTGATGAGTGTGTTCTGTTCATTGAAACTATGAAAGATCGAAAGGCATATATTATTATTTCCGGTTTACTTGGACAAAGTGTTGTATCTCGAATACATGATATGAATCAAATTGACTCAATTTTTAGTTTTTGCGGCATAGAACAACGACATAGAGAATGGTCGAAAGTCAAAGGAATTTTCACTGAAATCATACCTATCTGTAAGAGTCTTAAACTAGCATCTGAACAACGTCAGCAAAATGCGATATCCATTAGTTTTATTATGTCGGATGAGCAATCGAATCAGTTGAATCCAAATTTTATGGACACATGCATGTTAAATTGAACAGTTACACCAACATCAGAAAAGCAAGGAGATCTTCACCGTCTACCGTGGGCAAGGTTTATCGAAGAAAGAATTCAAACAATTAAAGAAAACCAAAGGTGGATTAATGTCATCTAACAGCTTTTTATTCACTAGCAAAGTACGAGAAGTTTCGCTTCGTTTTGCACGAGATAGTGCCAATGACTCAGATCTTATCGGTATTCTTTTTGTGATGAAAATCATTGCCATGCATTCATCAACACTGCTTTGGACGGAGATGAAGTGATATTTTCGATGCACAGTGTATTTCGAATTGAAGAGATCAAACCAATGGATGAGAATGAAACACTCTTTGAGGTTGGCTTAACGCTCACCAATGATAAAGATCTAGACTTTAGTCGAATTATGAAGTGCGTACAAACTAACAGTTACCAAAGCTCGACGGCATGGTTTAGACTAGGTTTACTGCTTACTGATATGGGACAAATGGATAAAGCTGAAGAGATTTATAAAAGGTTGATTGATCAAGAAACAGAAGAGACTAAAAAAGTACGAATGTATCATCAACTTGGCTGGAATAAATATAATCAAAAAATTACCCAGAAGCAATATTGTACTACGAGAAAGCACTTGAAATTCTTGAAAACACTCTTCAACCTCACCATCCAAAGTTGGCTAAATCGTACAATAATATTGGCATAGCCTATGGGCAATTAGGTGACTATTTGAATGCACGTTTATCGCACGAAAAAGCACTAGCTATTTGGAAAAAAACCTTCTTGCTGATGATCCTTCATTTAGTGCATATCACAACAACATCGGTTTAATGTATTATAACATGAATGACTATCCAAACGCGCTTTCATCGTATAAAAAAGCCTCAAACATATGGGAAAGTATCGAAAAGCTCGTTTATATTTTGAACGGGCTATCAAAACTGTAGAACGATCATTACCTTCGAACCATCTCTGGACTAAACAGTGGAAGATCGACCTCGAACGGGTGAAAGTCAAAACATAATTCCCACCCGTTCTTTTTAAAATTAGAGACGCATCAGTTCTTCAAGCACATAAAACATGATTATCTGTGCCATCTACTATACATATCCTTTAGGTGGATTGTATTTCATGCTGAGTATTAGTTGTATATTATTATTACTGTGTAAATAAGCGCTAAATAGAGATAATTTATTCTGTCTGATAAAGAAAACATGCCTATTGAAGGTTCTCGTCCACAGACTGTAGTGCAACCAGCATTAAACAATACGACTACGGCAAGTATAGGTCGTTTCTATGAAAAACGACAGCAATTATATGGTGCACTCGATCAATATAATAAAGCTTTGATATGCAAACCGGATGATACAGCTACTTATATTGATCGTTCGCGTATTTTCCTTAAAATGGGTAGTATCGACAAAGCACAAGAAGATACCAGTAGAGCATTAGACTTAATCGATGGTACATCACAAAATTCCAACTTATTACTTTACTATGTTTGTTTACAAAAAGGCGAAGTTTTATATGCTGATGGAGAATTCGAACTAGGTTTCGATGATATCTTCATCTTTATCTGTTGACCTAATTCTGTCATTTTTCTCTCTAGCATTAATGTATTTCCATCGTGCAAATAAAATCAAGCCTGCTCAACAAACCTGTCTCGAAGGTATTCGGAAAGCAACAGAAATTCTCGAATGTACTATTTGTAATTCTAATATTCATTTAATGATCACTAGTAATCTAATTCATTCGAAAGAGAAACAATCCAAGCAAATAGATCTACTTCATCGTCCTCCTATTAGGCAGGCACCGGATCCGAATCGGACTGGGTTCAAAAGGATTTGATTTGACAAGGTTTGAGTTTGAAAATGTTTGAATTCGATAGATTTGAGATTTGATCGAGTTCGGGTTTGACAGACTCGGAATTGAAATAGATTTGGATTCGACAAATCTGAGATTCGTAAAAACTCGGACATGATCAATTGCGTTTAAGCGTTTTATCCATCTATGAACAGTATTTGAGTGAGGAGGCTTGTAGGCTAAAATTATGGAAATAGAATACTTGAAGTCCATTCATGTACGTAGCGTGTTAATCACGCGTCCTTTTGTTGATATACGCTTTGGAACAGGAACAGAAGGACAAAGATTACAAACTGCCCATCCCAAATCAGTTCGATGACGACATGTGTAATTCCAGACATTCGATTTATTACGTGGCAATAAGTCAGTTGACGCGTCAGCATCTGTATTGATTTGGTGTTTTTGAATAACTGTGTGATCTACATCATGTATCACAGCTCCATGTATTTCATCAGATTGAGTGCAAAGACGCTTGTGCTTTTTTGGTATTAATATTCGCTGAGTAGTTTCGCTTCGACTTCATTCTTGTGGATACCGTGTACTAAATGTCTTATTAGCCAGAAAGAAACATATATAAGTATCCTCCTCTGTCGTCTTTTTTCCTTTCTTTCGTTCATCACTACTATTTATATTTAACTAAGCGTATACGTCGACGTGTACATAGAAAACAACGTACTCAAGTCAAATATCAAACTGGTGTGGTGCTGTGTAACCAGACGTCAAGCATTCATCCGCTTGGTACCACACAATCTTCTCACGCCGAAATCGATGATATGTAAGAAAAGAATTTATCTTTTTGCCTTTATTTTCTCTACCTACAAAAGCGTTTCACTTTTGTAAATACCTCGATCTGCCCTCAAAACTATTCTAACAAAATGTTGTAACATGCCCAATCCTCATATTTGGGTGCGAAATTTGCACGCGCTAATTATCTTGTTTTTGTTAACGAATTTGTCCGAAACGAATCTGTTCGCATCCAAACATATTTGAGAACAAATCTAGTCAAATCCGAATGTCCGGATTTAGTATATCCCTACCTCCCATACGACAACAATTATCGCCGACTGAACTACCATTGACTCGGTATACCAACAGAGAAGCAAGCAAACTTTTAATCGAAGTTGCCAAAGATCGCAAGCTATTGATCGATTTGTACACGGATAAACAAGCATCGTCTGGTTAGTTTAAATAAACAATAGGAATCTTTGTTTGTATGAAATTTTTGTTTCAATCAAGGTTTTACTGGTTTGGATAAAGCGAAAATGGAAGCACATAAAGCGATTTCTATTGTTGAGTCTCAATTGAAATATCTCGACAAAGCTGAATGTCTTCGCTCAAATGAAAAGATTTCTCAAGACAATCCTCTATGCACCTCAGAAATGGACCGAACCACACTTATTCATATAGCTGAACAGGAACTGATCTGCTTGCAAAAATTACCTTCGAAACAAAAGAGTATGGAGGTAAATCATTGTCTAACAAGCATACTTGATCGGATTTCGTTGTATTTCAGATTCTTTACCGGTCAATGAAAATTATCAATTGTCTCCAAGCATTGGATAATAAGAATACTTCTCTCGATCATCGAATACCACTGATGCTTGCTGATGCATTTCGTTTAGTTGGTCAATCTTATAATGAAGTCAACCTATTTGATCAAAGTCTTGGAAACTACAAACAAGCATATGAAATCTTGCTTCCATTAAAAGATCAGAGTTGTCTCTATCGAGCAACATATGACATTGCACGAAGTTTGATTCTAACGCATAAATACTCGGAGGCCATGGAGAAATTTGTCGAAATGTTAAATAAATCGACATCGGATAATGAACGTGCGTTTGTTTATCAATATTTAAGCTTCTGTGCGTTGAATTTAAATGATTATGATGATGCGAAAAAACATGCATACGAGGCACTTGATTATGCTTCAGCATCTCACGAAGAACTCCTTCGTATAGAAGCAAATATTCTTCTAGGAAAGATCTATTTTCAATTGAAAGATTTTCCACGTGCGGAGGAATACCTGATCTATGCTCAAAGTCTCAAAGATCAGCTGGGTGACTTGAATCAAATGAAATATTTAGATGAATTGCTGTCCGTCATCAAAAATCATAAAAAGAATATTTTTCTGAGCCAGACTTCATCATTTGGCCAACTGAATGATAGTCTCGAAGAAAGAAGCGAAAGAAATCTATACAATTATCGCATTTTAACACCCTACCACCGTCTTTTTTATATGTGCAGGGAGCAGAAGAAGAAGGCTCAAAAACGTACGGAAAACTTTAAGAAAACTCTTCCTGTTCCACGAGCAAGCTTGCCTCTACTCTCAACAACAAATAGTATGACATAGAAAGAAAAGAACTTCCAGAGAATAAATTGTTTCAATGTATAAAATCAGATCAATAAAATAAATCACAAACATCTGAATCAAAAACACAATCTGGTAATCATCGGCTTCGGTCGCAGGCAATGTTTTCAATCAAATGCTTCAGGTCAAAGACTTGAGAGGGACGTAGTTGATATTATCATTAGAATAATAATAATAATAATACATTCTCGAGTTTTCTTGAAAATTTCATATAAAAAACTCGACTCTCATCGGCTAATTCTAGCGAATAAGTGTATACTTTCGAGTTGATTGTTTCCTTCCTGTCTTCTTATATTAACACAAAAGAAAGCATTCTTCCTATTTTTTGCTTCGAATAAATCACAAACGTCTATGTTATTATTATTTGCACATAAATCATTCTTGATATTGATTAAAGATAATGTAACAGAGGAGAGCGATGTCAAAACAAAAGTTATATCATCTATCTATACTACTCTATCTTTCCTCTTCTCGTCGAGCTAGATGTCATCCGACGATAGTCTCGACATCTCTCTTCATGCGCTCGATTATTGGTCGATCCGACTTGTCCACTCGATGTTTAGGTTGTTGTTAAATTGAGTCATATTATATTACATCCATACATATATCTCTATGTATGTACGTGTTTGTTTAGTGTAGGAAGGGATGAGTTGTTGTTTTCAGACATATGCATTGTTTGTTCTTTGTAAAAAATTTCTTTCTGTTTCAGATTTCTGTTTCTATCATTATGAATGACTCTACCAGAACAGGTGATTAGTTTGCTTTGAGAGGAAAAGAAAGTTCTAGCTGAATGTCTATATGATTTCGTGTTTTTTCTTCAAGGGTGTTGAATGATGATTTGTGTTTACATGTCAAAATAGAATGGTCAATAACATGGCTAGTACGGGTAATGATTTTGCGCAACGAACACGTCTGTTAGAAGAGCGCATTGTTGATCCACGCTCATCGATTTCGATCGATAGTCTACTTGATTCAATTGTTGCTTTAATTTATGATTGTGAAGGTCTTAAAAAGACAAAAAACTTTGATTCTTTTCATGGAAAATGTAAGTAGTGCGATACGAAGATGCATTCTTGCTATTGGACTTTTCTTTCATGATTAGTTTATACGTCAACGCGAGAAATTCGTGAAAAACGAGTGAATTTTGATGATTTCGAGACAATCAAAATTATTGGCCGTGGTGCTTTTGGGACAGTTGATCTCGTCCGACGGAAGGCCACAGGACAGGTTTATGCGATGAAGACTCTTAGTAAATTCGAAATGGTAACATGAAATGACATGCGAACGGTGTCTAAGAGATATTTGTCTTCTAGCTCAAACGATCGGATAGCGCGTTCTTTTGGGAAGAGAGAAATATCATGGCTTTTTCAAATAGCGATTGGATTGTCAAACTTCATTATGCATTTCAAGACGCCAAAAATGTAAGCCTAGATCTTGTTTCAATAAAACTGGAATTTACTAACTATTTGATTTAGTTGTACATGATTATGGATTATATGCCGGGCGGTGATCTAATAACTTTATTAACGCGATATGAAATAAGTGAAAATTCTGCACGTTTCTATTGTGCAGAAGTTGTACTCGCTCTTGACGCTATTCATAGCATGGGTTACATTCATCGGTATGATTTCGTCGAAGACAGTTATATGATTGTATAAAGGAAACATCTCTGTGTTTATAGAGATGTTAAACCTGATAATATGCTACTTGATGCTCGTGGACATTTAAAATTAGCAGATTTTGGTACTTGTATCAAAATGGATAAAGTAAGAGAAATGAGGAAAGAGGTTTGAAGATAAAAATTTGTTTGTTAGGATGGTCTTGTTCGATCAGATACAGCTGTTGGCACACCTGATTATATCAGTCCCGAAATCCTCAAATCTCAAAGTACAACTGGCGTTTATGGTCCCGAAGTTGATTGGTGGTCTGTTGGTGTATTCCTTTACGAAATGTTACTTGGTAAATATCCGAAGGGAAGCTCATTATCGATCGATTTGTCGCTTTTTTTAAGGTGAAACGCCATTTTATGCTGAATCTTTAGTTGGCACATATCATAAAATTATGAATCATCGAGAGAATCTTGTTTTCCCAGAAGAAATCCCATTATCCTCTGAAGCTCGTGCGCTTATTTATGCATTTCTCAGCGACCGGTATGATGAGAAGATCAATCAAAACAACGAAACACCACTAATTATTTCCATTTATTGTCTAGATCAACACGTTTAGGTAAAAATGGTGTAGTCGAAATCAAAGCTCACACTTTTTTTACCAACCAAAACGAGTGGACTTGGGAAACCATACGAAAAGGTTACATAAGAAATGCCAAGGCTCCTTTATCTATGTTCTGTGTTGATTCCATTTAGCTTCAGTACCTATTGTTCCTCCATTAACAAACGATGAAGATACGAGTAATTTTGATGAAATTGAAAAAAATGATGGTCCATCGGAAGAATCGTTCTCCGTCAGCAAGACCTTCGTGGGAAACCAATTACCCTTCGTCGGATTCTCGTTTTCCAATGAACAACAGTAAGTTATCGATATCTACCGTCTCTCTTCCTTTCTCATAGACGCGTGCGCATTCTCTTCTGCTAATAGTTCCAATGCTATCGATAATCGATCGATGCTGACAGACTTCTTCCATTATTCATCTGTCAATTTGATAAGAACAGATAATAGTATCGAAAAAAATCAATCATTACTGAATTGTTTGAGAGTATTCTATCGAGTTTTTGAGATGGTCGAGTAGTTGTGAACCTTGATGTCTATTTATGTATCTATTAATTTTCGTTTAGGCCATTTCTTGATCGTCGTTCTACGAGCAATGTATGTCGACAAAAAAATGAATGTGAATGAAAACGACGAGGATTTTTTGTTTTAGTTCAATAATTTTAGTAACTCAGAATTAGAACAGCGTTTACAAGAAAATGAACGGATTAAAAATGAATTAGAACTTCGAATGAGGTAAAGATATTCGTCGCAATCATTACTGTTTTAATTGAATGCTTTTAGACGTCTACACGAAGATTTGAATGCGAAATGTCAAGATGAAAAAGTGTTAAATAGTAAACTTTACGAATTGGAAAGGAAAAATGTCGTTCTTGCCACTGAAAACAAAGAGGTTTGCTCGAGAAAATAAAAGGGATCGATAAATCAATCACAAGGTGTTGTTTGTCCGTAGGCTCAGCGAAAATATGAACTTGAATTAGAGAATCGTCGAACATTCGAACGAAATCTAGAAGAACTTCAACGTTTGTACGACAATGAACGGCAAGTTAAAAATCAAATGGGTGTGACGAATCGCGAATGGACCGAGAAGATCAGCAATCTTGAACGTCAAGTAAATCTCCTCTAATTTCTCTCCATTCTCTACGCATCGATTTCGAACTTGTAGTTGAACGAAGCCAATGAAAAAGTGAAAATCGAACTCGATAGTAACATTCGTTTGAAAAAGCAACATCAAGAAATTCAAAAGAACTGCTCGCAAATGGAACGTTCCTACAATGATCTTCACGAGAAGTATCAAGAATTAATCGCAGTGAAACTCAAATTCGAAAAAGATATAATATCACAGCAAGGAAATCTCGATCAGGAGAAAAGTGCCAAATACATGGCATTGGATAAAATTCAAGAACTAGAAGGTAAAACGTATAGACATAATCGACTGTGTGTATGTCTTTGCCTTGAAATACTACTCAAGAGAGCGAAAACTTCTGCTTAGTTAGCTATGCAAGGACACGTTAGATATCTGAACGGTGGAAGTCGAAATTCGAATGAATGCATGAATGAACTAAATTTTCGAATGATTCTTTAGAAAAATGCAATACGATGACAATCGAATTGTCGAAATACAAAGAACGTGATATTTTACAAATGAATGAACTCACCGAATTACGGCAATCGAGTGTTTTATTTGAACGTGTATGTTGACCAACATGCTCGAGTGACTGTTTTTCGCGAATCGTTTTTGTTCGTTTAGGAAAAACTCAATCTCCAAGTCGAAATCGATTCCTTACGGTCGAAATTGATCGAAGAAGAAGTATCCCATCAAAAACTTCAAGAACAATTCCTTGTCGAAAAGCTCAAACGTGCTGGAACACAATATGCTACCGACGAGGAAATCAAAAATGATAGTCACGAAATGATCAAAGGTTCTATTCGCGAGAGACTTTCGAATTTTCCATCTAAGTTATTTTCTTTTTCAAAGATCTCGAGAAGAAACTCGATGGCGAACGCGCGTCACTGCGACGTACGCACGAGGAGTTGATTCAAACTCAGAAAAAAGTTCGCATCCTGGAAATGGATCTCAAGCAGATTACCACAACTTATAATCAACTGATTTATGATCATGAATTGTCCAAACAATCCAATGAACAAATTATCGAACAAATGGAATCAGATAATCAACGTCGAACACAATACGACAAAGATTTGAAATTGCTACAACAGCAACTGAACAATTCGTACAACAAAGAAAAACAAATGGAAAATGAATTGAATCAACTTCGACGAGAAAACGAACGCTTGCATGACGAGTTACGAATGATTCAGCATGAATACGAAAATATCAAAAACAAAGTCATTGATTACGAGGAACAAGTTGAAGGTAAAAAATGATTTGTATTTAATCGCAAATCAAAGCTTTGGGTTGTTCTAGTCGAAAGCAAATTCTCTGTACTCTACCGAACGCAAATGAATGAATTAAAAGACGAAATCAATGAATTAACAGAAAAACTACGACAAGCTACAAACGATCAAAAGAATTTGGAAGATGAACGGTAAATATTCGATGAGACTTGCTATTGATTGTGTGTTTGTTGTTTCTTTTTGTAGAGATAATCTTGCTAAACAATTGGAAATCACCAATGTGAAACTGAAAACCGAAAGTCTAAACTTGAATCTCTTACAAGAACAGTGTGCAGAATTAGAAAAAGAAAAAAATATCATGCTTATCGAAGTCGAAGCTTTACACACCGATTTCAACGGTCGATTAGCTCTTTTAGATTCGGAAATTAACACGGTTCGTAACATCAACAACGATACATTCATATTTAGCCTCTTTCTCTCTTTCAGTTTCGAGATCGTTATGAGAAATGCCAATATGATCTTGAACAAGCAATTAAAGATCGCGAAGCGATGTCGAATAAATTCAAACCTGTACTTGATCGTATGTTCGCAACTTGAGTGTCTTTCTTTGTGAAAATATTCTCTGCAATTTTAGAATTGCACGATCTTGAACGTCAAGTGCCCGATTTACGAAAGAAAGCCGATGATGAACGTGCGAAGAAAGAAGCGGTAAGTCGTTCTACTAAGTGCAACAGATTTCGAATGTTTGTCTTTTGTTAGGCGGTGAAAAAATTGCAAGAAATCGTGACAAATCCTATTCAAAACAATCCGTTCTTATCCCGACCCACGGGTAGTAGTCGACGTCATGATCGTGATCGAAATGAACGCAATGTTGCTCGCCGACTTGAACAAGCACTCGAAGTGGTACGTGCAATGAAAGTCGAGTTGATTTTGTCCATTTTTAGCATTCTTTTGTTCTGTTTTAAAGGAACGATTGAAATACAAGAAATTACAAAATGAGAAAGATGAGGAGTTGTCCACATTATCGGAAGATATCAACAAGCTAAAACGTGAATTGGATACGCGAAGAGATGAACTTGAAAAATACAAGCGAATACTGGAAACGCGTGGATCAATTGATAACATTTCGCTTACAAGTGAAGAATTAGACGACGATCGAGGTACGAATCTTTACCTAGAAGTTCAATGTTAAAGTTTTGATGAAATTGCTAGATCGCCTTGAAAGTTGGGTGCAAATACCTACCCGAAACATTCGACGTGGTGGTTGGAAACGACAGTTTGCTGTTATTGCTAAGAATAAACTATTATTATATAATTCCGAAAAAGATCAACTAGCTGCAGTTTCCATCGATGTCGAGTAAGTCATTCGATTAGAATTTCATACATGAAATTGATTTGATTCTCTCTTATCTAGTAAATTGTATCATGTTCGTGCTGTAACTCAAGGTAAGAAGAACAAGTTTCTTGTTATTTTTTCATCTATTAATGTTTGTTTATTTCAAGGCGATGTGCTTCGTGTTGATCCAAACATGATTCCAAAAATCTTTCAAGTTCTGTACGATAGTGAAGGTCAAGCTGCGCTCAATAATTCCACGACAACTATGTCGAACTCAATGATTCATCCTCAAGTACACCGAACTATCTTTTAGCCTTGATAATAACTTTTCTTCTCTTATCTAGGAACAAGATCGTCATACGGGCGAAACAATTGAGTACAAAGGTCATAGCTTTGTTGTTGTAGCTTATCGCATGCCCACACAATGTGAAACTTGTAATCGCCCATGTTACAATGTTTTCTCGCCGCCTCCGTGTCTTGAATGCACACGATGTCATGTTCGTTGTCATAAACAACATTATGATGACCGAGAAGAATTCATGCTACCTTGTCGAGGTAAATTGTTCCAGTAAACAAATGATTCATTGCATTTGCTTGCTTTTAGTTAACGATAAATTATCAGTCAAAGAATTGTTGGTTATGTGTGCCAGTGAAAACGAACAAAAACAATGGATTTCGAAATTGAGCAAAAAGATCCCTAAACGTGGAATTAACTCTCAACATGATCAAACATCTTCATCAAGGTTCGTAGAAAACATTTCGATTAGTTCATTTCATCATTCCTAACAACAACAAAAAAAGAGAGACCTTGATAAAACAAAACAAAAAGCCAGACAGAGAAGATTACGTAGTAAAATTCGTTTTTTATCCTCACGGATTCTTCCAGGCAAAGAAGGAGATGGATTTTACCAATTTCTCAATCGACGTCACCATATACTCAAATCACTCTTGTCTAGTGATTGGTGTTCTCGGTAAACAAACGATAAATCCGACTAGAACAATCCGCTTTATTTTTTTCGAAATAACTTCCCTAATAACAAATTTCCCATCCATTATTCATATATCCGTACAAATACATCTAGAAATCACCTATATCCAAACGATTAAGCTATAATTATCGATGTGTGATTATCTTTATTTTTCATTATTATTTGTATTTTTTTGTACCAAATTCAAGGCCCTAACCAAATAATTTCTTGCTCTGTGTGTGCCACGCTTCCTTTTGGTACGTGTTCTAGTCTGCTTATATCGACTCGACATGTGCTAATGGTTTCTGTCGATGACTGTATGGATTTAAAACGTAATTTATTTCGATTTTCTGCTTTAGAACAAGTACAACATCATTTCGTTCACCGAATACGAGTATAAGTTCATCGGCTTCGAATCTATTCGGCAATAACGGTGGTCAAACACCCAAACAGAAATCATCAACACTTCCGGCTCGTGCTAAATAAACCAATCAAAAGATTTGCTCTCTCTCTCTCTTTTGGTCCTAGTATTCACTTAACCGGTCCCTGCCTTTTGTATATATTTATACATATATATGATATATTTCTATATTTTGCACACATATTAAATTCGTTTTTCTTTTGTCTTATTCTTGAAAATCGATTCTATTAAGAAGATCCAAACACTAAACAAATCAATTCGTGTGTGAATTCATTCACAACTTTTTCCTTCTTTTTCTCTTTTGTTGGTGCTATCTGCTTCGTTCTTATTCTCTCTTGTGCTATTACTTCTCTTCTTTACTATCGTAAGATCGTCTTCCAACAAAACTGTTCATCTGAGAATGATTAGTTTTGTGGACGATTTTAGCATCAATCTTGTTCATTTTTTTTTTCATTATTGTCATTTACCTCTCATTCTTTCTCTCTCTTCTTCTTTTTGATGTTATTACAATTATGCTTCTTCTTTCTTACGCTTTCGTTCTTAGATGTTTCAAAGACGAACATATCATGTTCGTCACAAACTTTCTCGTTCTCTTATTTGCAATTGTACGACTAATAATGTCGGATGTGGAAGTTGAACAATAATAAAGTGTGAAGCACTATTGAAATGATTCTCTCTCCCGGAATCGATGTATATTTATTTAATCAAACCATAGATATGCACATATTCAAACCGTAACCGAAGAGACCTGTCGAATGTATTGACTAGGTTCATATATTCACTTTGCATAAATCAATAAGTAGGACGTATGAGTTACAAAGATGTTTGATTTCGAACAAATTTATAAGGCGAGTCATCGAGTTCACATGAGCATACGTATCAGTTAGAAAATCAAACAAAAAAGTCGTAGTATTTACATAATCCACAGCTTAGACTAAAACGCTTATTTAAGGTTTTTCTATTAGCATAAACAAAAAAGTGGTAAATTATTGAAATTTTGTTCTTTTAAATGCTTCGAGATGTCGAATTATGTTTTACTTTCGAGATTTGTTTACTCAATAGAAAAAATAGCATGCGAAGGCTATATTTATTAAATATAATTAAGAAGCACTTGAAAAGAAACGCATATCTATGGCGATGACTGGTTTCTTAGCGAAATACAGCTGAAGTGAATTCGTGTCTAGCTGAAGTTATTTATAAACCAGATGAATCAATTGTGCGTCTTTTCTTTTCCACAGAGAAATCAATCGTTCGATGGGAGAAGTGCACTGAATGCGTCATTTTAATTGCTGTGATGAGAATAAAAAATAGCTGCTTGTTATTTTTATAGATCGAACGGCGTCATTCTATTTGATCAAATATGAAAATTTGATACAAAACAAACTCTGATTCATCCAGGGTTACCCATCAAAGTTGAATGAAGTAACGCAATTCTTGAAGAGGAGATGATAACATAAAACAGAGCTATATTGTAAAGGTTGTAAATACGTTTTCACGGCCGTCACGACGACAGTCTTGATGATAAACACTACTCCGTCTTACGAAAAAACAACATGTCGATGTAGAGGTGGTCAACATCTCTGCGAGCAAATGAAGAAGAAAAAAAACGTCACCGAGTCGAAAATGATGAGGACATTTCTATTGAAACAGTTTGTTTTCTTTGCATCGAACGAGAAGAGTGACGACAAAATATTTCGAGAAACCACAATTTTGCTTCGTGCATGAAATTGTAATTCAATATCCTACAGTTTTTTTTTGTTATTCTTTGACATTGTTTCAAGGAATGATGTATATACATTTTTTTTTCTTCTCAGCAAGCTGATGAAATGTCGTTTGTGCAACGTGTCATTCATACATTTATCAAGGTTGATAGCATATAAATATGAAACGAAAGAAAACTAGTTGCATTTTTAATGTTATTTTTTTTCCCTATTCGCAATCGAAGATGCCACCCAACGTTGATGTCTGTCGCTATCCTTCTAATACAATTGTAAGTTAATTTTTTCCTCTTCGGATTTGCGCTTTTTCTCTTTCCCGTTCGCCTTTTGATCTGGTCCTTCACTATCTCTTGTTGAAGGTAAATATAAAATAGTATCGTATGCGTACGCATACGCTCGATCTACATATTGATTTTGATCGCGTTAGTCCTTATAGTAATGCATCATCGTTTCTAATTGAATCCTATCGAGTCAGTATCTATATAGAGTGCACTTTCTTTTCTTAATCCGTTTTATGCATAAACCAAATGTGAGAAAGTGACCATCTTGCTTCGAGGAACTTTTCTCTCTTTTCGAGTAAGAAAGAAAGAGGAGCCAACTCGATGCTCTCTACGTTAATGAAAAACAATAGGAACCATCTGTTGTTACTGCCACGTCATACACACTCACATGGGTATACCGAGCTATATAGGTACTGATCATGAAATCCATATGTGTCATCGATAGAAATCGGAATGACACATCTGATTGAGAGTAAGAGAAAGACAAAAAAACTGATGCAATGGAATCAGATGAATAATTAGTAAGAAAAAAAATGAAAAGCTGTTTTGTATGTGTCACCGCACTTTTTTTTCCTTCGTGTCATTCTGGATTATTCTCGAAATCGAAGAAAAAGAAACGTTTCACGCTTAATCTCTTACAAATAGTAAACACTTGAAAAACAACACTAGCTCATATAAAATGCTGTTTAAATATTTAATCAGTTTTTGTTTGTATTTATCGTAGTTATCATCTTTACACATCGTTCGTTTAGGCAGACCATGTGATTCACAAATCAATTACCCATTTCTATTTCTTTAACCGAATGCGTAATAGATATCATTCGGGATGACGAAACCACATTATCCCTTCCTACATACAAAACTTGTCATCTGCTCTACACATAGTTATCTGCGTAGTACTATCGTCTATTGCGACTGATTAATCGTCTCCTATCGGTAAAGAGATCAACGAACTTCCAATCCTTTTCTTTTTAGGTAAACAAAAACGAGCACGTGTTTATGTGTGTATGCATATACATATATCCCTCAATTCTCTCTCTCCTTCTTCTTCTCATGCACACATATAGTCTTGTGATGTAGCGATAGCAAATGCGAAAGAGTATGCGTAAGTCGTTAAAAATGGGCAAGGGGCCGGGGTAAAGAAGGAAAGAAAGCAAAAAAAACGACAGAAAGAGAAAGAAAAAGAATAAGGGTGGCAAGCTGTGCGACTATATATAGCAAGCAAACTGTTCTCGTTAGTCTTTATTTCTCTCGGGCGCGCAAGCGGCGACTATCGACAGTGTGTGTGTGTTGTGAGTGAGTGAAAGACAGATCGTCCATCGGCTGAAGAAGAATATTTGATGGGACTAGCTTTACACAATAATACTACCACAAAAAAACTATAATTTATTATCATTTTAATTGTCAGACAAAAGTCACAATGGACGCCATGTTTAACTTCGTAAGTAGTCGTTTTCGTTGTTATGAAATTTGGCTTTGCAAGCTCAAGTTCATTTCTTTTCTTTTTAGAGTGAAGAAGAATTGAATACAGGAGCTATTCATTCAAACGACGAATCAGCACATAGTAGTCCATCGACGTCAACGATATTGTCGACAACGTCAGAAAATGTAGGACGACCACAAATCAAACGACCATCATCATTGAATGTGTCAATGCCAACAGGTAACTAGCGGAGGAAAACGATGGAAGAAAAAATGAGAAAAGTGCGCAATGAGTTATTGCTTTTGTCTCTTTTTTTCAATTATAGAACTTGTCCTACGCGATACAACAAATGCCGGATGTAAATCGGAAAGTTCGCCGACAAGCAGCGTGCAAAAAAGACAGCAAAAAAAGAAAAAACGTCGAACAGCTAATTCCTATTCGGACATATCATTTAATGATAAATACAAACTAACTGAAGAATTACTTGGAACCGGTGCACACGGGTATGTATGATTTCAAAAATAAACTTGATTCGATATTCTCAAACTAAACCTTCTTGTTCTTTTTTTCTTTTATTAGAGTTGTTAAGACGTGTCGCGATCGAGTGACAAAACAAGAATATGCTGTAAAGGTATGTTGATTGGACTGGAGTACTATCATTGAGTTTCGACATGAGAAAATGTTCTTTGATTTGAGTACGTGCTATTTGCAGAACGGTCAAAAAAAAAGAGCGCATTGCGCACAAACAGAACGCGAGTAACCCCGGACATAAACTATTCGTGACATATAAAGGAAGAGAAAGAAGAATGAGCGTATTCATGAAGGATATTCTTCGAAATCGAGCACCTGGTCGAGATTTCTCCAGAGAGATACAGATATTCATTCAATTAGAGAAAATTGAATGTTCTAGTTGACCTTTCGAGAGATTATTTAATGAAACAAAAGCGGTATATATTTGATCTGAGCAAATGATTGAATAGCGTGTAGAGCGCTCTTGTATATCGGATGTGATGAATGACAATAAACAACAGACGAAAGAAATCTGGATAAAAATCAAGTAGTGAAGTGCGAATGGATGTTTTCCTTATGATTAATGGAAATGATCAGAACATCAAAATAAATGATCCTTTCAAACAGATAAGATTGTTTATATCGAATGCGAAGATTATTCGATAACGAGGAATACGTGCTAGTCAACTTGATGATCGCGTAGAGAAATGTGATTTCGATGAAGTTATGAGATTCTGATCGATTTCAGATGTACTAATGATCTTTGACTAGGACGAATTCGTAAACAATCGAACGTTTGTTGAGTTGAATGAAAAATAATGATGAAAGAAAGATTAATTAGCGAGAAATTATACATCACGATTGATCGATGGTGATACTAATTTCATGCCTAGAAGTGATTTAGCTTTTCTAAGCCTTCGTTTCATAATTACCTGAAGAAGACGTATGAACCGATCGGCGAAATATCATCAAATGTTTTGTTCAATCGATGCCGATATGTACTTGAATAGATATGCGCTATCAATGTTCTTCATGAGAATGTCCTTTCCAAATCTGCCCTAAGACGCAAAGAACATTCTAGATAAAAAAAAAAGAATTTCCTTTTTCTTTTTATTATTTAGATAATAAGTAAAGCGCGTCATCCGAATCGAATGCGTGTATTCAAAGAAATCGATATTTATTATCATTGTCGCGGTTGTGAAAACATTCTAAGCATTATTGATTTTCTCGAAGATGATGATTATTTTTATCTTGTCTTTCAAAAAATGGAAGGCGGTGAGTGAAGTGCCATAAGAAATTCTCTCTATTGTATTATTTATCGTTCATTTAGGACCATTACTCAATCACATAATGAAACGCGGCCGTTTAACTGAACGTGAAACCAGTTTGATCGTACGTGATATTGCTAATGGTCTTAATTTTCTTCATTCCAAGGGCATGTCACACAGGTTTGTTTGATAGACTGAAATCAATAACGAGATGACTCATACTTGTTATTTTCTGTTTGTTTAGAGATTTGAAACCGGAAAATATCTTAGTCGAACGTGCCGATTCATTAATACCAATAAAATTATGTGATTTTGATTTGGGTTCAGCAATTCGTCTCAATAGTAATAAAACGACACCGATTACAACACCAGAATTATCAACACCTGTAAATATTCACTGATCTGACGTTGAATTACTTTCTATTCGAAGATATTCATTTGTCTTAGGTTGGCTCAGTTGAATTTATGGCACCAGAAGTTGTTGATGCATGGACAAGCTTAGAAGGTTCATTACAAATGTATGATAAGCGTTGTGATTTATGGTCACTTGGTGTTATCATCTACATTATGCTATCGGGTTATCCACCATTTTACGGTTCGTGTGGCCATACATGTGGATGGACGAAGGGTGAAGAGTGTGAACAATGTCAAAGTTTATTATTTGAACGAATACAAGATGGAGAATTTGATTTTCCCGACAAGGACTGGAAATATATTTCGGATGGTGCAAAAGATTTAATTAAACGTTTGTTAGTTCGTGATGCATCGCTACGTTTGACCGCTGCTGAAGTTCTTCAACATCCATGGGTTAAAAATAGTCAAATACTCGATGACGAACGGCCATTAAATACTCCCGAACGTTTACAACGGTAAAGAAAGCTTAATAGAATGTCTTTTTTTTTTATTCATTTGCTTGCCTTTCCATACTTTAGTCATGATAGTATTCGTAGATTAGAATCATTTACAAAAGATGCATTAAGTATTACGAAGATGATTGAAGAACGCAAACGTATGATGCATTATCGCTCACATAGTACTGATAGTTTGAATCAACGAAGTCGAACACCATCGTATGATGATGCCGATGATGAAGATTTCAATGAATTAGATACGAGTGCAACGAGTGCAAAACGACGAATACGAAAGAAAAAGAAACCGCAGCAACAGAATAAAAATGAAGTTCACGATGATGACGACGATGATAATCAGAATTTTGATAACATAAGACGAAGATTATCAAGCGCTACAATGACATCAGGGGAAGAGGACGCCGGTGGTGATGAAGATTGTTTTGGTTGTAGCTTTAAAACAGTTATCCATCGACCGACGGCACATTTTTACTTACCATCATCAGATAGTGTACCTCAACAGATGGCACCTGCACCGCCTGTACCATCCGTATCGGCTCCATCACAACAACCAGCAGTGTTGCCACTGACACCACCGCCACCGCAATCCATTGCTCTGACACCGTCAGCAACAATGATCCCGGCAACACCGGTGCCGGTGCTTGTATTTCCATCACCACCCCTCAGTTTAGCAATGCATCATCGAGCGCATACTGATACGGATTTACTTTTTTACAATCAACAACCTCAGCCAATATTTTATCCACCACCCAACTGGTATCCTCCAATACCACCGGGTTTCATCTATGCTCCATCTCCGCATCCATCTTCATTTGTCATGCAGCAAGTACCTTTTCGAAGTTCATCAGTTGATTGTCGTCGTACGGCAAATAATGTTAATGAGCGTCATGTGTTACATCCGGAACGGGTTTGGTAAAATATCAAAGCAAAAAAGTGTCCTTGATTTTTTTTTCTTTTGTTTATTTGTTTTACTTTTATACATTTTTGCCTTTTTTCTTTTCCCTTTCTTTCTCTACCTTCTTCCCGTATGAATCCTTAGATCAGAAGAACGCGAATAGGATAGGTCGTTTTTCGTACCCAGTGATTTCGATCTGACACAAAATGGATTTTTCTTCCTTTGTTCTTCCCTACTTCAGTATTCTTTTCTTTTCTTGTTGTACAGATTTTCTGTTTTTTTTTCTCTTGTTAACATCAGGGTCAGTCGTGAGACGTGATATACAGATCGAGATTGAATCGTAGACTCGAAAATGAGATAAACAAAAAAATGTAAATTTGAGCCGTAAAGTCTCGAATTTAAGCTTATTTCTTTCGCTAGTTTGTTTTTCTATCTCTCATGTATGTACTCCGACTAAAATTTTGTTATAGTCTGTCTCTTGTTTATTAAAAAGTTTTTTTTCTTCTTTTGTTTACTTTTCGTTGTTGTTCCATTGTAAATATATATATATACATATATTTGCCTCTCTGTTCGCGTGCCATTTTGTTTGTTGGTTTTTCTCTCTTTGCTCGAATNTCTTGACACCTTCGTCTCCTTGAAATAATAGTCAATGTAAGTGTAATATTTTCAATCACGTACGATAAGATATAATCATTGTCGTTGATTTATTATTCAGGACGAAAACCTTGAATTTGTTGTTCTCACGTATATTTCATATTATCTCTTCAGACGTGATGGCAGATTTGCAAAAAATACATTGAGATATGCAATATCTTCAATAAATATGTTGACAAACGCGAACGCTGATGTCAGCCGATTTCTTTGTATGACTGATTGTCTAGGCGTGAAATAGCAGTCGTTGTATTTCACGTGATACATATTTCGAATATGCGCTGGGCTTTCAGATGAAATCACCTGTATCAAGGGCTTATGTCATTGGAAATGAATAAACAAATAATAACCTGCGCGCACTTTTCTTCCTAAAAGGTACCTAGATGAAGGTATTTTTTGTTTACAATCAATGAATATCGACAGCCATGAAGTAAACTATACATTCACATCATTAACTATTAGATTGGTTATAGGAAGAGACAGAGGGAACGTAATCATGACAATAATGATGAATGATAGAAGTTCAAACCTGACATTTAGATTGTTTTTATGCATCTATTAGCGATGAAAACACGTACTTACATTTCTATAGTCTAAACGGAGAAAAAACCAAATGGTCCTCCGTTTCTCTCGAATCAGTCATTCGAAAAATTCATATTAGGGCTTCGTTCTTTGCTAATGACAATACGTTCACATAGTACCTTTATTTGCGTTTGACTTACGCGGAACAACGCATTAGAACATCGGTATAATGTCTGCTCGAATTTCATATATTAAACTCAATTTATTCTTGATATAAAAGATGAATGAAGAAAGAAATGATAGCGATCGAATTCTCGGTGTTTTTCTTGCTAAGAGTTTAATACGAAGATAAACAGATCGAATGACATCATTTGGATCCTCTTAGTTAAAACTTCAAGTTTGGCATTCGAATGTAAAGACGTTTCATGGTCAATGTTGGAGAAAGAATTATGATTTCGAAGAAAATATTTGTTCTTGAAATCATCATTATATCTGCTAAAGCCTATAAAAACAGCCTTCGATTTACAAATTTCAAGAGCAGATTCTCAAGGCGACTACTGACATATTGACCTTTGATTACAATAATGATGTGGAATACTATGTTTACTGCTACAATTCTGTGTTCAATGCTATTATCCAGAACAGTGGCTCAAAATGTTTGCACTGCTGCTGCGATTGCTATTTGTGGACCTTATCCGTGTGTTCAAACGGATGTTGTCTTCTCGTGTCTTTGTCCCAACATGACTTTGGGAGCAAATGCTGCTGCATGTAGTAATAGCATTGCTACGACAATCTTTCCACCTGTTATTGGAACTCAATGCGGATTAGTCACATGTCCAGCTGGTGCAACATGTATTCCAACAAATCAAAATCCTGCACATTATATATGCGTTTGCCCAAATAATATTATCGCTAATCCGGATTGTCCATCCACTCCGTTACCTTCTAATCCATGTCTCATAAACAATCCATGTACGAACGGTGGTACTTGTGCTGTTAATCAACTTACGCTTCAAGCTGTTTGTATTTGTCCGCCAAATACATATGGTGCCAATTGTGCATCCTACTGTCGGCAATCATGCGATCTTAGCTGGTATGTTGCACATTAGAAAAAAAACTACAAGATTTTGTTCATCATATTCATTCTAGGTGTTACAACGGCGGTCAATGTACAAATGCTTACGGTCAACCGTACTGTGCATGTCCACAATATTACCGGGGTCGACGATGTGAACTACGTTATACACCTTACAACTACGTTTATTTATATTATGGTCCACAATACTATGGTAAATAAGTCGATGAAGACAAAGCAAGACTTGAAAATTTCCATTTCATTTCATTTCATGTGGAATAACGTATCTATTTTTGCGTTTATCATTATTAATAAAATGAATACTTCTCAATCGATTGAGGGAAATGGACAAAGTTTCGATCAATCTTTATATGGATATAGATCCTCCTTACGATGAATTCTATCGCTACAATCGACGTGATGTTACATATATAGTAGCGATACATTTGTAAATCTTCCTTTGCTGTTTCGATTTGACATCGAAGAGTAAATTTTCTTCTATTGAAAATTCATTCATTTCATCATCATCATCATGTTTGACGAATTGATTGCACTACTCGATGATACGAATCGCTCATTCAAAGGATCTATTCTCGTAACCAGCTTAGATTTTGACTCTAATTTTCTCTTAGAACATTTTCTAAGTTATGCGTTGAAAAATTCGATAAACTGTGCTTATATTAGTTTATTAACGCCTTTTTCGCATCTGAAGCACGTTCAAGGTAAAATGGGCAATGTATTGAAAACAGCTGATATGTCAACTTCATTACCTCTCATGTTTATTCCATTATTTTCATCGATATCCGAGCAGTTTTTCAATGATAAACCAACACTTAGTATTGACGATTTGTGCGCAATGATCAAACAACAAGTTATTGCATCGCCGGAAATAATTATTCTTGAAGATTTACAAATCTTGCGTCATCTACTGAAATATTCTGATGAACAAATCTTATTGATGCAAAGAAAGCTACGAGAAATGTTTCCGATGGTACAATTTATTACACAAATCTCACTGTCGGATGATGAAAATAATGATGAGAACTTTTCGTCATTTCTTCTGAATATGTCGAAGCGAATACATGAAAAGCATTTGTTCGTTCGAAGTTTAACAACTGGCGCAACGAAAGACATCAACGGACAGGTAGAATTACCAAAATATTCAACTCTATTATATGTTGTTTAATCTTTTAGTTAACGTACTCAGGACCATCTCAGTCTCGCATGTGGACAGATATAATCATTCGTCAGTGTTTATTTCGTCTAACTGATCGAACATTGAATTTGATCGCTAGTGCTGTCTAACCTATTTTTCTGTTCTGATTTTGTTCATCTTTTTTTTCTTTGTCGTTGATTTTAGATGAGTGATAATGAAACATTTCTATCTGAATTAGATGATGGTTTATCTGAAAAAGATTGGAATGGTCCGAAACGAACAATATGTGCTCGTTGTGAACGACCGGAACTAGTCTGTCTTTGCTCGCATTTACCACCAGTACCAATTCATCTCGATCACACATCCGTTGTCGTTTTCCAACATCCGAATGAGATCAAACGACCCTTAGGTACTGTTCAATTACTTTCGAAATGTCTCGATCCATCATCACTCACGGTTGTGCGTGCTCGACAATTTCCGCGAAAACACTATCCGCACATTTATTCAGATCCAAATACTTACTTGCTTTTCCCCAACTCCAATGCTGTTCTATTAGACGACGTGATAAAAGAAAGTGAACATTACACAATCATTGCGCTCGATGGAACGTGGAACGAAGCAATGGGTATTTATCATCGTCATAGTGAATTACAAGAATTGAAAACATGTTATGTGAAAATTGATCAGAAATCGGAGTTTGTCATTCGAACACAACCAACAAAAGAAACCGCGTCAACCTTAGAAACCGTCGCGTATGCTTTACGATGTACAGAAACAGGCAAGCCAACATTATTCGATGATATCGTTCGACCATTGAAACGTATGGTTGAATTGCAATTAGGTTTAGGTGCTGTTGTGCACGAAGCTAAATTAAGTCTGATTGAAAACGGTCAAACACGACGACCATATAGTAAAAAACATGAAAGATGGTTAATGACACTGCAGCATTGAACAACTTGCTTTTTTCTCAATCGCGAAACCAACGGAAAGTTTTTGTGTGCGTGTGTGTTCTCTTCCAGTATAAAGAATAAAATATCAAACATGTTTTAATGTGTTAACATCATGTGTTCAATCTTCGGACAACTTAAAGGTTTTTATTTTAAAAAAAACTTGATGCTGTTGATGAAAATAGAAAGGAACAAAAGAAAACTGAAAGTGATGAATATCAACAGCATGTCTACATGAAGAATATACGATGGAGAAAATAATAATCTACTAGACAAAAGTCGAGTCATTTCAAAGGGTTTGTTTACTTGCTATTCTTCACTAAAGAAACAACTTTTTGTGCTGCTTTTTCGAAGTCATTTTCGGCTGTGATAGGAAATGAACTTTGGTTCAGGATGCGACGTGCTTCGTCCATGTTTGTACCTTGAAGACGAACGACGAGAGGAATTTTCAAGCCAAGTTTCTTGCAAGCCTTTTCAATTCCATTAGCAATGATAGCGCAGTTAACAATACCACCAAAGATGTTGACGAGAACAGCTTTAACCTGAACAGAACATATATAGATTGAGTTTGAGGTTTGAATGGCAATGAAATTTACTTGATTATCGTTGAACAAAATCTTGAAAGCGTCAAGCACTTGTTCTTCTTTGACACCACCTAAAATACGTTTTGATGAAGATCGATAAGTAGAGTAGAGCCGTGCTTTACCTCCGACATCAAGGAAATTAGCAGGTTGTCCACCGTGTAATTTGATAATATCCATGGTTGCCATAGCTAAGCCAGCACCATTAACTAGAGGAATAAATTGTGAGTGACATGTCTGAACAGATTAGTTTTGTCAAGTGTGCATACCGAGACAACCGATATTTCCTTGTAAACCAATGTAATTCAAACCAGCTTGTGTCGCTTCGACTTCACGTTGATCACTTTCACTTGTGTCTTCCATATCGAAGACATTAGTTTGACGAAATTTGGCATTGTCATCAAAGCTCAGTTTGGCGTCGAAATTAATCACTAGACGTAAGATTTCATTCCGTTTTCTCAATCTATCTGTCGCTAGTCATTACCTCGCTTATCAGGTGTTTCACCGAATGGATTGATTTCTACAACGATGAACATGAATGGCGATAAAGAAGCATTCTCATTCATAGATTCTTACCGATTTGTGTACAATCGTATTTCAGAAATAGTTTATATAGTTTCATGATTTGGTCGGCAGCCTATTTTTGAAATAAAACAATGCAAAAGAAGGGTTTTGTATTGAGAGTACAAACTTCATTAGCTAGTTTATCCTTGAATCCAAGTTTTTTAGCCATGTCTAAAGCTTGTTCTTTCTTCAAACCACTTTTAGGATCGATCGCTGACTGAAAATATTGATATGATCATCAATCAGACAATAAATGAATCTGATTTTGCCTTACAGTAAAGATCTGTTCGGGATGTTTTTCGGCAACTTCTTCGATGTCAACGCCGCCCATGGGTGAACCCATAAGAACTGCGCCACCATATGCACGGTCAAGTAAAATGGCTAAATATGTTTCACGAGCAATGTCTAATGCTTCAGCGACCATGACCTAATCGAAACCGATCATTTCTTATGATTTTCTTCGAGATTTGATCAAACCTTTTGAACTTCAACACCTTCTGGTGGTGTTTGTTTTGTTACTAAACGATGTTTCACCATTTGTTTAACCAAATTACCACATTCTACTGGGCTAAAACACATCGCATTTTCTGCACACTTGTTCAAAAAATCCAAAGTTGCTCATCTTACTCTTTGGTGAGTCGGACACCACCTTTCAATCCGCTGTCGAATGTGCCTTTTCCACGACCACCAGCTAATACTTGAGCTTTGATGACTAACTCCTTGGCGATTGTTTTCACTGAAAAAAAAAGCATATCACTATCGAACAGAGCCAACAGTCGCTAGCAACGGCCTACTCAATTCTTCACCAGCTCGTTTGGCATCTTGAGGATTGTCCACAACTTGAAATCGTTGAACATTGAGATTGTTTTCATCAAGAATCTTCTTGCTTTGATATTCGTGTAAACTAATCCATCGGCGAGACTATGAAAAAGCAAAAACAAATAAATATGTGGAGCAATCAACGTAGACCCTAAATTTATTTTACCTGGTATAGATTTGCAGCACCGGTACAAACAGATGGGTTATAACGAGCTGTTGAATAACATAGACGAAGAACTGCTTGGGATTTCATCGTAGATTCAAGACACAGGATCGTGGTTTAATGCGATGGGTGTGGTAAGGTAAGCAAGATGGAATCTTTGGAAGCGACATCTCAAGGATCGCAAGTAAAGTCAACTTTCACAATTGTCGATTGAATTCTAGTTAAAATTTGAGAACTTCATTTTTCGTGAATATTTCAGTAAAAGTTTTTAGGAAAAATATTGCACCTAGCGACATCTTTTAGGAAACTTAGCTAATGTCGGTTGTTTAGATACAGAAAAGTAATGATCGAATACGAATATTCATTTACTGATTTTAGTGATCTTTTAACATGGCTGGAAGAGGACGTGCACGTGCGCCTGGTGAATATATTAATCTGCCTTCACATGCCGCAGCTGATGTGGATGCCTATTTTGAATATAGAGCGTAGGAAACACCAATTTTGTCTTGCATATGTGTGAAGTTCATCTGTTGTATTGTTTTGAAATAGAATTGTTGGTGATGATGATGGTGGACAAACGTTTACCCCAGAAGAATACGACGAATATAAAAAACGAGTTTTACCAATGGTAAGCCGCAAGTTGAATAGGCAAAGAATAAAAAAGTGCATATACTAGAGTGGAAAACTTCAGATCATTTAGGTAATGCCGACGTGTTAATCTACTGCTCTAGTATTATCTGTTCGTAGCGATACACAGCTTGTTGCATGCAACGTTTCGTTTGTTCTATTTATATGACAGATATGATAGGATTCACTTGAGAGAATTCCAAAAGACTATTTTCTTTCTCGAAAGTCGTTTCGTTTTGTTATTAATTTCTTGAAAATTCTATTTAGCGTCTTCATAATCGATTGTATGTATCATGGGTGAATCCTCAGGGGATGGATTGTATCTTGGTTGGACCTCAACATAAATGTCTTTGTCGACACAAGTAAATTGCATTTGAAATGAGTTTCTGGTACACTATATTGATTTATGCAGATTTTCTGAACACAAAACTGATTTTGCCGAGATTCCAACAGAACGTCCTATCCTGATGTCATGTCGTCAATCAGGTTGTCGTTGTGTTTCGTTTGAATATGTCGCCAATGCATCGGGTACAAGTGATCCAAATTGTCGCTGTAAACATTCTCTTGATAATCATGCCACTAGACCTCCATATAAATGTCAAAAAAGTAACTGATCAGTTGTTTTTCATCAACATACATGGACAATGTTGAATAGATTGTAATTGCACTGGTTTCTCTGCTCCGTTTACATGTACATGCGGCGAATCCGCTAACAAACACGTAACTCTAGTGGAAACGAAAGAAGAAAGAGAGCAAAGAGGACATCCGACAGGTTATGCAACGCCCTACAAAGCCATGGGCGGCTTGACAGGCTTCAGTTCGTTGGCTGAAGGTTATCTCAGACTGGATCCAAGCGGGCGTGGTAAGAAAAAGCAAATGCTTCCTTGTCTTTTTCCGAATTCGAAATTTGCAATAGGTCGACCTGATGATGAGTTTCTCAATCAACCGATAACTGCTATGGATCATCCTATACTTCGTTCACATGCATCACATGATCCTAACAGTAAATAACAGAAAACTTCTTTTGTCGATACGAGCTGTTTTGCGTTGTTTTCTGCTGCACAGGTGCTGAAGCTCGATCCCAAATGAGACGGCCAGGTGAATCCGAATTAGATTTCTATGAACGTCGTTACCAAGAACGAGTGAGCACTGTGAAATTCTGAAATACTATCAACATTATTTGTTTCTATCTAGCAACGACTTTCACGCAGTATTCGTGCACCACCTAATCCCTATGACGCTGATGCTCGATTAACAACTGGTACACGAAACGATAGATCACCACCACGTCGTATCACTGGCAGCAAAAAATGAATCACATTATTCACTTCCATTTTTTGTTTAAATCACAGTATTTTTCAAATCTTTTTTGTATATATACAATAAACTGGCTTGGTACAAAGACAAACTGAGAATTCTCTCTTTGAATTCCTATTTTTGGGCATGTATGACAGCACATAGTTGTTGTGTTACATAAATATCTCTCTGTACATACAAGAAATCAATCGATACTATATCGAAAATCTGAAGCGTCTGACAGCTTGACACTTTAATGAAAGATTAACATTTGCTTCATTGTATGCGTCTTATCATCGACCGTTCTTTTTTTTTTATTAATTTAGCTGTATTCATGCAAACTATGACAAAAGCTTTGAATATTTAGTCATACATTCTTTTTTTTTTCATTTCTGTTTTGACTTTGCTGCATGAAACAAAACACAAATGGACGAATGAATAAATCGTTTGTTAATTCAGCCCTGCAACAAAAGCACGCATAGATAAATAGCACATATTATCGCCGAATCGTTTCCAACGTATGTCTGGTAGATTTAACAGTCTTTTTCAAGCGTTTTCCTCCATAGATATCTATGTTATTCGTTTGTTTATCTGATAAAACGCCCAAAACATTGTTCTTTCACGAGAAACCTTCGTTGTTATTCTATAATTCAATAGGAAAACAAGTCGAAACGACCATTGTTATTCTCTGATTTACCTAAATGCTTTTCAAGCTAATTATAATCTTCTATTGTTGCATGCATGCTGCCATATGCAGATGACGCTAATATCTTGTCGATCGACGATGATGCCATCTACGAATTGTCGTTAAAAGCGTCGATAAATCGAAAAACGTTTTTTTTCGCAGCTTGAAAATGATTTTTTTTCTCGAGCTAACTTTCATCAACGAGAAAATTTTCTTGTTTGTTGACCTCGGCTGCTCTACTACCACCGGTATGGCGTTCGCTGATCATCACCCATCGACAAGTAAGGCGAAACAAGCAACGCAAAGACACCCACACCATATGTATGTGAACTAGAAGTTGATGTCTAGAAAAATGATGAATAAATAGATAGTATATCATTTGTTTCCTTTGTTTTGACGATCAATTGACAATGATGAACAATAAAAAAACATTCTCATCCACTCATCGAGTGCAATTTGCTTCAAGAGAATATTTATTTATTTTTTTTCTTTGTTATTTTTTCTAGATCTCAACGTCTTTCGTCTTGTTGATCCATCTTTGTGTATTTAAACATCAATATGAGAGAAAAGCCGATTTTTTACTAAAGCCAATCTTTTTCTTCTCCTGTGTACAATCGTCCGTTTATACAAAATTTCAAATCTTCAACTCAGTCTCCCTCCAGTCAATCGAAATGAGTAGTAGCACAGCCGCAGCCGCCGCAGCAGCACCACGCAGACAACAAGTCGATAGTAAGACATTGAGATTCACTTCTTCACAATCTATTTCATCCATTTAGATCGAACAGACGCCAACAATTTTAAAGTAGTGACAGTAGTCGCAACACGAGGTCGAGGTGCCGAAATCTCCGAAGAAATCTCTTATACCGACACAAAAGTGATCGGAAATGGTTCATTCGGTGTAGTTTATCAAGCTAAGATTGTCCATTCAAATGAACAAGTAGCGATAAAAAAGGTTTTACAAGACAAACGATTTAAAGTATGACATATTCGAATGCAAAATGATTAGAGATTCTCATCGTTGCTTTTGATATTCCAGAATCGCGAACTTCAGATTATGCGACGACTCGATCATCAAAATATCGTTCAATTAAAATATTTCTTTTTTTCATCTGGTGACAAAGTAATGTCGAACAAAGCAATTATTCATTTTTCTTTCATTGAATCCGTTTGCTTTACTTTGGTTAGCTTAAAGAAGAAGTATATTTAAATCTCGTGCTGGAATTCATCCCGGAAACGGTCTATCGTGTAGCACGACATTATACAAAGCAAAAGCAAACCATTCCTCTACTTTATGTCAAAGTAAGACCAAAGCGATTGTTTGTCTGTCTTCAATTTCAAACGGCATTTGAAATTTAGTTGTATATGTATCAATTATTTCGTGCATTGGCTTATATACATTCTTTTGGAATCTGTCATCGCGACATTAAACCGCAAAATTTGTTACTAGATCCGGAAACATCGGTATTGAAATTATGTGATTTTGGAAGGTAATGTGTTTGTTGACATGCACGTGAGAAACATCGGTTTTCTTCATAGTGCAAAACAATTGATAAAAGGTGAACCGAATGTCTCATATATTTGTTCGCGTTATTATCGCGCACCGGAATTGATCTTTGGTGCCATTGATTATACGTGTTATATTGATGTTTGGTCATCGGGATGTGTTTTTGCGGAACTTCTTCTTGGTCAACCCATCTTTCCCGGCGAGAGTGGTGTTGATCAATTAGTAGAAATTATTAAAGTATTAGGCACACCAACTCGTGAACAAATTCGACAGATGAATCCTAATTATCAAGAATTTCGTTTCCCACAAATAAAAGCGCATCCATGGCATAAGGTAAGCGTTCAGAAGCATGAAATGTTTTGACGGAAGTGTAAAATTTCATTCAAATTTAGGTTTTTCGTAATCGTACACCACCGATGGCAATTGATCTCGTATGTCGCTTGTTGGATTATACACCAGCCACTCGTTTGACACCACTCGAAGCTTGTGCTCACGCATTCTTTGATGAACTACGTGATCCAGACACACGATTAACTAATGGATCTCTTCCACTACTTTTCAATTTCAGTCAACAGGGTATGTCAATGATTTGTTTTCCAGATTTTCCGATATCCTTATATCTACTTCTTTTGTTTCTTCTAGAACTAAGTATCAATCCTTCGCTCAATCCACGTTTAATTCCTGCACATATGCAAGGTCAGCAAGGATTAGCAACTGCTAGCGGAACATCATCGAATTCAACAGCAATTGCCACAACTACGCCAAGCGGTAGTGGAAACGGAAGTGCGACAAGGGCTTCGGTGACAACACCGAGTAGCAGCAATGATAAACCTCTAACGCCAAGTAATCGTTCAAATAATAGTCCACCATCTTCGACGGTAGCAGCAGGAGCATCCAGTGCAGCAACAACTAGTGTCAATGGACCTAACGAGAGCGATACAATGAATAGCCTCGATGAGCAGCCGGCAACTGGCGGTGATTCAAATACGAAAGATCATTCTTAAACGACATTTTCGTTAATTTTCTCTTTCTCTTCATCTTTGTCGTACATACGTATGTGCGTGTCAGTGTATCAGTGGCTTCTTTTAATTCTTTAATTCTTCTTACACATCGACGAGGACCAAATACCAACAACACTAAGAAGAATATTTATTGTTATTATATTAAGATATATCATCATAGTATGAACAACCTGTTTGTGTGATGAATAAGAAAAATCACTCATTCGGCTTTAGTGTGTGTGTGTGTGTGTGTGTGTGTCTTCACCGCTGCGTCTTTTTCGGTTTTCAACATGCTTTTGTACACTATTCTTTTCTTTCCCTATTGCCTGGGACCTAAACTTCCCTTATGTGCGTGTCTATATGGATCTCTCTCACTTATTTCGCTGTTCTATATATAAATATATAAATGTGTGTTTGTAAGTGTGTGTGTTGTTCATTTGACCATCTAGAAAAGAACAGCTTTGCTCTCATATTGTCAATCGCGTCATACACACATTTTTCGTCCTTCATTTTTTCTCTCTTTCTCGTGGTTTTCTTCTTTCGTTCTCTCTCTCTCTCTCGTTCTTTCTTTTCAGCATATACGCATCAGAAAAAGTCTGCAGCAAAAATAATGAACGAAAAAAAGAACTTATTTAAAAAAAAGACCCATTCACAGATAAAACTTAAGACTTTGACCTTTGCCACTATGTGTATTACAGATTCAACGTCCGAGTGGTGATAAGAAAAAGAAAGCATCTTATATACAGGAGAAATCTATATGGTTAAATACAACATTTCGAAAGAAAATTATGATAGATATACGAGGTTGGTTATGGTTTAGTTTGCGAATTTTCATTTATTCAACTATTCTGTCAATTATTGTCACCGGTTGCATCTGCGCCTTTTGCATTTGGTATTACTGGTTTGTTGTTCGACGTCGGTCACGAACTGAACAAGAAATTAACACGAAATTGCAAAATCGCTCATTCTCGTTTCACACATTGTCATTTCAAATATCGAATAGTGGAATTATTCTTCTAAGCATACAGATATCACCATTAGAAAAGCAATTGTTGGAACTAGCACAGTTGAATGGACGAAGGTATCGAATCAGTACTTTAGACATACAGGATGAACAGATCAGCATTGGCTTTGCTAAATCAAATATTAATCTGACAATTAAGCATGAGTGTCTAGAACAACAAAGGTGAGAGAGTTTATTGTTTTTTTTTGTTATCAAAGACAGTCTATGGTTACGTTTCAAGTTCTCAAACAAAACGAACGTACTTCGTGCACGAATATACATTTCTATGGTCCACTCCATCTTATCGAGTACGCTTCGATGATAAATTCCATCTGAATGATACTGGATATTGGTATGGTGGTGCTACTCAAAGAACAGTTTACTGGCCTATCAATCAATTTGTTACTAAGTGTCAAGCAATGGTTCCCAATGATGCTTACAAGTAAATGATTTGAAAATCGATCGATATCTTTTGTTCTACATTCTAATAGGAATATGTTCGGCAGCGTTTGTGAACGGTATTGGTTGTCATCGCTTGGTTTCGCATTGCTTGTTGATCCGCTCGCACCATTGTTCGTATCGATGAACAAAAAACACTTGCAATTCATATCACAATATCGAACGCCATATCGACAGAAAGAGTTTCTCTCCCATCAATTTCAATACAAGTTTTTACAACATGTCAATATGCGTGATCTTCATTTAACAATAATCAATCGCTATCTGGGTAAACCTACGAATATACCCAGTCCACGTATGATAACTGAACCAATATGGTCGACATGGGCACAATTCAAACAAAATATTAATACAGAGAATATCTTGAATTATGCTGAAGAAATCGTCCGACAAGATTTTCCACGATCACAAATATGTATCGATGATGATTGGACACCGCACTACGTAAGATTTATGACGATTGAATAATCATATACGATCGAAATAGAACTCTTCTTTCTTTCAATTATGATAAGGGTACATTGGAATTTGATCGAACGAAGTTTCCTGATCCAAAGGAATTAATTAAAAGGTTAAAAGAGCTTAATTTTCGTGTGACATTTTGGATTCATCCATTCGTGTCTTGTCATACATTTAAATTCATCGATTATTGGCGTCGTGGACTTTTAATCAACATGAACATTCTTCCCATATTGATCGATTCATTGATTGAACGAAGTCGACTTCTTCAACTTGTCTTCGATGATATTTTGGCTAATCCAGTATTTCAACCAGTTATATTCATTTTGAAATATATTCATCAACAATTTTTACCATCACTACCTGGTATCTCATTGTGGTGGAATGGTCTTGCGGGTGTCTTAGATCTCACCAATCAGTCCACGCAGGATCAGTATATTTCAGATCTGGAACGTCTGCAAACCAAATATGATATCGATAGTTTTAAATTCGATGCTGGTGAAGTCAATTGGTTGCCAACGTTTGGCTCATTTACGAATTCGTCTTGTTTACAAACCATCACAGATAGACTCACGTCCACAACCACTCCTGGTATCTATCCATATCTCTACGCACAACTTGCTCATCGTGTTGATCGAGACAATCGTTTACAAGAAGTACGGGTGGGTTATCGTACGCAAACTTTGCCAATGTTCGTTCGCATCATTGATAAAGACTCACATTGGTCGTATAAGAATGGTTTACGCTCGTTACTGCCAAGTATTTTCAATTTGAGTCTTCTAGGCTATCCATTCATTCTACCTGATATGGTAAGTTAATCTATGAGAAAAGAGACATTTGGAAGTTATTTTCCATGGAAAAACAGGTGATTATCGATGCACAGTTAACAGAACTATTGTCTCGTCGAGAGATTCCTTATCGCAGACCAATGAAACTAATATAGCCGTTCTGAGTTGTAGGATTAATGAAGTGTTATAATCTTCTTATTTATACAACTCATTCTGACGAACGACTGATGAGGATAGTGGCCCTGAATGCAGTATCATTATTTCCTTGATAAAAACTTCCATACGCTGTTGCAAATTCATTGTTTTGTTTTCTCGGAAGTAGGTCGGCGGTAATGGTTATGGTTTAACGATATCTCAAACACGCTTACCACAACGTGACTTGTATATACGTTGGCTGCAGTTGAATGTTCTGTTACCAGCCATTCAATTCTCTTTTCCACCATGGCTTTACAACGATGAACAAGTGATTCGTATCGCTCACAAGTGCCTTCGAATACGCGAACGTTTTCGTGCAGTTTTACTATCTACGGCTGAAGAATGCGTGCAATATGGTACTCCGATGATTCGACCGTTGTGGTTTTATGATCCATATGATATGAAAGCGCAAATCTGTGACAATGAATATATGTTGGGCAATGATCTACTTGTTGCACCTGTCTTAGAAGAGAATGTTAATGAATTGCAAATTTATTTACCGCAGGGAAAATGGAGATGTATCCAAACGGAACATATCTATGATGGAAATCAAACACATGCATATCCAGTAACAATCGAAGATATTCCAATATTTCAACGATGTTAAAATGAAAGAATAGTTTTTTATTTATCTAATAAAATAAACTTGAATATGTAGCAAAACTTTGTTTAACGAGAGATGTCGTGAGTGTTCATAGAGGTTGAATACCTGGTAAGGATGTCGGTCGATAGCAACCAATTAAGAGTGGATGGCAACAGTCTGTCTGCTTGAATCTTGTGCATATTCAATCATCGATCCTTTTTAATCTGATATATCATGGCTGAGGTACATGTCATTGGACAAATTGTTGGTGGTAGTGGTTTTCCTGAATCAAGTCTCTTTTGTAAATGGAAAGTACAAATGGGCAGTGCATGGCGTGTCTTACAAGGTGATCAAGAAGGTCAAACACAAGTCGACGATCCATCGGATGAACCGATGGCTAACTGGTGTCATCCTATCGATCTCCACTTTGCTACGAAAGGGCTACAAGGTAAATACATATCGAGTCAGACACTCTAGTTACTACACGTGATGTAAGAGAATGATTGTATGTTCTTTTTGCCCAATCTCTCAAGCGTAACGCAAGCGTTTCTTTCATACAAACTTATATTGTCCTCATTTTTATTATAGGCTGGCCGAAGTTTCATGTGAGTAACAAGATTCAATTATGCGCTTGTAGGATGTATGAAGCTGCTGTTGTAAATCTCAATTTTAGTTGCAAGTATGGCACCAGGATGCTTACGGACGTAATGAATTATACAGCTATGGATTTTGCCATATTCCAGTTAGTCCAGGCTATCATGAACTTGATTGTGTAACATGGAGACCAAAGGGTACGCTCATTGAAGAACTCAAGACGCAATTTATCGGTGGAAGTTCTCAATTAAAAGTAAATTGAAAGGAGATAACCGTCGTCAATGAAGATATGTTGGTTTCTATTTCAGAATCCTGATTTAGTTTCGTCGAGTGCTGAACTCTATAAATTACGAACCGTGTCGATGGGCAAAGTTCATCTACGATTACATATCATCGTTCGTGATTTTGAAAAATATGGTGTTGAATTTTAAAATGAACTTCGAATTTGTTCGGTTTTTGTTCGATCAGATTGTTCTACTCGTCTTATCTTCTTTTCAACTTTAAATGAATGCAGCCAATGTGCATATCTGTATGTTCAATTTCACCGTTCATCTGTTTCGTTTTTAATATTTAAATCATTATTCTTCAAATAATGCTGTAGTTGTTCGGGCTTTTATTCTTAAAAAAAAATAAAAGAAAAACATCAAATACGTAGACGATTCTATTCGAAATGTTTTAGACTAATTTTTGTCGTCGATCACCAACGCCGAAAATATGACAAATCCGCCCACAGTATGATAACTATTCTTCTTCTTTCATTATGGAAAAGTTACCACTTCTATATTTGAGTAGACATTCCCAACAAACAATGTTTCTCCTCGTCATCGGCAACAATCGACTGAATCGAATGACATCACCGATGCACTTATTATTGATGAGAAAAACGTAGAACATGTAGAAATACCTGTCGCTGTAAAATTGCCAGAAACTAATACTAGTGGTGGAGTAATATGTAGTCTGTGTAACGCATATTTAAATAGCCGAATATCTTACAATGACCATCTGCAAGGTAAAAGACATAAACAAGCATGTCAGAAAATACTTGCCGTAAGGGATTTCCATCGTATCTATTTATCTTATATAATTATAATAACTCTTATATTTTTAGACAAATCCTGATTATAAGGAACTAAGTTATGATGAGTGCTCGAAATCAAGTGCAGGTAATACTAAGAATAACGGAAATAAACCGCCCGAGGTTGCTGTGTCCGAAGAAAGACCTGCGGAATCGACGTTGCCACCGAAAAGTCTTCTATGCAACCTGTGTAATATAACGTGCAGCAGTCAAACGGTACTTGACGCTCATCTAAAAGGAAAACGACACCAGAAAACTCTTCGTTGCGGCGTATGTTATCGATAAAAAGAGCACTTATAGTTAGAGGAATTGAGCCCAATGATAAACATTGTATTGTCCGTGTTGAAATTTTCATTATTATCTAGAGATCGGCGATTAGCAATGGCAATTCTGCCTCAGCAAGATTTTGCAAAATTTGCTGCATCACATTCAGCATGCACTCAAAATTATTGGAGCATTTCGATAAACAAGAACACAAAGAACGAGCAGCAGCACTACCACCACCACCACCAGAAGGTAGATTCTCAAATTTACACAAATCTCTTTTCAAACATACTGTGATCTCTTTAGCCCCTGATGCTCAACAGTCTGAGGTTTCAAAAATCAATTTTGAAGAATACGAAGTGACCAAGGAACATTTGAAGAGTCTTGGTTATCAATATGAATGTAAAGTATGCAATAAGAAGATTGCGAAGAAGGACGATCTTATTCATGTACGAAAACTATCCATGGGTTTGTTTTTCGACTGAAGATTCTTTTTTGTTTAGCATGTCAATACTGTCGCACATAACCATAAGGTGAAATTACAGCATAGACAATCAACTCGACCAGTAAGTTTGTTTTTCTTTCAACTTATGTCGTCATCTTATACGAAAGTTTAAGAATCGACAAATTCCTCTGAAGTCTCGTCACCCACGCAATCCTTCCCAGCGTGTACCTCAATCTCAATCGAACTCGGGCAATATTTTTGGTGCTTTCGATCCAGATAATCAATATTCTCATATATTTGAATCTCAACTTAGAAACAATTTAACACCTTCAAACAAATCCTATTCTCAACAAATGTGTGTCAATAACGAACAAGATGTCGGTCCGCAGTATTCATATTCGAGCTATAGCAATTACCAAGGAACACTATCACGTCCTCCTGTGCAATATTCATACGACTATAACTATAATCCATCTGATTATTTCATGAGTATGTACGAAATTACTTTACAATTCAAGTCTTCAGTTTGATCATCTATGTAGATTCTTCCTTTCAATCATCTTCAACATCTAATTATCGTAAAAGAATCAGTTTTAAGTAATGTCTCTGTCTAAAAACTATTCTTTTCTAGCTTCAGCGTATTCTCAAACTTACTATACAACGTATGACTCCGAGCCGTCTAATATTAGCGTAGCTCGAGGGGACTATAATAATAGTATGCAGCAACCATCAAGATTTTGACGAATCTCATTTTACATACGGTTTATATTACATATTCGTGATATTTGCATTCAGTTTTATAATATTTATATTCATACGACAAACTGTGCACTTTTTTTTTCATCTAGATCATTTTTCTCAGTTGTGATAACGAAATTTGCAATTGGTGTTGGTTATTTTCATTTTTATTGAAATATCATTTACTTTTTCTACTGTAAAAAGATGTTAAATAAACAATATCTCCTCTCAATCAGTTAGCTGTGCAAGATAAACGAAAACGCGAGAGTGAAGAACAAATAAGTCAGAAAAGAAAATGTGTATTCTCTGTTGATTATACCAGCAAGGTCAATATCAACAGTCTGTTATCTTGTCGTGTTAGCTTAGAATAAAGAAAGACGGGTAGATAACAATCACTTGATCTATTCTCATTTTTAGATTATTGTCATGAAGTGGGGAGAATATGTAGTAGTGTGTCTCATCGTGCTTGTCTGTTTGTGTTCATACAAACAACATGTCAGTTCACTTGATAATGGTCTACTTCGACAACCACCCATGGTAAGAGAGTATCTTCTCGTGAAAAGTTCATCAATCGTTTGCATCTAGGGTTGGTTGACTTGGCAACGATTTCGATGTGTAACCGATTGTCAGGCAGATCCAGATACTTGCATTAGGTAGGTGAAGGCCATTCTCATTGATTAGTAGTCGATCAAATTCTAGTGAAAAACTGATCCGAACACAAGCACAATTACTCGTACAAGGTGGATATCTAGCCGCTGGATATGAATACATCATTATTGATGACTGTTGGTTAAATGGTACACGTGCACCGGTAAGTTTTTCAGATAGATCATGAGAAGTATTGAGAAGATACATGTGTAGGATGGATCACTACAACCTGACAATAAACGTTTTCCGAGTGGAATTGCTGCTTTGTCAGATTATGTTCATTCTCTTGGACTGAAATTTGGTATTTATGAAGATTATGGCACACAAACCTGTGCAGGCTACCCCGGTGTTCTAGGACATTTAGTACAAGATGCCAAGAGTATAAATTGTAGACAAAACCAATTGTTCAGTGAATTTTTGCTTTTGTTTTACAGCCTTTGCCAGTTGGAAAGTCGACTATTTAAAACTTGATGGGTGCAATGCTGACATCAAAGATTATGATACAGGTTATCCAGCAATGGAAGATGCTTTAAATGCAACAGGGTATCCAATCGCATTTTCATGCTCATGGCCAGCTTATCAAGAGTCTGCAAAAATGAAACCTAACTATTCTGCAATTGCTCATACATGTAACTTATGGAGAAACTGGGACGATATTGATGATTCATGGGATAGCGTTTATTCAATTCTACAGTGGTTTGGTGACAATCAAGATCGTTTGTCACCATTTCATGGTCCCGGACATTGGAATGATCCAGATATGGTAAGAACTATCGTCTTACTCAGTTTGTATTAACGGTCGTTTTGATTCTGTTATAGCTTGTAATTGGAAATTTTGGTTTAAGTCCTGGCCAATCTCGGGCACAAATGGCACTTTGGTCAATCATGGCCGCACCCCTTATTCTCTCAGTGGATTTACGAACAATTAGTGATTGGGCACGAGATATAATCCTAAATAAAAACTTAATTGCAATCAACCAAGATCCACTTGGGGCGATGGGAAGACGCATACTCAAAGTAGACTCATTCATACATAAAGATGTTTTCTTTCGAATAAATTGTTTCTTTTTCTATAGTTAAGCGGCAGCGTCGAAGTATGGAGTAAGCCATTACAAGATGATCGTGTGGCGGTTAGTATTGAATTTATGCTCATAGTCTTAAGTTTTGTTCTCATAATTGTTTCTAGTTTGTTGCACTCTATCCTGAACCATATGGAACACCAATTCACGTTAGCATTAAGCTTACTGATCTTGGTTTAGGACGCTACCAAGATTATGACTTCTTCGAATCATTTTACGGTGATTTTCTCGGTCGACATCATTATACTGATACGTACAGTTTTACAATCAATCCAGCAGGCGACGTACATGCATTCTATGTAGAATCTGCTGTGCCAGAGAAGCGATTCCGTAAGAAATTATAAATTCATACGATATAGATATATATGAACTTTTAAAATTGCTTTTGTCTTATGGTGTATTTTTGTTTTTTTTCGAGAAAGTGAAACATACCCGCTAGTCTTTCAGACGTAATTCATTTCTTTTCTGCTTATGTGAAACATGGTCGATAGCAATGTGATTCTTTTTATTATTTAGCATAAATAAACTTCAATCGAATGGCATTTTCAATGCATTTGAAAAAGAATACTAACAAATACCTTTGAAATGTCCGATGAAACCCGAGAGAGACATAATGATTGCAACCAAGCCGTGCGTATCTAATTTCAAATGATATTATTATCTAAGTCTACACGTATATGAAAATGTATCAATTTTACTAATTAGTCTTTTTTTACACGCCTTTTTTAAACTGACACTCGAATGAAGATTGCTTATCTTGAAGTGATGGTGAAAATGTGAGTTGCTGAATGAGACTGAGGCGTTTCGTTGTCATTACATGTGTTCTACTCGTTACATTTAGCCGTTTAGATATGCATGAAACGATCGATCATCGTAACAGAAGTATGAAGATGTTACTCGTTATCATAGATGAGAGGAATTGATTTTTGTATAAAATACTGGCACAATGATTGAGCTCGTCTATATTTGTTGTTTGAAGAAATGAAAAATGTGTTGTAATACAACATGGAAAACAAACAGATCAAGGAAGATTATGTGAATAATTAAGCAGGTTATTAAACACGAGGTTAAACATAAGATACATGAAAATAACAAGAAAAAAGTAGATCAATTTTCGATTTATATTTTGTTCGATTTTTAAACATTTGCTTCTTCGTATCCTCTTGAAGGCGACGGACGTTGTTGTCCTCCTGCTGTTTTCACAATATTTGATACCCCTCGATGTTGTTCATGTGGTTGCATTGATGTCACATTGTCATAATTTGAACGATTCACATTGCGTGACCGTGATTCCTGCGCTGAATCACCTGAGCGTAATTCACCTGTTTGTCTTGTTTCAACGCCAGGTATTGTAATACGTTCTTCTTTTGGTAAGCGATCTTTTTTTGTTTCATCTTCTGTTTCACAATACACACTTAAATCCCAAAGATAAGTGCCAACACGTACAGCCTGAAACAAAAATGCAAATATACGATTATAGTCGATGAATGAATTCGTGAAAAGTCACTGACACTAAATACGGCAATGCAAAAACCAATTAATGCGCCGCCAATAACATCCGTGGCATGATGTTTATAGTCAGTAACACGTGATAAACATGTAAAAAAGGCAGTAGCTATGCATAAACATTGAAGAAATGGCTTGAGGAATTGAATATTTGGACATATAATACGTGCTTCAAAGTAAACCTTCAAAACGAGAAGAATCCAAATCATTTCTTATGTTTTGAAAAACAAATGATATTTACAAATAGAAAAACAAATGCATATGTTGAATAACTTGAATGGCCCGATGGAAATGATAATTTTGCTTCTTGAAGTTCGAGTTCCGATGCTGATGAATTACAATAATGATTTGTTATATATTGAGGAATAGTAACAGGACCACTTGCTGTCGAAACAGTTTTTGTACAATTCAAATTTGCCCAAACTGGATTGCATACCGTAAGATAATATGGTCTTAATCGACCGATCGTACCTGAAGTAAAAGACTTCGATTGTACGTACAAACTTTCAATGGAATTCTCTTACGTTTTCCAACTTCAGTAATAAGAAAACAAACAGCAATACCAAGAATAAAAAGAAATACCGTATGGAAGATTACTTTGAGATAATCTGTTCGTCTTTGTTTCACACTGTGACCACCAGCAGCACGACCGCAACTGAATGGACGAACAACCCAAAGTTCGACACAGCAAAACTAAAACCAAGCAGAAAGTAATTAACCTTTTCTATCATCTCAACGGACTATCACTATTCGTAAACAAATAGTCTCGTACAAGGTTGAATACGATGCAGATAAGTTTTGCAATATGATGCCAATTTTTTTCCCTATTCTATTCTTGATAATTACGCTTTAGTATTTTCTTGATTCAATAATTTCACTCGAGTTCATTCGGTAGCTTAGCCTTGATGCAGTGCAAACTAAAATTAGTCGCTTCTATCTCCTAGGTCAACAATTATTCTAGAAAGATTGTTCAACACGCTATATTATCTCACTAGACAATCTTCCACATAGTTTTATAGTTTTTTCTTTATATTCCATGACTTACAATTAGAATAGGGCCAAGACCTCCGTAAATGGCTAAGACCCACATAGGAATCGTGTCAGGTCGAAATGGATATTGAATAGATGTATCATCACAAAAGAAGCCTCTTTGTACCGGCTTGATAAAAACATAGATAAGTCCGAAAATAGTGCACGCTAAAATATATGTTCAAGGGAAAAAGTCGTTTGGTTCCAATCGAAAATGACTTACTTCCTACAATGGCAAGAAAATCGAAAAGATTGTACAGAATTCGACGTCGTCGACGTGTTTTTCGGTTGCTACACGCTTCACCATCGTTAGCAGCTGATGTATCTCCCCCTAATTTGTCCATGAGCAGATCGATTTCGCTATCTGCTGCTGATTCTAAACAAAGAAAATATTAAAAATACTCTTTTGCTCATTCTTGAGAAAAACAGCACACAAAAGCAAGTGAGTTTCGGAAAACAAGAAACCCGTGTGGAAAATGAAAAGGTCTTTTAATCATATTATTCTTTCGTGGATAAAAAGATACGAAGAAAATAATCATCTTTTCTTCCTTCGTTCAGAAAAAATAACACACTCGACCGGCAAGGAGGAGATTCTTTTTTCTTTTTTCATTCGTTGTTTCAGCAGATTGGCGAAGGAATGACGATGGACTGCGCAGCTCGTCTGTTTTGATGTGTATGTAAGCAAGAAAGCAAACGAGCAGGCGAGCGAACGAGCGAGCATAAGCGAATATATATACATGTATCGCCCGTTATAACATACATGTTATATGAGGGGCTATTGAAGGAAGAAATAACAGAGAAACGACGAAGGAGAACAGTCAAGCTCAGAGTTATCAGTTAATGCCATCAACCCATTAATAACTAAAAAGGACCATTGATTTGTCTTGTTAGATGCAAGTATTGAGTAAAATTTTTTTATAAGAATTGACATTATAGAAAAAGGAAGAAGAAGAAGAGTCGGTGATGCAATTCGATATATGTACTAATATGTCAAGTGGTATAAGAAAGAAAAAGATTGCTAAGCAAATGATCACATTTGACAGAACTAATATTAGTAGAAGAATATTTGCTTCGTGTGTCTATTCGAAAAAGAGGAGTGCGAAAACAGTTTTCGAACATATGCGAAAGCACATGGCTTATTGTGATAAACATATGACGAATAATCGGTATTCTACATCAGTACAAGCAGCGTATGAGATCGTGTCAGGAGAAAGAATTCATGCAGAATGTTATGATTAGAAAGAGAATTAATGATTAGTGGATTATATCTAAGGTTGGCTTGTTTTAATTTCTATACTGATTTCTCACCACCAAGCTGATGACCATGAGTTGAATGTTGTCGTTGTCCATTTGTACTACGTTGTTTTGGTTCATTATCAAAACCAAACGACCGTGGTTTATCGTATGCACTTTCTGTATCATGAAAGTGTGAGAGATATCGCGGTGGTGGTTGCGGTGTTATTGGTCGAAAGTCGTGTTGATTGATTCGCGGCGGGACCGAGGGATTCGGTTGGAATGCGTCATACAATGGATTGTATTCGGGTGTACCTCGTACACGTAGAGGGTGTTCATCGGCAATGTATTTTTGTCTTGAAGCTGAAGAGATGAACATGTTTGATCTCGAGTCTTAGTACTGAGTAACAATCGAGAAAACGCATTCTTTTATTTTCTTAAGTGAATTAGGGGATAGAAAGAGAAATAGTACAAGTACGAAACACGACAAGGTCAATTTTGTCATAATCTTTATCGCTGATGTACTTAAGTCGAACGATAGAGCGAAATCTAATTCAATTTGCATCTACTCACCTCGTGGAGTTTCATAATATTGAGAAATTGTATACACAACTGGCTTCATTCTCCGGCAGTAATTAATACAACATATAGGAAGGAGTCAAACTGGCGAAATGTTTTTATTCTCTTCGATTCTCTATATTTTCGTGTCGTTAAACTAATAGCATTGCACTAACGTCATTTCACCCATCCAGTTGTTGCTTTCGATAGTGCCAAACAAATACTAGACGATGTAATCTTCACGAATAACATGCACGAACCATATTTAACATTTTCTAATGATTCCTCTTCTCTCGCCTACAAACTATTTTTTTCGTATTGTGACACAAAATAAATAAGTTCGAAGGATTGTAAAATATAACCTTGGCCTTTCAAGAAGGTGTAGGTGATAGACTTTTTTTCTCCGCATTATGTCTGATAAAGCATCTAATCTTTTACTGTAATTTCCTTCACATCGATTTTCGTTCGATTGAGAAATACGAGAAACTGCATACAGATCCTCTATCGTCGGATTTAATTAAGAAGGATTAGAAATCTCTTTTTTTTACACAGTAAACACTGTCCGTTTCTTTGACACAACTCTTTGCGTCAGTCATTTGAAATCCCTCTCGTTGAAAAGCATAGAGATCATGTCTGCTGGTCGTCATTTATATACATTACACGGATGTCATGATTTCGTATTTTAATTATAGAACTGCCTTCGATATGAAAATTACTTTTCTAAGCGTAGATTGATTTTCTTTCTGATGAACCGATTCAAATATGAAAATCATCAATTTCGTTTGTTAGAAGACATAAGTGCTGAGAATTGCACGAGCGAACTCGAGTAGCACTCTGCACTCGAGACGAACACAATTGTCATAATTGTATCTGCATTCAACATACACAAGCGATAAAAAAAGAACTAATTTGTAGATGAAGCTCATTGACTCCTTCGTATATCCACATGGCGAGATTATAAAAATCTCTGTGTTAAGTAGAAAAAAAGCTTAATGCATAGATGGATACAAGAAATATATCACGAACAAAAATCTCTTTGAACTAACTAGTTGTGTAATCTAAATCCTTCATCCTACTAACATGTTAAACTATTTCAATGTATACATCTCATTTCCTTTGATCGTTCGTTTAACTTCTATCATCACGAAATAGATTTCGAAAAAAAAACGAGAACAATCATCATGAAATCCTGTCATAGTCCTCGAATGTCGACAACCAATACTGGTCAACATGAAATTGATCTATCATCATCAAATAAACGATAGAGTATTCTCATACCTGTTGATTGTAACTGCTGGTTTAAATGCAATCGATTCGGCATCATATGCAAACTTCAATATGAATAATAATAATAGCTTAACGACTATTCTCACATTTTCTCTGTCTCTTCTTTCTTCTTTTTTCTTTCTCTTCTTGCATATGCACGATGTCTGCACGCAATGTATTGAGCCGATTGATATCGATTTCTAACCCTGCTTACTAGCTATGTATGTAGATATGTGTGTACACATATACACACAATAACAACTGCATATGAAGTGACACGGTCACTCAACCCATGATGAGTATTTGACAAATCGAATTCTTCGATCGAGGGATATTTTACCTGGCGTTTGTCGAGCCCGTCCTGTACCAGTGCGAAATTCGCCGATGGATAATGATGGCGAGTCAGCTTGATTAGTTGTATTAACGTGAGACATTGACCTTAGGTGAAGATTGGTGAAGTTTTAATGATTGAAATATAAACGGTGACTAGACGACATATACCAATGAAATTCGCATAAATGTCTTTGATTGACAACGATAAACTAATCTAAAATAGTATAAAACAGCTCAAACTATGTTGAAGATTATTCTACATGTGATTTTTTTCCTCTTCTCGCATAAAAAGTGGTTGACAGTAGTTTTGTTCTGTTCCGTTCTGTTCTTGGTCGACCTTGACGGTGTTCTTGCACAACCATAGTAAGAAAAAAAAACATCGACAAATCATATATACATCATAGAATTTCTTGTTTTCCTCATTAAAAAACCGAAAGATCGGCAATTTTTACGCATTTTTGGAATAACTTATTCTTGCTTTTGAAACTGAATGAGTACAGCAGCAACGCAAGTGCTTCTCGCAGAAACATGGAGTGAAGATGTTGATCCTACAGGTTGGTGGATGAGCGAAAAACTTGACGGTGTTCGGTATGTTGTTCTAAACTTGACTATTTGCTTTTCATTTCTATAATCTAGAGCGTATTGGACTGGCAGTAACTTTTACTCTCGACAAGGAAATCTTTTTCATGTGCCCGACTTTTTCAAGGCCGCACTTCCAAAGATACCCTTGGACGGAGAAATATGGTTTGTTCAAATAAATATACATGTAACTGTTTTCAAATGTCGTTTTCTTTTCGTATTCAAAGGTGTGGTCGAGGACTCTTTCAAAAGTGCATAAGTATCGTAAAAAAACAAGGGAATAAAGTTGTTCCTGACGATTATAAATTGCTCACTTATTTGGTTTTCGACGCACCCACGCACGGAGGTAAATATGAAGATCGTATGAAATGGTTACAAACTAATGTACCGCAAGATGATGATAAATGTTATGCATCAGTAGTCGGTATAAAAAAATGTCAGGGCCTTGCTGATCTCAAACAATGTTTAGCGACTGTGACTGCTGCTGGAGGAGAAGGAATTATGTTGCGTAAACCAGGTAGTTTATATGAGAATAAACGTTCATCAACGCTACTTAAAGTAAAAACATTCTACGATGAAGGTAAATGAAAGTTGGGTGAATAGAAGCCTTTTTATTCGGATTGTTTTCATATCTCCAGAAGCTTTAGTAGTTGGTCATAAACCTGGGAAAGGTAATTTCACGGGAGTGCTAGGAGCTGTCACATGTCAGCTACCAAATGGAAAACGGTTCGATGTTGGCAGTGGTTTCGATATGTCTCAACGTCGAAATCCACCGAAGAAAGGTTCAGTCATAACATTCAAATTTCAAGAATTATCCAATGCAGGAATCCCACGTTTTCCTGTATTTCTTCGCATTCGTAGTGATTTAACGTGGGACGATGTTCTCGAAGCTGCTAAAACAAAGAAACCAGTGAGCACAACGGAGAAAGTCGTACCATCAACCAAATTATCCAAGCAACATTCTATATTATTTTCCGTGATACCGTCACGTGACGTCAAAACGGGCAAGAAAGTCGTCACTTCGGGTGATGAAGATGAAGAAGCATCGGCGTCGACAACTGAAATGTCGGATACGCGTGAAACGTGCCAATACGGCGCAAAATGTTACCGTACGAACGCAGATCATTTGAAACAATATCAACATGCACCGTCTAAATTAACGAAAGCAAAGTCTAAAGCGGACTCACATTGTAACTTTAAGTCGAAACGTACGCGAGGACAAGCAGAAGAGAAATCTGAATCACAAGATGAACCAACTACAAGTGATAATTTACTCGTTAGAGATAAGAATAAAGGTCGACAACTCGATGGTAATGACAACGATGATGATGATAACGTTGAACAAACTACAACGTTGATAAAGAACACAAAACGAAAACGAAATGCCGTTGCAGAAACACCAAAGGTTACGTCATCCAGAAAACGCGCGAAGAAATCTTAAACATAGTCTATTTTTATAAAGGCAAATATCTTGCTTTATTTTCATGTATATCATTAGTATTCAAAAAAAACAAATATCATATTTATCCAGATCAATAAATACTTAAATATACATTAAAAAAAGAAATTCATCAAGTAAAACATAGAGATACAAGAAAACAAACTCCTCTTTTGTTTACATTTTTCTTGTTCCATAAAATATGGTTTTCCTCTACTAAACAATGATTGTCAGCAGAATGAATTCTTCTTCTTATATACAAATAGAAAAAATGATGAAACAATAACGTAACGAAACGACACAAGGCTTCGTAGAAGAGACAAGTAATTAAAGTAAGTAGAGAATCGATTGTGTGACTATGTATGGCATGTACGTAAGGACGAGAAGCATAACTATAGGGCTATTGCCAACATGACATTCACTGTGATAGCTAGAAAAGAAAAATAATTAAGGTAATATCGATTTGTGCATCTTACTGTTTCTTATTCATCAGGGTTCTTTTCTGTGCGTAAAGAAATGTCGGATACCCTTTGATATGCATAATCAGTTATACTTGAAGGTGATCTTAGACGAGCATGTTCAGATTTAGATTGTAATTCACCTAATGCAGCGTCCTGTCCTGAACCATGTTCATAAACAGTCGAGAGACTATTCGCTTTTCGACTCAAAAGGCTTCGATATTCGGGATCTAGTGGATGATTTAAATCGAACCGATCTCCTGCTGGTAGTAATGGTTCGTCAGCATTGGAATGTAGCACAACATCATGTTGTAATGAAGATCCTACGATGGGCGTAGATTGTGGTTGTATCACATTAGTTGAAGTTGATTGAGGTAGTAGTGTCGTTGAGGCACGTGGAGTTAATGCTAATGGTAATTGAAAATCATCTAATTCGGCATCAAGTTCATTGCCATCAGTATTAAGATTATTGTTATTATTGGCGCGGTCCTTAAATAAAAGTAAATTTACATTAATTTGTTTTGCAAAACGCAGTCAATAGTATTATTCGAGTTCGTTTTTTTTGTACTGTTCTCTGAGGGTTTCGTAATCAAACGGTTTTTATAAAAAAAATAGATGACGCTAATTTACTTCGTGCTAGTATTAGCATTTCTAATTGACAGTTTTTGAAAGTCAAATAAGATAAATTAGAAAACGGAAAATATGGGGACAATGTATTGTGTTTGCTATTATCGATTGGGATGCGATTGATTTAACAAGGAAGGCGTTTGACGATAAACACAATTGACTAATTCACTTACAGTGCTATATTTATATGAATTTTTCCCTCGTGTTCGCACTCCACAGCACCACCATCTTCGGCGATTCAGCAGAAGCCGACTGGATGGTGAACCGAATCGGCTTAGACCAGTCATATTGTTAGTACCAGCTGTAAAACTTGTCCGGCCACCACTGTTCATCAGTGCATCGGGACCCATTTCAACAAATTCACGATCCTTGAAATAATAAAATTATAAGAATTCAAACTAGAGATGATTTGCCTCTTACTGTTGTCAATTCTAAACATTGAAGGAGATGATGATGTTGCAATTCGAATGGATTAACAAGATTTTTATCGGCTGGCGAATTGGCATCATCAGCATGTTGTTCACGATGTTTTTTCGCAGCCACAAATGCATTACTCGTTGCATTCCGTGCGAGACGTATTCGTGTTTGACGTGCTTTTCGTTGTGCTTTCATTTTATCTGCTCGTTGACTTTGATGATATATACGACTGAAATTCGAGACAATGACAGGCACTGGAAGTGCAATGACAAGTACACCACTCAAACTGCATACGCCACCAACGAGTTTGCCTGCCCTACATTCGTAATTCATAGATCATTTCCATGATTAACAAATCTCTTTTTATTTAACTCACCATGTTTTTGGTACCATATCACCGTACCTAGAAAACAATCAGTCGAACTTAGAAACAAAGTCAAGTTAATCCTGGAAGGCGCTATTGACGTATATTAGGCGCTATTCACACCTTCCTTTTGGAGTGGAGTGTCATTCTAATGATAAAAGATTCTAAATGCTCTGACGTATTAAAACAAGTAGGCCAGTTTTCGAGTCTCCAGTGAGTTTTGAGTATGAGTTTGAAGAAATCTTACCCAAGTGTTGTCATTGTCACGATGGTGTACCAAAATGCGGCTGGTATCGATGTAAATTTCGTATGTACGACACTTTTCTCCGCATAGTAGATAACAGTTGCAAATATGATGATTGCCATCGTCAATGAAAACAAGAGAAAGCCGAGTTCGCTGGCGCAACTTTTCAGTGTATAACCTAGCACTCGTAATCCTTGACTATGACGTGAAAATTTAAATATTCGGAAAACGCGAAATACACGCAGAGTAACAAATGCGCCGCTAACTTCGCCTTTCTGATTCATAAACAAGCCAATATAATAGGGCATTATAGCGACAACATCAATAACGGACTAGAAGAACAGAACAGGATTCGTTCATTAGTTCAATAGGACTTTTGCGATTGATTCTTACCATGACTGATCGAACAAATTTCAATCGATCGGGAGCTGCGTAAAGACGTAAGAAATATTCAACAGTAAAAATCATGACACAAGCCGTATCAAGACAAAAAAATTGGCGAGCAAAACGTTCACCACACGATCTTGGATAACCTGTTTCAGGATCAGGTCCACATGCTACTGTGTCCAACACATTGGCAATAACACTAACAGCAATAAAAAATCCTGTCACATAATAAAACACGGATGCCATCGTTGACACTTGAGGATTTTCAAATGCTCGCCACATGGTTTCACGTATTGATTGAGGCTTCGGTTGAATCTTATCTTCGTCTTCGTGCAAACGATCGTCAATAAGTCGTTCAGTATTTTCACGTTTACGATCCCGATAATCTTCATAACAGCAATCACCAATAATGTCAGGTAAAATACCGAAGAATGCTAATTCTTCATCATAAGCAGCGATACATTCGTGCTTTGGATAATGTAGTTTACCGGTACGATAGAAGTTCAAAATAACGCGAAATACATCAGGATCACGATCAAAAAAGTATTCGCGAGTATCTTCATCATAGAAGAATTCCTTTTCATTCGAGCCTAATAAAGAATCGGGATATTTCTCCAACGTTGACCGCCAGCATTCAAAACGACGGCCACTAACATTAATGATGATTTTTTCATCACAACGACGTTCACCAACGGTTGTTGCTGTCACTGATGTCGTCGATGTTGAAGGTGATGATGGTGATACGCCATGTGTTGGTGTTCGAAATGGTGGTGGAGGTAAAGGATTCTTCGCCAAAGGAACCCATCCAATAGCTGCTGCTCGAGCGAAAGGAAGCCAGGCAGCAACACTAGCCATATTTGTTGATTGATCGTCTTGCTTTAATTAACCTATAAATAAGTTTTCTTTAATCGAGTTGCCTTTAATCTAGTTTTCTTTTCCATTAGTTAATTTGTTGAATAGGATGACTTATTTTCTTTTTCTTTCTATTCTAAGTTATTTCCTTTATACTCTCCTCGTATTAGTTGTGTCCTTTTTTTGATACCCATTAATTTTCTGTGCGACTAATATTAATCGTGTGGAAGTAAGCGAAAATGAGAAAGAAAGAGAAGAAGAAGCAGCAATAGCAGCAAAGGAGACGAAGAAGACGACTACGACTATGACGATGAAGATGAAGAAGAAGAAAAAGAAACAAGACCGATAATAATAATATTGATATTTGCTAATTAACAATACAAACCTACTGTGCGCCTCTGCGCACTTCACTATTTCACTTGTAACAATGCACGACGTGTTGATAACTTGTTTTGTTTATTGCCTGTTTTTGATAAAACATCAACTTGAACTCGAAGAATAGAGAAGCAGATGGATATTGACTTTTAACATTTTGTCGTCGGTAATTATATCTATGTCTACATATATCTACAAAAGAAAATAGTCAAATATAACCAGAAAATTGAAATGAACTTAGAAAGATAAGCACGTTAAATGCATGATCTCTTCTTGTTTGGGATAAATAAATAAATAAGTAAATAAAAAAGAAAACATAAGATCTATTTATGTGAAGTGAAGATCGTTATCGTTGTTCGCGTCAACTGACTGTGGGAAACGGACAATAGAATATTAAAAAGAAAGAAGGCAAAAAGAAGAAGTCACAATAGAGAAAAGGGAGACGATGAAGAATGAAAAGGCGAAGAATTTCCTACCGTTCTGGTGAGTGTCAATTCGAAGCGGTACTAAGATTGCTAACAACAGCACATAAATAAAACGATGTAAGGCACAGAACATCGTGACGACAAACTAACTCAAAAAGAGAGAGAGAGAACTTCTTAGCTCAGAGAGAGAGAGAATGCAACGAGATATCTCAATCAATGGTGTGTGTGTGTGTGTGCATCAAACGCATGTCATAGCAGAGAACTGCAGAGACCTTTGTATGTTCCATTATGATTATTTTCCGGTAGTCTCATTTTTTTCTGCTAGCATTGCTTTAGTTACTACCACGACTACTATAACTAGCATCTTCGTCATCTCGCGAAGCACGACAACCTTCAAGCCACATGTGCCTTCTCGGTCCCTCTCTCTCTCTTCCTACTCACTCATTCTTTCTCTGGAATCATTCTCGTCACCGAATGCTCAACCAAAGCAAACGAGCGAACTGACTTCTTTCTTGTGAGTTTTTCTCTTTATTTTTTTCTTTAGTTCTTTTTCTTTTTCGGTCGCTTCTGTTGTCCCATACACTCGTCATTGACTGAAATCGAGTGTTGATCGTAGCTCTCGACGCTTAAAGATAAATTTGATTGTTTAATGCGTATTAAGGCATTACGCGTTCTCGCCAACAAGTAGATTCGAGTGCGTGTACCTATGCATATCATGCCAAATCAATTGTAATCGTAATGTATATTTGAAATAATCATCTTGAATTAACATACAAAGACGTAGCAAAAATGTTAAGTGAATGATTGGGAACTCTAATCGCACTAGAAATATCAAAAACAGTGGTAATTTATGATCAAAACAAGAGTGTCGCATCTGTTTGTTATCGTACAAACAAATCAATGAGGAAACGCGACACTTGAGTGTTTTGGGTGTGTTGTTGCTGAGAGTATTCGACGGAAAACGCATCAAACAACAAGCAGCTATCAAAGGAGAAAGTTCTACCTCTCGACATTGGGCTCAGTATCCTTTAGCTATATACAAAATACTTTTACATATATATAATATCTCAATTATTGTTCTAATTATATGGTAAAAAATATTTACTATAGCTAACAATTAATAATGCGTTAACAATGATAGAAACTGTCTTGTTACGAGGAGAAGAACAACAGTAGTATCGTTGCCAGTAGAAGGTACCGAATGAATGATCACACATACAAGAGCGGAAAACAATTCTAGAAATGTGTCCAAACATATACAAGCAATCTAATCTTGTTGCTTTTCATACGCTTGTCTGGTATTTTAGATGAATGAATGGATGATTGCAAGGATTAATAGAAGTGCACGCGCGTGTCTGTGTATGCATATATACATATGAATATGAATAATGACTTGATGCGTATTTTGATCGAGCTCTGCCTTTGCTTCTAACTTTTAGGGTTTCTATATTTTCTTTTTGTCGTATTTAATTCGATCATCATCGATTAATCTACGCACAACACGATATATCAATCAATCAATCAATCATAATCATGCAATTTAGCCTTTAGCAACGTTTTGTAGAGTCGCAACCTATCTTGTTGATTGTTTGTTTCAAATATATTTCAACTCCTGTGGACACACATAGTTAGTGAAATGTCAACAGAAGATATTTATAATTTAACAGAATGAATAGTCAATCATTCGAGTAGTACTTGTATTCTTTTCCTTTCTTCCATGTTGTTTTGGCTTATTGTGATGCATTCGTCGACGTCAGAAAAGCGACAGAGAAATGAAAATAGTCACTTACGTCGCACTGTACTATGAATCTCTGGAGAATTTTCAAAGGGAATTGGTGCTGTCTATTCGTTGTGTGACAATAATAATACAACCAAGAGAAAGAAAGAAGAATAAAGGAGAAAAACGTAGCCTACTACAAGCAGCATCGTTCAGTCAGATGCCGATCATTAGTACAATGACAACGAAATAAAACGCGCAAAAGCGATGTGAGCAGTGGTTGTGTCGAAACACGCTATATCTCGTGATACAAGTGCATATGACGTCGATGATACTTTAGATGTCCGAATAACACTAAATAATTAACTTAGTGAAAAATTGACAGGAAATAACGATTTCAAATCAGGTATACGAGCACGTAAGATAAAACTTTGCACTTAATCACTGTGTATGCATACTTCGGAGTGACGTTTTTGCCGTTGATAATCCGATGGAATTTTCTCGCATAGTATATGTGTGTTTTTAGGCTATATATTTTTTTTCTTTATAATGACATTGGAAAGGATTAGTCGAAAAAAGAGGCGAACAGAAAATGAAAAGACTAATGGAATAATTATGTAACATTGTTTTTTCTCATTACGAACTCGAGATCAATGCATGGGTTTACTACCCGAGAAAGGATTGTGCGAAGCATCGCTAATTCCAGATAAATGCGTGACGTGATGAAATGACAAGTAAACAAATCAATAGAAATGAATGAGAATGTGAAAAGAAAATCAGTCTTACACAAAAGTCAAAGAAAGATGTAGAAAAAAGTTCTAGTAAATCCAGTACTGTACGAAAGCGACCTCTTCGAAAGTCCAAGAAGCTATTATTGGTTGGCGAATGTGGGCAAAAGATGAGCATCAATGGGGGATGTCATCAAGCTGTAGCGTAGTTGCACCCGCGATCTCAGCAATAGTATTATCCATCTAAAAGAATCTCAATAACACAAACGAGTTGAGAACAGTTCCATTTTTCTGATCGATTTCTGCTATAGGCGTGGATCGTTGTCATTGTATGTTGTCTGACGTATATGTGTGTTTTTAGATATAAATAATGGCATCACTACGTCCTAGTCTTGCTCTTGTACCAAAAGTTGTCGGTCGTCGACAATTTAGTTTAAGTCAACGTATGCGACTCAAAGACAATTGGGATCAAGAAGCCTTACCCGGCTCCAATGTTCCTTTCAATAGTACGAGAAAAGTGTTTTTCGTTTAAAAATCGAACTCGTTTTTCATATTTTTCTTCTAGCAAACAGTAAATGGGGTTTGGCTACAACTTTGATTCTCTACATATCATCAGCTGTAGCCGTTCCATTCTTCGCCATGCGTTGGCAATTACTCAAGAAACGTGCTGGTTAAAAGACGCTTTTTGAATCGCCTCTTCATATTTTTTTTTTGTTTCATCCTATCGCGAAAACCATAACCTTTACTTTCTTTCTAGTTAGAATAAAGATGATTTTTGTCATTTCCTTTCTCTAAGCAACATCTTTTCCCGTCCCTTTCTTTTTTTTAGATTCCAATGGCATCGTCGAACTATTATTTCGTTATTGTTGGCCATGCAGATCAAGTCGTCTATGAAGTTGAACTCGGTGGATCAACTGGCCAAACTGTGCCAGCATCAGATAATCGCCATTTGAATCAATTTATCGCGCATGCTGCCCTTGATCTTGTCGACGAAGCCATGTGGCGTAATACAACAACATATTTGAAACAAGTTGATAAATTTAATGAATGGACTGTTTCCGCGTATGTCACAGCTGGTGGTCTTCGATTTTTATTTCTCTACGAACATTTACCCCGCACGGGTGAAGATGGCTTAAAAAATTTTCTTACCGAAGTTTACGAAACCTATGTTAAACTTTTACTTAACCCGTTCTATGTACCGGATAAACCGATTCGATCGGGTGCATTTGATAAGAAAGTTCAAACGATTGCTCGTAAATGCATTTTGTAGAATATCGAGAAAAGAAACGTTTAAAAAATCGATTCGATATCTGTGATTTGCAAATATTATTTTTATGTAATGATTTTCTTTTTGTAGATTGTTAATAAATACTTCATGAACTATGCTAAAGTTATCTATCCATATCAAACAGGTGTCGCAGGTGATCTAGAATTGCAAGTCGATGATGTCATCGAGGTAATTTCAAGCATTTCGGTCAGATGAAACGAAAGAAAAAGCATGAAAGATGTTCATCTGTATACATGATCTAAAGAAGATTTTGTGATATTCTTATTGCAGGTCATAGAACAAGTCGATAGTAATTGGCTACGAGGCCGTCTCAATGCTAAAGTTGGTCTTGTACCCTGTAAATTCGTTCATCGATTTCCAACAGTAATACTTCATGAGAATCAGTCATTGTATATCGCACATACCGATTATCAATCAACTCATTCGGAAGATTTACAATTTCATCGAGGTAATCTCGATATTCATCATTGTCAATGTAAACTTTGTTGGTTCAGGTGATCTTCTAGTCGTTCATGAGCATCTACCGAATGGTTGGTTTCGTGGTTCGCTTCAGTTCGATTTACCTGGAACAACCTTTCGACCAACTGGCATCTTTCCCAGTACATTTGTAACATTACTCAAAGATAGATCGACTGATTCTAATCAAACAAGTACGATTCCGATGGTTTGTTTGCTTATTCTGTTTTCTCCTCTCGTGATAGAAGCTCAAGCATCATCTAGTCAACATGATCTTCTATCGTTTGATCCCAGTCCTGTCAAATTTGTTCGAGTCATTTGTGATATCAAACCGAGTGGAATCAATGAATTAGGTTGTTTTGAAGACGAAATTCTCGCTGTAATCGAAGGCGATTTGAATAAAAGTGAATGGTTGATTGTTAAGAATGCATTTAACTCAATTGGACGTGTTAAGCGAGTGTTCGTTGAAGCAATTGATGAGAAACAAATTGACGATGAGCGCAATGATCTCCTAATCGTGCCAACTATCAAATCAAATGCAATCGGTCTCGATGCACTTCAAGAACTCGTTGCTCAAGAATTTAATAAATTGAAGAAGAAAGAAGGTAAATTCAAATTTTTACTTACTTTGTTTTCTTATTCAATAACTACCCGAAGTAATTCTTCTTTCTTTTATTGATTATTCGATAGCCTTAAGTAGTTACATTTCGTTTTTGTTATACAACAAACGCGTCTATTGACGATCGCCCTTAGAATCTATATGAATGAATAGTGCTCTAATAAGAAAAAACGACGACTGATAATAATTGTTCGTCGAGAATGAATCGAATAGTTCTTTCGTTTTGTTGTGAGTAGACAGAAGAATCAATAGGTTATATCGAACGTGCCACTCCACTAATTGTGTCCAGTTTGACCTTCAAATAAAATAATGCAAACAAAAACAATAGATCAAACTATCACATATCGTTAATCAGTTTGTCTCAGTCTTTCGTCTTTCTTTTTTTCTCGAACATCGGTCACTCATTTCGGTGTGTATATGCGCAAATACACAGTGATGGTTGGATGAGTTAGTAGCTTAGTGAAATTGTACATACATTGTCTTTTACTCAAATTTTTTTTGTTCTTCTCCTCTCTCTCTCTCTCTCCTTCTTTCCCTTTCTCTTTTCATTCTCCCTTTACTCGTACGTTCACCTTTCGTATTCCAACGTTGACCATACATGTTGCTTTGTCTGAACGAGAAAAGTGGACACAAGTTGTAATTAATGTTGAATTGTAATAACAATCGGTTTGAAAGAAAAACGAAGAAGATTTATCATTGCATGAAACAGTGATAGATCGAAATAAAATATTCAATCAAATATGAATTTGGATATCAACTGCTCACAATTAAGTCTTCAATCGACTTCGTATTACCCCGCGAATATCAATTCGACATCCACGACGCATCATTCACTATCGACTTCAACAACTTATCTTCGTCGAATCAAAAAACATTTGCCGAAAAACTTCTGTTGTCCACATCAAACCAACTTATCATCTTCGTGTCTGAAATGTTTTCGATATTGTCTTCCGAAGAAGTATAAATGTGAGTGAGATGTTCGATCGAATCGGTTCTTTTTTTCTTTCATTCCTATCATACGTAACGAAAGTCTTTAACTTAAAGTATATACAAGTAGGTGATAAATGTACAGTATTATTTGCCTTAATATGTCTCTTATGTAATCAGACTGTATAAACAAAATTTTTCGAGGAGAGAAAAAATCCGCCTTAGACTTGCGTCATCGTAGTTCCAAAAATCTCTTAGTCTGAATTTTATCTTTACGATAATTGTAACTATTAATATGAACATGACTATTGTAGTACAATAAAAGAAAGGAAAAAACGACGAAGAATGATATGTAGGTTATATATGTACAGAGGATTCTTTCATTTTTTTTCTTTTCTCTGTTGTATTGACCCTACCGATGATTACATTAGGTCTATTCGAACGTGCCTGCCTTCCCTTCTTCCTGGACGGTTCCTCCTTTTCTTCTCTCTCCCTCTTCTTCTCTCACTTTTTTTTCTTCACATTTACCTACCAGTAAAACACATATTAATATTGCTCAGTCCCAAGACACACACTCGGATCGAGATCGAATAAAATGAACACTTTTGCCGATTATTGTTATTGTTGTCGATACTATCATCAGATAACCTTTCCCTCCTATTCTCAGTTTTGGCATCCGTGTATGTCTCAAATTCGATCTTCATTTCTTTGTTGAAAAAATCTCTTCTTTTAGCTCATTTTGCTTCTCCATCATTGCCACCACCACCACCGCCTGCTGTGTATGCTTCGTCACAAATTGATTACTCTCAACGATATCCTTATTCATTGAATCCCAGTCATGTTAATTCAAATAACAATAATAATATTCTCGATGTTCAGTCATTTTATACATCTCTACCTTTGCATAGCTTTGCAGCAAATAATCAGTACGTTTTTTCATCCGCTAAAACAGTTCCTAATGTCTGCCATACACCTTCATCAACGTCATCTCTATCATCGTTTGATGAACCGCCACCTGTTAAGCCTCGACTTACACTTCGACCACAGCTGCCACCCCCTCCTCCTCCGCCACCATTTGTTCCAACATTTTCTTCATCAATTCCACAATTGAGAGGTCCAACACGACCAGCGCCAAGGCCTCCTATACAAATCCAAACCGAACAACAGCAGGCAAGTGAATAAAAAATGATCTCGTCTTTTATATGTCACGTAACTGTCACATGAAATTGATGTTCTCTTCTATAGATTTCCTTTCATGGAATAAATAATCCATTTGATAAAACATTCAATCAAATTGAAGCGATATCAACACATGATAGTTGTGATATCGAAACCTCATCAACGCGAACCGACTTCTTCGATTTAGAACTACAAAACTTACATGGTAAAAAGATTGATGGAGTCTCGCGAACAATACATATGTGACCCTTTCTTTATTCTTTAGATCAATTGTTGATTGATGATCAAGTCGATAAAACAGATACAAAGTAAATTAAAACTACGCGATCTAATTTCGTTTTCAGGATTGTTTTGCAGTATTAATTATCGTCGTCGTCAACATGCGATCAGTGAATTACTATCAACTGAACGCGATTATTTTCGTGATCTCGATCTATTAACCGAAACATTTCTTAATCCAAATTCCATTCTATGTGTAGGGCTTTTTTCTTGCGCTACAGGAAATCCTTTCAAGATTTCGTTTTTTAGCCCGATAGTGTAAACAAAACTCTTCTATTTGGAAATATCCGTGAAATTCACGATATCACACGTCGTCTTCTTAATCTTCTTGAGTATGAATGTACAAAAAGTCAACAAGGTGACGATGCACATTGTTGTATTGGTCAAGTCTTTAACGGCTTAATCGACCAGTTAAAACATGTGTACGCAGAATATTGTCGAAATCATGAATGGGTACATGCTTATTTACGTAAGGTAAATTCTATTGACAAATCAACATATCGTTCAATTAGAGCGAATGTTTGTGCTGTTTATTTTCAGCATTCGAATGATGAAAAACTTCAACAATATCTTCAAGATGGTCTTTGCAAACTTCGTCTGCTCAAACCGAATGTGTTTGATGTACCTGCTCTTCTATTACGTCCTATTCAACGTATTGTTCGATATCCATTGATCCTGAATGAATTATTCAAAGTAAATATACGATCGGTACGATGGTTTATCATTCTCGTTAATGTTTAGAGCACGAGTAATGATCATATGGATTATGTTCAATTGAAAGAAGCGATATCCAATTTGATCACCATGGCTAATTTCATCAATGAATACAAACGTCGAAAAGAAATAGGTACGTGTTCATTTTTGTATTTACTTTGAGCATTTCAATGTCCTTGTTTATAACCAAAAGAAAGGCTCAAGAAAGGAGAATCAAGGTAAAAACGAAAGGATAAATGTAGATGCGAGAATAACATAAGGAGAAAAAAGAGATCTACAAACATTTTTTGCATAATCACTCGCATACATTCGAGCAAAAAAACGTACGTATCTTCGATTTCATCCGCTCACATTTATATACATTGTTCTCTCATCACACATACATACATTCGAATGGCCTTGACAAAATGTAGACGGTATATACTTGTCAAAAGCATACATAATGTCAATGTCACTGATGACAACATGGAACCGTACCATATCAGTACCTTTCGGCGCGTTACATCGATGCCACCTTTGCCGAGATTGTCAGCAGCGAATTTGATTCGACAAGAACATCAAACACGTTCATTGCGTTCGTCTCATTTAGTTTCCAAGTATCAACGACGTGAGAAAGATGAAGCTCTAACCAATAAATTGTACAAATTAAACATGCATACCATGAGGAAGAAATCAGCACGGATCAGTATGCGGTTATCCAGTGCATTTGGTCTATCAGCGCACACAGTGGATGAACGATTCAATTTTGAAGAACAAAGATTTCGAGCGATTGATAAATTTCTGCGAATATTTGTTCGTAATGCGTATACTTGTATGGAGGCTCTAAAGGTAATAGTATCGATAGTTTTGCTGTCATAAACGTTTGGGAATACCTTTTTCTAGGAAACATTTGTTACTCAAGTGAGCGTCGCTGAAGATTTCCAAGAATTACTCGCAGATAAAATGCCCGATCTAGCGCAACAATTCACTCGATCAAAACGTGCATTACTCGAAAGTGCATTTACGGAATTTGTAAGATGATTTTCCTTTCGGATACATTGTCATGTTTTTGTTTGGTAATTTAGTGTACACATATGGAATCATGTGTAGCAAATCCTATCAATACACTGATAAAACTTTTTGTTTTACCATCGAATTTAATCTCGAAAAGACATGATAAATTATTAGATTACGATAGTGCACAGTCAGCCTATGATAAAAACAAAGATCAACAGTCACGACAAGTATTTTGTTTACTTTTTATTTCTTCTGTTATAAATTCGATAATCTAGGCCAAACAAGTTCTCGATATGGCGAAAAAGACCTATGAAGCACTAAACAGTCAATTACTAGAAGAACTGCCTGTTCTATACGAGCACAGTTGTCAAATTTTATGCATATGTTTGAAAGCATTCATTGTCGGACATCTTCGTCTGATGCAACACATGAAAACAAATATCCATCAGGTGTTGAAACTAGTAAGAGCATCAACGTCAGTAAATACAAGTTCTATTGTTCATTTATCTAGACAAATTCACCAGCGAACCCGGGGCAATTAAGTTGGTTACAGATAGTTGAAAGATTCACTTCGAAGAATAGTTCTACTGCTGAACAATTGTTCCAATTAACAATCACAGCGAAGAATTTTGCGGATAAGTTGAAACATTTCTCGGCTGCTCGCATTTCTTCTCTAATGAGTAATGTTTATAATGGTGACAAGGTTTGTTTGATTTCGAATGCTTTTGTTTGAATAATTTGATCGATTAACTTAGGATGCGCTCATGCAAACAGATGAAAATCGACGTTTATTAAGAAATAATTATGCGGAAAGAGATCTTTTCACTGTCATACGAAATTATCCAAATCCAACAAATAATCGAACGACGGAGATTAGCGTTCGAACTGTAAGTACGATTTGCTAATTGTCGTTCGAAATTATTCAAACAATTCGCTAAGCTGAGGGCAAATCGATATCAAAGAATTTCTTCTTTCAGGGCGATCTAGTTGCTGTAATCAATCAAAATTATACCAATTCCGGAGATCCAATAGACATACACTGGCTTGTCGATAACGGAGGTGCGAATATTTGTAAGAATATCAAATCTTCTCAGTATTCTTTTCGCTTTCAGTGATCCGTGGTTTATTACCTCGCTCAATTCTAATACCACTATCATCCAGTGATCGATCAGGATTTCTCTCGCATACACCACCAACTCCCCTTCGACATGATATAATACCCACGCGAGCATCTCTACCTTCAGCTCATATAAATTCAGCCTTTAGTTATGAACATTCCAATCGTGCATTAACGCGAGCCAATACCGAGCCTCAAACATGCTTAACAAATTCTGCTCACGGTTTGGAAACTGAACGAATCTATTTAAATCAAATCACTGAATCTCATCAATATGCTTCGATTGATCTTGATGAATCCATTACATCCGAGTCGAATGAAAATGAACGGGTATAGACACAAATTTCAAAAGCATCTTTCCAGTTCACTTTTTTTTCTTTCATTTAGATTTACATCGCTATGTATGATTTCGAATGTACCAACGATGGTGTCCTTTCTTTGCATGCGGGTGAACGATTGAAAATTTTACGTCGTTTGGACGATGGTGGCAATGAAGACTGGTGGTATGCAGAGAAAATCAATGATATCACACAACGGGGCTATGTTCCTGCCAATTATATTCAAGTAGCTTGAATTCGTTTCACGTCTATTACTTACTTTATCAGTCTTTCGTTCGTACTAAGGGATAATTCTTTTACTTAACTTATTTAATTTTATGCGTGTGTGCGTTTCGTGCATTTTATAACAGAATTCTTTTTTCTTTTTCTGTCGAGTGGTTTGTCTGTGAATGAGTCTCAACTGAATTCGATTTCTTTCTTTAATGTATTATATTTATTACGGTTAATATTGCGATTTCGTGTCCTTTGATTTATTTTTGTGCGAAATTATGGAATAAATTAAACAGAAGAACGGATTTAGGGACGACAAGCATTAGCTCGTTTGTGGATTAGAATGAAAATCAAGATGATAGATGCTACCAGAGACCTAGTTTCTCTATCCTATATCTTTCTGTCATGATCGTGCATTGAAACAAGAACATTATCATGACATATGCAAAACATCGAATGGTACCAAGCATATACATAATTTTAAATGATAATCTAGAAAGAATCTTGTCATAATTCGAACCAATAATCGTCTATTTATTGATCAAATATCATTGACAAAACAGTTGTCTTAACATGTATCGAACCTGTCATATTAACGATGCTCTTTCGATTTGACACTAACTAAACAAGGTCATCACAAAGATTAATTGGCATGTAGAAAAGCAATTGAATATCGTATAGAAAACGGTTCGATGTTAATCAGTGAAATAAATAGGTGTGATCTCTAACTCTACGATTGTTTATCAAAAATAGCCTTTCGAAGTATTTAAAATAAAAAAAAACTCTCCTAAGTTTTAAGTCGTGAGATGCACTGTGGAATGTTCGAGAGTTTATCCACACATATGATCGATGATTTCGATGACAGTTCGCAAGTATTCTAACAGGAAAAAAGAAAGAAAATAGATAAGAATGAGTTTGAGTATATACTTCTCATTCGGACGCTTGATGACAATATCGATAAGGCCTGATTCAATTATTTCTCTTTTTTTTCTTCTCTCCATTATTCCTCTCTTTCAAATCGAACAAAAGTACTGTCTGTTGTGCATGTAATTATTGACAAAATAACACCTTTGATTGCATTTATATTCAAACGACAACAACGACAATGATGTGCGGGCATCAATTATATTTTTCGAGTTGAACTTTGGAAAGAGAATGAAGGAGAAAAATATATCGATGAACTGCGCTGACTAATCATGGTCAAATGGTCACATCGTTCTTCGTACGGTCAACTACACCTGTTCACTACTCACGTTTCTCTTCTTCTTCTTCTTCTTTCTCTCATTCGCTTTCTCATTATCAGAATTAACGTTCTTTACTTCTTAACTTTGCTTTCAGAATTGAACTATGAATATCATCCACTGCTTAATTCTATTCCTGCTTCATGTATACTGTCTCGCTGGACCTATTGAAGACCTTGCAACGATGCCTGACTTGTCATTAGTAAGTTACTAATCGCAAATGGTTCTTTTATCGTATTTTATAATATTGAAATCTAGTTTTATCAACAAATAATTCGTCAACAAGATATTCAAATGCTCTTGCAAGGTCTCTTTCCTCAGCAAACATCGGGCGGTGTGAATGATTTCACAATATTCGCACCAAACAATGATGCGATGATTAATTTAAATCGGAAAAATGAAGATTTAAGCGTGCTTTGGAAGTACCACATTGTTCCTGGTCGATATGATGAGCAGATGTTGTTCAGTATGGCGCAAGAGAAATACAATCAAGCAAGTCCTCAGCAAATGCTGGGAATTCGAGTTCAAAACAATCTGCCAACGGTTGCTTTACCTTTTCAAGTGAATACCGAAGCAAATTAAAAGGGAAAATGAGAGAAATATACAAACTCTTCTAGGTCTATTATGGTGTTGGCTTTTACGGTGGAACAGGACCGCAAATCAATGAAACATTTGACAATGCAGGATACGGTGCAGGTGGAATTTCTTGGTTGACACATACGTCATTTAATCAAACAAATCGATTTGAAAATAATATTCCTATGAATCCCTTCATCGGTATGTAAAGTAGAAGAATGGAAAAGTATAAGATCGTGTTCGATGTTTAGTGGACAATTTTAATCGAAATCAACAGCATCTTTCTGGACAAGGTAAATGAGCATCTCTTGTGACAGTGAATAGCTTTAACTTTGTCTTCTGTAGGAAACGCCATTCCGGCACATCGAAATCAATTTCGACCGAACATGACAAACTATTTTGGTAACGTTTTTAATCCAAATGTTAATGTACAATCAAGACAAGGTCTAATTATGCCAAATATGAATATGTATCCGAATTATCAACAACAACAACAACAACCACTGCCACCACCACAAGGTTATGGGCAATTTCCAACCAATACTGGGATTGGAGTATTGGTAAGTTCATGTACTACGGAAAGGATATCATATGACAAAATGTGCTTGACGTTTTTACCCATTGTATTCGATTCTATGAGACGTATTATTATCGTCTGTTGTGAATGTCGTTGTGACCCTCTCATAAATGTTGATGGAGTTCATTTTCCTCATGAACACTTCCCTCTTTCTGCTACAGCACTGTACAAACGTAATAATTGTACTACGTCTAGAAAGAATTGAAATTACATATAAATAAGTAAAGTGATTACGGCAGATGTCTTTCATATTTCATCGTTTCATTGTCATTTTGATAGTATTCTAACTTTTAGCGGCCAACGATAAACAACGCTTTTCTATTGCAATCACGTCCCATGAGTCGTGGTGTGATCAATGTTATTGACAATATCTTGTGGCCACCGGAAAGACGTGACCAGGTACAATATAAAACTGCTTATGATGCACTTGAAGATGGGCAATTTTCGTAAGATTCTTTTCTTTCCACGTTCTATTTGAGTTATATTTTAAAATGTATCAGACGTCTCCGACAACTGGCTGAGCGTAGTGAATACTTTCGCTCAGAATTACGTTCAATAAATCAGCAAACATGGTTCTTACCAAATGATCAAGCGTTTGCCAGTATGGGTTCGAGTTTAAGTTATCTTCTTGATCAAACTTCTATCAATAATACAAATGAGATCAACGAAGTAAAATATCGCGCAGATTTCTTTCTTTAATTCACACAATATAATTTAGTTTATCAATGCACATGTAGTTCCTTTGGTATTGTTTCCAGTTGCAATGGATTCTACAAAGAAAGTGTCTACTTTCAATGCGAATCGATGGATTACTTTTCGTAAAGTAACCGAACCAGATCAATCATTTCAAGGTAATTATTTGTCGTCCTGTTCGCTCACTTTTCGGTAGATAACTTTTTATCAATGGAAATTTTTTCTTGTAGTTGATGTTATATCCGGTCGATATGTCGCGCGCATCTTAGTTTCACGTCCCGAAGACATTCGATTCTATGGCAATGGTGTGGTATACCCAATATCGACAATACTCACTGCTCAAATCCGACCAGCTTCTGATGAACTGCTTCGAAGTTACCAGTAAAAAAAGCCTGAGCATTTGAGATGTTTCTACTGTTTTGTTTCATCATCGTTCATTTAGATATTTTATTAATATCGTACAACAATCCGGAGATTTAGAGCTGATGAATTTATTGCAAGGTACATCGGGTCAGAACATCTTTAATCCTCAAAATTCGCTGAATATTACGGTCTTGATACCTCAACAAATGTTAATACAACAACTGGGAAGCGGACAAGAACTCAGCATGGTAAATCGACGAGAGAACTTTGAAAACAGATCAATACACAAAACGTGTTTTAGAACTTACGTCGACATATCATACCTTTTCCGATATATGTGGAGCCACAAATATCGAATATAGGGGGATCGAATTACTTTACACAGCAGAGTATGTTTCAAAACGGCCAACAGCAATCGTTTGGTCAGGCAGGTTTTAATCAACGGCAACCATCTCAAATACCACAATTTCAGCGAACTGGCCCAGGCATCGATAAAAAGCTACCCCGACGTCGTCGTCGTCGTCAACAACAAGCAAATCTATCTCCTAATACAAACTACCAACAAAAACAGTTTCCTCAACAACAAATGTTAAATCAACCATTGCTACCCAATCAACAAATACTACCAAATCATCCGCCACAAATGTTACCAAATCAGCAACAGCAAATGCTACTTAACCAGCAACAGCAAATCCTATTGAATCAGCAACAGTCAAATCCAAATTTCTATCAAACGTCTTCTTATCCAACTTCAGCAACTTTTCAAAATGACCAGACGTATCCAACACTAGATCCTCAATTTACTCTCCGAGCGCAAGTGTCAGCTGGTACACGAGGACCTGGTAGGACAAACGTAATGAAAATATTTTAGTTCTGTGTTTTGGCTTTCAGTTGTGACACTTATTGGTCGCTCAGCGAATTCTTTACCATTTTCTGCAACAGTTATCAACGCCGAATCGAACCTTCCAATAAAAAATGGAGTTATGCATGTTATTCGAGGTACGATCATTGAGTTGCTTGTATTTTCGTTAGTTCGATATTTTTCACTTCAGGTATTTTATCTGGAATGATAATACCAATTGAAGGTGTTTTGACATCTGTGCAAGGAGCCAAGTAATATTCGTTTGCTCTGTAATCATCTTCTAGCTTTTATTTATTCCAGTGCATTCACTCAATTACTTATGCAAACAGGTGTTATTGAACAATTGAAACAATCAAATCGTCCGTATACTTTATTTATTCCAACCAATGCCGCACTACAATCTATGGGTGTGACAAGGAATGGAAATCTGTTACGACAAGTACATATTCTCTATACTATATGAACTTGTTTCTATGATCATGAGTTTTTGTTTTGTTTTTACGTTGATTAGTTTGTTCTACGTCATATTTGCGCTGATGTTCTTCTTGATCCCATGAATAATGTTCTACGTCGTTCAGCCGGTTACTACAATCGTCCTCAAAATGCTTTATTCAAGCGTCCCCGTCAAAAACGACAAGATTGGATGAATAGTCAACGAAATAGATCGAATATCATGAACAGACAAGGTTTTCAATCACCAAATATTGCCCAAGGTTACTTTCAACCACAGCAACAATCCTACGGAGGCTATCCAGCTTCTTCGACTCCGTTCGGTTCGAACAACCAACTGTATAATTCAGGTTATGCCATGAATGGCAACGCCGCATCAAACTCTCAATATTTTCCTGGTTTTAATGGAAGTTATTTTGGTAATCAAAATAACATTTACAATACTATGGGAATGTCAAATCAACCATTCATGGACAATACGTGGAATCGTACAATGAATATGCCTGTTAATCGACAAATGATACCTCCATCTAATGGTAAACAAGAAAATTATTTTACAAGTTCGAATACTTACTTTGGTGCAACAGCTTCATCTGGCGGACCTCAATCATGTACTGCAATGACTGGTGAGCGTATTATAGTTCAATCATTGGAAGGTCCCCAATCCGATGGTATGAGAGAAGCGAAGAGTATTGTTGAGCAAAGAAGTTGAATTCTGTTTTTATTTATTCTTTAGGCAATACTCCAAGTATGTCATATCAAAGTAGGTCAAATCGATTCTTCGAAGTCGTTCGATATCATTGTGCTAATTTTCTTTAGATTTTATTGTCACATGTTGTGGTGATCAATCGGTGAACTCAATGGTTCAATCGTTTAATGTCTATGCTCCTAATTATGCTGTTTATGTTCTCGGTCGACCGTTGATATCTCAAGGTCAAACAATCAATACCATGTACATGTCCAACTATTCATCTAAACTCGTTCCTTCTTCGTTTATGTTCATTATCTTTATTATTTCGCTAATTTTCGACAAAATACATCAGTTTTAATTGATTTTATGTACACAGAAACATGTCATTCGATTGATTTCTTTTACACATAAAAAATAACTACGGACTATACATATAAACAAAACAAAACAAAAACCAACTTCAATGGGCCACCGATAAATTTGAATGACTAACATACGAATAGGATAGAGTGGAAAGATTACGTTGATCAACGAACGGATGATCTTGAATAACAAAATCATCACGTCGAGAATTATTTTTCAAATATAACTTGTTCTCATTACAATTGATCAGCATGCAATAAAATGCCGATGCCACATCCGTTTCTAATGATAGATGACCATGATCGGAAAGATTTTCACATAGAATAGAGAATTCAACGATGGGATCCAGTGGTTGAGATTGTAGTGATGAGACTGATGATTGTTGACTCATTGTACTTGAGTCAAGTGACAGACTACGTTGTTTTTCGTTTTTTTGACGAGTGAACTCTTCAATGATTTGACGTTTGAGATTTTTTGCATTGACAGACGATGATCCCTTGGCAAACTCAATCTTTTCGTAGTGTACCGGCCGAGCGAAATCGTAATCTATCGATGATAATGGACCAGCTAAAAAAGACGGATATATATCACTGATAGTTCTCTTTTGAGAAGAAAGTGCACTGTCTTTTCGTTTTGAATCACTCACTTTCATCATCAAGAGGATGATCAACCTCGTGAAAATCTGGTTCATTAAGATCTTCATATTGTCTAATAAGCTGTTGTCTATCTCGTCGACGATCCATCATGTTCAAATGTTCAAAATTTAAATCAGGGAAATTATACGCATTGGTGAGTTCACTTAATGGTCGTAGTTTTCTTGCTAATTGCATTTGATTCAGACTTTTCTCACGTATACGTAATAATAACGAACTTTGACTTGTACTAACAGTTTTCTTATCACGACCATAATGTTGATGGTTTCCAAACATGGTTTGTTCAACTGAGTTGTTACTGGAGATCTCGATTCGAATGTTCCGTTTAGGACCAAGACCCTCTCGTGCTAAATTTGCGATTTTATGTGGTGTCGCAGGCGCTTGTTTGTCTTGAATAGTAGACGTGTTTGTCGTTGGTGTAGGTGCGCTTAATAGATTAGTAAATTTCCATATATTTGGTCCAGCGAATAATTTGAGTTTCGTAGCATCGAAATAGGAATATTCCGACTGGCCATCTTTCGGATGTAATAAATTAGGCATTTGATCAGCAAATGAAACTGTACTCATGAATGACGCGGATAGAAGACCATTCGTCGATGGTAAATTTGACTAAAAAAAGAGCAGATATGTTCTGAGATGATAAACAATTTCCTTCCTACATTTGTTGATTGTTGCGATTGAATATTCGAATGTGTGCTTGATGGATCCGGATAACTCAATTGTGTTAATGCATCTTTGAAGACTTCATTTGCTTGCGACGGATCATCGTTGAGATCATCAATAGCTGCGTGCATCAATTCTTCATGATTGTATCCGTCATCATTATCAACATTATCGTGGTTGACATACGATTGATTCATACTTTCGTCAAGTTGTTGACCAAGACAACTTTCATGAATTGTATTGATAAATGATCCACTTGGTGTTTCATTGAAAACAAAATCACGTAAAGTATGGTTTCCTATGAAAAGGAAACAGAATGGACTTCATATTCAGGACTATGAAATTTCCTTACCAAGAATGTGATCGTGTCCTTCACTACCTCGAATAGCACTACGCAATGATGTGAGATCAACCATTTCGGTAATGGTTCGATCAAGAATTGAATCGATTCTACTTTGTTGTTCTTCCACTTGAGCATTCATGTTTGTAAATCCATCAATCAATGGATAATCACTCGACGAATACATCGTGCTTGAAACCATTTCAGCATATATTGAGTCGGCACCTATACCACCACGCCAATGGCACATATTAGGCGATTGTAGCGGACGAAATTGAAATTCGTGCTCAAGAGTGATTTTTGTTGTGTCGGTTAAAATAAATGTTGTCGCTTTCGCTTTAACACGACGTACTGGCTTCTTCGGATCGATTTGATCCGAATCAGCTTTGTCATTGTCACCTTCGGCTTGATCGCTTTCTTTAGTCGCACCATCGGCAGCTCCTTCTTCTTCAGTGTTCAGAATGTTTCCACTTAATTTCTGAGTCTCCGTGTGTAGTGCATCCACACGATAGCCATAAATCTTTGCACTAAACAAAATTGACGGTGAAATGTTTATCGTTGTGAGAGATTTTACCTTGTATCAATAACTGATCCAGCCTTGACGAAATTCGGTCCTAGATTATGATTTTCTTTATCGTCTAACGCAATGACATTCAGAACTTGAGGTAAACGTTCCACCAATGGAATATTAAATGCGTTTTTTATGTTGATTTTTCCTTGGGTTGCTAACTCAACCGTCTTTTGGTACAAATCAACCAACTGTCTTGGTGTCTGAGTTGGTTGATCATCTATCGCATTGAATGAACCGTTCAAAACACGTGAAGGACGCCGTCCAGTAAGGCTATCGTTCAAAGAGTTTTCCTTTTCATCGATATCATCGTCCAAATCAGCGATTTTTGCTGTACGTCGTCGTGCAGCCAAGGAACTAAAATGAAATTCTACAATTAGGATGAACTAGAAAATGTTTTTCAGTACCGTCGAGGAGCTGGTTCAGGCATTTTCGTTGATGCTAATGACAATAGCGAACGCTTAGTCTTTGTTCTTTTTCTTTCCGCCTTGTCGTTTCGAACTGACCAATTCGGTGTCTAGCGCCACTATCGAATAGAAAATTAATGTGAATCAACGTGTGCGTTGTTGTTCGTGGAAACAGAATGGTAATGGAGTAAGAACAGTTTAAAATATACTTCTCATTGCATGGCTACAGAGTCACCCGAAGATCTTAATAATTTTCTCTCCAAAGTCGATGATATTCGTGAGTTAACGACGAAATTTCCAATTCTCTATATGTAAATGTGTTCTTTGAATTAAACAGATCGACTTGTACAAGACTTATCTTCCAACGATGCGAAGGATGTATCAAAAGCAATGGAAGAATCTGACGCCTTGCTCAAACAAATAACTAGAACAGGTGTTGATCGTACTGTGATTAATAAATCGCCTTCTCAGCCCTCATCACAAGATCAAATGTCGCAAGGTAAGAGCTCGTGGTTTATATGGACGTGCCGTAATCATGTTTTATTTTCAAAACCTAGCTGCATTTATGAGCGCATTGGAGCAAGACGCCCAAGAACGTGCTGAAAATCGTCGAAAAAATAAAAATCTAGCGGATGATTTCAAAGCAAAAGGAAATGATGCATTTCATCAACAATTGTACGATCAAGCAATTGAGTACTATACGCAAGTACGTACGAAAGAAATAATCTGACTATCGATGACAAACATCACTTCTTCATATTCGCAGGGTTTAAAAGTAAAAAAAGATTATGATGTTTTATACACAAATCGAGCTCAAGTCTATGTGAAGCAAGGTCGATATGAAGATGCAATAAATGATTGTGAATGGGCATTGAAAGTAAACGATTTCTAACGATGGTGCTGTGCTTCTATAGAGTTATTGTGTAGGTAACACCGACATACATCAAAGCGTATGTAATAAAAGGCAAATGTTTGATAAATCTGAAAGAATTCGATCGTGCAAATGAACAGTTTCTTGAAGCCGATAAAATTGCTGTTAAAAATTTCGAACCGATCGCTACTCGACGAATGATAGAAGGCTCGTGAGTGATAAGAAAACGCTGAAGAGATATTCGCCTGTTTTCATTTCAGAATGCATTCAAGATGTTCAACGACAGCGTGAAAAACATCAACGAGAAGAATCGGCTCGAGTATTTCTCTCCAATGAAAATCCATCTGAACCAATGAGTTTAACTAATACATTGAAAAAATTAACTACCGATCAACAACCGATCATTTTCTATGTTGGCGGAATCGATCTTCTATGTGAACTGATCAAGGACGGTAAAAATAAATAAAACTAAAGGAGAATTCTTTGAAGATGTGACTTTTCTAGAAACAACTCGAACGGCATTTCGAGTTAATCATGGGTTTGATCTGTTCAATTCACATTCGATCATCGTTGAGAGCACAAACGAGAATTTATCCGAAGCATTGTTTCGTCTAATGACTATCATATCACAAGATGATGGTAGGAATCGAACTTCGATATTTGTGAAAACTGTTTGATATTTAGATGAGAATACAAAACTATGTCTGCAAAGTAAATTCCTGAACAATTATCTCGCGAAGTACAAATATTCATCAGTTGCATTGAAATTTCTTGTCGATACGTCACTCCAAACAAACATACGTTTGATACTGATACAAAAAGTCAATCTGAATAAGTACGAATAGAAACGAAAGTCTATTCCCAACTAGGAATTTTCTTCTAGATTTATTCAATATTTAATGGATTTGATAAATGACAAGAAATCTTCACAAGTCTATGCTGCAAAACTGCTCAGTAATTTAGCAGTAGAAGTCAAGTAAATCTATTCACTAGACAATTGTTCGTCGATTCGATCGATTCGTTTCTAGAATTAAACAATACTTTACCAATAAAGATGAATTGTTACAACTGATCACAGTTTTAGTAAGTAGTTCGTATTTATTTCAGAACTAGTCCAATGCGACTTTGTTATAGAAATCCGCAACAATTGGTCAACAAACTCGAACAGTTATGTTATCATTACTGACCAATCTTTGTGCGGAAAAGAATATTCGTTCATGTGCGATTGAACAAACCGACTTGTTACAAGTTCTTTTGAAAGATTTCGAGTGCGACGAAAGTGACCGACAATTGAATCTTCTCGGTCTGTTAATCAATTTAACAAATGAAAAATGTGTTGCATTGGAACGAATTTCTCAACAAGTAATTCAACATTCGCCAATATCAGACGAATAGAAATCTTTTTAGTTGTGCGAGAAAATTCTGACGACGCTCAAAAAGTCTTCTCACCATCAACGAATATTTACACTATTGGGAAACATTGCTATGCATTATGATCAAAGCATCAATACTCTGCTTCAATTCAATATCATTTCTTCCATCAATCACGCATTCCAACAGGTTTTATCCAATTGAAGCTATTTATTTTCGATCCGTGTTTTTCCTGTAGGATGAAAATGAAGAAAATATTCGCGCCGGTGTTCGACTCTTGGCATTGTGTACTCAATCGAATGAGCAAGCACAACAAACACTAGCGAATGACACTAAACGTATGCTTTGTTTTTGATTTCCAACTTTCTATTGATCTTGCTTGTAGTCCTATCGACTATCTACACTCAATTCTCGAAAAGCCAGCATTCATTACTCATTGGTAATGCTTCATTGGTCTTTGGAAACATTGTTACGCATTCAGCGGCGAGAAAGTTCCTACGAGAACATTCTAAAGTTGGTGGGACTATTGGTCAAATGCTGAAATTAGTTGAAGAGCCGTGGTTGAGTAAAGTAGCAAGAAAAAATGTGGCAATCTTCATCACTAAGTTAGTGAGAGCCGATGAAAAGTATGGAAATGAATTATTTAAGAATTGATTTCTACGATGTTTTGTTTCGCTTTTAGCTTCTTAGAAGAATTTCGAAAACAGCATGGAACTGAAATTCTCCATTCAGCTCTGAAAGATGTTGAATTATAAACACAAACTATGATTTTAACTAATAAATCTTCAGCCAGATCGGCACGATCGAACGAAACTCATTATTTCCTGATCTTTCAGTTTTGTTTGAAAAATAACTATAAATAACAAAAAACTGGTTATTTAAGAACTTTTCCTATATCCTTATTTCTTCTTCTTGGCAGAATTGTTATTCGCTGACCATTGTTGAATCCAATTCGTCAGATTTTCCACATTCTTCTTGAAATCTTCCTCGGTTTCGTTAGTTATTTCATGAACAATAGCTTGATCGAATGTTTCTTGCGCTTCGTCAAGACAAACTTGAAAGATTTCCGATTGGATATTTTGTTCGATTTTCTTATCGGAATAATCTCGTTGTTTCAATCGATCGTACAGTTTATCATTACTACAACGAACAACAAATACGCCATGAATGTGGTCACTATCAGGAATGATTCCTGCACTGTGATAGTCGATAACTAAACCAGATGGTGGCGTTTCTTTCGCGAAATATTCGTCATCGAGATAATCATGAACAGCATCGTCATCTAATATTTGACACTCGTTTTCGGCATCGTATTCGAGAAGAAATTTGTGTTGTTTAGCCAAATCGTTGATGCTGAGATAAGTTAAAGATTTATTTGCTGAACATAGTTCTTGACACAGACGAGTTTTACCAACACCTAGACAACGGAGATTTAGAATTGCAAATGAAGAGGAATCATGTGAATGTACCTGGTGTGCCGCAGATAACAATATTTGGAAGTTGTTGGTTTGAACTCATTGGGGATGTAGGCAATGCTTTCTACTGAAAAAGAAATGGGATTGAAACGTATTTTAGATATAGAATTGCATCACCAATTACGACGAAAGAAGGAAGATGTCGCCATGAATCAAATATTTCGATCTCTTCACGTACGAAAATGGGATGAAGTGTGGCATCGAATTGCACTATTAACTATGCAGGGCTAACGAACATGTTCTTTGCTTTGCTTTGTTTCTTTTCCCTGAGAAATCAAACATATATGTAGAAAACTAAATGAAATATTTATTCAATCGTGCATTTCCAAGTGCTTTACGAAGAAAACAAATGAAATCACTTTTCAATCTACAAACAAATTCTCTGTAACGTGTTCTGCATGTAAGTATTGTCTGTGGTGATTTTTTCTCACGTGTTTATAACTCGAGCAAAGTGTATTTACGACAATCTAGTACTTCATTCATTACATGCAACCCTAGGAAATCATGCGATGTTCGAAGACAGTTTAGTTTTATTCATTAAAAATAACTTCGATCTTCAATAGCTGAACGAGCAATATCGATTTGTACGTCTTCTTTCGAATTACTCGTAATAGTCCTATTGCATCTGCAAATATAATAACAAAAACACCGTAAGAACAATTGTAAGACAAGATTGATATCATAGACAAGTTTCACAAGAGTAAAAGATACTTGAAAAAGAAACGATCGATCGAGAGTCTTTGTTAAGAAAAGATGCATAACATATTCGATGTTATCTTACGAAACCTAAGAATATCATTGAGTAAATCTCTCCTTCTCGAAGATTTGCATAAATAAAATCTAAACGAGTTTTTATTGCTTGCGTGGAGAATGGATCATTTCTTATCGTACTCTCAAAATTCGTCAAAAACTCTCCCTCTCCACAGATTGTTTGTAACCTTCTGACGTTAACGAAGCGGTAAATGAAGTCGAATGCTGATCTCTTCACCGGGGACACTTTCAAGTACGAATATCTCTAAATTACATTAGCAGATATTAACTACTCCTTGAAACCTTTTAAACTTTTTTGAGAAGGAGATTTGAGGTTGCTACTATAACAACAAGTCTCGAAATGGCGACGAAATCTACATTCGTATGTGTAACGAACGGCATTTTCATGCATGTAAATATTATTTTTATACTCGAGAAAAGATGTTTTCTTTCTTTTTTTTTCTCTTCATTCGACTCGTCTATTACAAATAGCGATCGAAATATTCCTCTTTTCCAAAGTATCATATTGATTGAAGTTTTACTCTCAATAAACAGTTTCTACCTCGAGTAATTCTTGTTCGCAGGAATGATACTCCATGATAGACATGTCATTTTGGATTTTTTTGTTTCTTCGCTCCGATGAAAAAAAAATCAAACAAACAAACGAAGTTCTTTTTCTATAACGAAAAAACCTCAGAACAGATCAAGTGTTGTTACTCTCCCATTTCAACCTTTCCTCTCGTTCTCATCACCTGTTGTTCATTACAAATCATGCATACATGTAATCGTATGACGGGAAAGAACAATGAACTTTTACATTCTTTCTTTTCTTTCTTGTTCTTCTTCTTTTGTTCAAGATATAAATACATGGAATCAATCCATACGACATAAAAGAATACTTTTACAGTCCTAATGCCATCGTCATTTTCATTTTTACGAAATAGTCGAACTAATAGTTCAAGTTCATCAGTGGAACATGATTTAAAAAGTGATCAAAGTGACGACGACGACAGCGATCACCATCACCACCACCACCATGAAGAGTATCGTCTAAAACGAACAATACCGAATGAGAACGATATGTTAGAACGACCTTCAGATCATGATGATGACAGTTGTAGTCAAAGTGACGTTACCGATAATAATGACGATGCTGATGAGAAAAACGATCTTTTAACTTCAACAAACGATACTCGATCAGTTTTGTTAACTCGACAAGCAACATTGTATGCTGATGATTGGCCGAAAAAACGTACTTTGAATGAGAATCCAATGAGAAAAGTGTCAATTAACGGCGAGGCAACAATTTTGGACAATAAACATCACGAGAAACTCTTTCTAGATACAAATTTCGATCGACCAGTAAGTGTATTTCTTTCTTTTCCATCGCCGTTAAAAGCTAACAGTTATACTTGTAACAAACATGTCAGTATGTGAAGTGCCGAAGAAAAGGTTCTTTCTATCGAACATTAACATTTTTAAGCTCACTTCATTGTCACATTCTTTTTTGTTCATTGTATAGGTCGATTTAATCAATACTTTCAGTCATTGCCTTCTTTTACGACATAAATCAATCCGTTTATTCCTCTTTTTTCTTCGTTCTTCTTTCGTTCTCTTTATAGTTTTCTTCCGAAAGAAGTAAATCAGGTGGTATTGTTGATAAGAAGTACCACTCACAAAGCCTTCATACACCACTAACAAGTGATTTTACTACACCTATTATACAGCAACTTCATTCTAATTCGGAACAAGACAATATGAAGAAAACAATAGTGCCGCGAACTCAAGCCAAACTGAACACGGGTACATCTTCGATTCGAACATCGCTAGTGACTAAAGGGACACAACGTCCCCTCTCAAAAATTCCTGTTCGAACAAATTCATCATCACAATCACGATCGCGCAGTCCAGCACTGAAAGCTGCATTAGCAGCGGCAGCAAAAACTCGGTTAGATTAAACAATCTGTCCGCTAATTTAGTTCTATTGTCAAATTTGTTTTCTAGACGTACGACGCATTCGCCAACAAATTCCTCGAAAATACCTGTGCCAGTTTCGACAACAAGCAAAGGTGCGTTTCGTTTCTTTACATCGGCAGATCGTACGGGAACATCGCAAGTCCCTTCGACGACGCCCTCTACGCAAGTTTCGACTAAAGGCAATACTCAAGTGTCACCATTCGCTCCAATAACACATCGAAATACATTTTCACCAGCACGAAAAGCTACATCTTCGGCGGGGAACACACCATCGGCAAAACATCGACAGTCGCAATTAGCCCTTAGTGACGATGATGAAGAATCGGATACAAATCTTTTAAAAGAAGATGATTTAAAGTTGAAACTAAAAGAACAAAAACGACACGGAAAGAAAACAGGGGAATTGCTTAATAAACTTCATGAAAATTACGAGGAATTATTAGAAAAGTATGCTCAAGCAGAGAACACAATCGATCAGTTGCGATTTCAACCGAAAATTATAGGCGATGGTACACCTTCATCCAATGCCTCTGAAGTACGGGAAAATTCTTTTTTCTTCATCATATCAATCTACAACAATCTCCATTTCAATAGGGAATTGTACATTTCATTCAACAGCCTAAAGTTAATATGGCATCTGTGAGAACGAGTGGCGTCTATCATTCCACAACGGTAACACCACTTTCTTCTATAATGCAAGTGCCTTCATCATCAACAACTGAATCAAACCGTACACCGGCCATGAAAGGTAATGGTCTATTTCAGAAAATGCCTTTGGATACATTCGCGCGTGCTTCTAAACTTGTTCACACTCTCCAGGACTCGCTTACATCGCATTCTTTAAATTCATGGAAAGCCTGTTCTGTTTCCCCGGATTATTGAATTGAAATGTAAATAGAAATGGTTTCATGTTTCTATTTTGTTTTGATTTCACATTTTTCTCGAAACTGGCGCAAAAGTAGTGTTTCATCCACCGGCCGTTTTCTTTTTCTTCTCCTGACAGTGTTTGTAATCGTAACACATGTCATGAAGCCTATGAGAAGTCGACAATGATGGTGTATGAGAGGAGAAAAAACGAAATTTATTTTTTCATATGTAGAGATCTTGCCCTATAACCAAATCTCAAGAGTCACATCGGTTGCATCGAGCTTTCTTCTTTCTTTTTTAAATTATAATCGTATGTTTAAACAGAAAAAAAGTGGACAGATTTTTTGTCAAACAACCTTGATTTACTACAATATAGAGACGATTGAAATCTACTGCTAAGAAGCAGGTAGAGTACTAGGTACAGGTTTCACAAATTAAGGCAGTACAGTTTTATATAGACTTCTTCGACGAGCAGTACTCGTGAGACGGAGTTGACTTTCTCCATACAATAAAATAACGAGTAATGCATCGTTTGAGTTCCGATGGAATGAGACGCTTTGTACGTAGGGGATAAGTAAGTTCGCCTAGCCGATAGATTTCAAAATGTTTACAGGCTCTGAACAGATAGTTGCTCATAGTTACCCTGAAAATGGTTGCTATGTTAATGAGTGTTAAATAAACAGATAAATGCACAAGAGTATTTCATCCTTCTTTATTGTTCTTTTTTGTTTAAATTGTTTTTTTATCGCATGAACGACATATGTCTACTAAAATACCTTTCAGTTGTATACATTTCTTAACCTAAAGTACAAAGAAATCTTTTCTTCTTGTAACTATCACACAGTCTTTGAATGAAACTTCTGGTTTGAATTTTAGGTGTCTCACCAGCGAATTCAGCAGCTGCTGAATCTGTATTTTTTGATGAAACAGTTCCTCAAACAATCACCATCCAAGAATTAACCACACCTGAAACAGTTAAACTCGATCTACTCATACAAACTAAAACTTTAGGTGGAAAGGTAAAATGATTTATCTATGGAATACTGAAGTACTCCTATTCAAATACTTTTCGTTTTCATTTTTAGATGAAATCATTTCTTACTCTGATGAATGCTAATCAATTAAGTTTAGCGGAACAGAAACAAGTATATGACACGATTAAGGATGATTATGAGAAATTATTAAAGGCCTTTGATCGGTCGAAGCAAGGCAATGATTTTAGTGATGTCGATTTCGATGCGTAATGATGCGATGTTCTATGTCTTTGTTCTAATAGACTTCTCTTGCATTCGTATTTGTAGAGATTTGAATACGGAATTGGAAATGATGAAGCAGTTGTTGAAAGAAATTGTCAATCGAATCACTGATAATCTACTTGGTAAATCAACGAATGGCATAGAAACAGATCGACAAAGTCGTGGAACACAAAGCGAAACACATTCGGTAAATATCAGAGCAACTTTACTTCTTGATTTCATTCGACATTTGCTCTTAACATAGAGTCAGGCTTCCGCTCGATCGTCCTTATGCAATCATACTGATCTAATGGATCAATATCAGAAACTACTCAGTGCAGTCAATGCTGGAATATTAGAAAAACAGAATGAAGCAAGATTATCAAATCTAAGATTAGATAACGAAGTCGAACAAACAAAGAAAGAGTAATTTGAAACGATTTGTTTTCTTTTAAAGTATCATTCGTTCGATTTTTCTATTCCGTAGTTCATCCACGCTGGATCTTTCGAATCACATACCTCCAATAACAAGAAATCAGAAACCATACGTTCATCATTCCGCGGTATTTTGAAATTTGTTGACGACAAAATTGAAAAATGACTGTTGCTATTTTCATTGAGAAGCATTCTGACGATGATCAACAAAAACAAACAAAGCGAACGACACCTGTTCAATTCAAAGAAGAGGTTGAGTCAACATCATTTGAGCTTAATTTGCATTCACCACCAACGAGTCACCGTCGTTCACCGACGGATCGAAAACCAATTCATCGACATGAACCCACTGCCGCGAAGACAAAGAAATCCTCAAGCCAACAAAACATTCAAAACTATGATAATCTAGAGAATATCGCGAAGTCTCAGGGAAAGCATCGAGTAAGTGAAAGCAACTCCAATTGGATTGATGAAAGTTAATCACTGATTTTAGAAACCGACCACTCATTATCAGCCCGAGGATGAGAGGAGTCCCCCATCTCTTTCGAATGGTACGGGTGGTGTGCATTATTCAACGCGTTCAATGCGAACACGTACAAGTGATTATGATAGTGGAATCGGTACAAATAATACCACTAAATTAAGTCGTGATAGGTAATCTGATTACCCCAAATAAAATCAAAGAAACTTTCCTTTTTTCTTCTATTCTATAGTAAATTAAATACAAGTATGATTGACGAAAGTCATTACCAATCACTCGACGATGATCGACGGCGATATACCGATGAAGAACAAGGTAAGTCAATGTCATGCATGCATACACTACAAATCAATTCTTGTTTGTATTCTATTAGAAACAATGTCTAGTGTATCATCTCGCTCAAGTGCCCCTAACACAGCCAGTCCTGCAATGTCATACACGTAAGTTTTGTTTCTATTACTATAGTTTCTCGTGAGTGTCAACTAGAAAAAATAATATCTAATAAAGTCAATCGATAGGCGAACGAGACAGAAAAGGAGAAAGAAAAATAATTCTTTTCTTCTCTCGTCCTTCAATCGCTTTTACATCAAATTTTATGATTACATTTGGACATTTTTCTTTCAAGTAAATATACAAAACGATTCGACACCTTATCATCAGTGAACGAAAGTTACCGACGGCTACACAGTGGACGATCAGGTATGAAACTCTTCCATCTACAATGTTTTCTTTTCAATCAACTTTGCAATAGATCTCTATCCATCAGATATTGAAACATTCGCAGCTGATTCATTCGATCGTACACCGCAAACTTCTCCGTTCAAGAGAAAACCTCGCCAAAGTCATCCAAACATTCAATCACAACAAACACGTTTAACACCGTACAATCGAAGTGTGTCTACTGACAGTATCAATTTTCGTCATTATCAAAATAGTTCATACCGACCGCAAACAGCTCCACACCATCCATCAACGATCGGACAAGATCCGAAAATGAGTCGAAAATATCAAAGCGGTATTGTTCACCGGCAAACGAAACCATTAGCGAACAATTCAGAAAAAATGTATCGAAGTGCTTGTTACATCGATGAACCACATACACATCGACGGTCACAAGAAAAACTTGATCAACGTCACAGACACACACCAGCTCCACCACTTCCACCCTCCTCGTCATCAACAACGGCGACAACAAGAAAACAATCAAATAATCTATACTTAGATACACAAACTGGTGTCTTATAGTAAGTAAAATATTGATTTTGAACAGAAGTAAATACTTGTCTGACACTTTAGTCGATATATATCTAACAAAAATCAACCTTCGACTACATCAGTTTATCAACCAACTTCGTCTCAAGTGAAACCATGTACAAAATTATATGAATGTGCTGATTGTGGCTGTATGACGACATATCATCACCGGTTTGTAATCTCTAATTATATACGATACACAGCTTTTTTTATTATGTTTAAATGCAAACAGAAGTGTGCGAGGTGCTAGAGAAAATTCGAAAACATCGTTTCTCGTGCTATCGCATATTCCTACTTGAAAAGATTGCTTTTTTTCTGTTCAGTCACCATTTGTCCTCAACGGTTAAAAAAAATGCGAACGATATCGATGATCTTGGTTATGAAAGTGGAAACAGGTAATTCGTCTTTTCCGTTATCATGATTTGACATATCGATAGTGTTTTGTAGAAGAATGAATCGCCATCGTCAGTATGCCAATCGTGTTACATCTTCCGACAGCGAATCCGAAGAAGTAAGTTATAAATAATTATCGAACAGAAGACTTAAAGGAAAAGTATATGTTTGTTTTCAGATTTCCAATAGCTACGATATGGCTGCATTGAATGAAGCTTATGAACGAGCAAGAAAAGTTCAACATCATTCACAAGCATTATCAAGACATATTAGTCGACAGTTGAAACTCATGTTAGCTACTGTTTAAATTCGAAGCAAAGGAAAAAGATATGTTTTCATTTTCTTCCTTTCATTCCATCATCTAATCTCATCAATCCTATACTCACGATAGATAGAAATTAGATCTTATTCAACGTATTTTTCATCTCGTCTCTTCGTTTTTTATTCTTTCTTAATAAATAAAATAATAATTTAATAAACTATCGGAAAGAAATGTTGATAGTAAACTGTGGTCAAGTGTATGACATTTATATTCAATTTGACATGTAACAGGATGAAATTCCATGTTATTTTAAGTAGATCATATATGGTTTCTTCTACAAATATGTTACATTTGTTTACAATGATGCAAGAGATGCGTGTGGACGCAAAAGAGTTAGATGAAAAAAAATCAAATACTGATGGTGTAAAGTTATTACATCTTCGTATTAAAAGTGCTGAGTATTTTTCACTTGCAAATGTATCCGTGGATGTTCGCCCTCTGCCGCACATTTGTTTTTCCTTTCCCATCCAATAGTCGTCGGTAACGTTGCGTTCTTTGTTCGTTCAAATTTCGTTTCGTCTGTTAGCTATGTTTAAGTTAATTCGACCTATTTTATTTTACAAATCAGTTCGTTTTTACCTTCTCAATTATGCCAAAACGAACACTTAGCGTTCGAAACAAAAAAATTGACGATGAACAACTATCGACAAGTGTTCATACACGCTCATCGACGAAACGTGCCAATACAGATGAAACAGTTCCAGCGAAAAAGGCCAAAATCGAAAAGAAGACCATTGATAAAGAAAATGTACCGAAGGCACAAGCACATCCAAGCAATAGCAAACCAAATCAATTCAAGCCAGTACGATCACCGGCTCCTGCCCGACCAGCGCCAGTCATCGAACCAGTAGTTAACGATGATTTGGATACAAGTGCGAATGATGGCGACGACGACGACGATGATGATGATTTCAATTTAAATGATTCTGATGACGACGATGTGGAAGAAGTGCAGGTCGGATCACTTCAAAATCAATCGGCAGCTTTTTCTACTAATAATGATGGTCAGGATCATCCAACTAATAAACAATACGTAGTCTATGAAAATATGGGCCCGAACAAAGAACAATTCATCGTTTCGAAAACAGCTCGTTATTGGAATAAGAAATATCGTAGAGCAGTTGATAACAGCAATCCTGATTTCTTTGGAATGTATATTCATAACGATTTCAGTGCATATGGTGAATTAGAAGTTGTTGAAAATTGTATATTCGATTTAATCAAATCTGTTTTTCTTACTCAACAACGTGGATTAGGTGGAATGAAATTCAGTGAAAAACCAGCGAGTCGAGTTAACTACGTCCTTGGATTTCGCCGTCTTGAAGTTTTAACACTTTTACTTGTTTATACTGATGGAATCAGTGGCATCGATGATGGCGAACGATTCTCGGCTATCATGCGTATTATCGGTGCTTGCTATGTAACAATTCTCCGTGGTTTATTGCCGCAAGCCATGTTCGAAAAAAACCAGAATATCGATCGAAATGTAGTGAAGAGATTAGCAACGATTTCCAAGCAAATACCGAATTTCAAACAAGTTTTAGAGCAGGCACTTACTATTGGTCATATGCTTGTAACAATTGGTGACCTTTGCAGTACCTACACGAAAGTTCTTCAGGTATAGTCGTTTCCTGAATCAATTCCTTTTCATTCATCAAAGCTTTTCTTCTAGACTGTCTATTGCAATTGGGTTTATATTATGGAAAACCTCACCATCGATTTTAATACGAAACCAACCCATATGCAAAATAACCTTTGGACAGCGCTGAGACACGCAAATTCGATCGATCAAAGTCAACTTGTCGATGGTGAACCTGAAACATTCGAGCTTTTCAAAGAATTGAATGTCTACCAAAGTGAATATAGCTTTGGTGGTTATGAACATGATATAAGTAAATGGCCACGAAGTCAGCGAGCTATATACTCCTTAACAAATATTCATCCATCGATCGATTCGTGGTTTTAAAGAAAATTTATTGTCTTTTTATACGTGTATTTTATTGTGTCATAATGTTTTTTATTATTCTTTTGTCTGTACATATGTTTTGATTTCTATATTCACCATTTCATTTGTTCAAGTTGATATTTTTTTTAATGTATTCGAAAGATGAAGCAGATAAATTGAAATTATACACGATGAAAGTGTTTGCAGCTTATGCAATCTATTCATTTGATGATTGAAACCGTTTTGCTTTTCGCCATCTCGACATTTACGCATATAAGATATTCAATCGTCTAGCGATCCATTAGAATATATTAGATGCATATGTAAGCATAAAACAAGCGCTTTCAAGGTGTCCGGAACGATGATGAAAAGTGTTGCAGCTTGGATTCATCTTTTATATACACGATGAGAGATTAAAATGTTTCAATGAATAGCAAAGTGCATTTTCTGGCGATGAATGACTTTGAGTAGGTGAAGACATCTTGACAATTGAGCACCTGTTGTCTTAATTTATGCATAATAACATGATTAGAATTCATGTTTGAATATACACGCTGTTTATGAACGCTTTCATATATCAACAAACGCGAATCTTCGTCAGATGAACTGAACAATCACTTATCGCTTGTGTGATACAGACACATGTTAATTTTGTTCCTCGTCGCAAGTGTAATTGCAATTCATTTGCTTCTTGTTAGTTATAATCGAACAATACATTATACAAAAACAAAAGAGAAAAACGAAACAATAACACAAGCCATACATATGTATGAGTAGAAAAACGAGCGTTGTGTACCAATTACCCTTTCTTTGTGTCTCGGAGTGAAAGTTACTAGTTGTTATAAGCAAATCATATAGCTATATTGCATAATTCATTTGTTACTTTCTCTCTTCCATCTGTCTACTAGACATCGCCTTCAATTGCAGATAGCACATAGCGTCGTTTGTCATTGAAAAAATACGCGCGTCGAGTAAGTAAAAGAGAAGAAAGCCGAGTTCATCAAACAATTGTCTTCAATTTTCATCATTTTATGTACAGACATCGACAATAACAAGTAGACAGTCTTCTTGATTAACTTGTTAAAGAAGCCAACGTTTGATCGGTGCATATTATTTGGTTAAAAAGCACGAAAAAAGTATGTCAAATATTGATATGATTGTTAGTCGAAAGAACATGAAAGTCTACCAATACAATGTCGATAATTTCGAACAAATATATTTTGTTATTATTGATTGAATTCTATGAACTCGTCGCATTTTCTTTTCAATTTCATGTTGTCTAGTCATTCCCAACAAACGTTTCTTTTTTTTATTAACCATTTCAATCGGTCAATTTAACTGTCGAGCAAGGGGAAAAAAGGACTTGAACCCTCCTAACTGAACTAAATTTTAAATTGCTATACGTGTTGAGATATGAAACAAAACAAATACACCTAATCATTTATGATGCTTGTCCATATTCTCTCCCTATAAAACAATCTCAACCATATAGATATGCTTATACATGAAACTTGATGTCTTTATTTTTACCTCTTGGCATGCCGAGTAATAATGAAAATATATACTCTAGTGGTGAATAAGAGTTTTTTTTTATATGGCTTTTGACAGGAGAGTGATTGTTTCTGTTTAGAATAAAATTTTGTCAGATTGATGTATGATCAAGATTTTTCTTGATTTCTAGCAATTAGATTCGCATATCAAAGTGCTTTTAACTCACTATTTCTGGTACGTTTAGTCATTCGTTCTTGCGTTCTCTACTTTACTTGTTTTACCTCTGATTATATACGAATGAATATTAATATCGACCGAATGGTCAATGACACTATGAAATCTAATATAAGACGGCAATGAATAATGATCATTCACACATATGTAAAAAAAAGTCGTTCATCAAATGAATATATACAGAGTTGTGCTTGATGATAAGTATACGAACATGAACACGCACTTATATTGTCAAAAGAAACCGATAAAGAAGACAAAGGAAAGACCTATAGGAGCAGTAAAATAATGACGAATAATAATCATTATCATTCGGCTCGCACATTTGCTCTAGTATCTTTTTTTCTCTCTCTCTCTTTCCCCTTCCGAGATGATTTTATGATAAGTGTCCAATATAATGAACGTACGAAAAAAAGTCAGATTTACTTGACTGGAAGCATTCGTAGTTGATCGATCGAGAACGAAAGAATCTCTATTGATGTGTGATTGACCAAGTAGAACAAATAAATGTGTAGATGTATGTTACCTGAACTGGAACAACAATCCATTTCGACAAAACACAAACGAAGTGGTGTAATACAAAGACAAACATAGGTCTCGATCATACAATCGTTACAAATACCTGTAGGTACACTTTTTTTCTCAAGTAGGAAGAAAGCGAGAAAAGAGGACACTCGGCCAAAAGTTAAGTAGCTTACTGTTACAATAGAGTTATGAGAGAAAAGAGCGTAACAGGCATCAAATCCAGTTATGATCACCTCATTCGGAGATCGTGTATCAGTTAGTTCAAATAAACAATATATATGTCATGAAAGAACTGTCGCAGCAGTAAAGAAGTCTACAAATATTGAATTTTTTGCATTATTAACTATCTTGTCAAGGACGATCGTTTGTCTAAGAGTAAAATTATTATCTCGACATGACATAACATCTTGTCTTTCGAAGACTCAGAAGATTTATTCGTCAAATGGCTCTAATACTTGCAAAGATATCTTTGTTTTCTTTTCTTTTTATTATCAGGATCTATCTCGTCGTTTTTTATTACGCTTGCACAAATAATTTCAACTATTCAAAAGAAAAAGCGAGAGAGGGAGAGAGAGAGAAAAAAATAACCGCACTACCACAGAAAAAGCAAGAAGAGGATACGATTAGATTATAAATCTATTACTTCTTCGCTTTTGTCTTTTGCTGTAAATAGTTCTGCCCCTATCTCTTTCCTTTTCTCATCACTTCTGTCAGAATACGTTGAGAATGCTGTATGAATATCGTTATTTGAGTTTTCACTCAAAGACTGCAAGGGAAAAGCTTGACGTAAGCACGCTAGATACGTGAATATGTAAATCAGTCGAAAAATACATTTTTCCATCACATTCTCATCAGCCTCGAAATGTACGCTCTTTCGTTGCAATAATAAGACAACATAAAACGACATGTGCACAATTTAGTGTTTTGTTCTTTCTCATCATTGTAGCCACAAAGATGATAAAATGACTATGTAAAATCTAATTACTAACCATTACAAATATCCATCGCATACCTTTCTACCTTTTTTCCTTTCTCTTTCTTCTACCTCGTCCATCTCATCATGCAGTAGATGCGTTTATGCATATATTTATATGGACGTGTGCACTCTTCATTTCGTGTATACGAGTGTGTAGCAATCGTCATATCAACGAGGGGTGAGAGCCAGAGACCAAGAGGAGAAGAAGAAGAATACAATTAGATGTATGACGAGCCAAAGAAGGAAAGGAAGAAAAGAAGCGTCGACTGATTATTCATGCTTTTCTCTCTCTGTTTGTCTCTCTCTCTGCTTCTCTTTCTCTCTCATTTTTGAAAAATAAGACCTTATAAATGAATGAGACGAACAAGAGAGCGAAAGAGTATAAAGAGTCTCGTTTTTCGCATCGATCACATCTATATACATGTTACAAAGAGATCGCGAGACAAACATAGTCGAATATCATACGAATTCACTCATGTGTATCAAGCGAGAGTTGTATAGTAAGAGAAAAGTAGGAGAAGAAGAAAAAAATGAAGAAGATAAAGTATATTTAAAGAACCTTGAGTTGACCTCTTTTGAACATTTAGACATATTCATTGATTTCTATCAACATTTATTCTTCTGGCCTTTCTCGATATTTATATTTCGACATTGTCTTCTGATCATTAAATCGAAATAAAAGAAAACAAATTATGGCTACAGAACGTGGTGATCAAACTGTTATTCGTCGAACAATAATTGAACGTGGAATTCGTACTAGTGAAGGTCCGGCTGGTGGTCGCGCTGGTGGTCTCGAAGCCGTGCGTAAATTAGCAAATCAACATGAAGGCGAACGACTTGAAATGCAAGAACTTAACACCAAATTTGGCGCCTATCTCGATCGGGTTAAATTCCTTGAAACTCAAAATCGTAAATTGCAAACTGAACTCGATTCTCTCAAACAAAAATGGGGTACATGAAAAACTTGTTTTCTTTCTCGTAGACAATCATTCGTTGTTTCCTTGTTTTTGCAGGTTTTGATTCTGGTAAAGTCAAAGATCAATATGATCAAGGCTTAGTTGCTTTACGTAAACAGATCGATGATGTTACACGTGATAAAGCTTTGGCAGAACTACGTGCTAAACGTGCTGAATATGATGCATCATTAATCAAACATCAGACAGATTTCGCCAATGAATTAGTGAATCTTGATCGTAATCGTTTTACAATGCTCAAACAACAACTCGAGGGCAGTGGATCGGAGTTGGATTCTTTACGTAATCGATATGAAGATAAGAAACAAGAAATCGATCGCAGTAAAGATGAGGTTCGACGTCTCTTAGCTCAGCTAGAAGACTTGAAAAACGAATTCGATCAAGAATCAATGCAACGTGTTATGATTCAAAATGAACTTCAAACATTAGAAGAACAACTAGCTTTCATGAAGGCTGTTCACGAAGAAGAACGTAATGAATTAGCTTCTCTTGGCACATTACCAATCGATGTTAGTCAATTCTATCGCACTGAATTGACACGTGCAATAGCTGATATAAAGAATGATTTCGAAGCACTTTCACAAGCACAACGACGGGAATTAGAAGGTACGAAAGACAAGAGCTATTCGAGAGAAATATTTTGAATTGTTTTCGTTTCGTTTGTAGAATATTATCGAATTAAAACTGAAGAAATTCGCGAACAAGCAGCCGAACAAAAACGCAAGATTGAAGAAGCGCGCCGTACAGGTGCTGTGGAAATTATGGATCTATCGGCATTAAAATCTTTGTTATCGGAAAATCGTGGTAACTTCGACAAATTACAGAAAGAACATTCAGATTTGGCCAATGAGCTTCGAGAATTAGAAGAAAATTTTGAACGAATTTCTGGCGAACACAATCGAGCACAAAATGAACGCGACCGAGAATTAGCTGAACTCCGTGCTCAAGCCGAACAACGTGAACAAGCAATTGCAGCCGTCTTAGAAAACAATGTTTCTCTTCGATTTGAAATTAACACATACAGACGCTTATTGGAAGTTGAAGAAGGCCATTTGCAAAGAATCGAAAGCGGAGAAGGTTTAGTGACAAGCGGCAAAGGTGCGCCAGCATATCATTTTCAATCGGGATCATCAGTTACTGGAAACAACAGCGGTCGATTCGATCCAGCAGCTTCAGATGTTTCAACGAAAAAGATGACCGTACAAAAATCAGCACGAGGTTAGTATTCGAGATTTTTGCCTCGATTTTTCATCAAACATCTTTCTCATCTTATATAGAATATCATTTTTGATCGAGAATGAAATCGAAAAGAAACGAACAGCTCTTTCATTTTGTTTGTTCTTCTTCTATTTTCTTTGATAAACCTTTAATTCTATCATTGTTGCTGTAAGTAATCAGAGCAATCATAACAAACATACCGAACAGCATGTTCCTTTGATTTTCCTTTGGTATATAATACAGCAGTATGTGAGACAAATGTTCTTCATTTGACTGTCCTTTTCTTTTCTTTTCGGTTTCGTTGACTGTCTGTTCTCCCATTCGTTCAACAAGAATAACAATCATCACCATAATAATAATAATAATGATGATGATGAGACATTTTGTTTGTTCCTTCTCATCGATCCCACCGGCCAATTGCCCGTTTTTCTTAGCTATGACAAGCATCTATCTATCTCTCTCATTACACACGATTAGTCACAGATGGGCGGTTATAATTACAACATATGTTTTAGCATACACTATATATCGAAGCCTCACATCTTATTTCGTTGGTTTGATGATTAGAAATTGTATCTATTCAAATCAATTTCAAAGAAAGAAATATAAATGAAAATTAATAACTCTTTTCGAGCAATTAAAATTCAATATTGATTTCTGACACAAATTCATTCTCATGTTTTTCCTCCGATTCAATTCTTTTCAGGCTAATCATGACCGCATGTTTTCACTCTTTCATTTAGACTAGTAACAGAAAAGACGCATACACACACATGTATTCAACTACTCTTTCCTTTCCCGTATGAAGTATAAGTGTGAACATTTTCATTTTACTTGTAATTAGTAATTAATTTGCTATTGGCGTGTTGATACTTGGTTTGCTTATTTAATTTGAAAATAATCGACGTTGATGCTGTTCAAATTTGTGTGTTTAGTTGACTTACGTATTGTTTTTTCTGCTTTTAATTACTTTTATATCACGCAATCGAACGAAAACAACAAATACATCGATTGATTTCAGCGTGTGTGTGTGTGTGTACTCATTTAAAACACTTTTTGTTATTTTTTCGTAGTTGACAATCCGATATATTTGCAATTAACGTAAATATTAATCATTTTCTTGTTTATCTAGGTCCTGTTGCTATCGATCAAGTAGATCCGCAAGGTAACTTCATCGTCATCGAGAATAATGGTTCACCAGGCAAAGATCAAGATATGAAAGGCTGGACATTACGACGTAAAATCGATTCCAAAGAAGATATTGTTTATAAATTTCCGGATAATTTCGTACTTAAGCCTCGTTCACGTGTGCGTATTTTAAGTCGCAATGCCAGTAAAGGTTCGATCAATGAAAAAGAAACCTTAGTCGCTGAAGGTGTTCTGACCTGGGGCACAGGTACAACGATGGTCACACGACTTGTTGATGCCAATGGCGAAGAAAAAGCTCTGTTCAATCAAAAATTCCAATAAAAGATGACATACATTCTCGATGACGATCAAGACAACACCGGCTCATATTTGTCGTTCATTTTCCTCTTCTTCGTCTTTTCAATTATTCAAATTTAGAAATGAAACATGTTCTCCTCTCTTTCGTTCTTTCTAGCTCTAGAAAACTGTGTGTGTGTTTTCATTTTCTGTTTACAGTATCTAGACTTAAGTCTCTGTCTTTACCTGTTAACTAATTGCATTATTCAAATCGCCTGCTTTTCATATCGTTCTTCCAATTTCTGTTTCTTCGAACTTTTATCTCCGCCATCGAACACATGATAAGTTCGTCGTTTTTTTTTTCTTTCTTCTTTTTCTTCATATATCTTTTTAGATTCAATTGCTTTTTTTTGTCATCTATTTCTCGTATTCTGCTAATAAATCAAACACGCATAAATGAATAGCAATAGGAACGTTTTTGTATATGGACCAGTTCTCTACGTATCGCGTGCGTTTATGTATGTGTGTTTGTTTATTATTTTTTGTTGTATTAATTTAAAATTAAAGATAAGATAGGAAATAAAGAGAAAATAGAGTAAGATATCCACTGAAGATCATTCGAATGTGAAGCGGAGTGAGCACAAGCCGGCAGTATTTGATTTTCATTCTCAGCTGTTTGACATATCCAGCCGAGATGAGCTTGAACACGTGTGTAGAAGCCTGGACTATCTCTTCGAGCGCATCCAAGACCATGAGAAAGAATACTGAAAGAGAAAAATTGAATAATTTGCTGATCGTAGGTTATTTATTTGTGTTAAATGTTGTTTCGCATCGTTTACTAATGAAATATCCTAATTTCAGGATAGAGCGGCACTGTATAGAAATAATGATCTTATTTATGAGTTTCTGCATGAGTTGTAATATGTTTCTCATTTCAAGCTAAATATACAGGAGCGCATTAGACGCACGAAGGAAATATGTTATACTAAGGTACAATTAAACTCTTTCACAGTTTGACTATAGCCTGTAATTTGTTTATTACCGTCAAAATATAGAAGATTGCACTCACCCTATACTGTACCATCGATCATCAAGCTGCTGCGTAAATGCTGCACCTGAACTACCCTAGATGACGTATTGCTGTATTCAGAGGATTAAACTTATAGGTTTGAGTTCTTTATTTCGTCATACTTGGCAAGCATCTATACCACCGGTGAGAATACCAGCGCATATTGTCATCGAAAAGTTTTTCTTAGATAATTGTGATGGGTGACAAACTTCTAGTGCCGGATCAAGCACTGGCACTGTGACTTGTGTCATGTATTTCGATATTTCTGTATCATTGTCGCTGTTGGTACCCCATCCCACAATCGCTAAAATACATTTTCGTTACATTTAGTTCGTGAATATTCGATTCATCTACTTCTGAGATCATCGATATGACTAGTGAGACCATTCCATGGAAGGCATATAGGTGGGTACTGCTCGTCGACAATAGTTTCGTTAAGAACCAGTAGAGCAATGTCATAACTAGATATCATGATGCATGATAGGTATTTTGTAGGAAGTAATTCTTACGAATAATCATGTGCCCGAAGCAGGCGGTATTGTTGAGGAATAATGACTTTGATCCATTGAGCCACTCGCTTGCCCGGCTCAGTCGATCCCAGTTGACCAATGTGGACTTCTCCGATTCGTCGGACATAGTTTAGATCTGAAGGTAGCGTTACATTATGAAAACAATGTGCCGCAGTCAGAACAAGCCGAGGAGCAATGATAGATCCACCACTAGAGTTGAAGTACGCGTGAAAAGTTAGTTGTCTTGCGTAGAAAATATACTACCAAAAGTGTCTTGCATCACCGCCAACTATTTTCTGTCGAAGACTCTACACGTATCTATATGGATAATATCTTGTGATACTGAAACGTACTGCTACCCATGGCCATGCTTCCACGTGAGCCGTTGTCCTACCGACCTTTACATTCGAGTTCATCTGTAATGATCTTCCACAATTATAACCACTCCGGGCATTTTCCCTTTGTAAACTTGATCTATCCATAAATATAATACAGAGAAACGTGATTAATATAAGCATATAATTGAAAGATAAGATAGAACGGTCACGCGCTAAAATTAACCATAGGAGACCATCGTTTTCTCAAATCTATTAATTTTATTATCAAATAGAAGCGGAACATATCCAAATGATAAATTGAATTGAAATGAACTGAATTATAGTTGTTATCAAGCGTTTCCGTACATATCTGCGCCAGACATGTTCGAACTAGCGACACTATTCGTTGGTGATACATTGGGATTTGCACCCGCTTGTTTTTGTTTTCGAATAATATAGAACGCGACTGCACCTACAATCACAGCGACTACAACTATGCCAATGACAATTACTAAGGGGTTCGATAATAGTGAATCATTTGATTTTCCTAGAGCCGAGGGTACAGAATTATTAATTTCTTCGCTATTGTGCGATTGTTGTTGTTCATTGTCGTCGTTCGGAATTTGTACGACTGGCCTTCTAGTTGTTATAACTGGTGATGGTACTAGAAGGCATTTCAGTTCCGTGTGAGAAAAAGCATTTTTAGCGGAAATGACTGTCGTACTTACACGTAGCAAATTCACCTGATAGAGTTGCTTCAGCTACGAGAAAATGAAAGATATATTATTGCTTCAAATCAGCTATTCTGCGAAAAGGGATCCTTACTAAATTCACATATGTAACTCATTCTTGTTGAGCAATAATCATCTGCCATGCAGATGTGTCCACGGCCATTTGGCTCAGGAATAAAAACAGTAGTAGCACAGTTTTCTTTTTCACCATCTTTTGTTTGACGTGTGGGCTCCGGTTCTCCTTCGTAATTTGCTACCATCATCTGATTACAATATCGCGCTGTTAGAGGATCCTTTGTCTCCGGATGACGAATGGTCGGACCTCTTGGATCAACCCAAGTGATTTTGTATTCGGCTCTTGAGCCTAGCCATGAGAAAGGAACGCGACCAACATTATCGACACTCGAATCGGAGATGATTCAAACTACCTTGACCATGATGGACTATACCCCCATTCCAAGTGTAAAACTGATGTTTATTTGGTTGATAAACATAATTCCATGAGGTCGATGCTGTTAATAATTCGTTTTCATCAGTATTATCCCGCCAAGAATATAGATCAGCTTGAAATTTACGACAATTAGCACGGGCTTCGCTATGATTTCTTGATTCTTGATAAAATCGGTAACATCGAGTGGCTAAAATACAATGTGTACACGGAAGTCGAACGAAAACTGACTGTTTCTAAACTAACGTTCGCGATGAAAGTCGGACGGACAAACACGACATTTAAATTTATCTCCTGTCCAATAACGTCGATGATAAGGATCACATTCACATCGTCCGTGCACACATGTTTGATCTGTGTCACATGTGGAATCACCTGATGTGCAGGCTTTACCAATGGTACTGGGTTCAGAATATCGGAAAGTGTGGAACCAAATAAACGAAAGAAGAAGATGATGATGATTCATGGCAACAGATATGAACAAATGAGGAAATATTAAGATGACTGAAGAGAGGAATGAATTGAACTAACTAATATGTATTTATAGTAAAACAGAAAAGGCGCCTGGTAGATATTATATTGCATCATAATGTACATTGAACTAATAATCAAAGAATGATTGCATTTTGAAGGGATCTGGTTTAGCCGTTCGTTCACCGAAATAATTCATTCGGAAGAAATATTCCAAGTTGTTTTTGTATTAAACACTTTGAAAAGAAATTCGGCGAATATTTAGAGAAAAAAGGTTTGTTTGCTTCGCTGAAGTGCACTTTGTCTTATGAGTCATATGATGGAAGAAAGGCAAACATATAGTAGGTATAAACCAACGGTAGGCGATAGCAGTTCTATTGTTCAAAGTTGGGAATTTCCTATATATGAAATGCAACTTTTCCAACTTTGTGTAAGAAACGCGTCATTTTACCTATGAGATGCCCCTGGTTGTGCGTCACTAACAGCAGCATATAAAAGGTAGATGTATGCTGCGCATCATGTATGCATTTTTTTTATCATCCACTTCCTCATTATATACGTCATTTATTATGTCTGGTTCAAGTCGATTGAATAAAGCCCTATGGACAAATCTAACCCGATTGAAATTGCTAACCAAACCAGATGCTGCTATCAAATTCGTGTTGGAAAAATCTCCATTTAATGAAGATGATGACGAAGAACCACTACCGCTTGAAAGAGACGAATATTGCATCGTTGGTCGAATTTATCCAAACTCCGACATTTACAAAGAAGGAGCCTATCGCATTCAGCTAAAATTAACATCTAAATATCCCAGCGAACCCCCAGAGGTTCGTTTCCTGACGCCTATATATCACCCGAATGTTCATCCTAATGGTAAGAATACAAAAAAAGAAAGTTTCGGCGTGAGACTTTGACTGTCCGTTTTAGGTACATTCTGTAGTCATTTATTGAGTAATGCTTCGCGATGGAAACTAAACCGTGAAACCACATTAGAAGATCTGATGAAACTCATTGCTAGACTTCTTGATGAGCCTGATGCGGACTATGCTATTAGTTATGGTAAGCACCGTTGACGTAAATTTGATCAAAAATGTTTTTATTTTGTTGTCTTTTAGATCGAAGTGAAGAATACTTAAAGAATAGAGAGGAATTTAAGAACAAAGCAATGGAGATGGCCAAAAAACACGCGCTGCCACGAAACTAAAGTCTCTTTTTGTATAAAATGAATTCTTTTTCAATGGAAATTATGCTTTTAAAAACTATTTATTAATAAATATTTGCTGAACTGATGTACATCTGATTGATTTGTAAAGACAGTCTACTTATAGAACTTTTCGCTGAAGTTTCCAAGCTTGTTTATTGAAAAATAAGTTCTAGTCGAAAAAGATATATCTTATCAGCATGTCTGATCTTCACGCACACACTTGCTTTCTCGGAATATGTTCTATGTCGATAAGGCGAGGGAAGTCATGTAGTAAACGATGATAGTATTGATAAACAAAATCAGAAGGTAGTCAGTAGCCGAGTAGCTCTTAGTATTATTGATCGGTAGTATCCATACTTTTACATTTGTAGATAAAGCACGTACGATATTGAAACTACATGAACATCAGAGTATCCGCAGTGCCCATCCAAAGTACGTTTTCTTACTCGGATCTATCATTCAAACATTTCAAACGGACGTGAGAATATATTTAGATATATAAATGCTATATTATATCGTAACTAACAGGTAGATTTTGCTATAAGACGCTCACAAAAAGTTTCAAGTTAGGTGTGTCGCTCGCCACTAACACATTGTTCGAACTATTTCATAGATCTGATACTCAATGTGTTATCGATGCGGACAGGCATATTATTAGACAAGTACTCTTTCGTATTTTACCAGCCATTCTCAAACACTATATGGAACATACACATTTGTTTGATTCCAAAGCAATAGAATATGTGAAAAAATTTATACTGTCAGATAATGTCAGATTTATATAGTTGGATTACTTTGATAGAAAAAAATAGCTATTTCTTGAGCAGATATGTCCAATGAAGTTGGTTTAATGGATCACTTCAATCTTTAGCAATTGATGAAAACATTTAAGGTATAATTTTGTTTTCGCATTGTTCTCTTTCAACTTGGATGCTTTTTCCTTTACTTCCTTTCGCCATAAAAAGAGCGCAAACAAATATTCTAGTCATAATGTTTATGAAGTCGAATCATGTTTTTCCAACGTTCGAAAGGTACTGTTATTAAATTGGTGCACTTTTGTCTAGGCTCGAAAACACCGCAGGTTGATTTTTTCTCTACAGAATCACACCTATGACCTGTGAAGAACGCCATTTCGATCGTATACGCATATAATGTGCAATTCTCTAATAATGAACTAAATGAATATATAGGGAACGATGAGAATAGATTTACATTATGAGTAGAACCTAATCAGATCGATTGGTTCACAAGGTAAAGGAGGATTTCATTTTCCTATTTCAGTGGCTGTCGTTCGTCTATGTCTTTCGGAAAAAATTCGTATATTTTCACAAAAAGCTTTTATAATCAATACTAAAAAGGCACACTTTAGAGACATATACGGCTTCTCCAAGCGTATTGATGTTACAACAACGACTCGTCAAATAAGAGTTCTCGTAATTAATCCTCAATTTCCTGTAAATCTTACATTTTGTAGCGCTTTTCACGCGCTCCACGGCGACAAAAGGAAAAGTTCCTCTCTTCTTTCTCTACTTGGTAATAAACGCCAAAATACGAAAACGTAATATGAAGTGAAAATACAGTGACCGCTAAAAAACCTTATTTAGGGATTGACATTCTTTCCAATACGTGATACGACATGAAACGATGTGAAACATCGTAAATCGTGTGCCGAAAGACATGATAAATATAGAATCGACGGAACTGTCGATCGTGTGGAATGTGGCGGCCTCTACGCTGTTTGAAAGCATTAGCTTTTACCTCATGTATTGATATAAGACTAGCTATGGGCAACACTCATTGGTTTGTAATGTGTGTCAAATGTAAAATGTAAAAGTACGTCTCAATACTTTTGTTCCTTCACTCCGCATTCAAAATAGGATCATACTGGACGTCAATATCACATCGCACAACGTAATGAGTATTCTCCTTAAGATTATTTGCGGCTCTAGAACTTAGTTTGAAACACAGTCTTACATAAGATGTTTTTCTCTCGCACATGAAAAATGACCTGACTTGTTAGAGGACGTGCTAAAACATTTATCGACTTGCATATTGTCCTTAAAAAATGACCTACATTGTGTTTTATTTCACGAACTAATACTGTAGATATTTCTTATGGCGAGTGCAAGCAAAATGAACAAGCACCTGTGGAATAATATCGTTAGACTTAAGTTGTTAGCGCAACCGAATCATCCTAATCGATTTGTATTCGACTTTAATCCTTTTGGATATGTCGATGATGATGACAATGACACCATACCCACAGAACCGAATGAAATCGTGATTACTGGGCGGATCTTTCCCAATTCTGAAGTTTATAAAAAAACGGCACTTCGGATAGAGATGAAACTCATAGGAGAGTATCCCGAGGAGCCACCTGTAGTACGAATTCTTACTCGTGTATATCATCCAAACGTGGAGGAGGATGGTAAGCGAATTTGTAGAAGCAACATGTTGATATGCTCGTTTTCTTAGGCACCTTCTGTCATGATTTGTTGAATAACGCTGCAAAATGGCACAAAAAAGGCTTAACAACTTTAGCAGAAGTTGTGCGTGTGGTTGTCGAACATATCGATAACCCCAATCCAGATTATGCTGTTAATTACGGTAGGAGTCTGTTTGATGCAGATACGTGTTGATTGTTTCTCCTGTAGATATTGGTGATGAATACATTAACAGGAGAGCAGAATTTGAACGTAAAGTAGCAGAAAACATTAAGGCAAATCTTGTGCCTCGTGACTAATACTATTATTATCAACAATGAACGTTCATGCTCTGAACAGACGCATTCTTGAATATCACTAATACTTTTGTTTCAAACTGTTCATAATTCTGTACTTCAGGTCTTGTGAACTAGATAGCTTTTTTTCTATGATCTGTAGATTTTAATCGAAATCGGAAGATTCTCGAGGGCGTCTGAAATACTTTTTTGTCAACTAAAATTTCATTTGTTGGCTTAAATATTCTCATTTATAAACCAAGTTTTTGTCTAAACAAAAGTTTGTCTATCGAAAACCATATGGTAAAATAATTAGCGAAACTAAGACAAAAGGTATCTTTACAACTTCAATTCCGTGTTGAAAATCTTTTGTTAACAGATGGAAGCACTTTACTATGATTGCGAAAGAAACTTTAAAGTAAGTTGGAAAAATCCAAGGAAGTTGCATCTAATGGCAAGTGGATGACTCATGTTCTGTACGGCACTTTTTTGTTCTCCCTCCATCTCCCTTCAGTGTTAAAATATTCTTTCGCTTCATACATCGGGCCTGCATTGAGTAAATACCTTTCCGGGGTTCGTATGTTAACCTAAGGGAGATATGACAAGTTTGTTTGCGTTTTCAACAGAGCCTTATCGTTGTTTATGACTACTTTTTATACAAAAACAAATCATTGTTGCATATTTCAGTACCACGTGTTCTTTTTCTTTGTAGTGGGTCTTTTTTCTTTTCATAGAAGAGAAAATTGTTCTTTTAGTTTCACTATCGTTGCAATTACGCATTTTTGTTTTTCACAGAATGTCTTCCCAATCCGAAAAATTAAAAAGAATTCACACAGAAGTCACTAGACTAAAACTATTAAGTCCAACTTCGGATCCGCCATTCAAGTTGGAAAGATCACCATTCCCCGACGACGATGATGACGACGACGCTGATGGTAATTCCAAAACAGCCACTCCGAAATCTACCGAACCAACCATTGAGGGTCTTATCTACCCAAATTCGAAAATTTACGAAACAGGCGCATTTCGAATCGAAATCAAAACAATAGCGACATTTCCATTCGACGCACCAGAAGTACGTTTCCTTACTAAAATTTACCATCCGAACGTTGATAAAGAAGGCAAGTCAGAAATTGATAACATTTAAATCTTCCATTGTACGAGCATTTAGGAAAATTTTGTCATGAGCTGTTGAAGAAGAAAGCTAAATGGACCGCTACAACGACTTTAGTAGATGTTGTCCGAGCTGTTACAGCACATATCGACCATCCGGATATCGATTATTCACTTAGTCTTGGTGAGTAATGATTTTCATGTGCTGAAACAAATATCTGATCTCCATTCGTGCCGTTTGTAGATCTTGGTCGTGAATATATGCAAAATCGCTCTGAATTTGAGCGCAAAGCATTGGAATTTGTCAAACAACATGCTATATCCCGATCTTGAATTGCGTTTTCTCCAGTGTGCGCATTAAAAAACGTTGTATTTTCTTTTTCATGAGCTTTTCCTAATCGTCTACTTTCGAATTCTAACAACATACAAAATTCATTCGATTTATCAAAAAAATACTCTATAAGATTCCGTTCATTGAGCAATTTAGTGATAAGTTAACCAAAAAAAGTCCATTGTCCTTGTTGCAGCTAAACTCTCTTCATGCTTATATTTTCGTATATCTATAAAATGTGCTTTTTCCACGCAGGACATCTTTTTCTTCTAGACTACACTTGTTTTCGCATTAACATTGCCATTAGATATGGCAGCACCTAATGCCCGACCAAGACGTATTCATCACGAAGTCATGCACTTCAAAAATATTGGATTAACAAGCGATTCACCGTGCAAATTTGGATACGAAAAGTCAACTCTGGATATACTCGAAGAAAAGGATGAGTCGCTCAAATCTTCCGACACGTGCATAATGACTGGCCTGATCTATCCTAAATCGGATATCTATAAAACAGGAGCCCTCCGTGTAGAATTTGAATTGCACCCAACTTATCCAATGAAAGCACCGAAAGTCTATATAAGAACAAAAATCTATCATCCCAATGTGTGTGAAAACGGTAAAAAAGTATTTGTTTTATTTCGATCAGGCTCGTCAAACGACTTTTTTAGGCGAGATCTGCACTAGTCTGTTATCGCCTACTTCAACAGTGTACCAAGCCGTAATACCTTTATATGCAATTTTAGAAGAAGTATCCAAAGTTATCGATGAACCCAGCAGTGATCTCTTCCAGCATACTGGTTAGTAACGAATATATTTCATATTAGTTTACATCCTCGCATGCTTATAGAGGCAGCTGCTGCGTGGTTGTACAACCGAGAAGAATACATTAAAACCGCAACAGAATTATATCAAAAGAATTTTATTCCTCGTTGAAAATTGTTTTGTGTCTGTAAAAATAAAAATCAATGCGCGAAATGCAACTATATTATGAATTTGAAGGCAAATGTATAAATCAGAACTTGTTCTTTTCTTACTTTTTCAAAATCTATTCTCCTTTCCGGTCGGAAAAACGAATGAATACAGTTCATCAACATTACCATTGCAAACGAGCACGAAGCGGTCGTTTGTTTGCCCTTGGTATTGTTATCCGCTGGGAATCTTTAGTAGTCTGATTATCTTGATTCTCGTTACGATATGTATATCAGGATGTGACTATCGTTACTTGAAGAATCATCAAGACTTGAAGACCATTGAACAAAAATCTCTGTCTGCGGAAAACGAATCCGAAGGTGATGAAATGAGTGTCACGAGTGGTAATTCTGATAACACACTGAAGTAAAGAAGATTAATATCAAAGTCAATAGTGCTGAAAAGTAAGATATCTGAATGCTTGCGCACTACAGTGATTTCATAGCCATGGAGCAAATATGACTGTTTATTTTTCTGAATAATTTTCAAAACAAAAAACAAAGAACGAGAGAATTTCGTTCGCGTATCAAAACAACGGATCATTTCCGTGATTTCAATCGTTTCATTGACTTATTTTTCTTCTTTTCCATTTTTTTCTTCGTTTGTCGTGACATTTTACCCTTTTTCTTCGTTCCACCATTGAAATTATCATCGAATAGAACGTCCGCATCGTGAAGATGATCCATGATGTCATTGCCATTGTTCGCCATCGACCGTTGCAATAGTAAACGTTCGCGTTTGGTTTGTGGTAAACGTTTCAGATATTCTTCTTCATACGCGATTTTCTCTTTATAAGCACGATTCTGTTGAGTAAAACGACTTCGTTCGCTATTGTAAACTTCTTCCGGCGCATCGGAGTATCGTTCTTTATATTCTTGTAAGATATCAGAATGATAAGCGCGTCGTTTCAAATGTTCAAGACGCTTGTTAACAGTTCCTTTTTCTTTCTTATCATCGAAATCTTCGTTATATTCAACTGGCACAAGTTTCGGTGGACGATAGATTTTCGCTTTCGCTTCTTCTTCTTCTTCTCCTTCGGTTTTATTTTCGTTTGCTTCTTGATTTCCATTGACATCTTGATCGAAATTTTCCATATTAGCACGAAAGGTTAGTTGTTGATCGACATTCGTTTTAAGTAATTTATCCAATTGATATTGTAATTTTTGTTCAATCGGACGAATCTTTTCGATAAACGTGCGTATTTCACAAAGACGTAATATCGTCGAACGAGTTGATGCCGATGTTAATGTTTGATCTGGTGTTGATCGGCGAGACATGACTGCTACGAGATTTATCAAATATTGAAGAAGTAAATCATTCTTTATCGATAATAACGATACTCCACCACTATCAGTTGAGTTCGACTGGACTTGATCATGGAATGATGATGTTTTTTCCAATTGAAGGATACCTTTGAGAAATTCGCGTAGTTGTTCGTTGATTTCCTGGTATTTTTTCAATGTTCGTGATCGAATTGTCTCTTGGTCAGCCATAGTGCTATATTATCACTGAATAAGTTCGATCCGATTAGAAACTTTCGTATTCCGTGTAAATTCACGACGCCACATGCGTTGAGAAAAGAGAAACGAATGTAGCGACTTACATTTATCCAAATATAGGTATTTTGTATTTGCATTGACCAATCAGATTGTTTCATTTTATCCTTACTTACAAACAATCGTCATAAAAAAACATGGGGAAAAAGTAGTCCCGAATAGTAATTACAAAACTTCGTTTTTTCTCGTGAATTTCTACAGAGATGAGAACATAATCAGATCGAAGAGAATATTTTTCGTTTAGATTTTACCGTTCTAATCAGTTAAAACTTAATCACGCAACATGTCAGCATCATCCGGTTCGAATAAACGATTAATGACTGAAATCACTAAGCTTAGCGCACTAGCAGCTCCTGATTCATCCGTGAAGTTTCTTCTCGACAAATCTCCACTAGATGATCCTGCAGCAGGATCACGTCCAGGTGCAAGCAGTGGAACGCCACATGTTATTCTAGGACGTATATTACCCAGTTCTAGCCCTTACAGCCAAGCTGCATTTCAAATTGAAATGAAACTACCAGCTGAATTTCCATTTAAGCCACCTGAAGTTGCTTTTGTTACGCATATCTATCATCCAAATGTGGATGACAAAGGCAAAATCTGTGTTGATCTCCTTAACTCCAATGACGCATGGAAACCAACCACGTCCTTAGTCGATGTCGTCAAAGCTGTTGTGGATCTGATTGATCATCCGAAAATTGATCATGCATTGAATGCTGGTAAGTCGAAACTCGTCAAATCAAATGTGATCTGATGTTAACAAATTCTATTCTAGATATTGCCAACGAATATACAAACAATAGAGCCGAATTTGATCGAAAAGCTTCGGCTTTAGTAAAAGAAAAAGGCTTATCACGAAAATAAATCAATGTTTAACAGTTCGAGAAGAGTATTTTTTAATAGTAGACACTTTATATCAACCTAAAAATTATCTTTTCTTCTTCTCAACTTTTTTCTTTGTTTGCATTTACATGTCAACAAAAATAAAGGATGAATCTGCTTCTTAAAATTATCATTAAGACTAGAAATTTGTTCAGTACGATGTCGAACTAGACGAGAAAGCTTTCTCCAATCCAATCCGAAATCGATGTTGAAACAGTACGAACATCATTCTTTAAAGACTCTCCGTTCGCATTTAATAAAACAACATCGATCTCTTATTTTTCTTCCATAACAAAATACTCGACCATTTCAATACATGATCAAAGGCATTAGGTACTTTCCCATTGTAATATTTTTTACGAGCTTATATTGATAACAAGATCTTGTTCCGCACGCAACGTTGACGTCAATTCTTTCTTCTACTATTGGATGTTTATCCGCGTAACAAAATGACGTGTGTCATTAAAAGCAACACAACTACCCTCATTAATAATCGTGAAAGCTATTGAAAATAAATGTGAACCTCTTTGTGATAAACATCAATGTTATGTATATTGTTCTTCCAGCTTGAAGTTGTCTGCATATTCTTTCTACAAAATTTTGTCTCTCAAATGAAGACATCAGGAATACATAGATGCGTAAGTGCATGTACATATTTATATATTCAACGGCAAAAAAAACATAGGTGAAAGGTAATGTAAAGAGCGACAAGTGTATGTAAAGTTCTTTAAGATATATAATTCTGTTATTTCTATTGTGATCAACATCATTAACAACAAATGATGACGTACATGTTCAGGTGTGTAGTTCCTTTCTATATATACGTATAGTGATCGCTACGTCACACGGCGCATCAGTGAAGTGCTGGACACGAGCAATTAGATTTGAGTTTTACTTGAAGTTGTTTTTCATGTGAGAAATGAGATTTACATACTAATCAAAAACCTTGTGACGATGAGATACGCGTAAAAACATAAACTGAAATTGTACCGGTCGACTTTTATCTGATTATCGTGCTTGCGGAGTGACATATTACAATTGATCTGTTGCTTTTTCTTGTTTGAATAAGTAATGAACTTGATCCGTAACAGATTCTAACATTTTATCATCGTCAATATTTTCTTTTTATTTTGTTCTTGAAAAACTATATAATTAAATTGACATAAAGGTTTATTTCTGTCAACTTGCAGAAAAATAACATTTAAGATAAATTATGTAGCAAGTGTCAAATATGTCTTGTTGTGTTTGTCAGTAAGAAAATAATCAATGATATATGCATGGTAGAGCTTTATCGATCAGTTGACTGTCCTGTATTTGAGTTCATATATTAAAGAGAGAGAGAGAGGGAGGGAGGGAAGAAAGAGATGCTGTTATTATTCTCTCCTCAGCCATTTTTTGTGTTTAGTAAAGTAAAGAGAGAGAAAACTTACAATTTAGAAAGAGTCTGTGTTAATTTTCAATTGATGATTATGTACCGAAAAGAAGAGCAAACTAATTCTTCGGACAAGTTATTTTTAGATTTCGTTAATATCTACGACGACTTTTAGCATCAATATCTGCAACAATGTTCACATTATTTGACAATGATCAATCCATTGATAATGTTGTTACTCGTGCTGAACAATCTCGTGTATCATATAACATTCAAACAGAAGAATTTCGGACTCTTAATACCAATCTTCAAACATATCTCAACGAGATGAAAACTATCGACGATGAAAATCGACAATTGCAAGAAAGTATTGAACAAATTCGTAAAGAATATATTGTAGCATTAGAAACACATCTCAAACTTTTACCCAATGATTTCCGAAAGCAGAGTCAAACATTGAACGAAGCTCATCTCGAACGCTACCGATCGAAAACGCGTGCTAAGCGTTATCTGAAAGAACGCGATGAATTGAAACGACGAATTAGTTTCGTTGCTAGCAATGAAAAAGAACAAACGAAACGGTTGAGTGTTCTCCAAAAACAAGAACGGACCGTTCGAAATGAATTTAATAAGTTGAATCAACAAATCCAAAGTTTATCGGCATATGTCGAAAATGAAAAGCAAAATTATCAACAAGCGATGGACAGAGTCGACAGTTTGCAAATAAATTTGGAACGGATCTCCATTGAACGTTCGAAAACTGAAGTAATTCAAGCGAATAGGTTAATTGTATGTTCTCTTTGATCCGTTTACTTTAGTTTGAAATTCAGACGTTGAAAGAAGAAGTGAAATTAATGCAAACAACGAAAGAATTTCTCGACGATGAACGTGAGACAATGCTCGCTACACAAACCGAAGCAAATGAATATCTCCTTTCTCGCTTGAGCGAGTCCATCCATCGTATTCGAGAAGATTTCGATGAACTGAATCGAACTCAGCTGAGACAAACGGAAAACGAATACAAACAAATGCTTCAGATTCTTGAAGAAAGTTTGCAAACTAATCAAACAGCAGATGAAACCAACACACTACAACAAAGTGCAAATCAAGGTGGCTATGCACAACTTCAAGATGAACATCAAACTGTTCTACAAGAACTAAACACACTCAGCGATCATAACCAAACATTAACTGAACGTGTTTTAGCAATGGTATGAACTCGTCGTAGGTTTTTCTTCGCTCGAAAAAACTCGCTTGACTTTTTTAATAGGAAGCGGACTTTTATCTGTTACGCGATGAACGTCGACAGCAGATAGCATCGAAAGACAATGAAGTAGAACGTAGCAAGCTGGAGTTGCATACGTTGAAAGAAAAGTTGAACCATCTGGCTGAATATGATCAAAATTTACAATTTGAATTAACACTCTATCGCGGTGTTCTCGAAAGTGAATATCGACGAAAACAATCGGGAATTAGTACAAGTCAGTTAATGAGGCCGACATCATTACGAAGCAATAATAATGCATTAACAGGTGAGAGCAAAAATCTGACTGAGTAAATACAGAAGCACTCAACACAATTAACTTTCATTATTTGAATAAATAGTTGAGTTTGACAAGCTTTGTAACAACCATCATTGCGTGATTTTGTATACTATATTTGCTTTTTTCATTTCAACTCCTACATGTGTTTGTGTTGTGTGCATCTGTATAGAAGACATTTCTTATTTGCATTGAAATGCAATTTAATGTAGACATATGTGTGAGACTTCTGTATGTGTTCGAAGTGAAGGTTAGAAAGTGAAGAAGAACGCCAATTAGATGATGAATGTGGTTTATAGTACAATAAATCGAGTTGAAGTTTTGGCTATTTCTTTTCTTCAAACAAAAAAATATTGATTTATACAGATAGAACGGTGTGGTTAACAAGTCGTACAAATCAGAGTAAATTGAATGATCAACAGCAAGTTGAGGTATGACAAAGAGTCAATAATGAAACGTATACAATTAATTTCTTTCGTTTTCTATGAAAAGATTCTGACAAGTCGACAAAGAGTTTTATCCGATTATGATTCACTTCGTCAAGACAGTACTACTCGAACGAGCCCTTCTAAGTCAAATGAATCATCGCCTACTGCGGAAATTCGTGTACACGAACCATCGCAGAATGTCACAACTACAGTTGATCTTTCTTATGGCAAGCAGACCTCAGAAGAAGATTCATCAACTTCAGTGTCTTCTGAAGGACGAAAATTATCATCGTCACGAACTTCTTCGACAAGCGCTGCATTACAACAATCGCCTACTTCATCAATACCGCTTCCGATATCACGAGAAGAACGGTTGGAAACTTCTCAACTTCAATCATCACCAACAAGTTTACCATTTATTCCGACACCGGAAGAACAAATATCTGATAGTCACATACATTTTCCAGCAGTTCAAGAACAGCCGCCGCCATCATCACCGGCACGTACGTCTTCGATAAGTTCAGGCGCGGTTCTGTCGGATGTTCCAAAGCATTTATCTATTGCCAGTATCACAGCAACTCTAGATCAAGACATAGTGCCGTCCAATACTTATCAAGTATCCGCAACGCCTCCCAATGAACAACAACTACCATCACGTAAATCTTCAACCGTCACTACTTCACCTGTCGTAGAGCAGCAGTCATCACGTCGCTCGTCGGCAGCAACTGGCGTTCTGATTACGGCAGAGGAACAACCAGGAAATCTATCGTCGGCCGAAGAACATCAACCATCATCGCGTTCAGCATCGACAGGTTCAGGAATATGGCCCGATGTTCAAGAGCGTACTTTCATAATTGGCAACTCGCCGATCGTAGATGTTGCTCAATCATCATCTCGCAAATCTTCAGTTGATTCAACAGCGGCACCCAACGATCAGAAACGTCCTTCTACAATAGATATCTCACCGAATGAGGAACAGCCAACCTCAGTACGGAGATCTTCATCAATTTCAACTGTACCGCCTGAAACGCAACGACGTTTGTCTACTGCTAACATTTCGACAACTTCTGAATACCAACCAGCATCGCGTACATCATCAGTAAGCTCGGGCATGCCATCCAGTGACCAAAGAAGAACGTCAGCGTCTGGTGTCGCGGCAGTTCCAGAACAGCCAACTGCATCTAGTGTGAGTCAGTCGCCATCGTCTCCTTCACAGGAAGATCAACTCACATCACGAGCATCATCTACAGCGCCAGAACTCTTCGCTAATGCAGCTGAACAAACAATCGTTGAACAGCAACCATCATCCCGCAAGTCATCGGTACTCTCAGCAGCGGAATCTGATAGTCAAAGACGTACTTCTACAAGCGCTACTTCAGAAGTTGCCGAGCAGCAGTCAGTAATCTCACTCAATGAACCCCAACATTCATTGCGTACTTCCTCAATCAGCTCAGCAGTCCCATCAGATACTACAAGGCACCCATCTGAAACGAACACGTCAGCAGTTGTGGGACAGCAGTTACCATCACGCAAATCATCAGATGGTGAGAACATACCATTCGATCTTCAGAGTGCTTCTACGACAGCTACAGCTCAATTCCACGTCGAAGAAGGAAAACAACCTTTATCTTCTTCACATGAATCTCCATCTTCATCACGTAAATCATCAATGATTCTCGAACACCAGTCGCGATCACGCACGTCCTCGAGAAGTTCAGTAGCAACATCTGATGACCATAGACGTTCGTCGACAGGAGATACTACCGTGCAGCCAGAGCTACAACAACACTCTGCAACTCCCACATCTGAACATCAGTCCGCGTCTCGGAAGGCTTCAGTCGATCCAACAACATCTTCGGACTTACTACAATCAAACGAACCTTCAACTACTGAAGGTAGTTATGAATTGTTTACGCACTAGCACTGCTTTTTATTCTTTGCTTGCTCTAGGAGACGAATTAGGAAATATTGCACAGCACCTTCCAAAAGCAGACAACGAAATAGGTGACAAAACTAATCATGAAGAAAAAACATTATCCGCGATTGACGAACAATCAGTTCACCATTCGAATCCTGGTGAACGTCGTCTGTCTACACCTGCTACCGAACATTCCTTAACGGAAGAATATGAAGTTTCTCTTGATGCTGACATGAAAGGATCACGTACCCCATCATTTGACTCAAAAACTATGCCGCAAGAAGAAAGAGAAGCAAGTCTTTCTCAACCGAACACAAATATTCCATTAACTACTCAGGACAATGAACCTCAATCGTCACAACAGACTTACTCGTGCGATGAAACGAAAAGAGAAGAAGAAGAAAGTAGTTCTTCTCTTGTTGATAAGAAAGAGGAGGGTAATCTCATCGATTATGATTCCTCAACTAAAGTTAGCGATGCTCAATTACCTGACGCTCAATATTTTACTTTACAAGATACAAGCAAACGATCATCTCGCGATTCTTCATTAACCGATGTTGAAAGTAAGATACGATTCATATTGAAGTCTATATTTCTATCTTTGTAACAAATGTAGCCACTCTTGACAAGCCGGAAAGTCGACCAAATGAAGATGATGATGATCCGAAATTAGCCGTCATAGTTCAAGGTCAGTTGAAAATAAAAATACTTCGTTTTCGATCACTCTTTCCGTCTCAAATCTCTTCTAGAACTTCGTTATGTATTCCATGAATTAGCTAACAATGAAGATCTAGTCGAAATAGATAATGCTCTACCAGATAAGTTATTTGATCGTCTTGAATTTCGCGATCAGCTTCTACGAACATTATTCGACGGTTTACTTCGAAAATACCTTGTACAGGCAGCTGCACAAGGAAGTAAATATCCCTAATTCTTCTTTTCTTATATTAAACATACTATGTCTTGCAAAGATCGTTCTTCCACACTCGACTGGGTTGAATTTCGTGATATTCTTTTTCCAATGGTATCTGGACGGTATACCGAACAACACATTCGCAAATTATTCAACCTGTTCGATCTTAGCGGAGGCGGTCATCTCTCCGTGCAAGAAATTGCCGGTAAAAATCCAAGTTTTTGGTTATATCCCATGAAAATGACAGTACTTGCTTTCAGAATTACTTGAAGTCCTTCAAGCTAACGACACAGTTCATCTTGCACAGAATATTATCGACAAATACGACACCGATCATGATGGTAAACTAAGTGCTGATGGTAATTGAATCGTGAAAACGAGGATTTCGTGTTTCTATGCTATCTTTCCTTTCAATAGAATTGATTGAAGCAATCAAAAAGACTGACGACGTGAATGAACATGTTTTAGCAACAGAAACCGAAAATCAGCAATGGTTCAATCAATCACCAACCGAAAACCAGACGATAACATTAGAAGTACCCGTGATTAACTTCCCAAAGAAACCCGATGAGAAATTCAGTCAAAGAATAACTAGTAAGTACTGACCAAAGACGAAATTTCCTTCACAAAGTTCGATTAATTCTCTTTAAACACAACAGCACTTGGTGAAATTTTCAAACGTCTCGGTGCTAGTTCGGATAAGAAACAATTGAATAGTACCAATGAATACCTATCCATGAACATGGCAAATGAATTTCTTAATCATCATATCAATATCTCCAACAGTGATTTACAACAATTCATTCAATCGTTTCTCGATAAAAAACAACAACAAAATGGTTGGATAGAAAATTATGCGAAGTATTCGTTTTACTAATTCGATTTATTTAGATCCTTTGATTGATTGGACTGAATTTCGCGATACATTCTTACCGATTATCGACAATGGATGTTATACAGCGGACGATCTCAAACGATGGTTTAACATTCTCGATGTCAATCAAAATGTAGCTCTTACACGAGAACAGTAAAATACTTCAAAATTGCTCTCTTCAGTTATGTATGTCGCTCATCTTTTCTGACATAGACTTGGCCATTTACTTCGTTTATTACAAATTCAGCATGTCGATGAAGTTATCAATAAATTAAACGAAACGCGAGAAAAAAATACGGATAATTCATCGCCATGGACACTCGACGGTAAAGAATTTGCCTGCGCTGCGAGAAGATCATTTTCGTGCATTTATCTTCATTTGTTTAGAATTAGACATGTCTTTAGCTAATGTCAATGAAACAAGTTCGCTTTTTCTCTCGGACAATGAACGAACTGAACAAATTCATTCATTCAATGTCGATTGGCTTTCGAATAACATATTCTAACAACACATCTCCAATGAACAACTCACCCATTCTAATCTTTCCTTAACAGTAGTATTTCAACCGTGTTTTTCTTCTTTACACCCAGTGATTCTTATTTTTTGTTGCTTTTTAATATCAGTTCATACGCTATTTTGCTTTATGCTAACCAAATCCTGCTTTTACATGAAATCATTTAGTTATTTAGCTTGGAATCAATTTTTTTCTTTCATTCTTACAATAAATTGACAAACGATATAAAAACGCACATGCGCATGTGCATATAGGTTCGAATCAATCGTAAGAAAAACATGTTTATGACGTGTACTGCGCTTCTCTTGCACTAGCCGATGTTGCCCGTTTCAACCAATAATCAAGAATATTGACTAGCCGTTATTATGTCAAGGTAAATTTTATTCTTTGATCGATAAGGTTGATAACGAAATCAATTCAGTTTGGCACTTGGATTGCACCTTTGTATTTTGGTTGTCATTGGTTGTATATTCAAGACCGATAGTGTTATCTATCTAAACAAAAAAACATAATCTCGAACGAGATTTGAGAAAAAAATTCAACGTACCTGTGTGTTTCCATTTATGTACATAACAGCAGCAGCACCTAAAGTTTGACAAACAGAAATTGAAATAGAAGACAAAAGAAGCATTCTACTCACTGTCACAGTCTGATGGATTGAACATGGTTTTCGACACTGAAGTGTACCTGCCTAGACGTTTATAGTTTAATTTGATAATATTAGAGGCATTATACTACGGCCATATTTATATGAGCTTACTGTCGTGATTTTGATAGACTCAAAGAAAGGAAGAACGAATGAAATAGTATTCCCACACTCTTCCATGATTTCGGAAATGAGGTGTACGATACGCTAAAGAATACAAATCACGGTATGACGTGATAATTAGTTGGAGTTTGCCAAGGTATGATGAGTAATCAATTTGATTCGCTCTGTTACATTGACCAAAATATCAAAAGCGAAATCAATTTGCTGTACTCAATTTCATAGAACAGACGTCAATAACGAATCTTGATTTTACGCTCTAAGACAGAAAAATATTTCGAATCGTCTCAATACTTCTTTCAAAACTTAGATCCCTTTTGGCCGTGCACAATATTATAGATTTCTGAAGTACAGGAACTGACTCCACATAATGTCACATCATCAATTATCATCTTTATTACTGTTTTTTTTTCTTAACTATGGTTGAAATGTCTTCAAATGATCCACTTCTTCATATAATCTTCGCTTGCAACAGCTGTATACGTACAATCTTACTAGATAATAATCATCACAAGCAATTCATCGTAACACAGACATTTTCATAGGTAATGACGTCTAACTCACATTTACTTATTATTATTTCTTTTTGAAAGTAAATATCATAACAAAACTTTTCGTCACTAATACGCGTGTTAAACCAACGTCGCGATTCATGTTCCATGGTTTACCTTGATTGCCTCTTTTAATAAGCAGTAGCCATAGTAAATCACCACTCCAGTCACACTTTGCACCCAACTACCCAGGCAGACAAAAACTAGAACGAAAACAAACACGTAAAAATGTCAAGGTTTTAACGAAATTTCAACGCGTTTTCCGAGAAGTTTTGTCTGCCAGAGAATTCATCGGATGTGTGGTACGTGCGGACAAAACATAGTGTATGCACATATATATATATTTATTGCATGTCGATAATTGGAAGTCGAACATAAATATGAAAAGATTTTCAAAAGAAAAAACGAAACAAAAGTATAAATAAGCAGCCATTTCGTAAGAAAATGAGATAGCATCTTGTATGGATATCTTTTGATTTTTTGCCATATCATGAATTTTTTTTTAAAAGTTTAAATGCTGTCATTTAAATCGCCGATCTCTTCCATTTATCCAATGAATGATTACGTGCAACTACTTTCCATATGACCGATGTCGTTGTCATATTTAGAGAAAGTCAGAACTGCCGGGGAACTGCTCTAAAAATGCCAGAATGATAAATAAAATGGATGAAGTAAAAGTGAAATAACTCACTTGAGTATTACCAGTTATTAGCATCCATGCAGCTTCTTCTAAAGATTCAAAGTGATTGTCATTAGTAAATAGTACAATTGAATAATAGTACTTACTATCGATTTCTCCAAAGTCAACCATCGTTGTATTGTAAATCGTTGAGATGTATTTCGTTCAGTTAGATGAAATGATTATGTATATTCGAACAATCGTATCTTATATATATATATATATGGCCGCCGATGTGCGTGATTTTCTTAAGGCCATACATATAAACACATGATAAAGATGTTGGGAAAAAAGTTTGTAAGAAGATTGACGTCAAATGCAATTCTCCTGCTGTGAGACCACATATTTTCGTCTCAGAAACACGTCATCAGACATACAAAAGCCGAAATCAATATTATGCACAATTGGACGAGACCCGATCTTATTCTTTAGCAGACCGTAGGAGTCAAAATCCTTCGGTATACTAAAAAGAGAGAGCGACGTCATTTACTTCAAAGTCACTTGTAGGTTTTATTATTACGATGTTGATTTTAGTCGACAAATGATTTCATTCTTATATTGACATATACTCTCTAAACGAAAGACTTTTCGTTTGACTTAACAATTCTTACACGTGGATAAACTTAGTTTTATACTACATGATTTTACCATTTATCACAAAAAACTATTATATTTGTAAAACTAACGAACGAGAAAGTACTTGTACTCCAATTGACAAAACATACTGCCAAAAATATATTATCAGGGAAGGAACAGATTTTCTGCTGACTAAACACACGAGAGTATGACGCATAAGGTGAACAAATTCCAAACTAGTTCATATGATCAATTTCGATTGCTGGCATCAGTCAAAGTCGCCTTTCATGATTCTCTTTTTGTATAAACTATTCCTTTTGTCAAAACGGATGAAATGATTGACGTCTATATCAAGGTTGAATAGCATATTTTAGAAGTTCGGAAATGACTTATTTTTTCCACTCGTATGCTATTTACAAAAGTCTAAGAGAAGTTTGCTATTTCTTCCAGACCGGAAATTTCCACAATTGGTGCATGTGCCTTATAAGACGCTCAGACAAAATTCTTCGCATCGATAAGAACGAAAATAACATTAAATCACAATGTACTGATACTTTTATTATATGCATCAGTAGAACTCGCAATATAAACAAATCTACTAAGAAGAAAATAAGCAACATATGAGTAAATGCTCTATAACAGTGTAAGACTGGAAGAAATGAATACTGATAGAACTAGGATCAGTTATGCACCTCTTATTGTTAGTATTAGTTAATATTCTCGAAAAAAAACAACAACATACAATTGAATAAGTTTTATGATATAAGAGTCGCGCATCCGATCGTATTGACGAGAGCCCTTCCAATGAATACCACCGTTGTATAAGTTTAAACTTAGAAAATTACCGATATTTATGAAGGAAATGATAAGATGCTGAGAAGATTGAATTCAGCGTTCTAATTATAAAATGGTAATTCTTGATGTAGATGTGTATGTGTCAGGGAAGAAAAATGACAAGGTAATAGACTACATCAATATGAACGATGTAACACTTGGGATGTCGTCACAGATTCAAGGGTTGAGCGTCGACAAGACGAGACGCTCGTCTCGTTCTCTAATTCAATAAGAATTTCCTCATATGTCGAAGACTGTGTTCTCTTCTTCGACAGACAAAAATTCCTTATTAGTTCAATATTAAGATAGGTTTATCAATAAGCGATTGTCATCCACATCGAACAAGTTCTTCTATTTCCCATAGTCATTAATATGAACGGATATCGAGTGCTATTATGTTTGAATTTGTTATCGTAATATTGTTTATACACTATCTTGTTTATATATACATAAAATCTAGTGTATGTGTATACATTGATTGATTCATCAAAGCTCTTGTCTACAGTTACTAACATCATCAAACAATCAAAACTGTTACTTTGATGGAGTACGCGTATGCATACTCCTAATAATCCGAATGCAATGAGTGTATTGTTATTGTTTTGATGTTTCTCTCTCTCTCGCGCGCGCGCGCTCACTCGCTAGCTTTCGATTTGAGTGACAGTATTGGAAGATGACATTTACCAAGTAAATTGAAGTATTCTTCATTTTGCCTTTTCTTCTTCTTTTTCTTGACAAAGTGAATGTATGTGGAGCACTCAAATGTTCTTTATTTGTATTTATTTGTCTCATGTATATGTCGCACGTCCCGTGTCCGTTTCATGCTCGATCAATATGGATATTGAGCTTTATCAGATAAGTAGCTTGACATTTNGTCTCTGTGTGTAGGTAAAGTACGTGTCTCTGGTCCGGGTATTGAACATGGTGTTCTCTCAACATTTCAATCACATTTCATCTGTGATACGAAAGGCGCAGGTAAGATGTTTGCTTCCAACGACAACTATGTATTTATAAGGAACTTGTTCAGGTGCTGGACAACTGACTGTTAAGATCCGCGGTCCCAAAGGTGCGTTTCGTGTCGAAATGCAACGTGAACATTTACAAGATCGTACCATTATTTGTCGATATAATCCAACTGAACCCGGCGATTATCTCATCTCAGTTAAATGGAGTGATGAACATGTTTACGGTTCACCATTTCACACTCATATCTTTGAACGACAAGAAGAATTGGACCGATTTTTACATGAGCAAAATGCCTATCGTCAAGCCCAACAGCAGTGGAGAGATGAAGTTTAAAACGAACGTAAACGAAAATAATCTTCTAATTCAATTGTAATTCCTCTCCTATATCTTTTGCTTCGAATGATTTTTTCTTCTTTTTTTCCTTCATTTCTTTAGCGAAACTTTTAGCAATAATATTTGTTCATTCTCATGCTTTTTTCCTTTTCTCTTTTTTTCTACATAAATAAAAAATTATTCTACAATTTTCATTAATTATTCTCATTTTCATCGTCATCATCGTCTCTCTCAAGAAACACTCGTCCGTCTAGTTTCTTCAAGTGTACCACACGATTGCGAAATTCACGACGATATTCCTTTTCCAAGGGTGTCATCGGTTGACTTGGTTCAGGTGGAAAATTCTCACCTACGATGCGCTCATGAATCGGATTACCGTAAGCGTTCACTTCTTCCAATAGATTCAGATCGTTTAGTTTACTGATCTCAGCCCAATCTTTAATCTGATTGTACGCAAAATAGAACACACGCAACTGTTTTAATGTGTTTATTCCTTTGAACTTCTCGATCTGATTATAAGATATCCACAACTGTTCAAGTGTACTACCAAGAACTTCTAGACCAGTGAGATTCTTAATGTTGTTTCTTGAGAGAGAAAGAATTTTCAAACGGCGTAGACCATTCATATAACCAATTCGTTCGATCGTGTTCGATGACAAAGCTAATCGCCTGAAAAACATATACATTTCAACGAGAATATCAACATATCTGTCGAGAAAACGATCGTCTAGAGATACATAATGATCAGTCTGTTTGAATAGTTCGTACTCGCAATTAACTAAGGATGACACTGAATTATCCAGTTTTTCGATCGGTGGTATTTGTCCGTATAAGTAACATTCTTTGAGATCTTCTGCTTTTTGACTGTTAAGCTAGAAACGAATGGAATTTATTAATGATCTGATCGGTTGGTTCACATACATATTTTGTCAATGCTTCACGAAATGTTTGATATGTCTAGAATGGATAGAGTTTATTTGGATAGCGCAGAGAAAAGATTATTTTATTTTATTTTATTTTACCATGAAAAGTGTAGGAGTGAATGTGAAGAATCGTTTAGGCGCGTTTTCTTTANCTGCTTTTTGACTGTTAAGCTAGAAACGAATGGAATTTATTAATGATCTGATCGGTTGGTTCACATACATATTTTGTCAATGCTTCACGAAATGTTTGATATGTCTAGAATGGATAGAGTTTATTTGGATAGCGCAGAGAAAAGATTATTTTATTTTATTTTATTTTACCATGAAAAGTGTAGGAGTGAATGTGAAGAATCGTTTAGGCGCGTTTTCTTTATATCTCACAAGTTTTTGATGTGTTCATTGAACACACACACAGCCAGCAGATTATTGGTAACATGTGATGAGTACCGTACGACATCTGCAGTATTCGTCGTCGTTGATCATTGTCATTGCCACCAATGAGAGAATCAACGAATGCCGACAGTTACTCATGATATCTGTTCGCTAAAGATTTAGGTCAAACACTTCTCATTTTATCAAAAAAAGATAACTCGAACTTCAGTTCGAACAAATTTTGGATATGTCAACAACATCTGCCACCACGGAGACTCCGCTCGATGCGATAGAATCTATTTTCAAAGATCTCCGCCAAACGTTTAACTCTGGTAAAACCAAACCATTGACATGGCGTCGGCAACAACTTGAACGCTTGTATGAAATGTGTGATAAGGAAAAAGACGCGTTTGGAGCAGCCGCAAACACCGATTTTCATCGACCGAATTCGGAGACACTTATCTTCGATTGTGGCTCAGTAAGTCGTCGAGAGAAAGAAAAACTATTCCTTCCAAGGGTATACTTTTTGTTCATTTAGATTCGTAACGAATGCACACATGCACTCAATCATCTCGATGAGTGGGCTAGTGATGAAAAGATTTCCGATGCGCTAGCCTATGCAACGTTGGATAAATATGTTCATCCAGAACCACTTGGTATCGCATTGATTATCGGTGCATGGAACTATCCGTTTTTAGTCACACTAACACCGCTGATTGGTGCCATTGCTGCTGGTAATTGTGCTATTCTCAAGCCTTCTGAATTAGCGCCACACTCGGCAGCAATCATGGCAACAATGGTCGCACGTTATCTTGATCCGAGTTGTTTTCGGGTAGTACTTGGCGGTGTTGATCAAACACAAGCGTTACTCAAAGGCGATATTGATAAAGTATTTTATACAGGTTCAACAGCAGTCGGAAAAATAGTAATGAAGGCAGCTGCAGACAAAATGATTCCAGTTACACTTGAGTGTGGTGGCAAAAGCCCCGTGTTCGTCGCCGATGACGCAAACTTGGAAATTTGTGGAAGACGTCTTGCTTGGGGCAAAACAATCAACTGTGGACAAACATGGTAAATCGCTCTAGCTCTCATTGGTTTCTGTTCATTGATGATTTCATATGTTTTGTTTTACAATTTACAGTTTAGCACCTGATTATGTCTTATGTTCAAAAGCTACTGAAAGTCGCTTAATTCCATATGTAACTAAAGCTTGGCAAGAATTTTACACTACCAATCCTGCTAATTCAGATTCATATTGTCATATTGTTAACAGTCGCCATTTCGATCGTGTTAAAAGATTAATCAACCAAGACAAAGTCGTACACGGTGGTCAAACTGATTCCAATCAAAATTTCATTGCCCCAACTATCATGTAAGCAAAAAAGTTCGCATTTGAATCTGATTATTCGTCTTTGACAGGAGCGACGTCACAGCGGATGACAATGTCATGCAAGAAGAAATCTTTGGACCTCTTCTTCCGTTTATTACAGTTCGGGATGAGCAAGAAGCCATTCGTTTTATCAATAGTCGCGACAAACCATTGGCACTCTACGTGTTCTCATCAAATAAGGATTTAGCAAAACGAGTTATTAATGCGACAAGTGCCGGTTCAACCTGTGTAAATGATGTTATCTTTCAAATAGCACCGCCTTCCTTACCTTTCGGCGGTGTGGGAGCCAGTGGTTTAGGTGCATATCATGGCAAATACTCCTTTGATGCTTTCAGTCATCGCCGTACTGTGGTTTACGCGCCGAATTGGACAGAAGTACTACTAGTCCAACGAAATCCCCCATATACTGCGAAGAAAACGGCTTTTATTGAAAATCTGAGTAAAGTGCGCCGTCGCTGGCGTTTATTACCACGATTAGGATTTTGGTTCTGGGCATTTGCTGCTCTCGCGTTGGCTGTTGCAGCCCGTATTGGTCTTCGTGGTTTACAAGAAAATAAATGGAACATATAAAACTCTTTTCCTCTCTAAACAACAAAATTCACTTTGATTTTTCTTTTATATTTAACAAACTATTTTTCGAAAAAAGAAAATATTTTTTAGTCGTACGTCCATCTTTTGCTTTCAGATCATTATTCGGTGCTAAATGCAAGAGACAATAGGAGATACGACATACAATTGGACAGATGTCACAACTGAATTTGCCGATTTATGTCGAAACTTACCTGTGGGTGAAGTCCTTCGCGATGAGGATTTCACCTTGTTCGAAGCGATGACAGCTTTAGAATTGATGGATCCGAAGATGGACGGTGGAATGTCAATCAAAAATCATTTCCATGAGCAAAAGCATGGTAATCGAACCTTAACATTACCACAATTAATCGAAAAGAAACTTGTTAAGACATCTTCATTGACACCAACTGAACTCATACATTTATTCGATCAATTACTATCAACATTTCATATGTGGCTTGACGGGCACAGTTTAGCATTGACTTTATACACTTGTGTTTATGTACATGATATTCCAATCATTGAGGATTATCCTTTACGAACAATATGTTATACATTTGTGAAGTTGATTGATTATATTCGTGAAAGAATCTTGTTGAAAGCCGGTCTTTTTGAAGAAGAAGATTTTAGTGGCACATTGACGTACAATTTTCCATTCTATCGCGATACGATCAAGGATCAAACATGTTTGAGTGATCTGAAGAAATGTGAGGATGAATTAAATAAACGCCTACGTTCGTTAAAGCATGAAAGTGAGTTAAATCAATCAGAGATCAATGCAACTCAACAACTGATACATCGAATACGGTTTTTACGCTTATTTTTCGGTGTGACACTGAGATTCAATGAAGCGAATGAGAAAACTAACGAACAAACATACTTAAATAGTGAAGAAATTCTGAAAAATCTCAAACAAATCGACGAATTACTTCTTCTTATCCGACCATCACATGTTGTAGAAGACGAAACTGTACGTCAATATCGTTTCTGACTTTCCTCCTCTCATATTCTTCTCTTCCGTTTAGACAACATCACCCGACAATGCGGAAATGATCATACCAATCTCTTCACTCGCCGATATCGCACGTTCATTTGACCCCTATTATAATTACCGACAATTGCCGCCAGCATTCAATCGTTTCATCCGTCAACTGATTTTACCGTCATGTGTTTACACATTCTTAGGAAGCATTTGTCAGCAACTGCGGCGAATGCTAGAAGTCAACGACAAACGAACATTGAAACAAGCTTTCGAATTTTTTCTGGAATATTCAACGAATGAAAAGCCATCGTTGTTCATTCGTTCTCTTCTTCTTCTTTCATATTTACCGTCGGTACAGGGTTGCCTATTAAGTTCAAGAAAAATCTTCGGCCAGATTTCGTTTGCTGAACAAGTCAAGTATGAAATGCGATTGTTCATCGTTCCACCATTGTTAACATTGAAATACATAGCAATCGACCAGGAAACGATCAACTACGGCGAGAATTTCTTTCAACGTGCTTGTGTACCGTTTTCGAATCTATTCTATTCGTTGTGTAACAATCGTGCGCGTACAAGAGAGAAACTATCGAATCTATTAGATGAATTTAGTGTTCTACAAGATGAAAGTGAGAAGTTAGATCAATGGTTACACAAATATTTCCTTCAACATATTCTGCAAGCGAATTTATCAACGTTGAATGCTCAGACGTTGTTATTAATCGAGAAGACTTCGTATTTCTTTCAATTTATTCTTCATTGGACGCTGTTAATCATGGAATACTATCTTCTAATGGGCTTCGATTTATCACTTTATTCGAAGCGTGAACTCTACGATGTGTACTTTTACTTCGCCCAAATCATTCTATTTACACATATCAATGTTTACAAAACATCAACGAATCTTCTCAACACGACTATACCGATGTTAATTCAAACCAATCAAAAACATCAGCAAATCAGCAAAAATCAAACCAGTAATATTTTTGTCCAGCAATTCAGTTCACTCGTTCAACAGCATAGCAATGACGATCCTTTGATGGATTCTGCGAATGACAGTAATCCGGGACAAAAGAAAAATAAACGGAAAAATCTCAACGGGTTGTTATCTACCAACACGGATCATCATGAACAAGAAGTAGCACTCATTCACGGACATTTTGCGATGAGTACAGCGATGCATCGATGTTTGAAAGCTTTGGAACTCGAACGGCGATTAAGATTCAGCAGGTAAATATCTTTTCTTCGTAAGTTCTCACACAATCCAGCTTGCACTTTTCAGTACCGATGCCAATTATTTTCTTCGCGATGAAATCCGTTATCGTCATCGTTTTCTTCCATTTGCAAACCTTTGTGCACCACCCTATATGCCTCACGCTGATTTTCTTCATATTCAAAATTTAAGTGATAATCGTTACACCCCAAAGGAACTCTATCAAGATGCGATTAATAATTTCTCTCAAGCGAAAACATATTTCGAAAGTTATCTCAATCGACTAACAGCATCCAAACAACAAACACTGAACCGAACGTTCACAACAAACTTCACGTCTTTAGCAGATGTCGAATCGTATATTCGTATCGCGAAAACGAATTGTGTTGTTTTGAAATTGTTACTGAGTGGTCATAAACCTGAAATGAAAATTGATTTTGATTTTACTTTACACGCCCATTATCCAACATTGAAACTGTGATTTGCAACGAGTTTTATGTTTTCTCCTGAGTGTGTTTGTAGTTCTCATATCAACTAATTCTGATCTGTTTTCTCGTTTTTCGTCTTTCTTTCTCTCCTCAAACACATGTTTGTAAGCGAAAAAAGAAATAGAAAGATTATAAACCAATTTGTTTAAGATATAAGAAAGTAATTGAAAATTCTAATGGTATTTTATTTCTGTTCACTTTAAAACAGATATTCAACCACGTTAAATTAACTTATCGCACATTAAGAACAATGTCCAATTCAGTACTTAATAGCCACAATGTCGATGCGATTGAAAGTAAAAGTGACGAACCGGAATTTGATTTCAAGGAATATTATTCCAAAGAGAAAACATTGGCATTACGTGATATTTATATCCCGTAAGTAAACGAATTTCTTGGCTGAATATTCAGTGATGATGTTTGCAGGTACTGTACGGAGCTATTCTATCGTGAAAATCCAATAAAAATTGTTCGCTGTCAAGGAACATACATGTACGATCAATTAGGAAACAAATATTTAGATTGTATTAATAATGTTGCGCATGGTACAGATAGAAAAAAGTAGCGTTTTTTTTGCTTCGATTTAGTTTGATTTAGTGGGTCATTGTCATCCGTATGTTTGCAATCAGATTTACAAACAAATGGGTGCATGTGCGACAAATAATCGGTATTTACATGATAATACTGTTGTTCTTGCCGAAAAACTAGCCAAAACATTACCGAAAAGTCTCGAGCAAATTTTCTATACAAATTCTGGGTAAATTGTTAAAGTTTATCGATATTTTACCGGTATCGATCGTTTAGTTCCGAAGCAAATGATTTGGCTATTCGATTAGCTAGACAATATACTGGAAACTACGACATACTTGTCCTTGATAAGTGAGATCTGTCTGAAAGAAGAGGAAGTAGGTGTATTGGTGTTATTTAGTGCTTATCATGGCCATTTGACCACTCTCTTCGAATTATCGACTTATAAATTCAAAAAGGCCAATACAGAAATGAAGGCGCCCGAACATGTTCATGTGGTATGTGTTGGTGAGCAATTGTTCATTCGAGAATATTCTATTTAGTTATCAATTCCGGATATTTACCGTGGTAAATACCGTGATGTCGATCACAATAATGATATTGAAAAGATATGTCAGTTATATGTAAATGATGTCCGTCAAATAGTGGAGGAAGTGGAGTCGCGTGGTCGTCGTATAGCAATATTTTTAATCGAATCGCTACAATCCTGCGGTGGACAAATCATCTATCCAAAAGGATACTTGAAACAAGTCTTTGAGTAGGAAAACATTCCAGTGATTTGTTTCATTCAAATTTTCATATTAAAATTTAGCTTTTTACAATCCAAAGGTATTCTCTGTCTAGTCGATGAAGTTCAAACAGGCTTTGGTCGTACCGGCACGCATTTCTGGGCATTTCAATCGTATGAAGAAGGTAGAAATTCCTAAAAGTCGACCTCCATTTAAAATGCTCTCTGTCATACATAGATGTTACTCCTGATTTTATCACAATGGGCAAATCTATGGGCAATGGCTTTCCCGTAGCTGCGTTAGTTACACGTCGGGATATCACACAAAAGTTCGACATGAATGGTATTGAATATTTTAACACATACGGAGGAAATCCGGTTAGTTGTCGCGCAGCTATTGCGGTTATGGACGTGATTGAAAAAGAGAAATTAATGGAAAATGCATTGAATGTGGGTAATTATTTGGTCGAAAAATTAAAGGAGATTCAATCAAAGTATGATATTATTGGTGATGTGCGTGGCCGCGGTCTTTTTCTCGGCATTGAAGTTGTCCGTGATGGTAAATCACGTGAACCTGGCATAGAGGAAGCTCATGAAATTAAATACAAGTACGAAAACGACATCTTTCCTAAGTTCAGTGAAGAAGATTATCTTTTAGACTTCGCGAACATATGATTATTGTATCTCTCGATGGTCCTGATCATAATGTGATTAAATTCAAATCGTAAATATTGTTGAACGATTGATTTGCTAGGATTTATTTGTCTCTTCTAGGCCGATGTGTTTTTCCAATACTGATGCTGACTTTTTCTGCGAGAAATTGGAAACAGTCGTTCGAGAATGTCAAAAGAAGAAGGAAGAACAACAACAACAACAACAATAATTGTCAATATATCTTAGCAACGTTCACAATAATAAGAAGACAGTCAACATACGATTCTTTTTCATTCTATATTTAATGTATTCCCTTTTAGTAGTTTGTGTCTATTTAAAAAAAAAACAAATGATTTCATTGAACGCGCAATGAAAACTTCTATTTTATAAACGAGCAAATCTTTCGAGTGAAAACCAATAGGCAACATTCGATAAACTATTTGTCAATTTCTTCTTCTAGAACACATCGAAGAGTATCCTTGAAGATTATTGTACTCGTTTTCTATCACCTATGACGTAATCGTACGTTTGTGAGTATGTATTATGATACACATACATCGACGAACGCGCACATATTTCGTTCTAGATTAGATTCATCGAGCAATGTGCACAACGAATCTCTTGTCTAAGAATCAATAACTCTTTCGTGACACAGAACTGGTTTTATTTCTTCATCGGCAAGTTCGGTGAGTGTAAAACTCAAACACATTCCTCACTTTTTTTGCTTCTTTTGCAATGGTAGATTGACGTATTTTTTCATTGGATTTGTCTTTACATAAAAAGCACACCACATCCATCGATCAGCGTGTTCTTTCTTTTTCGTTCTTCTCCCAATGGGCAATTTACAACAGCAGTGTCGCGGAACTGGAACTACTGAACTTGAATTGAATCGTAAAGATGCAATTTATGTTCCAAATGAAACTCTGACGGGTACAGTTAGTTATTTAAAACATGCCGAAGCGTTTGTTGTCTTAACTGGCGTAATTTATTTTAAAAAACGAAAAAAGGCGGGCCTGGAAAAATGTGAAGTGACATTTTTCACCGTCGAATATCCTCTCAAACCGAATCATTCGAAAAGCCAACAGTTTCAATTACAACTGGACGATCGACTTCCGCCGTCATTCAATGAGCCCGAAACTTATCCAAGCATTTCGTATACAGTGAGACTCGTCTATAAGAAAGCGAAAGAACAAATTCATTCGTCGATTCCGATACGCGTTTGTCCTCACGTACAAATCGATCGACCTTTACTTCTAACACCGCTTTTTTTCGGTCCCATCGAGAATCATCAAACGGGCATTAAACTTGACGTTAAAGTCAATCGTGCCATATTTACATTCGACGACATCATCCAAATCTTCTACGAACTTCAAAATCCCAACCAAGAGTTTATACACAAAACAGAAATCAGTCTCGGGATTTACTATACAATTGAATCGAATGTCTCACAAGAGGATATTTGCATTGGCTTTGAGAGCTTTGAAAATACAGCATTGGACAACAAATTGATACGAAATAAAGCTCTGTTGAATATTCCCGAGAAGATCTATTTACCTCCAACGTATAAATTTCAATACGGACGTGACGGTGAACGCTCATCGTTTAATCTGACGATTGATTATAAGATACAATTTCGAATCTATTTCGGTAATGAACACACCATGTGGCAAGTGGACATTCCTATTATTTTATGCAATGAAACAATACAACCACGAGATAATGAAATGCCAGTGGAATCAAAGGAAACAATCTCAAATGATGCTAATATAACAAACAAAATAGTTTCCTGATTTTTCCTACTCTTACCTTATGGAATGAGGTGCTGTTTTCTTTTTCATCCACAATGTGTGCTGTGAATTCTTTCAAATAAGTGTTTTTTTTAATTAATAAATGCTAATCTCCTGATTTAAAATCAAATCAATATGACAAGATTAAGCACATATAAATGTCCTTCCTACTCAATATGGAATCTTTTGTAGAACAAAATCAAATCAAGTTTTGTCGATATTACGTCTCAACGTAAAAGTTAACTGATGATGAATCAAGAGAAACTTCCAACGAGTATGAGTAATACATCTGAGAAGCAATCGTGTTTTGATTGGCTATTCGTGAAAACATGAACTATTTACAGAATCTTTTGAAAAGGTTTTCGTCAATGAAAATAAATCTCATATTCCAAAATAACTTTTAAAAAAGCTTAGAATTCATATTTACATCATTTGCTATGCAGAAAAATTCCCAGTTGGAAATTTCCAGTTAAAGCTATTTATTCCTTCTCGTTTTATGTTTCCTCGACCCCAACGTGCATACTTGGTAGCAACATTCTCAATAAAGTACACGACGAATAATTACACACAATTTCATGACGTGGTACCTCTCTGATGTCGTTGAATACAAGTACAACCTCGGCATTGCATAAGATTAATTTGGAAACATTCTCACTTGTTTGGCTGGATATTACCATTAATAACTCCGAAGAAAATCTTCATACTCAACAAGAACTACGCAGTGTGATAAACCATTTACGAACTTTTGAAAATAGCTCGGATTGTGAGGAATATATTCGATCGATACCGCATGATGATCGAACTATTATTATTGTTAGTGGTGTATCAGGTCGACAATTGATTCCACGTATACATAACCTTCCACAAGTTTGTTCAATTTATGTTTACTGTATGCAAAGAAAAACCAATGAGAAATGGACGAAAGATTTTACTAAGGTACCGATCCATCCTTAATGGGAAAAACGGTTTTATACGAGATTTTCATCTAGGTCCGAGCTGTTATTGTCAAATCTGAAGATCTGATTAATCAAATTCGGTCCGATCATAGTCAACGTTTGCAGAAAAAGGCGGATGAAACACTTTCGATCAATATTTTTCATGCCAATCACGGTCAGTCAACAACAGGTCTCAACGGACAATTTGTGCATTCACAGTTGTTGATCGATTGTTTATTAAGAATGATACCGGTTGTCGGCGAAAAAGAAGAATTAGTTTCCGTATGTAAAGAAGAATATCGAGAGAATTCACACGAACTATCCAATGTCGAAGACTTTGAAAAAAATTATGTACATCAGCAAGCTATTTGGTGGTACACACGACCATTATTTCTCTATCGTTTGTTGAATAAGGCATTACGGGTACAAAATATTGATTTGATCTATCAATTTCGCTTCTTTATTCGCGATTTACATCAGCAATTATCGGAAAGGCGATGCTTGGCACCAATTAGTGTCTATCGGGGTCAATTAATGATAAATGATGAGCTTCAAATACTGAAAGATTCGGTTGGGAAGTACATTTCAATAAATTCCTTCTTTTCAACTAGTCTCAATCGCAATTTAGCGTTGTTTTTCTCTCGCGAAGAGAATGACTACGAAAGGGTTCTATTCGAAATTGATGCAACACCACAATCGGAAGATGAAAAGCCATTTGCAGATATTAGCTCGTATAGCAATTTTCCTGCTGAATCTGAAGTCTTATTCATGTGTGGTTCAGTATTTCGAGTCATGGACGTTTCGCGCGACAGCGATGGTTTATGGCTGATTCACATGATCTTATCCAATGAAAAAGATCATGAGTTAAAACGAATATTTGAACACATGAAAAATCAATATAGTCATGAAACGAATAATCTTCTTCTGTTAGGTCACGTTTTACGTGACATGGGCAAATACGATCAAGCCGAAGCTTATTATCGTCGAGCACTTGATCCACTACCGACTGATTTACACGAGCGAAGTCGATGTTACCATGCACTTGGAATAATTCAATACGAAAAGGGAAACTATGACGCGAGTTTGGAATATCATCGATATTCTTTGAATATTAAACTGCATTCATTAAAATCGAACGATCTTCATTTAGCAAATAGTTACAACAGTATTGGAACAATTTATGAAAGGAAAAAAGACTATTCACAAGCTTTACAATCATTTCATCAATCGTTACTGATTCTTCAACAAGAACTAGGAGATGATCACCCGAAAGTCGCAACTTGTTTGAATAATATCGCTGGAATATACCAATCAGAGAAAAAGTACACTGAAGCATTGAAATGTAACCAGGAAGCATTGAAAATTCGAAGCAAACACCTCCCGGCTGACCACCCTGATCTAGGAGCATCGTATAGCAATATTGGAATTATTTACCGATGCCTTCAGCAGTATGATTCTGCAATTGAGCATCATAATCAATCGCTAAATATTCATAAGAAATCACTTCCACCACAACATCCATCGATAGCATCGACATTGACGAATGTCGGACTGGTTTACGAAGACAGAGGAGAATATCGTGAAGCACTAGAATATTATGAAAAAGCAGCGCTGATCTATCGACAAGCACTGTCTCCAAAACACCCGAATACAATCAAAACCGATCAGTTCATTCAACGAGTGCAATCGAAAATGAGATGTGTTTGATGTGCTGAATCATTCTTTTAAAAACTATAAGAAAATATGTAATTATTTCACCGGTAACGGTTTGCACGTGTATAGAATAGAATGTATGGAGCATTGTATATTTTATACGTGAAATAAAATACTATACCATTCTATTCGACTGCAATGTTTGATAAAGACACTGATGAGAAGAAATGAGTCAAGACAATTTTGCGATGTGAGAATAATAGATGTCGCTTATGTATGTTCATCAGAACACCGCTGAGGGTTTATCGTTAGTTGCGGATTGGTGAAGAAATAGACCAGAAATCTCCTTGAAACACGTGGCCCTAAAAGAAACAAATGAGTTATTTTTCTTATTATACATAACAAAAATAATTGATATTTATTATTATTCAGATATATTTCAAATAAAAGAAAGCCAATCATTTAATCAAGATAATTAGAATGAGTTTTCTATGGGATTGGTTCACAAGTATTCTCTCTTCACTGGGTAAGTTTGCCATTCAATACAACCTTGAACTTGCCAATGATTTCGATTGTGTTTCGCATTTAGGTTTGCATAAAAAGAGTGGTAAACTTGTCTTTCTTGGTCTTGATAATGCTGGCAAAGTAAAACAAACTTTCGAGCGAAACCTTGCTATCGCACTGTTCTTTCTATTAGACTACTCTGTTGCATATGCTCAAAGATGATCGACTTGCACAGCACGTACCTACTCTACATCCAAGTATGAAAACGAGTTGATCTTTATGATGAATATTTGTATATCATTTCTGTTTGCTATGTATAGCCTCAGAAGAATTAGTGATGGGAAATATGAAATTTACAACATTTGATTTAGGTGGTCATGCTCAAGGTAAGAGATTCGATTGGAATATGAGTAGATGAAGCTGAGGGTTTGCTTGTAGCGCGTCGTGTTTGGAAAGATTATTTTCCTGCTGTTGACTCAATCGTGTTTCTTGTTGATGCTGTTGATCGAACGCGTTTTGCTGAGGCGAAAGCTGAACTTGATGTTCGTAAATTCGTTGATGTTTCAAGTTTAAAGAAAATCTTGTTTTGTTCCTTATTTTTTTAGAGTTTATTAACAGACGAACAAGTCGCTAATGCACCTGTTGTTGTCCTTGGAAACAAAATAGATTTACCGGGAGCTGTTAGCGAACAAGAACTTCGCTATGTACTTGGAATTTCTACAGCAACGACTGGCAAAGGAAATGTAGCACGTGCGGACATCGCCGGCCGTCCGATGGAATTATTTATGTGTAGTGTACTGAGACGTGAGGGTTACGGTGAAGCATTTCGATGGTTATCACAATATTTGTAGACGTTCAATCCAGATGATTTTCAGTCGCTTCTCTTTTTCTTTTTCTCTTCTATGCTTTATTCTTCCTGGTCTTTATATACTCGCTCTATCTTTTGTTTCTCGTCTGATCGGTAAAGACGTTCATTTTTCAAAACTGGACGTGCTGGACAGTTAAGCATAAACAACCATACGTACAGGTTTGTTTTTCTTCTTTTTCTCTTTGGCCCGATCATCTTACAGTTTTCTTTTGTATAAAAAGAAGAAAAATAAATGTGTTTGACAATACCGTTATTGAAAATCTTCAATCAACGAAAAGCGTCCGAATGAACGTCAGATTTGTAATACTTTGTTTGATTTTCTCGATGAATGGAGTAGAATGTCCAAGTGATCTGACAGATCAGGACAAAAAATGATATGATCACGATATATTGAACAAAAGAAAGAAGAATTTCGATAGTTGATAACGGCACAAATTGATTCATGATGATTATGTAAACAACACGTTAGCGTTTATTCGCCGATAAGTAAGAGAGAGAGAGAAGTATTACATCATTCGATTTAGCGCCATGTACAACTAACCGATCGATTGTTGACTTTACATCTAATCCTACCTTTTTTTCATATAGAATTAGATTCATTCAATTTTATTTACTATAATCAAATGGTTATACGTCCTCAATGGTCGATCACTTCTGCTATCTATTCATTTTCACTGTAACTCTTATTTATACAAGTTATTCATGTGATATATGGAAGGCAGCTGAATGTCCGCCAGGTCCGTCGAAAGATGACGATGATTTAATGAAATCTCATTTATACACTGAAGAGCAACTACTAGCATATTGTGATTCGGGAAGAACCTATGCTAGTTGTGTGAACGAACATTTACTCTGTTGTGATATGCGCTCAGAGTATGCAGCAGCCTTAGCTTCCCTTGATGTTCAATTGAAACGAAATGCATTACGCGTTGGAAGATACTGTCCGGATGTCAATGAAAGCAATCCTATTCAATACAAATGTCGAACTACGATACAGACAATTCCAGGTAGAAGACATCGTCGAACGACAACGGCAACGCCGGTTTGTAACATCGAAAAGGTGAGATGACAATACGAAAGTTAAAGCAAAAGAGAAATTTTTTTCATTTTCAATTTAATAGGCTGGAGAGAGATGTAGTCCATTAATCGAAAACCGCGTTCGATTTAACCGTCGATGGTCTGCCCAAGAAAAAGCAAAATGGTGTAGAGACACCTATGAGTATCACACATGTGCGACGAACTATGTCATCAATTGTACTATAGGACCTGTCGCAGCTGACGTGGCTCAGCTAAACGTTTTTCTTGATTATATCGAAAAATCTGCCAATCGTGAATGTCCAGGTGGTCTTTACGGGTGCGCTGATAAATCCACGAACGATACGCATTGTCAAGATCGTGTCAGTTACTTTCTCGAGAAGAACGCATTAGCAAACCATACTGCCATAGCACATGTACCCTTGTTACATGATTTCTGCGTATTTCTTATTCTATCTTTGCTCATGTTAAAAATATCTGTCTATTGACAGTGATGTTTTCGTTTTTCTTTGAATGACTACAAATATAGAGTGAGAGAGAAAGTTTACCATTCGATTGTTTCGTTTATGATATACACGTCATTGAAGTGCACACGACTCATATATCAAAATCCTATCTGCATAAAATGTTGATATTTTTGTCGTCATCGATTCTCTCACCCACCTTATTCACGCATTATGGTTTTTTTTCTCTTTCGGTATTTTTCAAACACAAGATGTATATATATATATGTATGCACAGTTAATAAACAATATGTATCAAATATTATTCAGTGGAAAATGCATTGCATCTATGATAGTAACAGTAGAAATCGATTACGCGAATGGAGGTATGTCTTATTTGATCGAGTTCATATAAAAGTAGAAAATAGTCATTTTCATGCATCCTTGACAAAGAAAATAAATTGACACTTCTTACACGTCCTTGATAGTTTTTTTTTCTTCTTCTGTTGTCATTAGAGTTATTTTATTCAAGAAAGGCAAAAAAGAACGAAGCTTATTTCTTTTCTAAAAGAACACGAATAACAAAAAAATAACGTTAACGTGTCGTACAACTTATTGCATTGTCGACATTTCTCTTTTTTCCTTCTTCCATCGTAGAAAGCAACACTTTCACCACAGCAAGAAACGTCGGCAACCGTCATCACTCCCCATCACCAATGAACAACGTTTACCCTTCTTCCCAGCAACCACCACAGAAAATCCAGAATTATTTTCCTTACCGTTGTGCGACATATCAACGGGTAAACGATTTTTCTAACGCACCATTTAAATTCATTAAAAAACAACCAACTATTTTGGCTTCCTATCCAGGGCTATTTTATTCACGTGATAAATCAAGTATGAATAATCAACCCAACGTTCAGGAGTATCGTCGTTATCGTGATGCTCAGTCACATTCATCGAGAAAAGTAGGTACCATTCATCAAAATCTTTCGGATATGAACCATGATTGTTATCTTAGACATCACTTCCTCAGTATCATCATTCGAATGCGTGTTGCTATTTGACAGGGGCTCGACGAAGTGAGAATGAATATTCAAGATACCGAGACTCTTACGTGAGTTGAACGCTTTTCTGAATTCAAGTGAAGACTGATTATTTTGTATTTTTAGTCTCTGCGAAGAAGATCTGTGTCTCAAATTCGTCCACGATTTAAAATTCATACGAAATGTCGATCGTTAACCTATGATTCCGAAGCTCAAGTAAGTCAATACGATCAATCTAATCAATGATGCAGCTCGATTGCTTACATTTAGCGTTCTCAAATTTCCGATGACAAAGTGCCATGGGATGTCGACTATCCAGATTACAAACCTGTGGAATATACAACTAGCAAAATTTTACGCAATCCGAAAGCCGATTCACCTGACCCGTACGTTTCAAACGATTCCTTCTTCTAGTTTCGAGACAAGTTAGACTCATTTGCTATAGTTTAGATCGAAGATTACGAAGTACAATCAAATCGATAATAAAATTGATCGACGAAGTTTCACTGGCCTCTATGCTATTGATCCACTAACTAATCGGCCATTAAATCCAATTGGCAGAACAGGAAGTAAGACGAGTGCTCGACTGTATAAGAAAGATTAATAAATATGTGCGACTTTGTTTCTTCTTCTAGTGACTGGTCGTGGTCGTTTGTACCATTGGGGACCTAACCATGCTGGTGATCCAGTTGTCACACGGTATAAATTGACATATTTTTTTCTGACTCTCATAAATTCATTTTTATTCTCAGTTGGAAACGCGATGGCAATGGTCTAGTGATTTGCCGTCGTCGAGACGAATTCGACCGGTTGAAACCAGTTCTAGAATTCGTCGCTATTCAACGGCGCGATAACAAACAATGGGCATTACCAGGAGTAAGTAATTTTTCTAGATGAAATCCCATGTTCAATTCCTTTCTTAAGGGTATGGTTGATCCTGGTGAAAATGTATCGGAAACAGTGAAACGTGAATTTCAAGAAGAAGCATTACGTGAAGGTATTGATGAAGCCTATATCAAACGATTATTCTCCAATGGGCATAAACTATTTGAATCATATGTGGACGATCCTCGAAACACAGATAATGCTTGGATGGAATCCATCGCTATGTAAGTGTGAATATCGTAGTCTCGTTGATTATGTATTATTGACAATTGTTCAGGCATTTTCATGACGAAACGGGACAATTAACAGCCAAGATTGATCTGAATGCTGGTATGTACATTTCTCTATCAGAAATGGTGATTTTCATTGATTGTTGTTCGTAGGTGACGATGCGGAAAAAGCTGTTTGGTGTACTGTTGACCGAACTTTAGAACTCTATGCTTGTCATAAAGACTTTCTCAAAGCCGCAGTCGATCGACTTGACGCGTTTTGGTGATTTTGAGAATAGGATATGTTAATTTTAGCAGATACAATAGATAAGACGAAGATTCACATTCAATTTAAAGAAAAACGCACGCACTAATACAACAATGACTAGTCGAAATGTGATATATGAGTTCAATCGTCATCTGTATCCGATTGATCAAGTTGCTGTTGTACCTGACTGTCTCGAACAGTGTTGCTTTTCTCGCATTCGGCTGCTGAGAGATAACCTGATCTGTAAATAAATATCGAATAAATAATCGAAACTTGAAGTTATTTTCTAACGTACTCTTGTAAAAGACTTTCAACATCACTGACAACAAAATCATCGCCAAGTTTATTGGTTACCGAAATGAAAGATGACAGCAATTCACCAGCACGATAAACTAATATGGCTGGACAGCCATTTCGAATCTAAAGGAAAAGATTCAACGCATGATCAAGGATTTTTTAGGAGTTTTCTCACGAAGTTATGGCTCATTTGCGCCTCGGAGGCTTGAATCCGACAGAATTTTACATACGGGTATTGTTCAGCGAGAATTTGAAAACAATTGTTCATAAGTTTGCAACCTTCGACGGCCTGTAAATCAAAGGAAACCAATGCGAATTTGAAGATTTCGCAAGATAAGTACAAACCTGTTCATAGACATGAACAACGATTGTAACGTTTTTGTTTTCACCATCAATAGCGTTGGTAAAATTCTCACGGTCTAAGTCAAATTGTTTACCGAATCGAGGTCTGTAGTAGCAAAGAAATAAGAGGATGGAGTAGAAGGTATTCGAATACGTACACGTTGAGTAGACGTTGTTGCATTTGATACATTAGTTTTGCTCGATATTCTTTGAAAAATTCATCTTCAGTGTCAAAAAACTCTTCTTCGAGTTTCTCTTGTGCTTCCTGCTCTTTTTTCTTCGCTTCTTCATCGTCTAACTGCATGCGAACGAGAAAGTTTTCAAATTTGAAACGATAGAAAAGTCGAACTTACGTAAGATCTACATGTCATTGCTAACTTTTTCACCAAAGCTTTTCTCTCCTTGTCTTGTTCATCACGTTTTTCAGTCTCTAATTGTTTGAACCGTCGCCAATCCGCAATGACTCCTTTTGGTCCAGTCTAGAATAAAAGCTTTGTAATACATCGAAACTATTGCCGTAAGCAACGAATTACTTTATCAGTAAAACCACTTGATGAACTCGGAGCATTCAATTCTGCTTCGGGAATAAATTTCGTCGATGATTTTGTGCGTTTGCCATCATCAGATTCGTTACCTTGATAAAAGAAAAAAAAAGATCAACATTATCGTGAAACTTTTTTCATTGCATTTCTGCTGTTTTACCTCCTTCATCTTCATCGTCGGATGAACTACTACAATAATTTTGTAGTTTTTCTCCGAGTAAACGATCATCTAACGTAACCATCGCTTGAGTATTTCTAGAAGTAAATGATCGATAACAAATACATAGTAGAAACAGAAGCATCATAGTCGAGATCAGTTTACATTCACATGCCAAATTCAAAAAAATAAATATCTTATTCGAGCGTTTATGAACCAATCAGAATGCGTTCCGCACTTTACCTATCGTTATTTCACTGCATAGTCTCGTTTTGCATAGAACATGAACAAATCATACTTGTATATGTATGAAGGAAAGACTTTTTCCGTTTTTTCTTAAGTCACGAAATTAATGATTGATTCAAATCTATAGAAATACCACGAAATAAAAGATCCCTTTCTATTAAAAGTATTTTAGAATCCGAAAATAAATGACAAAAATTCAAAATTTGAAATAATCTTGTCGAGATCATTACGCCTTTTCTATAGGTTACAAACTCAATACGGCGAAGCGCTTCCTCCCTTATTCAGTTATAAATGAGTGAATTTTTTCAAAGAGAAAAAGGAGGAATAGCATAAAGTAATCTGTCTGTCTGTCTGTCTATTAAATGAACACATCATAATAATCTGTCTCTCTTCTTTAAACTTGTGAGATTTAAAGAAAACGCGCCTAAACGATTCTTCACATTCACTCCTACACTTTTCATGGTAAAATAAAATAAAATAAAATAATCTTTTCTCTGCGCTATCCAAATAAACTCTATCCATTCTAGACAT